TCTAAGCCAACTGGACCTAGCTCGAAACCAACCGGCCCTAGCTCTAAACCTACCGGTCCAAGTTCTAAGCCAACTGGACCTAGCTCCAAGCCAACCGGTCCAAGCTCGAAACCAACCGGTCCAAGCTCGAAACCAACTGGCCCAAGCACTGGTCCTAGCTCCAAACCTACTGGACCTAGTTCTAAACCAACCGGTCCAAGCTCGAAACCTACTGGACCTAGCACTGGTCCTAGCTCCAAGCCAACTGGTCCAAGCTCGAAACCAACCGGTCCAAGCTCGAAACCAACCGGTCCAAGCTCGAAACCAACTGGCCCAAGCACTGGTCCTAGCTCCAAACCTACTGGACCTAGCTCCAAGCCTACTGGACCTAGTTCTAAACCAACCGGTCCTAGCTCCAAACCAACCGGTCCTAGCACTGGTCCTAGCTCCAAACCTACTGGACCTAGCACTGGTCCTAGCTCTAAACCCACTGGACCTAGCTCTAAACCAACTGGTCCTAGCACTGGTCCTAGCTCCAAACCCACTGGACCTAGCTCTAAACCAACTGGTCCAAGCTCGAAACCTACTGGCCCAAGTTCTAAGCCAACTGGTCCCAGTACTGGCCCTGGCTCTAAACCTAGCGGTTACAGTTCCAAACCAGCTGTCCCAAGTTCTAAATCTTCAGATGCTAGTTCAAAGACATCCTTGAAGCGTGCAATGAGTAGCTCTTCAGGAATCAAGGCTTCTTCTAGCGGTCAATCAGGCAGTACTATCCAAACCTCTTATTTCTCCGCTACGGTGCCACTACCCAAAAGTGCGACATTTAATCAGCAGGGCACTCAGCTGACAGAAGATAAAATCACAGCAGCGATCACCAAATCTCACACATCTACCGAGAGTGGTATTGGAACGATTTATGCTTCGATAGAACATTCTACTTATTTAGGGGCAGCAAACACGTTGAGTACGGGGCTGCTCTTAATTTTACCATTCGCGCTTCTTTGATTTCAATGCTTTAGTAGGTTATATCGATTGATTTTCAAGTATTCCTTTGTCGGTTTTCTTTTTCTTTTTCAAACTTGTTGGTCGAATCTTATTCATTTTCCGTTTTTTCTATGATCGAGATAACACTTGATATTTACGACTTTTAATATCAGCTAGCTGAGGGTTGTAGCCCAAAGTTGGGTTTTAGTTTTCCTTATTCCTTTTAAGTTCTTTCTGAATCGTATTAAATATTTCAGTTAGGTTTTAGTTTAATCATATTGTTTCCGATGAAAGTTCGTTGAGGGCAAAAAGGAGAGAGTAGAAAGGCCTGAAGAAAGCTTTAGAGTCCCTTGAGTTAAAATCATTAAGGAATAATTCCTGTAAAGTATGCTGGTAGCATCGCACCTCGCTATAACATTTGATCTGATGTGCCATCTCCTGTCGCGAGCATTTTGAATGTTATCATTCTCTGAAAGTAATTAAATGAAATAGAGAATTAGTGATAGGATTTTTTGGACAAGTCTATTGAATATTACTTGTTAAAGTGTGCAAGAAAGATTTCTATTTGCAGATGGCCCAGAAACAATACAATGCTAGTTTAAGTTTCGGAAACCGAAATAAAAGGCCTGCACCATTGAAGATGCATTGTAACGTTGTAGTATACGATACAAAGTATAAATATGGATCGTATTACTTTATATAATAGCTCCTAAGTTGTGAGACATGCGTTCGGTGGAAATACTGAGTTTTTCAACATAAGCTGTTTAAGCCCTGAATTAGAGGACACGAAGACAGACGTAAGACAAACATTCATGTTGTAATCGTAGACGTTCTACTTAGTGCATATCCTTCTGCTAAATATCTAAATGTAATCTTAAATTTTAATTTGACATTCGACACGTTACCGACGTGTACTTACACTGAATTATTACTGTCGTTTATATAAATTCTACCCTCCCATGGCATCAAGTTGGTCGAGAGTGGATGTGATCGTTTACCATAATTTCCAAGAACCATTGAATAAGAACTGTCGCTTGGCACTTGGTAATTAACCTCCTCGCCGCTAAAATTCAAAGCTGCAAATAGTTTCTTTTCACCATACTTTTTAGTGAAGCTGAACAGCTTCTTATTTTCCAAATCAACGAATTCAAAATCGTAGCCATAAACCGCGATGTCCTTGTGGTATTTTCTAAACTTGAGGACTCTTTTCCAGAAATTTAAAAGAGAATTGGGATCTTTAGCCTCATCTTCAACATTGATACCGTCTCTGAACGATCCATTCAATGAAAACCACGGTTTAGTATTTGGTTCCGAAAATCCAGCGTTTGGCTCTTCATTAGTCCACTGCATAGGAGTCCTGGCATGGTCTCGAGAGAGAAGAGCAATACCATCAAGAAATTTTTTCATTGGTTCAGATTTGTCACCGTATTTGGACTTTATGGACCTGTAATTGTTTCTTATTACTATGTCTTCATAATTTTCAACTGGCCAGTTTTTGAAGTTTATCTGGCCGATTTCCTGGCCCTGGTAAAGATATAAAGTTCCGGTCAACACAGATAGGAGCATGGCAAGCAATTTTCCTGAGATGACACGGTACCTTGAGGAGTCATCGCCGAATCTTGTTATCGAACGCGGCTGGTCGTGATTCTCCAAATATACAGTAGACCAACAATCAATGCCATTAATAAATCTGAAGAGTTCCGCGAGAGCGATCTTCCAATCCTTTAATTCGGCAGGAACTAAATTGTATCGAAATATAGGTGATGTTCCCACATCGGTATGAGAAAAATTGAACAGCTCACTCAACTCTCGCCTCGAAGCACTCGTGTATTGCTTTTTAACCTCATCTGTTGCGTACTGCATCTCACCCACTGTCATAATTTCTTTGCCATCCCGCACTCTTCTCCTGATAAAGCTATTTAATTCCCTATGGAATTCGTGAATGCGCGGACCATTCATAGTTAAAGAACCACTGGGCTGCCAGACTGAGTCTTTATCCGTAATTGGTGCATCTGGGAGGCCAGGAACCTTTGAATAGAGATTCCCGACATCGATACGAAAACCGTCAATTCCATGATCTAGCCAAAAACCAACAGCACTTTCAAAAAGCGCGTTTCTGCAATCTTCGTTTTCCCAATTGAAATCTGGCTGCGTTGAAGCGAAGAGTCGCAAGTAAAACTCTTGCGTCTGCTCGTCAAAAGTCCATGCAGATCCCCCAAAATAAGACTTCCAGTTATTAGGTGGAATAGCGATACCATTCTCATCATAACCTCTTGGCGGTATCCAGAAAAACCAGTCCCTTTTTGGGTTAGTCTTTGAAGATCTGCTTTCCTTGAACCACGCATGGTCACTAGAACAATGATTGATAACTAAATCCGCAATAAACTTCATGCCTAGGTCATGTGTTTTTTCGATTACTTTGAAGCAATCTTCATTGGAACCGTAGATATGCCACACTTTTTCGTAATCAGCAATATCGTATCCCATATCGTCTTGCGGAGATTCATAGAACGGAGAGACCCATATAGCGTCAGCTCCCAGATCCCTGATGTATTCAAGCTTTGATTCAATGCCTATCATGTCACCCCACCCGTCATTATTGGAGTCCTTGAAGCTTGCTGGATAAATCTGATATACAATTGCCTCCTTCCACCATTTTGGTTCCGTTTCAGGATGTTCATGGATTGTACTCATTTTGAGCCGAATTGGATTGCCTGAGTCAAAGAGAACTGCAGTGAGTATTTTTGGTAATTGAAACTCACACGCTGTATATTTTCCATTGTATTTATGATGCATGTTGCAGCCACAAATTTCGATAGACGACTTTGATATCTTATCTATTCCCATCTACGGGACGCATCGTAAAGGCAAGAAAACTTCTGCCGGTAATATTGGCAGGTTATTAACGAATGAAACACAAATATGTCCGCTAAGAGTTAAAATATTATGCCGTTGCGTTTTTCAGTTCGTCTTTATGATTTTATGAATATCATCCCCCTAAAAAATCCAACCAATTGGTTGAAAGCATACTCTCGGGCAAGAGTTTCCATAGATTAGTGTAAACTAACAATTTCACCATATTGACTAGAGATTAACCATTTTCAATTCCAAAATGAAGAGCGGAGTTGAAAGACAATCGCTTCTTGCTTTAGACAAAAAATGCTAATGGTATGACCTTACCAAAGTGTTGTATGTCACTTTTTAAGAACTGAACACTAGTTTGGTCACAACTTTCTGATCTTGAAAACTATACAATGCTCAGCTGTTATGGCGCCAATTAGAAAAGCGGATTTCGGGGAGGACTGCTGGATTAGTTTTCGTGGTCCAAAATTGATGGTACCACGTCCCCGGATATTGGCCTTAAGGTTGAATAAAAGCTAATTCAGATGAAAATAGGTACGAATTTGAATAAAAATTTGAGAAATGCAGTCCCTAGTTAACACATGGCATTGATTATAATTATGAGAACGGCAGAAATTTCATCATTGGCCTTTGATTGAGTTCTTTTCCGTGGAATGAACATATCCAGATGTTTTCCTGAATTTTGGCAGGACAAGTGACTATCCTTGTTTAACTTGACATAACCTCATCGAAAGCACGAGGAGACTCAAAAACGCCTTGGCACAAATTGTTCCCGTGCTTGATGCTAACATCTATCCATAAGGTAACAATTCTATCAAATGATTAGCCGAATAAGGTAGTTTGGTAACTAACGGAGTGCGTTTCTTGGTTTTGATTTTTTGAGTAACATTGAATAAGGCAAATAAAAAAAAATGATAATTGTTATCGGCTTTCTTTTTGAATTCCTTCAGTTCAAAAGAAAAGTCCGACATTTTCTTGCATTTCATAAATGAGAATAGTCTTACCCTGAAGGTTAGAACTTACAACGGAAGCTATGAAGAGAGAGAGCATACTGAAGAGGTTACGCGGACATCACCATATAAGGGGCCAGAAATATTCAATTAGAAGATTGAAATATGTCCCATTTCCCAATCACATTGTGACATGACATCGGAAAACAAAGTTCATAAAGCAATCCCCATTACCTTATTATCAGGATTTTTAGGTTCTGGCAAAACTACACTACTAGAGAAGATTTTGACTACCGATCATGGCTTAAAGATTGCTGTCATCATTAATGACATGTCTGAATTAAATATTGATTCGTCATTAGTCCAGACCCACAACGTTTGTCAAAAAGAGGAGAAGCTGATTCAACTGCAAAACGGATGTATTTGTTGTACTCTTCGCGGCGATTTGCTTGAGGAATTAGTTGGAATTGGTGAACGTGGTGAATTTGATTATATTGTCATCGAATCAACTGGTATTGCAGAACCAATGCAGGTCGCCGAGACATTTTCTGTCGAGTTTTCAAACATTCTGCTCGAGACGCCAGGTGGAATTCCAGAAGACGAGGAAAAACTGTTGAAAAAGCTGTCTAGCATGGGTGGACTTCAAGCAATTGCAAGAATTGACACTTGTGTCACTGTTATCGATGCACTAAATTTTTTGTCGAACATTCAAACCACCGAATTTTTAGCCGACCGTTGGGGCGAGAGCGGTCAGGGTGAGGCTGAGCGGACCATCACGGATTTGATGGTCGACCAAATTGAATTTGCTGATGTTATCATTGTCAATAAGAAGAGTACGGTTTCTAAAAAAAAGTTGAAGGAAATCAAGAAAATGGTCAAAATACTTAATCCAGTGGCCAAGATCATTGCTACTGATTATTGTAATGTCCCTTTGAATTCCATTCTCAATACAAAGCTCCATGACTTTGAGAAAGCTTCCCTATCTGCGGGCTGGTTGCAAAGTATCAACGAAATGACTGTTCGAGAAGGTTTTGGGAATAAAGGTGCAAGCGTTCTCACTCCTAAGCCAGAAACCGAGGAGTATGGTGTTAACAATTTTGTCTACCGTAGAAGGAAACCATTCCATCCTGAGAGACTCTATGACCTAATTCGAGACAAATTTTTTATCATAGAGCAAGCTGGTGATGCTGCAGATGAAAATAATCAAGACTCAGAGGAACAGAATTTGGATTCTGATGAGAGCTCTAGTTCTGAGGACGATTCAGAGATGGACGTTAATACCGACCTCAGTAATTGGAAAGAGGACGAAGGCGAAGACGAAGAATATACCGAGGAAGAGATCAACAAGAATAGGGCAAACTCGCCTTTCGGAAAACTCTTGCGGTCTAAAGGTTTCTTTTGGCTAGCTACTAGATATGTTATTCGAGGTGAGTGGTCAAGTGCAGGCCCTATGTTGACTCTCAATGGCGGATTGCCGTGGTTTGCAGTATCAGGACTCGACGATGTCCCTGAGGAGGCCTTGGAGCTTATCAAGAAGGACTATGAGGGTGAATTTGGTGATCGGCGAAATGAATTGGTTTTCATTGGGTTGAACATCAATGAAAAACAGTTGACCGAAACATTGGATGCATGTCTTTTGACTGATAAAGAATATGAACAATTCAAAGTTGTCACTTCCAAACACAATGCTTTGGTTGCTGACGAGAAGCTGTCACGCTTATGGGATGATGGCTTCGAAGATTGGTTTATTGTGGGAGTTGGTGATGAAATAGAAAATGATACAGAGATGGAAATCGATGACGCCAAGGGAGGACGTCAAGAATCCTTCGTTAAAGATAGTTCCCTAAATGAATCTGTTTCCGCATAGCTTATTGATTTCTGAAGCTACTAATTATTTATTTTTCATCTATTTATTATTTGTTTTGTTTATTTGCTTTAATTTTATTTATAAACTATGAAATTAAAAGATATATTTGTTGTTCTATAGTGTTTCAATTTGATCTCCAGCAACAAGTAGTACATCAAGAAACTGATTATAAACTTTTATTTATTGCATTCTTTAGAAATTTAGCGATGAAGGTTTACTGTGATGAAGGTAACTATAGACATAGAAAATGTGCCATTCTAACAGGTCAGTAGCGCGAGAAGTGCCGCTGCTGCTACCATGTTTTGATCGATTATGCAGAGCTTTCTTCTCGCTGAGAAAGGCCCTTGAGAAGTTTTTGATTCAATGTTTTTGCGGTGGTCGCAGTCCTGGATATAATTCAGCTTCATTACACAGATTGCTAAATGTTGATACATTTTGTAGGTTTCGGACACCACCAATTTGGCTTGATCCATTTTTCGTAAATATAATCGATTCATTGTATTTCTGCTTTTCCTCCTCCCTCTACCCAAGTGTTCAATGGAGTTTGCTGGTATCTACTTATGAAAGTAAAAATGCTAATACTCCTACTGGACTATTCATATGTTTAACAACTTGAGCAACTTTTAAACAAAGTGAACGGGACTGTGCAGTAAATAACAGATTGGATATAGGCGTATCGATAATTTCAGTCGAAACGGTAGGTTGAAATGTCAGGTGGAGACGTCAGGTCCTTGTTGAATGATTATATGAAAGCACTGGCTGTTTTGAATTGGCACTTCAATGGTGGAGAGACTCTGGCCATTATTTGAGGATAAAGACCATTTTAACTACTTGTTTGAAGATTGTATGTAACAAATGAATAAAAAAAGGAAACTAGAATGTTGAACTTTAATTGGATGCAACTTATAATAATACTAAAGGAAGTAATACAAGCATTCCAGAAGTTAATTTGTCCGCTCTACCATGAAACACGGATGCCGTAGGTATTAAATTAGAGGTGCGGCTATTTGACAACTTCGTGCCACTTAAAGAAGAAGTGGCCGATATTATTGCTGGCTGCTCTTCAGATTTGCTCGTCGGATCATCAGGAGTAAGAAACGTGGATAGGGTTGATTTCATCAGTGTCTTATTTGAAATTGCAGAATTCGAGGGTGTTGGACTGGAGGACTGCAAAATATTGCTTTGAGCACCCAATGACTGTCCACCTTTTGATATACTTGTAGATTGTACTAGTGGGGATCCGGAAGCGGAGAGAGAATGTGCGAGTTAACTATATGAGATATCGTTTGAAGAGATGCTTGTCTCATCTAGAACTGTCGTCGATTCAATCCTTTGAAAACTAGTTGTTGTATGAGTTCCGCTAGGAAAGTCAGTTTCTTTAGTGACGGTCTCGATTGAAGACATCACCCGACTGTGCCCAGCGGAGAAATTGCTCATTTTTTGGTAATCTGTCGTAAATGAAGTAGTAATTACCAATAGAGTCGTTGCTGATGCTTGTTCTGTTGCTTCATAGGTGGTGAACTCGCTACGAGATAGACTATTCGATAAAGAGAAGCCTGAAAAATAGTCTGAATAACCACAGTCTATGCAATTTGTAAACGAGTCCGTTCCACTTGAAGCAGTTTGGGAAATAGAGAGCTGATTTGTGGTTTTTGAATTTTCAGCAGGATTCGTTTCCACGCTTGAGGTAAAAAGAGCCTGAGAAGAAATTAAAGTCGTAGAAGTAATGATTGATCTGCTTGTAACAACAGACTCTTTATTCGTAAAGCCGCTTAAACTTGTTGGTATATCTGATTGGGTATAAGTTCGATCGAATTTCCCGGTTTTTGACTGGAACCTGAGCAAATACTGCCGAAAGACGAAAAAAAGGTGGTCACTGGCATAGTACTTTGAACGCTAGTTACTTGTTCAAAAGGATTTGAGGTTGCAAAAGAATTTAGAGAGGCTTCTGTTTTCTTGCTGTTTCCATAGTAAGCCAATCTGGGAGTTTCTATGCGATACAAAGTTGAAATGATGGTTACACCATTTGCGTCAGTTAATGTAGAGACTTCTGTTGCATAGGTGCTAGTATAAGTTCCTGTCCATCTTGTCATACTTTCAGAAGATATGATGTTAGGCTGGGGGGTTCGACAATATAAGTTGTCTTGGTCTTTGTATTGCCATCGGGGCCGGTAGACGTACACTTTTCGGTAAGCAAAGTGCTTGTGTTAGACCTATCCGATGGTATGTACACAGTCGATTCATAAGCTGAGCTCACACTAGAACTTTCGGTGGAATTCATACTGGTTAGATCTGTACATAAGGACGAGGCAATTATTGGAGTCTCGACGTGGTAAATCGTTTTTGTAAAAATGATTCCGTCAGTTCCCGTAGACGTAATCACTTCAGTTGAAAATGTAGATGTGATTCCGCCACTCCACTCTGTTGTTTTACTAACTGTAACATGTAAATGGCTTTCACTGCTGGATATGGATTTTATTTCTGTAAAATTCAATCTTGTGGTTTTGGTCGTAATTGAAGATAATTCAAATGCAGAAGTGCTCGCTTGGATCGAATCTGCTGGGGTAACCGTTCCATTTGAATATGTCGATGCAGGATCTACTGTTGTAACGTTAATCGGAACGACTGTTTGTTCACTATAAAAAGTTGAACTTTTTCCACCCGACAACTCGGTTGAGATCCCAGGTGAAGAGCCTGAGGGTCAGAAGTTTCAGTTTCGTTAGAAATAATTGTTGTGCTCGAATACCACAGCGGCGTTTCGACGTGATAAATCGTTTCGGTGGTCTCGATCCCATCAGTTCCTGTAATAGTGACCACCTCTGTTGAAAACGTCGACGTGTACGTTCCATCCCACGCAGTAGTTGTCGTGGAGTACCACAGCGGCGTTTCGACGTGATAGATAGTTTCGGTGGTCTCGATCCCACCAGTTCCTGTAATAGTGACCACCTCTGTTGAAAACGTCGACGTGTATGATCCATCCCACGCAGTAGTTGTAGTTGATATTCTAAAAAGTGTCTCCACATAAATGACTTTCTCAGTAGTTGGAAGCCCATTCGACCCCGTATATGTATTCAATCCTGTTGAGTAGGTGAAGCTTTGAAGTCCTGTCTATGCAGAATAAGAAGTAATAGCTTCAAATGGAGTTTCAACGTAATAAAGAGTACTTACAGTTGGATAGCCATCCGTTCCTGTAGTTGTGTATACACTGGTTGCGTAAGTAGATGTAGCAGTCCCCGTCTATTGTCTGGTTGATGTGCCTTTAGCACTATCAGTCAAAGGGTCAACTTCGACGACGAAATCTCCCACAGTAATCTGGCCATTAGAGTCAGTATAGCTCGAAACCGTTGTATATGTAGTGGTATCCGTTCTTTTGGAAGAAATGGTGTATATTGAGGTTCGAAGTTACACTGCTCTCCATCCTCGGCGTCTTCAGCGTTGAAAATGTAGCCAGTCCAGTCAGTATGCTGAATGCCATCAGGAGTGGTGAAGTAAAATTTCAACCCTCCGATATAATTTCTGTTGACATAAAATACTCTTATTGGGTAGTACAGACCAGCAACCAAATCAATGGTGACGAAGTTTTGAGCTTGAGGCCAAATGGCATAGAGTGAAAAAGCACCTGGAGTATTTACAGATCTTGCAAGCTGACAACAATTAAAGGCATTACCAGCTCCAACGTTTATGTAAGCCAGATCATCAACGTAAGTAAGATCAAGATTGTAGGTACCAGTCGTTGGGGCAAGAAAGTACCCAGTCATCAACATAGAAAAATTGGACGTAGTAAAGGATTTATCAAAGTTGTAATTTGAAGGAAGCTTTTAGGTGACAGGCACACAACGGGTAGTAAATCCTGTAGTACCAGTATCAAAAGTAAGATTTGTTACACCATAACTTGTGCCAATCTTCCCTGCTCCAACGTTTTCGTAGCCGCCTTGTATGTACGATTCCGTACTATAGATTGGGTTGTAGCAGGGACTTCTTGTGCCCACCAGAGGTAGACTGTAATATGACACTGTAAACCCATCTGAAAGAGTATCTGGATTGCATCCTAAAACCGCTCCCTGATGCTCTTCAACGGAAGCTCCTCTTGCGGACCTCAAAATCGGCATCCATAGATGCAAAAGCAAAACAAGCAAACGTCTCATTTGCACCAGAAGAGCTTTGTGTTAACTTTGCAAAACTATTGTTTCATACAAACTCTGATCTAATAGAGCGAAATTGTCGCTTTACATATATCCATCTTCTTTGCAGAAAATCGAAGTTATAAAGTCATCTATCATGTATTTCCATTCTTGGGAATGCATTTCTTTTATTCCTCTTGGTCTAGAGAACAGTCCCGAAGTATTCAACGAAGCCAATGGATTTGCCTAGCGGGGAAGCGACATGAGCCAGTCATACGAAGTACGCCGTTTGTGTGAAAAAGATGCTAGTTCCATCAATATTTTGGCACCATTTCATTGGAAGCTGGAAATTTACATCGTCTTGTTCATATGCAGCAGAAGCTGCTCTGCAGTGGTTTTAGTGAGCGGTCCAATCTTCGTCAATAAATTAAGTAGATATTTTTCGCCAGGGTGTGCTTATTTCATCGCAGAAACTCACAGAATTTGAAAAAACTTAATGCAGAATACTAGGCAACATGCAGAAATCTCTCTAAAATTTCAACCGTTGTAGCTGCATACTACATTGAGTAGCAGTAAGGTGGCATAAAAATGATTAGATAATGAACGTAGTAGGACAATAGCTATGAGAAATAAAAGGCGCTGATAGACAAAAGGAAAGGGAAGAGTCTACTCCGCCCCCTTGAAGGGGCTGAAATGCAAGGCAAATGTCAGAGATTTGTTAATGGGCATATCATTAATGGCCAGTAGATGATTTTACCTTCTGAAGTACTTAGCAAAAAATGTGATTTCAATCAATTCTATTCTACGATCGATATCAAGTGAGTACTTTTGGTGCATTTTAAGTTCGGCCTTTTTTGACACTTCAGGACAAAATCTTCGCGAATACTATATCGAGTTCAGGTAATTTCATTTGCAGATATACTATCAATTTCAAAATAGACCTCGATCGATCTATGAATCCCATCGTCATGGTATCATAGTTAATAAAAATTACTGCGATGACTATTTTATAGGCCATGTAGAATATTTTACATGTCCGTGCCTCTTTCGATATAACCAATTTCTGCGAAAGCGTTATTATGTAAGAATGCGTTTAAAGAAATTACGGTTTTATGCAACGATCACTTTTCCTCAGTACTCCGTTAAGTGCGACCCATTTGGAAACTAGGCTAGGCAGGGCGGAAAACTCATTTGAGCTCACATCTTTAGCAACCACGACATATGGATAATTCAAGGACATGAAATGAGTTAAGAAATTTGTTGTAATTGTTTCTTTGCGTAATTTTTCAAAAGTGTACTAAAAACCTAGTTGATACTCTTGTGGGCCCCAATAATAAACTATGATTAGAACTTTTAGATTAGCCCAGGCTAACTCTTTCATCATTGAGATTTTTTTGTCGCTGAACTATGATCGATATAAAGGTATCTTGTATGTACATAAATGTTTTATTTGTCAACATACGATTCGTGCATGAAGGGCCAATTATTCTCGAAGCTGATTAAGGATGTATCAGGTGATACTATGTCCAAATAAACAGGATCATACTTTGTCGGTGTCATTACGGGATGTTGCAAAAGAAAAAGCTATAGCATAAAAATGCTCTTTCTTGTATCCATCTCAGTATGTAGTTGATTTGCAGAGAGTCAAGTATCGTTTATCCTTGTGCATTGCAGGTTGCATAATATCTGCATGCTTGTCAAAATATTAGGTAATCGTGGGTTGAATGTAATCGCGCAAGATGGAGACTGCGCGCTAATCAAAAAGCTGCATACATATACGCATAGGTAATATACTGATAGATATTGGGCATCTCTAGATGGACATTCCCCTCAAGTAAACTAAAATATGCATAAGCAGTGTTCCAGTTAGTTTAGCACGTCAGTAGGGCTGATAATTGAAAACTTACTTCAACATTTAATTAATTAAGATGTTACCAAACCGGTTCCGTCGAGAGTAGTACGTTACTTAGATGATAAAAACTTCAAGAATGGAAGCTTTATTTCCATCGCATGATATTTTTGTGCCGCCGAGATCGTTCTAGGATATTTGGTAAATTTAATTAACAGTTATTTATCTACTTGCTAATTCGGCCTTCTGCTTGAAAGTCTTTGGTTGGAGAACGTCCCTCACAATGCATAGTAAAAAGGCTAAGAAACAGAGTGTGGTAGAAAGTAAATGTGCTTTTTTTGTTGCAGCATCAAAGCTTTCGATCACCGCATGTTTCACCTCACCATGTAGCGAGTTTACAATCGATGTATTGAGGTTTATTTTAATGATTAATTCCTTTAACTCCTTTTCATCTAAGATATTCTTGAGAGATTTCAGAAGATTTTTTGCTACCAAATCTTGAATCAAACCCGCAGAACCAGCTACACCCCATACTGATCCGATGCTTCGGAACAAATATAATGTCGAGGTTGCGCTTGCTTGGTTCTCCTTGTAAAATCCAAAAATGAATGTGAAAAGTGTACTTGGGAAAGTAATGCCTTGGCCCATATTAGCGGGAACCAAATACAAACCAACTAACCACTCGGGAGTGCTTTTTTTGATGAACAGAAACAATGCATTACCAAAAAACATTAAAATAATACCGAAATGAAGAAGAAGCTGTAAACATTCATACTTGGTCATCAAAACACCCATGATGATACCGCCTACCGGGGTAAAAAAAGAAGGTATCGTTAATCTAAGACCAGCTTTTGCAGCAGAATCACCTAAAACAATTTGGAAAAACAAAGGTAGCGTAAATAAATACGCGTAACTCGCAAACCCAACCATAAAGCTTACGGTCAAGATTATAAAGCTAAACAAGCCTCGAGTCATTTCTTTGGGCACAATCGCCTTTGCCTCAGTCGTCCTCTCGACAATGACAAATAGATAAAGAAAGAAAAAGCTCGCGGCCAACAAGGTAACCAGGAGAGGATGAGTCCAAGATAAGCTTGTTCTGACAGAACTTCCCAAGCTTAGGTAAAGTAATTGTGCAGTTAATCCCAAGACAATTAAAACTGAGCCCGGAATATCAATTTCCCGGAATAATCGCAAAAATCCTCCCTCAACGTCACCGTTTTTCACTCTCAGGATGTATTCATCCTGGTCTTTCACATGGAAATGGCTGATCAAAAGACTCAATACACAAAGCGGGACTTGTAGGAGAAAACACCATCTCCATCCTATTGAGGATGAAATTAAGCCACCTACGGACGCGCCAAGAACAGCACCTAACCCTAGAAATATGTTTTGAAATGCTTGAAAAAGCCCTCGTTTGGATTGTGGAACCATATCAGAGTTGACTATGGTAGATAGGGTAATGAGTCCGCCACCGCCAATTCCAGTCAGCGCTCTCATTGCATTCAAACAATAAATATTTGTTGAAAAGGCGCAAGCTAAACATCCGATACCAAAGAGTGTACCTGCAAAGAACAGGCAACGTCTTCTGCCCAAAACATCTGAAAAGGAGCCATATAATGGTTGGAAAGAAGTTGAAGCAACTAAGTATGACGTCGTGATCCAGCTAGCAATATCAACACGATTAAACTCATTTCCAATAGTCTGATATGCTGATGCTGTAACTGTACCATCGAAACCAGACAGGAATACATTTGAAAATAGCGCGAACTCAATGAGCCAAATATTAGGCTGCCCAGATCTAGTACTATCGCTGGCTATTGTGGTAACCTCACCAGTAACTTCATAGGTATTGAGTTCGCTTTCAACGCTCTCTGACGCCAAACTCCCATAGTTAGAGCGCCTGCTATCATTTAAATTTGCCAAGGAGTTTGTAGACTGCATCGGTATGAGAAAGATAAATGGGCTGTTGCTCGCCTATCCTCGAAATGGTACCCCGGGTTAAAGTGTTAAGCGAACAGAATACGTGGCATTGAATAACACCAGATCTTCTTTTAAGAATTTAAATGAGATCCCGATAAGTTTAAAGATGTAATATGCAAAGCTAGCATCTTCTTTTCCACAGGCGAAGAGAGGAACCACAGTTTTCGTCGAAGTCACAACTCAAGTTATCACTGAAAAGGCAGGAAAAATATACACTTCGTAACTAATTATGGATTGTTGAGCAGGTGTAATAGCTTATTGAAGTTATGACTCCAGGAATCTACGAGTATTATAATGCTAAGCACTCCCTTCGGTATTATGGATCATTCTTTGGCTGTTTTAATTGGATGGCCACCTCTAACGATCTTTTCTCTTCCGAAAGCTCGATATGATTGATCAATGATGCACCCTCCACGTGCATGTATCGTCCTCGTACGTTAGCATATCACAGCATTGATTTAATCAGTCATGTGTAATCGATACATAAACTTCTGTGGCGTCTGTGATGAAAGTCAATTCACAGGCTAGTCTATCAAATCCCTTGATTAAGCGATTACCTATGACACCAAGGGCAATAAGCTAATTATCTGACAGAGCTTATGTTTGAAGAGATTGATATTCTGAATCGAATAATCAATGTGAATAGACATTTTACCTCAAAGCAAAGTTGATGCAGAATTCCAGTCTATTTCAAGATATTTGTCAAATGGTCATCTATTTTTTATGTGTAAAATCGGACAGATGGTTCATTGTGCGGCGTACCTGAGTCTGTTTTCTTTTTCGGTAACAATTCATTCATGCTAAATCGAAATCATTACCACCAATCCTTCCTAAAAAAGGCAGAATAATGAGCTAACTGGAGTTTTCTACCGTAAAGATCTTCGATCAGACAAAAATAGAATGCTCGCTTTAACAGAAGTCGCATTAAAAATGCGCACTTAGGTTCTTTAATATATTACGTTACGCACTTTTCAGTGGGATGTTCGAAAATGTTGTTTATTGATGCGTAATAGTAAATTTTCCCTTTCGACTGCTGAATTCTGTGTTCCATTATGATGATTGTATCGTTTTTTTTTTCGGGTTATTGTTTAAAATGTATAAATGTATTTTTATGAGTGATATAAAGTGGTGGGTCAGGGACATAAATTATAAACAACGGCGTAAAGTCATTATTGCACTCATGACGAGTAGAGTGTCTCACGGTAAAAACATTTCAGGAGTCTCAAAAACCTGCTGCTTCAACCATTCCTTTAAGTAAAGCCGCCAGGCCAATGGCACCTGGATCTGGCAGTCCTCCTTCGTCATCAAGTTTTCTCAGCTCCTCCTTCGCGACGTAGGATGCACGCCCGACAAGAGCCTCCATTTTTCTGGTATTTTCTGCTCCCTCATTCGCTGCTTCAACAGCCTCCCTCGGACCTTTCCCTGCCTGCAATGCATCTACGAAAGGTTGCAGCGCGTCGATAAGGGTCCTGTAACCGGGTCTAGCTAAAGTATACTTATAGAGAGCATCGAGTGCAACTTTAGATGCTTTTCTGAAGGTTTCTACAGTCAATTCTTTGTCCCCAGAATCTTTCACGCCCTTGGCGAGGGCTGACAAATAAATGGAATACAAGCCTCCAGATGTACCTCCCATGGAATCCTCGACAATATAGGCTATATCTTCAATACCGTGCGCAGCATCCTCAAGACGCAAGGTATGGTTTTTGATAGCTTCACTTAACTCCTTACCTCCTGCTACGAGTGTTGTACCACAATCACCATCACCCGCAATTGTGTCATACCAGGTCACCTTTGGTTCAACTTCGTTGATGTTTGCGATTCCAGCAAGCAAAATTTTGGCAAACGTGTCATAGTCTGCTTTCACCCCGGAAGGCTCTTCGTTTCTAGCTGACTTTAATGGGGGCGCTGTGGGTACTTTGCCTTTGGCAAGTACTTTCCAATCCTGGGCAGAATGGTATTGTTGATTCCATCCAGATGCTGTTGTTGGATAATCAAAATACTTTATAATGTCGGGTCCTGCCTTGGAGGCGTTCATCAAAGTTATCCCAAAGCCTGGGCCGTTCAAAGCCGTAATGAATGCACCCGTTATCGTCCTTTTTGGGATAATATTGTAATCCTTAATGAGCTGCTCAGAAATAACTTCTGCCGCGTATCCTAGTTCTAAATTTGACATACCACCCATATTGTTTACCATCAGAACAATATCATCTTCAGGGCGAAATTCAACGAATGAATGGTCCTCATCATTACCCAAAACTAATGGCAACATTTTCGTCACAAGCTCGGGAATTGATGGTAAAGGAGAACTCTTTTGAGTTCCAGATTCATTATGTATTCCCATACCAATTTCATATTCATCTGGACCTAAAATGTTCTCAGATTTGTGACCCGGAACCGTACAATGATCTAAAGAAGCAGCAATAGTCGCACTATTAGCCGCAACAGCACGTGCAACGTGTGCAACCTCTGGTAATTCTAATCCATGAGCTGCCGCCGCACCTGAGATTTTATGAACCAATACGGTAGCTCCCAGGCCTCTACGTCCCACCAAAGAACCTTTCTTCTTTCCCACAGATACATCATCACCTACAGCAACCAGCTCTACATTCATCCCTGCTGCTTTAGCTCTTTCTGCTGCCAATCCAAAGTGTATAATGTCACCGGTGTAATTTTTCACTATTATAAGCGTTCCCTTGGGAGATTCGACAGCCTTGAGAGCAGAAAATATTTGTTTAGTGGAAGGAGAGGCAAAGATTGCGCCCGCAGCGATGGCATCAAGTGCTCCATCACCAACGAAACCAGCATGGGTTGGCTCGTGACCACTTCCGCCACCTGAAACCAAAGTTACCTTTGGCGGATTTCCTGAATTGGGGGAGGATGCAGTACGATACACGACACGGTCATGCTCAATTACTGTCAAACCAGGATTGCTACGTGCAAGGCCCAGTAAATATGGAGCAACGATGTTTCCATCTGATTTGAACTGTTTGTGTGACATGGCGAATTTTTCTTGGGATATCAACGCTTGAATTTCAGTTCTTCATCTATCTCAAGGAGCAAATACTGGCCACTCATTTATACACGAAGACACGATGCTACGATGTTCGTATTAGTTCAATTTATATTTCCACTCACCCCATTTTCGAAGATTTTCCACGGACTTAAGCATTGAACTGTTAATTCTTGATGACTTCACCACCTACCTACATGCAACAAGACTTGTTGACAAGGGTATTTAGTGAATTATACTGGCATGCACCTTTTAAGATGCTCTGTTATCAAAGTCGAACTAACCGGATAAATTTCCCGCGCCAACAATTTTTTCCGGGGAGCGGACTTCCCCGGCTCCGTTTAAGATATACCCTTGTCCTTAACTTAAAAATGAACGTTAAGGGGCAATCTCGAGCAATGCGTGCCTTGCACTCATTGTGAGAATCTATTCCGCTTTTGCTATATACCTTTAAGTCCATTTCCTGCTTGCAGCTCACATTGATATTTAAAACTTGGCAACCCCACATGAATTTTTCTTCGGAGATGTCAGGAAAGCATTACAGCATCGATGAATAACGAATTCCACGCAACTTCGTCGTTGTCGTCGTCGTCATCCTCTTCATCGTCTCAAAGTTCTCGCTCATCAGTCGGTGATGCCAATTTATCAGGAACAAAGTCGAAGACCACAACTAACAAAACCCGCGGCAATCGCGTAAAATGGCACGGAAATGTCAAGGATTCAAATGAGATAGACTCCAATAAAAATTTAGGAATGAAGAAAGATGTCTCGTTGGAGCAACATGAGCACAGGCAATACGAAGAACCAAGTTCAATACCAAAGCGTAATCCCAACGGTGCTCTATCTGGCCTCAGTCCTCTAACGCCTTTGAAGAAAACATCAGAAGAAGGCTTGCGTCCAAGATACAACCCTCCTCCGGTTGGGTTTGCATATTCCTCACCAAATCTGAAGTCTTTAAATAACTTCACAAATTTTGAGCAAGCTCGCTTGAGAGATGATTATCTAGCAAGCGCTTTAGGTAGCTTGGGCCGGAGCAGTAACTACGTTGATCCCTTGTATCGACATTTGAATCCTCAAATGACCAATGCTAAAAGCAGACCAGTGTGGAGTTTAAATCAACCGCTACCACATGTTCTCAACCAGAGTTTAGCCGAAAAAATGATTCAAAAAAATGCGGAAGCTAGATCGAGAGCATCTTCAAGATCTGGATCACGAGATGTATCTAGGGCAGGTTCAATGACCTCTTTGAATGATTGGAAACGTTTGATGAGATTATCAACCTCGAATACACGCCCCAATGACATCGAGTCTCAATTGCCTAGGAACTACTCACAATCTCAACCTCTGAAGCAGGGTTTGGAACGGAACGGAGAAACGGGACAAAGCGGGGCTGAACGTGGGCAAAAAGGTATACCACCTTCTTCCCACGGTGCTAAATTTACTTTGGGCGATGAGAGTTATACGTCATCAACAGCAGATGATGAAAAACCAAAAAATATGAGACGTCAAAACGGAAGGACCCCTGTGCGGACTGATAATGATCTACTGAAAGAAGAACTCAATGATACATCTCATCTAGAAGAGAGTGGTAAAGACGGCGGTGGAAGTGTTATTTTACCGGATGACGAGTCTGAGGAAATGGCTTTCACAAACTACTGGGCGAAAGTGAGGTATCTTCTACGAGAGCCTTTTGCAGAATTTTTAGGAACTCTTGTTTTAGTTATATTTGGTGTTGGGGGGAATCTTCAAGCAACAGTAACCAATGGAGCTGGAGGTTCCTATGAATCTCTGTCATTCGCGTGGGGGTTTGGATGCATGCTTGGTGTCTATGTTGCCGGTGGAATTAGTGGTGGCCATATAAATCCTGCAGTGACAATCTCCATGGCTATATTTCGCAAATTTCCTTGGAAAAAGGTACCAATATACATATTTGCTCAAATAGTGGGTGCTTATTTCGGGGGTGCCATGGCATATGGATACTTCTGGAGTTCAATCACAGAGTTTGAAGGAGGTGCGTCTATTAGAACCGCAGCAACAGGGGCCTGCCTCTTCACAAATCCCAAATCATATGTGACATGGCGGAATGCATTCTTTGATGAATTCATAGGTGCTGCAATGCTGGTAGGGTGCTTGATGGCACTGTTGGATGACACTAATGCCCCACCAGCAAATGGGATGACGGCCTTGATCGTTGGATTTTTGGTCGCTGCAATTGGTATGGCACTTGGCTACCAAACCAGTTTCACGATCAACCCCGCCAGAGATCTTGGTCCACGTATTTTCGCCTCCATGATAGGATACGGACCGCATGCATTTCACCTCACACATTGGTGGTGGACTTGGGGTGCGTGGGGTGGTCCAATTGCAGGTGGAATTGCAGGTGCTCTTGTTTATGACCTATTTATTTTTACCGGCTGTGAATCACCTGTCAACTACCCCGACAATGGCTACATTGAGCACAGAATACAAAAACTACTTCATGCGGAAATGGGCGAGCAATCAAATATGGATTCCCCAGAAGTAGAGCTGGATGAAAGGACCTCAAGTAGTAATAGCGCCAAGATATAAGGACATGTTCAAATTAGTGATGAGAAGTGAGATTAATCTAATCCAGCTGCTTTCGATTGGGCGTGTTTTCATGATTTACCATTACCAAGAGGTGTTAAATTTTTACCTATACAAGTTTACGTTTAATGAGATAATAGCAATCACCTTGATTAGAGTATTTATACAAAAGATAGTTTCTTAGCCATCGTTAGGAGTTTGAGGGTTTTCTGAGCCACATTTACAATTCTGGCCAGTTTTTCAAGTGTGAAGCTTCAGCTACCAATTTAGAGAATACAAAACGCCGGGACTGATTAGGTGGAATCGATTGATCCAAGAACCATATCTATATTTTCCAAGAACTTGCCTCCATCAGGTTTTTACTTGTGACTCGATCGATCAATTGGGAAAAAAATGACCCGCAGTGCTTTATCGTGACTATGCAAAGCTCTTGGTAACCGAAAAGCGTCGTATCGCTCAATTATGTCTTCGCTGCTTGAAAAGGAAAATTCATTCTCCATGGTGATGATTATTCACAAAAATGTCTGAAGCTAATAAGCTGAGGCAATTGCTATGAAGGCATGACACTTGCATTTGCAAATACTACAGTTGTATTGTGATAAGCTTCAATAGGCTTATGACATATTCGAAGACCAATAAAGTGCCACTTGGTGCACAAAGAACACTTATAAAGGCATGGATTAAGAGTGGGCTGCGTTAAATTTGTTATTACCTTCTGAGATACTGCGTAAACTGCTGTTGAATATAGTCCCTTGTTTACGAGAAAAAGCAAAAATAACATGACTAATAACTCAGGTGATAGAATCACGGTTTCAAACATCAATAATTATTGATGTTTGACGCCTGGTATACAGCTAGCAACTCCGGCATAACCAAAGCAGGCAGACGACGGACATAAAAAAGAATATCCAAGGCCACGATAGTAAGTGATTGAGCAGAGCAGGAACGTAGCGCCCTTCAAGAATTCACTACTTCGTGTTGTTTCTCCATAAGAACCAGAGACAATTTGCGTCTTTCTTTCTACCGCATAAATGCGACCACAAACCGTAGCAGTAGTATGAGGCAACAGAAATATGGGTCCGATTGCTATGTTTCACGAAGAATAACAAGGTAAATACAGATATTAAAGTAGAAGCAAGTGACTTTGGGTAGAAATACGACCATAAGAAGTTAGCAATACTGAACTTCTTTTAACCAATAAAACGACCTATACGTTACGCATGCAGGTTTAATTTACAACATTCGATTAAGACAATACAATTAAATGGTTTCATTCTCAAGGGATTCAGAACTATCTCGGATGATTTGGAGAAGTGCAATAAGTTGGGGCTAAATCAGTTTAATTCTTCGCTTGGGTACTGCGAATTATAGTTACAAAAAGGATTCCATGAGTAGTGCATTCTTAATAATCGCAGTTGATCATCATTTGCAAGGGACAGCAAGCATAATTTGGTTTACACAACGCTACTAATTGAAATCGGCGTCTTTCTACCATACTTCTTTCTGCGTAGGAAGAATATGGAAAGATTTGAAAGTTGGATTAACATTGACACATGATAATTATTTTTCCTATAGTGGCATTATTTTCAATCATCGTATCAGCCCTCTATCCCAAGCCAAGTGCTTGGCGTTTGGAACCTGTTGTATTAATTAGGTCCTCCAATTTGCTTCACCACCATGGTTTCTCATAAACAGATTGAATAAAGTAGCAAGAATGAACTTGTAAGACCTTATAACCTGAACCTGAAATATTATGTTCGAGCATTTTTCGACTATTCGTTACCTGAAACTCTACGGCGGTGTTTTAAACAAACCAAGCTTGATTGTTTACCAGACATTAATTCAACAAGATGAGAAGTAAGGTATCATCTAAAAGACACAGTCATTTTCGCATTGCGAAACAAGTTTTAGTGAGACTAATATTAAAAAAGCCATTTTTATGTGAGTCTATTAAAAGCGTAAAAAACTTAGATACAATAGGAACCGAGCTTAAGGACGAACTTCTACAGTAGTTAGAGTAGCATCCTTGTTCTTTTCATCTGAATTATTGACTTCGAGTAGGTCTGAATCGCTTCCTTCCACGACAGTTCCTTCCTCATCAATGTCCTCATCGAATCCCATAGTTCCTTGCCATCCGTTTTCCACTAAGTAGTTGTGAAACTTTATGTCGAGTTCCATCAAATCAGTTTCCTTGCAGTGTGGAATGCAAAACCACGTAAATAAGATACCTACAATACCACACACGGCAGCGATGATAAAAGTGTAACGCGGTCCCAGATGATCTCTGATTGGTTGAAATGATTGTGTACCAGCCACAGCGCCAACTTTTCCTACAGCAGCGCTCAACCCATATAAAGTACCTCTGACCGCTGTGGGGAATGATTCACTGGAAGTAACACCCATCATATCACCAGGCCCTGCGTTGGATAAACTGTTCATCAAACCATAAAAGACGATAAATAGTGCTGTAATGCCCTTCAGTTGATCATACGCGCAACCAATGACTAGGCCAAAGATTAAATAACCACTGAAACCAAACATCAATGTATATTTTCTACCGATTTTGTCACACAGATAAGCGCCAAGGAAAACACCAGGGACAGCAATAATACCCAATAGCAAGTTCCATTCACATATCTTTTTCAAATCAGATGTATTTCCAATAACAGAGGATATGATGGTTGCACTGAAAATACCATTTGGAAAGGTTACAAAATCAAACATAAACCATGCGCCACATGTTCCTAGTAGTCTGACCCAGTTGAACTTGATTATCAGCCATAGGGGAACCCTACTTGTAAACCTCGACTTCTTGTACAGTACACTAGTAGCCATCTTCCATCTAAAGTAGAAAATAGAAAGGGGCCAGAAGCAACCGAGCGCAAACAAAGCTCTCCACAAGCCCTCAAGGCGATGTGGACCACAAATAGAATAGACAATCAGAAAAACAATTGATGCAAAGGGGCCACCTAGAGATAATGGTAGATTAGTGACTAATACCATCAAACCACCACGGCGTTTTTCACTATATTCGTTGGCAGCTTCATTAGCGCTAACAGAGGCAGAGGGATACTCTGCTCCGATACCAACACCCACCATACCTCTCATTACTGTCAACATCCAGAACATTCCTTCGATGCTCTTACCGTGAGAAGCAGCACACAAAGCGCTACCAATAACCAAAAGTAGTGTTGCAGTTAAAATAGACCATTTCCGTCCCATGTAGTCACATGCAAATCCAATGATAACTTGACCGATAATCGTACCAACCAGAGACGCATTAGAAACACGAGTAGAAAGCGTGGAGGGATAGTTTTCACTCCCGTAAAGAACTGGGAATACTTTATTCAACATGGACATCACATTGTTTTGGTATCCATCCGAAATCAAGGCGAAACCGGACGCAATGATGGTCAAAACATGAATGAACGTTCTTTTCTTTGGTTCATACAAACGCTGTTTTCTTGCTTCAGCGTCATATTCGATAATTTTTCCAGCCATATTACCAGATGAAATACTCTAATGCTGAATACTGGAGATTATCATGATATTCTATCTCAGCTCTGCGGACTGAATCATTTATATATCTGGCCTTGGCATGGGATTCCGATGTTTGCACGTGCGTGGTTTGAAATGCCTGCCGACAAATATAGACCCTAATACTGACCTAGAGCTCTTTCAGAAAGCTACTAACAATCCTAAGGCTCAGCGTAACACGTTTTTACTCCCATGGTAATTCTTTGTTCTCTGGTTCGCTTGCTGAACTACAGCCCCACGTGGAATAGGCACGGACTTTGCAGATTTTTGATAGAAGTTTTGGCTGCAAAAAGAGTTTGCGACACATAACATACAGTAAGCCCTCACGGAGCTCTAAGAATTCCTTTAGAAAATGCATAACAAGAATGCGGGTGGGGTAGGCATATATGGTGCACAAACTGCCACACGTGCTTGATTCTTTAAAGCCTTCGTGTCCTCATTTGATTGAGAAGCTTTTCATTTGCACCAAAAGTAATGTGAACCCTGCGTACCTGCAGCCAATCATGCTTGTAATTCGACCACATGTGTCTGTTACCGAAATTGGCATTGTAATATCACTTTCATGTTTGGCCCTGTGTATTAACGTATGATTCTTCAAAATACCCTTGAACGGAATTGCTTTTTGAGTTCGAGGTTGCATTTTGAAAGGTTATGAGCTCAACGCCAAGAGAAGGCGTATTTGAAACTCCAGCACTTGGCTAAAGTTGATATCTTTATTTGTAAGAGAAAAAACCTAAGAGGAGCCAAAAAGTAGTAGTAGTAGTTTTTTTTTATAAACCTCACCTGACGTAGAAGAGTAGGCATTTGCTCCCTCTAACTGGATTCTAGAGCCAGGTGCAGTTGTTCTTGGCATGTTCATTTAGCGTTCTGCAAGTGGCTGCTCTGTTAACGAGGTTGCACTTTACCAGAGTGTTCATAGAAAGATAATCACCAATTCTTACCAGCGAATTTGCAGCCAAGGGCTGCGAAAGAAACCTGTTAGGCTTCAGTAATCCTCTATTTATTTTGAAGCTAAAGTCTACGACTTGTTATTTTTTGGCACGACCACGCAGCCAACCTTCTTGATTAAAAGAGGCAATCAAGCACGCGCTTTCAATAACTACTTTGTTAATCATAAGAATGTTAAAAGTCATTTCAAGAATATTTAAATTGCAAATGTTATATCCAGGTTTTTCTCCCGTAGTACATCCCACCAAAGTTTCCTTTTGGCCCAGCACTCCTCCATTATATTTTTGGCCTGTAGGGCGCTCGTCATTCCTCTCCGGTTGAGGGTGACAATATGATCCATATAAACGTCCCTACATGGTAGCAGAGAGTCATCCATTATTTCACAACCACAGCAAAACAAGCAAAAAATGATGCATGATTCGGCTGAAGAGTCAAACGGAATTCTGTGTTGGATTAAGTTTGTTATTTTCAAGATTAAGTCCATCACTATCTTACTATTCTGGGGTACGCCTAGGACTCTCCGTTTGAGTTGTAGTACTCCGGTTAGCCCAAAAATGAGGTTCGTAGCACGGAGAATGGCATATGCTTGATAATGAATCCTCGTTGTGCGATCTGTTTTGTTCTTAAAGTAATAATCATATATTTGGTCCCTTTCCCTTTCACTCTGATCCAAATAACTAGTAATCTCATGATCAAGCTCCAATGCCTTGACAATCAAGTTATGAGGAATGTGATCCGTATCAAGAGCATCTCTTGCATTAATTATCGAAGAAACGTCCGCCAATAACGATAACAGTCTGATCTCCATCCCTGTGAAGTATTCAATGTCTTTCAATCTGACTCGCAAATCGTGAATTAAGTTAGTGTTGTAAACTGCGGAAAAGTCGTATTGCAAGGAGTTCAGCTTTTCAGTCGACAAAGCAGGATTTGTAGACGAAAGTGAAGCTATAATGTTGACGTAGGAAAACCACCGACACAGAAAGTATTCAGGATCGCTGTCATCGTTGCTATAAGATACTCGAAGGAGACCGTTTGAGCTATTTTTGAATCTCTTCATTATAATTTTGCGCGCGCCGTATATATGAGCCCTCCATTTGTGTCGTGTATCACTGAAAAAGATGTCAAACCCTGCTAGCATAAGAATGGTTGCCAAAGTAAAATCGCTATGCCGCTCTTCCGTGTCCATAAGCTTCTTCAGCAACTCGCTGAATGTTTGTGTCAAGAGTTCATTTGCAAAATGACCATCCGAAGAGACAGTAGAAACAGTTTCATCTAGCCCTACGACATTTTCTGCGTCCTGAAACGTAATCATTTTATTTCTATGGTTGGCACCGAATGCCAATATAAGATTCATCAAGGTTGAGCTTTGAAGAGCCATCTGTGGTAAGATAGTGTGGAACGGATTCTTATCATAAACGTGGTGAGGAGCAGGCACAAACAGGTGAGAAGTTTCTGTGACGTAAAAGTTAAATACTTCAGAAAAGTATGCGGAATTTGCCAAAATGTCGGGTAATGGCATTGATAATTGGAGGGACTTGAGGTCAATTGGATTGTGATCGCCGAAAAGCTCCACATTAATATCATTAACAGAAAGGGTATCGTCAACATGTGTAAGCATTTCATGGTTAACGAAGCCTTCTATCTCACTTTCGGGAAACGGTTCCTCGAGAGATTTGAACGAAACGGAAAGTGGAATATGCGATTGACTGACGCTCGAATTTTTCCTCTCATTTGGTGCCTCAAGTTTAGTCATGTTTTTTACGGTAAGCACGCCATCCACAACAATAGTATTAGGTGGCTTCTTTACAACTCGATTCTTGTTCTTATAAGGTCTTCCTCCCCATTGTAAAATAATGGTGTAATCACATTCCGCCAAACCTTTTTTCACACAGTTACCGCACCTTGGTCTCTTTTCATCGCACTTAACTTTAGATTTCTTACAATTTTTGCATCCTCCTCTGGATCTTTTACCTTTAACTGTCATGACCAATACATCTGCTTCCCGAGATCGAACTTCGAGTAACGAAACGAGAAAATGCATGAGAGTTGCACTTTTTTTCCCAGGTTATTGCGCGCCGTTATCAATGCTCGGATTATGCTAAATGCAACACCCAACATGCCGACCCTACCGATTGTCACGATCTATTAGACACGTATTAGTAAACGAAAGTGGATTTAATGGCTTACTATTACTTTTCTTTTTCTCTTGTCGTTGACCACACCAATTGTAAGAAGGGTTCAACGTTATCAGGTGTTGCTTAGATGTTGTAAGGTTTGAATCCATCCAAGGGTCCTGACATGAAGAGATTGAATGCGTATTTCTCTATAACATAATTTATAAAGTTTAACTAATGAGTTGTTCAAGCCAAATCAGCAACAACACGGGACCAGTTACCGTGCTTTTCCTTACCGTATTGGATGTTAGCGATCCATTGAGCGACATTCTCAGTCAAAGGACCGGTTTGCTTGCCTGGTTGTAGGGGAACGTGGATGTCCTTTCCTTTCCATCCGATTTCCTTGATAGGAGAAACGACAGCAGCGGTACCACTACCAAAGGCTTCGACTAACTCACCCTTTTCAGCTCTGTCGGCGACCTCGTTGATACTGTAGTAACGCTCGGAGATTGTCCATTCCTTTGGATCCAACTTTTCTCTGGCCAAAGTCAAGACAGAATCTCTCGTGACACCCTCCAAGATAGTACCGTCCAATGGGGCAGTGACTAACTCCTTCTTACCAGTGGCGTTGTCCTTGAAGACAAAGAATACATTCATAGTACCGACTTCGGTAATATTCTTCTCTGGACCGAACAACCATAGGTTTTGTTGATAGCCTCTCTCAGCAGCTTGTAGTTGGGGAAGGATGCAAGGGGCGTAGTTAGCACCCAACTTCTTGTCACCGACACCACCTGGCCAAGCTCTGGTGGCGTAGTCGGTAGCCTCCAATCTGACGGCCTTGAATCCTGTCTTGTAGTATGGCCCGACTGGGGATGTGATGACGAAAATCATAGCCCTGTCTGGAGTGCTGACACCCAAGGCTGGTGTAGTACCGATCATGGTTGGTCTGACATATAGAGAGTAACCCTGGCCTTCTGGGACCAAGTGCTTGTCTTGTTCAATCAATTTACCCATCAGTTTGATGAGCTCTTCGGAATCGAATGTAGGGAGACAGATTCTAGCAGCAGACTTGTTCATTCTCTCCATGTTTTTGTCTGGACGGAACATTGTAATCTTGTTGTCTGGGCTCCTGTAAGCCTTCAAACCCTCGAAAAGCTCGAAAGCATAGTGGAACACGCATGCAGATGGATCTAGAGACAGGTTTCCGTATGGCTTAATTTCTGGAACACCCCATCCGTTTTCTTTGGTCCACTCCACAGTTAGCATATGGTCGGTGAAAGTTTTACCAAACACTAGTTGGTCATTTGGCTTTGGAGTAGAAGGTGTTGAACTCTTTACGATTTTCAGCTTGGACGCATCCAATGGAGCAGACATCGTTCTGATCGCCGACGTATTGAAGAAGCGAGATGCAGTAGACCTTAGAGACTGCCTTATCATATTTATAGTTTACCTCTGTTTAAAGTGATTACCGAGATACTGATGATCTGCCGTTGGTGTCCGACCGGCTTCTGTGTGTCTTTTTATATTCTCGGCTGCTGCAGGTAAAACTTTTCGCGATCACGAAGCCCGGTAACGGCACTGATTCCGGTATTACTCACAGCGAAGGCAAAAAAAAGGCATCAGTCATAAAAAGAACCTTATTCGACGATAACGTGACTATTTCTCAGTCATGTTATTTAGTCATTAGCAGATTACTTCGAGGCATTGTTTTAGTCCAATCAAACACGTAGACTTTCATTTTAAGCTCATTTATGATTTTTTATCACCTAGGAGTGTGACAAATATTCGAGTCCTACTTTAATTGGATGCAAGAAAAAGAATCACACAACTCACATTACATGATGGGTTGTGGGAGTAGGTGTTTGGTGCCGAATCAATAATCTTTAGTATTTCGTAGACACCTCGAATGAGGATGCAATTGTCACGAATCATCACGCATGTCTTGGAACCATAAAGTTGACTCCGGCGCGCATTTTTGAATCTTTTCCAATTGGAAAGCAGCGAGAGCATGATGTATATATGCTATTAAAGTGGATTTAAAGGGCTCCTCTTATCGTTTGTGAGATACGAGCGGGCATCTCCGTTTATTAGCTAGCACGCCCCTGCTCTTCAACGAGATGACCGTGATACTATTCTTGTTTTTCTACTAAAAGTCATCTTGATCCTGCTATGCGTTTATTGTGGGCTCCAGATAAGTAATCAGGGTACGTTCGTAGGGACGCTTGTCATCATAATCGAGTGTTCGCAACAGTGGTAAAGTCAACACTGGGAACACTTGCTGGTTTATGTTGCAATAACCAAGTGTACGAACAAGTTTGGCTTGTACAATAAAAACATCCGCTATTGGAACCTACGAAGTTTCCGCTGTCGTGATTGTAATGAATATAACTCACCGTTCGAAATCTACATTACCTCCTCAACTCACATTCAACCGTTTTGCTCACGAATCAACCAACGTGAGGCCTCGTTTCTCGAGATCGTAAATTTGGTTAGACTTTACCGAAGTTGTGTTTATGTGTAGTATCTTTTGAACTTACTCTAAAAAAACCTCTTTCCAATAAAAACGATGAATAAACTAAGTAAGCGAGCTTTGAGATCACAATTGAAGTCCATACTGCGTGATATCCCGCAGAAGGAACTAGAGATTCAATCAGCAAACATTTTACACTCGCTTAAGCCCTTACTCGCCGGTAATGCCAATGTTGGTTGTTTCATGAATATGGAAAATGCTGAAGTCAAAACGATGCCAATAATGCAGTTTTTGATCGAACATAACACTCAAGTATATTTACCGAGATGCACCAACACTTCCCAGAGCAAGCACGTGGTACTCAGACCTGGCATCAACTCGCACGCGCATCTGACGTTCCACCGTATGAACTCCTTCAGCCAAATAACTGCACTACATCCTTCAGGCAAGTATCAGCTAAAGGAACCAGCACCCGAGGAACCACATCCGCTCCCACCTCATCTAGATATTCTTCTGGTGCCGGGAGTCGCATTCTGCCTGAAGAATGGAGCCCGTATGGGCCACGGGGCCGGGTTTTATGATGACTATATTCAGCGTACTTTTCACCATAATGGACGGAAGCCAATACTAATAGGTCTTGCTCTGAACGAGCAGATTGTGGATGACATACCATTGGAAACGCACGATCACCACATGGACTGCATTGTATGCGGAGATGGATCAGTACACTGGTTTCAAAATGGATCAAAACGAAGCTGAAGTCATGAATAAATTAAGTTCGACTATTTACTGTTTATAGAGAAACTACCGCGTCCCTTAACTAGAGTACGATTGCCGCCTTGGTCCATTATTTCTGCTTGCAATTCAACGTTCTTGCCAGACTCTTCAACATTTGTAATTCGAACAACTACGAATTGGTTTGCCAAAGTTGGGAACTTGTAAGATAATGAAATATCCTTAGTTTTCTCTGCAGTAGCATTTTTAGCAAACTTTACAGATTCTCGCATCAAATCTTCCATCACAGTGGCAAGAATTCCACCATGTACTAAGAAGGGGTAACCCGTCAATTTCATTCCCAAATGATATATTCCTACTGTTTCCTTTGATTTTGGATTATAATAAAACTTAGGGGGGATTGTAATTCCTCCGGGTACACTCAATGACTTATTAATCAATGTATTCTGATTGTAATGTGGTGGAAATACTTCAGAATACCCACACTGTTTTAACTGTTTCACAACGGACATTCTCTCCAATCTGCCACTTAGTTGCGCTTTATACTTTTCTAATCCTTCGTCATTCTCTGGAACCTTATCGTACCTCCATGTAGCCACTATGTCTGCAAAGGTCATATGCTGAGTTAGAAACCAGCCTAAACCAAAACTTGCTCCAAAAGTCGCAAATTTTACCCACTTATTAGTTTGAGACCTTGGTCGGATCACAAACTGCTTCCCTGCAGTTGTGTAGGCTCTCACAGGTATCCTTTGTACGACCGTCTTTAGCATTTTAGCTTTGTCACAGTTAGGTGGGAATAAAGGATCTATTTTCTAAATTTTGTTCTTGCAGCTGACTTGGTTCCTGCTAGAACAAGGGAGAAATGCCTCTCAAACTTGAACATTTACTCCTTAATGACACCGATAGGAAATCAATATTTGCAGCAGAGGATAGTGTAACACCGGATGAAAAGGAAGTGTGCGATGATGTCGTTCTCTTATGGAAACAGGAGCCATCCAGCGAAGAATTGGATATTTCCAAGCTTTATGCTAAAATTAAAGCTAGAAATCAACAGTGGGCCCTTCCCGAAGAGCGCTTCAAAACAATTTTGGCAAATCACAACTTGTATAGTACAGATTCTTCGCAACTATTCACGTACGCGGATCAAGTGACTTCGCTAGAAACGCCCGATCTTCCTGATAAGGTGTTAAAAAAAGGCGAAGTGCGTTACGGTTCCAGAGGCAAATCATTATATGCCAAAGTCCATCTCAAACAAGGCGAACTAATCTTCTCTGAACATGATCCTTTGACTCCCATACCGCCTTTAGATAAAACGGCTCTTGCAGAGAAAGGAAGATCCTGTTCTCTATGTGGGCTTTCGCTAACCCAGAGCTCTCACTTCACGATTATGAACGGTTTAGACTGCCAAAACTGCTCCGCAGTGTGGTGTTCTAAGTCATGCAAAAAAATTGATACTACTCATCCATATCTAAAGCATCCCATGTCAAAGAATAAGAAAATTGATGGCGGCGGTTGGTTGAAATTTGAGGCCTTCTGCAAAGAACAAGTGATTACTTCTGCATATTCCGTGGGGCTAATATACGCTAGAGTGCTAGTTGAAAGAGGTGACGGGCAGCGAATTTGGAGTCGATTCAAGTCATTAGCTCAGGTTAGCCAGAAGCTACGAATAAAGGCAGCTGATTCCAGCAATATAGGAGGAACTTTTGATGCTTCCAATGGCTCCCCTCTAGTTGAAAGCAGATCGACATGGGAGAGATGCTTCGATCTTTTTTGTGGAGCTTTCCCAACTGTAGAGTCGGAAGGCATCGATCTTGATACATTCTTGACGTATATCGGAAAGTTCAATATAAATCAGCTGTCAGGCCAGCTTTATACGATATATTCACATCTGAACCACAATTGTGAACCTAATGTTCGTTACGAGATAGACAGCAAAATGGGTTTGAAGGTATTCGCAAGGAAGAGTATTGACGCAGGACAAGAACTTCTAACTACTTACGTAAATCCTCTGCATGGAGTTATGTTGAGAAGAAGAGAGCTACGCGTTAATTGGGGCTTCTTGTGCGATTGTAATCGATGCATTAATGATCTGGAGAAGAGAAAGGTCTCAGGACCATCAGTACATTTGACCATACCTAGCAGTTGCGTGAATACGCAGCGTAGAAAATCCTCTTTAAAAGCAGCTAGGCCCGATCTGTCTGAACTTTTAAAAAACGGCCAGGAATTTGACTTGGAAATTCCTAATAACATAGGTGTTACTTCGAGAAGAAAATCTGTCCGATTTGATGATAAAGTTATGGCTGCAGTTGAAGAATAAATTACTGATTTCATCTATTGTAACCGTATATCGAAAAAAAAAGTTCTTATATAACCCTTCCTGACATTCATGGGTGAAATTCCACGCTCTATAAGATCATCAGCATTAATTATCCTGAAACTTTCATATTAGTTGTTTCTTCAAAGGAGGTTCCTCACTGATTAATGACGCTGAGCCATTTTCTTCAGCTAAAGGCGTTTGGTCGTCTTTTGATGCCGTGTTCGAGCGCTGCTCTGAAAGTGGAATCCTATTCCTTAGGTACCTTATTAACATTGAATGCAGGTCATCTTTGGTAAAAGGCTTCGCTAAGATGTCATTCATACCATGTTGTAGATAAGTAACCAGATCCTGATCTTCAATGTTACCAGTCATAGCTATGATAGGTGTTTGGTTGTCAAAGCTTCTCACTATGGAAGTGGCGGTAGCACCATCTAAATTTGGCATGACAATATCCATCAAGACTAGGTCGTAGCGAAACTTTTCAAGGGTGGAGATTGCAGATAAACCATCAGTCACAACCTCAACTGAGCACCCATATTTCATCAAGAATTTGGAACATAATTGTATGCACACCGCATCATCCTCTACAAGTAAAACGTGAAAACCCGGCCTTAGAACAGGGGGCTCAATGATGTCATTTGATGCAGTGGATGAGGGTCCCGAATCCACGTTTGAATTCGGTTTTTGAAGCGTTATTTGAGTTGGCACAACAGAGCTAAACTCTGGTGACTGTGTTTTGCGTGGTGATTGCGCGTTTGTGCTAGATGCAAGATTGAAATTCAAACCCTGCGGTAATTCAAGACCTTGTTGAGAAAGACTTGTACTCAAAATATTGAAGTTATTGACCAGCGAATCATTTAAGGCCTTCGATGTAAGAAAGCTTTCTAAAACAGTATTGTACTTTGATTGCATTTTCTGGTAACCAAGTTTCATGTTGTAGTTTTCGTTTTTAATTTGTTGTAATTCTTGTTCCAAGGTTTCTACCTTCCTTTTCAGCTGAGTGAACTTACTTTTGCTTACTGTGTTGTTGAGAATTAGACTGGTCGCCGAATCAGGCTCTATAGCACTGCCATCTGCGCTCTGTTTGACTAGGACAGTATTTTCGTCAAGCACTATTTTCTTTTGAACTGCAGTTTTTCTCTTAATACTGTCCAAAGCCTGCTCATCATGAATTCTGAAAAATGGGTGCTTAAATTCCCAGCTATGCTCCCCATACTGTGAATTTTGTTTCTCTTCAGACGTCCTCTTGACTTTATGGAAGTCATACTTGTTAAGCTGCCTCACGAAACTAGCGAAGTTAGAGTGCTTGAAGTGTCTAGGAAGAATTTTTGTTGTGAATTCATTGGTGTCTAGGACGACGAAACTATCCCCATTTTCCGTCCAGCATATTATATTCGTGTATTCGCCCGCTTCTAATATTTTGAAGAGTTTCCTAACGAAATCATTCGAGCCTGTCTTTTGGCTAGTCTTCGTATTCGAGAAGTTGTTTGATATATCTTCTGCCATGCTGTGGTATTAAACCTTGAAAAGGACGTCTTCCCTAAAGACAACCTTATGCCTAAAAAAGAGCCAAGGCTTGAAAATACCTTGTGCGTAAAAATTTCAGAGTCTGAGCTCGTGATTAGAGTCTAGAGACACCTTGGGAGTTACACTTCGCTTCCGTTGTATTATTCCCTTGACACTTTTATTCAATGTTGGCGAAACTTAAATTATCTCTGAGGCTTTTATGATTAACGTTCCAAGTGATAACATCCCACTTCATTAAAATGGTCTAGACCTTTCAAAATGTTCTACACTTTATTTAAGAGTCACGTGACTGTAGCTATCATGACATTCGCATAAAACCATTTTGCCGCCAATATTATTGATCGCTTTCACTTCATTATTTCGTCTCATGATACAATCACTGGATCATCTTCTCTAGGTTATGGTTTATTGTATCCTATTCACAATTACCTAAGTGACATATCGTGCTTTTATTCACATTTGATGCTAAAAAATGAGAAAAGTTGCCTTCAAAGTGATTTTTTAGAAGCATCAGGAAATTTCTGGTAGTAGATTAGCTGGATTTTCCCATAGGCGAAATTCTTGAATCTGTTAAGAGTTTTATTCTCATAACTGCGATGAGAACTCGCGACGAAGACCCTAGTTCGGACTCTCGTAAACGACCAAAAAAAAAATTCCGGCGCGCTTATGATCTCCATGGCAACTTGATGCGCCCTATTGGATTATTGGATTATATAACAGTGATTCTAAAATCAGTTAACTTAGATAATTTACAAATACACAATACGAAGTATCATTGAGATTCTCCTTTTTTTGTTTATATCTCAAAACGACCACTAACAAACTCGTCATCCATATGGTGATCATTTTCGTAATCGACAGGGTCGTCTGCCATCGCTGATTTACCCTGGCTCATATCATTGTCATCTTCATCATCAATAACATCCTCGTCAGGAGGAAGATTGGGGTTACCAGGTATGAAAGAGCCAGGTTCCATAAAGTACGAGTTTTGCAGGAACTTTCTATTGTTATAGTTTGTATTGTAATGCTCTTCGATCGCAGATTCATCCACGAAAGTGAAACCTGCAAACTTAGCTTGCATAGCCGGAGAAAGCGGAGTAGCTGCAATTGGTTGCTTGTTCATATACGAGGTCGAAGTTTGGGTGAACTCAGGATCAAAATTAGACGTATCCGTTTCAGAAACTAGATGAGGCTTGAAGGGAGGTGGTATCTTTTTCTGCCTTAACGCCTCCCAGTCAATATCAGCGAAGAAAGGATGTGCTCTCAATTCTCTACCGTCATCGACAGCACCCAAACGATGTCTTGGGTTCCTGTTGAGCAGTCCTTTGACAAAAGACCGACCCTCAGGAGATAAAACATCGCGTGGGAACTTCACTTTACCGAAGGCTATTTTCTGATACATTTTTTGATTGTCCTCGGCAAAAAAAGGTGACCACCCACAACACATCTCAAAAATAAGAACACCTAGAGACCAAAAATCAACCATCTTTGTGTACCCACTTTCATCCAATAAGAGCTCTGGTGCTAGGTATTCTGTCGTTCCACAAAACGTATTGGTACGATCCTTGAGTTCTGCTTTCGATAGGCCAAAGTCGCATAAGGCAATATTTCCGTTTGCATCTAAAAGGATATTCTCAGGTTTCAGGTCTCTATAAACAATGTCATTATCATGCAAATATTCAAGTGCTAAAACTAGCTCAGCGATATAGAATTTCGCACGATCCTCAGCAAATCTTCCCTCCTTTTGTAAATGCCAGAAAAGTTCACCACCACTCATAAAATCAGTTACCAGATATAAATCCGTGGGAGTTTGAAAGGAAAACTTTAACCCTACAATAAAAGGACACGATTTTGAGGCGGTGCGAACTAGAATATTTCTTTCACCAATTGTATGAGCAATTTCATTTTTCTTAACTATCACTTTCTTGGACAGAACTTTCATAGCATAAATTCTCTTCGAATCTTTCTTCTTAACCTGGTAGACCTGTCCAAAGGTTCCCTTACCTAATAATCTCAGAACTTCGAAATCTTGAGGACCATACTGCCTTTTCTGGGTGGCGGCGTACTCCCACTTCACAAGAATATCACCTGTGACGCTTTCTCCCACCACCCTACTTTGTAGGCTATACCATTGGTTGTGGGTAGCTGCTGATGTTGAGTTTGTGTTGGGACGCAGTCTGACTTGCCCTAAAAACGTATCATCATGTGCGGCATCGTAAACTGAGATTTCAAGCTCGGAGTGTGCGCCCAAAACGTCGAATGTGGTTTGATGATGCCATATAGGGTTTGCGCAATTGGTGTTGGACCCATTTTTTGAGGAGCTTAAATGGTTTAGTTGTGAAGACGATTGACGTGTATACAAAGGTCTCTTGTTCTTCTCGCTGATCACGGGAAGAACACTGCTCCATCCACTGTTACTGTTATTTACGAAGGGCTTGTTGTCCACTGATTCAGGGCCATTCGAAATGAATTCGGAGCTCTCAAAAGTACATACAACGTATGGCTGAGACTGGTTCGACCTTGTGAGTAAATCGCGAGCTTCGACGATCGTTACCACTAGTTGCCCTCGAGCGACATTATAGTGAGATGGCTCATGTTCCATCAAAGATGCTTCTGTTTGATTTGCTGTACCGTTTGCAGGTAAGTTAGATCTCTTCTGAGAGTCTTCTGGGTGCTGTCCCTGCTGCAAAACATGACTGAAGTGCATCTGGGGCTCATTGAACGATTGCTGTTCCGTCTGACTGCTCATCACCTTCATTTGAGAAAGCGCATTTTCAGGTGCTCCAGAAGCAAGACCTGTTGTTCCCATAGCATAAGAGTTCTCACTCAATGCCGTGGTTGGTGTGGCAGTTTGTGATGTGAAACTAGGAAAAAACCCATTAGTTGTTTTGGGCTTTTCAGAGACCTGCTGATTCTTGCCACCGAAAAAATTCATCATATTCTTATTAAAGTAGTATTAGTCTATCAATATGTGAATAGATCTTAAAATTCTCTTGAATTTGTTCTCTATTCTCCTTCTTTACCCTTCTTTCTTGTTTCCCTGAAATTGACCCCTTTGATGTACTAATGACAATCAATAACGTTAAATTCACAAATCAACAGATCTGATGAGAACAAACGTAAAACTTCCAACAGATCTCTCGATGAATTGTACCGAATTCACCTAACGAAAGCCAAAACAGACAGTGCCAGTTGAATGAAGATCGCTCGTGAACTGCTTACTACCCCTTCATATTGATGTAAAAAAAATCTGCAAAAAAAAGAAATATCGGGAAAGAAACAATTTGGTGCGGTGTAAGGGTTCCAAATTACAGCGTTTATGTTCTTCCAGATATTTAACGGACAATGCAGCCAATTCATGCAGCTAATCGGGCATTAACTACTGGCACACAGTCTAGGAGTAAAATATTTTGGGAGTTGTAACCTAGGGAGCTCACGTCAGAACTGCTTGAAAACAAGGGTTCCTTATTCAGTTTAACCTTAAAACCATTAGGCAATGGCGTGCCATCGATTGCTGTGATGCGATAGACGGAAGCAGGAGATCTGTTACCGAATTGCAGACATGATCGAGGGCTATGAACATTCTTCAGAGAAATATTGGTAAAGTACCTTGTATCCAGCACCATTCCGTAAATGTCAGTAGCTCCGGGCGTTAACACCTCGATCCTCAATCTATACCCTGCAAGGGTGTTTACATTAAGTGAATTTGCGGTAACGTTCGAATTTTTCGTCTGTCCTCCGGGGAGAGACGCATCGAAAGCCATTTCGAATGATAGTGTAGTCGGTTTAACGCGGCACTTGCTCTGTGCAGGATCGTACCACCTGTCGTAGAATGGTTGTGTTAATTCCATAGGGGTACTTCCCAGGAGACGGGACGGTTGAATCAACGTTGCAGCATATCTCCAATTCACCTCAAATAACCTGTCAAAGGAAGTCAACATTGGCGATGACATGGTGTTTTTTGAGCACTGTAGATTCTCTAAATTAGGGCAAACTCGGTTTACGATGTCCGGTTGGTACGCTGTAGTACTTCTCGCTCTCGTCTCTACCGAAAGATCTTTGGGAAAGATCGAATTGCTCAATCCGCGAAACATGTGAAACAGCGGTGACCCTCTTTGTGCGCTTAGTTCCCGCTGCTCGACATTCTTTAAATGTCGTTTATAGAGCCTATCGTTGAAAAATCGGTGTCTCTCATAGTTTCGTTTCATCTCCACCGTTAGCCAAAATGGATGGGCTTCGGTACTAAAAAGAACGTTCCCTCGATCAAAATGAAGCTCATTGTTCTCATCAAATAGTAAGTATAAGTATTTTAAAGTCTCGCTCAGCACAAACGTTTCCATACGGTCTTGCGGCTCTCCAGTGATCACATCTTGCAGGCCTGCAAACCCACACTCAGTTCGAAATTGTTTCTTGAAGTTTTGTAGGATGTTCCACCCTATATGAAGATAAAACGGATCCTTGGTGGCCCTATAAAGAAAATACGTTGACTCAATAAATTCGGGTCTTAAAGGATACCACTCCAGGGCGATCGTAGATTTTGCACTCTCATCCAGATCTTTCAACTGTGCCTCATTAGTCCCTTCTTTTTCGGCTATTTGAAAGTTCCATCTCTCTGGAATGCCCCCATATGTATTCCAAAGTTTAAGAAACATAACGTGCTTGAATTTGGCATCGTCAACGTCCCCGCCTAAAACCTGTAACCCAGGAAAGAATGCGCTCAAAGAGTCTATCCAGGGAGTTGCGGTTTGTCCATATTCTGAGTCAATGTTGGAAAAAAACCAGTCCCCCTTTGCATTCACTTTCAGTGCAAGATAGGCATCCTCCCAGACCTGCATTAAATGCTCATCATCAAACAGAATGGCGCCTTTCAAAGCATATTCATAGAAAGAATCAATTGACGCACCTATCCCTGTGAGTTGATTGTATGGTAATGAATTTTGTGGGTTGAATGACATTGGAAGTAGGTTTAGGTCACTTCTTTGAGCCCATGTCTTATTGAAAGCATAGCGCGTAACATGTCTATATTTGTCATCATATGTGAGGTAAGATAGGAGCGTAAACTCAACCATAGGACAAGCCATGGCAACAGGGTTGTTCTCATCTACCAACTCTGGAGATAGGTTGTTAAATTCATGTTTGAGATTAATTCGTGGTATGGGCAATCCGGTTTGAGTCAAATAAGCAGGTAGGAGACGGTCTGCTAAAGCTTTGGCGCTCTCTAATAGGTGACCATCATATCTACTCCCCAGAAAAACCTTCTTGGCGGGATCGGTAGCATACAAATGACCAGAAAGCAAACCGCCCACAATCCTAATGGTGGTTTCGAAAATTTGAATGGTCGAATCTATATCAAAGTCCCTAGGGACGTAGTTTTTAATCAGATTGACGGCATTTTCAAACCTAATGGAATCACCCATTACCGCAAGAGTAGTGAGCGAATCAATTAAAGTCGCAGAGAAGTTACCCAAGACGTCGTTCGCAATTTCACTTGGTGACGTGAAGTTCCTGGTCTTTGGTCCACATTTAATGGGGTAAAGCTCGTCATACGGAAAGCCCAACTTAAGGTAGTTATCAAAAGCAAAATCAAATAGCTCTTTTGTCTCATTTTTGTAATGCTCTAATTCAAATCTATTGAAGGAAAAGGCTTCAAAGGATTTTGAAAAAACCAACCCTATTATCTGCAGTAAGAGGAACACCCAATTGACTCTAGGTGGCGATAGACGCATGCAGATATCTTTTTTCCTCTGTCGCGATGACCTTGGTTTTCACGACCGATCATAGTCTTTTCTCAAATGCAAGAAAAAAAACACGACTCAACATATGACCAAATTTAGAACGGAAGAAGCTCACCAGCAAAGAGTATCATGATCTAATACAGCTCAAGAGTGGCTTTAAAATAGTGCTGTTTTCAAGACAAAATCTCCTGAGAATTTAATTTTGTTCCAACCCAGGTTAGAGTTCTAAAACAAATTGTGTTAGTTTTCGGTTGTAGAAGAGTATCCTACGGCTGTGCATTTCTAACCAATTTAATATGCCAATCTATATCTGATCCATTCGGCAGCGTACCTTACCCTTTCTTTAGTACAAGGCGTGGAGCCTGTCAGTTCAGACACAATAAGATGAACAACAGCGCCAAACTGGGCTATCTTCCTCTAGAGAGTGACTTTTTGAAGTGGCCCTGAAATAATCGCGTATCTTTCTTGCTTAATTTGACACATGGAATTTCTGTTGGAGACTGTGGGATCTGCGTCACAGAATTCGCGCTCATTATCAAGTTCATCGCCTTATTATCTTCCTAGTCCATATTTCTTCAAACTTGAATCCAGTAACTGGAAATTTAGAAGTAGAGAGTATTGAAAACATTTTCACTATCTCTCATGTAATTCCCTAAGTCGCCAACTTACCGCCCTGATGCTAAAACTGTTCCATGGCCATTGCCAAACTTGAAAGGTTTTTCTAATTAGCCGCCAGAAAAAAAAAGGCGACTCATATATTTGTCTGTCTAATATCATGCCGAAGAAGCGTGATACAGTTCGATTTGCAATTAAAGAGAAGGGACCATACGAGATTTCAAATTAGGGGCGAGAGATGTTCTGAGTTTATCTCACTGAGATTCATATCGCAGCGCTACTCCTCAGAACACCCTCGTACGCATATGTATGTTTATTTATATATTTGTTCATTTTTCTTTTGAAGCCTGATGAGGTCCCTTTCTCGAACATGATTTGCGCAGCATAGATGGTAGGACAGCCGCCGCGGAAAGATCGAATTGAAGTCGACAAGCACAGAATCTTAGATATATATTCTGTTTTACGTCAACACTCCAATTATCCACTAAAGACTAGAATATTTAAACGCAACAGGCGACTCGTTAATCTTGAATAATTACAAATTGGTGAATCGAGGAGAAGACTAATCAGAAGTTTTCCATGTAAACTCAATATAATTATCAACTAGTTAAAATTCAATATTTAACTACGACTGTTTGCACCTGTACATTTATTTTCAAACCCACACATCAATTGTTCTGGAGGAAAAATTTAATTTTTTGTTACCCCTTCTTAACAGGGAAAGTCCCTGCCTAGCAGGGCGCGGGTCTCCCTAGGACAGTGCTGGGCAGACGCTCTCCCAGCTCGCACGGGAGGGGCCGGGGCGGCCTCTCTTGCTTGCGCGACCGCGCAGTGCGCCGCGACTCCAAGCCTAGCAGGCCCACTCTGGATGGCAGCGGACGTGGCTCCCTCTTCAAAAGTTTTTGAAATACTACACCTATTGTACACATTGAACTTTTATTTTTTGTTCAACCTTCAGAAATCAATCCATAAGACAAGATGGCTAGAGGCCCGTATGTTAACTATTGTGATAATGAAATTATGTGTCAGACCATTGCTAGTATGCCAGGAGTTGGTATTCCATGTCCTAATGTGCTCGAATGGTGAAAAATGAGCATCATTGCAGCAAGATGTTCGTGGATAGAATGAACCATATTCGATAGTATTTAAATCAGAAATTTGCAAGATAATTGTTGGAAAGATTTTGGACAAGCACTGGGGAATGGCGTTCTCAAAGCAATGAAAGACTAGGATGGTTCACATCGAAAACGAAGAATTAATACTAACTATGTTCACAGAAAGAAGCATCTAAAGAGATTAGCAGCTCCACACCACTGGTTGTTGGACAAACTATCTGGCTGTTACGCCCCAAGACCATCTGCTGGTCCTCACAAGTTGCGTGAATCCTTGCCATTGATTGTTTTTTTGAGAAACAGATTAAAGTATGCCTTGAACGGTCGTGAAGTCAAGGCTATCTTGATGCAACGTCACGTTAAGGTTGACGGTAAGGTTAGAACTGACTCTACCTTCCCAGCTGGTTTCATGGATGTCATCACTTTGGAAGCCACCAACGAGAACTTCAGATTGGTGTACGACGTCAAGGGTAGATTTGCTGTCCACCGTATCACCGATGAAGAAGCTTCTTACAAGTTGGGTAAGGTTAAGAAGGTTCAACTAGGTAAGAAGGGTATTCCATACGTTGTTACCCACGACGGTAGAACTATCAGATACCCAGACCCAAACATCAAGGTCAACGACACTGTTAAGGTTGACTTGGCCTCTGGTAAGATCACTGACTACATTAAGTTCGACACCGGTAAGTTGGTGTACGTTACTGGTGGTCGTAACTTGGGTCGTGTTGGTGTCATTGTCCACAGAGAAAGACACGAAGGTGGTTTCGACTTGGTCCACATCAAGGATTCTTTGGACAACACTTTCGTCACCAGATTATCTAACGTTTTCGTTATTGGTGAGCCAGGTAAGCCATACATTTCTTTGCCAAAGGGTAAGGGTATCAAGTTGTCCATTGCTGAAGAGCGTGACCGTAGAAGAGCTCAACAAGGTTTGTAAACACTTTACGAAGGCATTCCCTTAGTATAAGTTTGTTTCATAAATTTCAAGAAATTATTTCTATGTACATTGTTTCGAGGCCTATCGCTGATAATTAGTTTTTAAAACTACATATTAAAAAGAAAACCTTGTTTTATTATTAACTTTTATCCAATGAACGGATATAGTCTTTCAGTAGCTCTCCTGTGGACTTGCCACCATACTTCATGCAATCAGCATCAGAGAATTTGTAGGTGACAACTTTCTTTTCCTCATTCAAGGCATTCAGAGCATTAATGACATAGGGCTGAATAAAACTGTAAAATACGAAGTGAACGCTTTCGCTCCATCCAGCCTGCAATTCTACGGATTGGACGACGTTTGGAACAGGGAAATACAATTCAGAATTGTGAACTTTGTCATCTCCCTTACATCCGAAGTCATCCAAAGTTGTGTATCCTTTTGTGAAACCTGGCGTATGAATGAATGGACATGAATCTCGCCTTTTGGGCAGTTCGGCTTTCATTCTGGATTCTGGTGGTCCCATGGAAGTCATAAGTATCGCTCCGTTATTCAAATAAGCAGCGACATCTTCGGCTAATGCCAAGGGTATTTCAACAAAGTTCCAGTCATTTGAAAAAGGTGACACGATATATTCTGTATCCTTGGTAAATTCACCCTCATATAAATCGTAACGGATTGATCCCGTGTTAATAAGTATAAACCTAGATTTTGATGAATTTGTCTTCTTTGATTTTAGAAGCGGCAAAACATTGGTCGTGAGAAGGTTGTAAATATTCTTTTTTGAAGTCAATGGCTTCGAATCCATATAGTATGATCTAGGAACGTAGCCTACAACGGATGTAAGATTGAGCTCCTCTCTAATTTCTCCAATTTTGCTTGAAACATTGGCTCCCCTCTCAGTCCTCAGATCCTTTTTAAAATTCACCCCTGAATGATGGGCGAAAGAATCCTTGTTGAAATCAATGTACCTCCGGGAAAACCTTGGGGCTTCACTACGCACATTATCGATAGACAGAAAACCGACTGTCTCTGCGAACCTACCACTTTGAAGGCCAGTGGAAAGTTCATCGAAAATTGCAAAATCTCTAATATGTGAATGACCTCCAAAGTACTGGATGACACTGTTTGGGTAGTAAGTTCTTAATATTGCATGAACTTTGTTGATCTCATGTTCCTCGGGATCCGTAATCGGCATATGACCAAAAACAATAATGACATCGACTTTTTCCTCTGGATATGAATTAACGACTTCCTGGAACCAATCTTTTTGAAGTTCCTCTGCTGCAGGAGTCACTATGGCGCGGGAGTTCGCCCTTTGGAAATTGAAGAGAAATGAAAATGCAAGTATATTGTACCTCAGGTTTGAAGTTTGAAAGAATCTATACTTAGAACCAAAAGGCACAATTTCACTTTCGTTTGTGACAAATTCTACATTGCTCGCAACATATTTCCCTTTGAATTTATCATTCACTACAGTTGAGTAGTATTCGAGAATCGTATTATCCTCAGTATACAATTCGTGATTACCCAACGTAAGCAGATCATAATCTTGTTCATTGAAAATCTCAGTTGATCTTATCCCATTTGGCACGGTTGCGTCGCTAATACCATTGCCATCATGCTTGTCACCTGTATCAATCAGCAGCAGATCATTAGAACCTATCCTCCTCTCTTTAAACTTAGTAGTGAATGAAATGAAATCACCCCAATCAGCACCGTAGTTTGCTTGCGTTAAATGCGAACCCAGCCATCCGTGAGTGTCCGTTGTATGTAGGAAGTTTAGCTCTCCTACTTTAAGGTCTCTGAAATTTCCTTCATCATGTCCCTTTTCTTCGGCGCCATTAAATACAGCTTGGAACTTACCTATTGGTATTGCACTTACAACGGCTATGCTAAGCCAGAAAGCGGTAAGCATGCTCGTTGAGATAATTTCTCAAGGGTACTATTTCGATAAAGTTAACAAAAAATCAATGCGCGCTAGATAGCTTCATTCGAAGAAAACAAAAATTGTTCTAACTGAGGTTCGAACTCAGGACCTTTGCCGTGTGAAGGCAACGTGATAGCCACTACACTATTAGAACAGCAGTGAAATATTGCCGAACTTTAACTTATTTAACGAGTACACTAAGCCTGCAATCTGTGTCATGAAACAATAAGATCTTGAGGTACCTCGGAGATACCAAACTAAACCTCAAACATGAGTGAGAATCGATACTGAGAAATGGGTGAATATTGAGCTAAATGTTGGGATTCCATTTTTTATTAAGGCTGTAATTATTGGTATATGGTTATACTAGAAGTTCTCCTCATCTTTCTAAGAATCCAGAAAGAAGAGTCAATAATTCTACTTACAAATATTCTTACTCTTTCTGTTCCTTTTATACATTTTCACTCATTATCCTATTACATTATCAATCCTTGCGCTTCAGCTTCCACTAATTTCAATGACTGTTTCTCATTCTTTATGTCATCTTAAAACACCGTGTATGATAATATACTAGTAACACGAATACTAGTCGATGGTCGATAGTTGTATTTCGTTCCAACATACCACCCATAATGTAATAGATCTAATGAATCCATTTGTTTGTTAACAACTTGAAAGTTTTTATCGGAAGAGGTTTTGTCAATGTATCAGCAATGTTCTTCTTGGTCTCAATGTAGTATAGGTACAAATTATTGTCCGATACTTCATCTCTGAGTCTCATTGCTTTAGTGCCGAAGAATCTGTTCCTAAATTTCTCTTTATTTTTGGATGTAACTATACTGATTGTAGATCTGCTGTCAGTAAGTAAACATTTGATGATTGGTTTCTTATCTAGTTCTTGCACGAGATAACTTAGATTGTTTAGTAACGGAACGGCTTCACTGACTGCGTGTATTTCTGCTTCTGTGGTTGAAGTACACGTTAGTGATGCTTTTGTTGATTTTCCTCCAATGACTTTTCCATTGAGTAAGAATATGTTACCAATCTGGGATTTGTAATACGGTTGGTTTCCGTACGAAGCATCGCTTATTACAACTAATTTGTTTCCTGATTTCGTAGATCTGTTTTTATGCCATATTAGTTGTTTATCTCTGGTATCCCATATGAACTGTATTAATTCATATGTCATATCTAAAACTTGTTTGGACGGGAATAATATATGTTGTGCGAGAGTGTTGATGTAGTACAGTAGGTCGAATCTGAATTTGTATCCAACGTACGATGCTAGGCCAATTAGCTTTTGCATTTCATGCACCTTCATTCTGTAATCATCTTCTTCCAGTTCTAACTCTTCTTGGTCTATGTAAAGACCAGGTTGCCCTGGAGCGGCAAGTTTCCTACCTCTTGGATTCAAAGGTACGTTTAGGTTTGGTAATTTCTCAGTTAATGAGTTTTCCATACCTAGTTTCATGTACTTACCCCTCTGGTATTTGATTTCTAGTCCAAGAATGTCATATTGGATTTCTTCATTGCTTTCACCTAGGTTTATGATCTTAGTGTCATATTGTCGTTTTAGATTTTCTATAATTCTTTTGTTTGAGTTCAAGTCTTTGCTGAATAGTATCATGTCATCAACGAATAAGCAGATTGTTACTTGACTGTTTTTAAACACACATGACCATCCACGTACTTCTTCCATATCACATTTATCTATCAGATATGACTTGATAGTTTCATACCAGTTTGCACCACTTTGTTTCAAGCCGTAAAGTGATTTTCTCAATCGTATTAACTTGTTGTTCATGCCTAAATGTGGCGGAGGTCTTATGTATAATTCTTCTTTGATGTCTGCGTACAAGTACGCCGAAGATATGTCCAGTTGTGTGACGTAGTGGTCATTGTCCAATGCAAGTGACAGGGATGTCATCAATGCATAATGATGTACAGTGTTAGACTGCATTCCTGAGTCGTACGTATCAGGATGTTGAATGTCACCTCTTGCAACAAATCTGGCTTTGTGTGTTCCATCTCGTTTCTTGTTAAATATGAACATTGAGTTTATCACCTTTTTGGTGTCTATTTCATTTTTGTCATAGTATCTGTTTGTGTCCCATGTGTTCATCTTTAGCAACTGATTAACTTCTTTATGGTATGCTTGAATGTACTTTTCCTTTTCCTCGATATTCTTATTATATGTGATTGCCTCATCATATCTTAAGGTTGTTCGTATAGGTTTGATTGGTTTTGCTGCTTTCACAGCTGCGATCAGATGTATACGTTTCTTTGATCTTGGAGGCTGTAAACTACGCATGTTCTTGTTATTCCATGTGTCTCGTGATACCTCAATTTCAGTTTCATTATCTTCTAATAATCTTTTCTTACTATTGATAGTATCATAGATATTAGATTTACCCATACCACCCAAACTGGAATTAGTTTGACGAGAGTTGATTGGTGGAATTTCTTTAAATGCATCGGGGAAACAGGAAGGAGATTCTGAAGGTAAGTCGGGAAGCGGAAGATCTTCTGTAATATATTCCTTGACATCATGTTCAGAGTAGGTATCTGGTGTAACAATAGGAGCATTATACTTTGGTATCTCACTTCCCTGTGGGGGATCAAATAGTGGAATTGGATAGTTTATCAAGCTTTTCTCGGTAGCCTGATCACTGAACTCTGATATAGTCTTGTTGTTGGTACCACCCAAACATGGTGTTGTGTCGTTTTTAGGATTAGTATTGATTTGGCGATGTGAATCTGAATCGCTCACTTGATCGTGATCATTGGATTTAATCGATTGTTGCGTGACAGAGCTGTGCACGGGGATATCGGTTGATACATCTGATCTATTCATACCACCCGAACAGGTATTGTCTGAATCAGGAATATTGGTTGTGTTATGCCTCTTCTTTGACGGAAGAATATTTGATTCAGATATATTAGGGTCAACTTCTTTGGGTGCACGAGCATTAGTTGTAGGTACAGATTCCAATCTCGTTGGTTGAGTAGGAGTTGATAGCGAACCAGTTGCAATCAGATCTGTGGAACTGTCATCTCCCCGGAGTTCAGGGTCATGATCTATCTCAGATTGAAAATCATGATTAGGATCCATGTGAAGGTCGTAGGACTGTTCGATTTCATTTGAATCAATAAACGATTTATATGAAGCAGTTAGTCTACTTATGTCATCATCAAAGGTAGTGCGTCGTAATTGAATTGGTCCAATCGGGATTGCTTGTCTTGCAGGATAACGTAATTGGTAGTGTCCACTGTCTTCTTTAAAGATGGAAGATAGATAATATATCCATAAGAGTTCCGGGATGGATGTAGAGCGTAGCCAGGAATGCCGCGGGGATGTATTTTCGAATCAGGATTGTGATTATTGACTACCACAGGTTGACCAAATGGTAGTAAAGTACTGATGTCAAGTCCCGCTAAACCCGCGTGTTGCCGTGCAGATTTTTCGTTTTTAGGTGAAACTAAAGAGTTCCTGACTATGGTTGAGAATTCCACTGCGGAAAACCATAAATGATTTGGTAATCCACTGCATTGAAGCTGTGTGCGACAATCGTCTAGTAAAGTACGGTTCAATCGTTCAGCTACACCATGAGCTCGAGAGTCTGCTGTGGTTGTATAGCATGCAGTGATGCCTTGTTGAAGAAGGAATTTATGGAGAGTTTTGTTTGTGTATTCAGAACCACGGTCCATTTGTATAACCAAGACACTGGCCTTGAATTGTCTTTCAATGAAGGCTAGTATTGTGGTAAATACCTCGAGAATAGATTGTTCGCGACGATCGTGTAATGGATAAACCCATTGAAATCTTGTTTTCTCGTCGGTAAATGTTATGAAGTAGGATGGTGCACTTTTTGGCAGGTTATGAACAGGACCGAATATGTCGGTATGCAGATATTGGAAAGGTTCATACGAGTTTTGGTATTTGACTCGTGATCCCTTGACATGTCTGTGTTTAGTACTTTTGCCGATTAAGCAATCTGGGCATTGGTATGTAGTAGCTTTAGACCAATCGACATCTGCTTCCTTTAGATATGTTATTGAGTTATTCTTTAGAGAGTTCCGAATGGTTTGAGCATTAGCGTGGCCAAGCATGCGATGAATCAAAGGATAGGGATACTTGTGCGAGACTTTATCAGTACCGATATTGTTAACTATTGGCATTGATAGGTTCGAGGGAATCAAGTATTTTTTGGATAGCCAGTAAAAGTCCCCATGTCGAACGATAGGGGCAAGTACGGTGCCGTCAACTCGCTCTAGGGTATTTTTGGTAAAACAGGCAGTGATGTTTTGCTTAGCTAGCTCACTCAAACTGAGTAGATCATGAGCTATGTTCGGAGTGTGTAGTACTGTTATTGATGTTTTTGTATTATCTTCAGATTTGAATTGGAGATTACCAATGGCGTTGATTGGTATTTCCTTTTTTTGAGCATCGATTGCGCTTATGTCAATATTAGGCGATGCTGAGTGTATGTGATGAGCGGATCTGATAAGGGTTTGTGATGCACCTGAATCGATAAGAAGATGTCCAGGAAGTTCATCATTTGAATGATCCGTGTGATTTACCTTGGACTCAGTATGTATCTGGCCTAAGGTGAAGGTCATACTGATTGTTCAAGTGTATCGTTTTATCAGGTGATTCGTTGATCGAATCATTGTTCTTGTCAAAAGAGTTATGAGATGTAGACACGTTATTAGTTTTGACCGTTCTTGATTTTGAGTTACTTGCTTTTTGAGAGTTTCGGGTTACAGTCTTGGCTTTGTTTATATTTGAAGAGACTCGAGAAATGTTCTTGTCATCTTTAGGAATCCTTGAGTAACTAGGCTTACGGCGTTCCGATTCCTGTTGATCTTCATATATGGCATGAATGTCCAGGAACAGTTCTGCGATTGTCATGTTTTGGGTGCGATGACGTGCGTAGCGTAAGAATCTGTATTCCCCAGAGAGACCTTTCATAATTAATTGACATGCTAGCTTGTCATTGATAGAAATACCATTATTGTTTAGTCGCTCGATTGTATTCGTGATCTTTGTTTCAAACTCGACTGCTGGTGTACTGCCATTGTAGTGGATATTAGTGATCGTTATCAGGTCGTTAGCATCTTGAGTATCGGTTTTATTTTTCAAAGCTTTTCGAAAGAACCTTCATGATATCTGTATAATCAACAGATAAGATGTCTTTGACCCAAGTAGGTAGCAAATGAGGTGGAGCAAACGTTTGAAAAGTGTTGTACAAGAAGGTTTGTTCGTCGTATGTTACCTGACGTATAGGTCTTCCGTCTGTCGTCGGGATAATGTCACCGAGATTTGAATTTTGTAAAAATTTAACGTAAGTTCTGATCCAATTTAGAAAATCATTTGATGATGTTAAAATTGGTGGTGGTCGAACAGATTTGTTGACGGGTGTCATATCTGACTTCGTTGAAGGTGGCTTGGTAAGTGTGTTACCGGGCTCGGGGGGTGTGGCGCTCAAAGACGTTCCCGCAGTTGGTGTATACTGTGTATACTGTGGTTGTGGCCCAGGTGGATAGTACATGGGCGACATTTGATAAGGTGTGTACGGCATCGTATATGGGTGACCGTATATTGGCCAACTGGATGGATTGGCTTGATTTGTAGTCATCATGCACTGCTGTGAGTACGGGCCATTCTGGGGCAATGGTACTTGAGCAGTGTGAGGAGAGGCATGATGAGTGTTCTCTGAAACATCTGTGGGCACAGGTGTTGTTTCTTGTTGAGAATTTGCCTTAGTGGAAAGCTTATCATATTCGTTGATTTTGGAAGCTGAACCGTCTAATGGATCTTGATTCGTGTGGACTTCTTTAGAAGTAACCGAAGCACAGGCGCTACCATGAGAAATGGGTGAATATTGAGCTAAATGTTGGGATTCCATTTTTTATTAAGGCTGTAATTATTGGTATATGGTTATACTAGAAGTTCTCCTCATCTTTCTAAGAATCCAGAAAGAAGAGTCAATAATTCTACTTACAAATATTCTTACTCTTTCTGTTCCTTTTATACATTTTCACTCATTATCCTATTACATTATCAATCCTTGCGCTTCAGCTTCCACTAATTTCAATGACTGTTTCTCATTCTTTATGTCATCTTAAAACACCGTGTATGATAATATACTAGTAACACGAATACTAGTCGATGGTCGATAGTTGTATTTCGTTCCAACAGATACAAGCTCCCAATCTATAGCTATAAATATTACGAAGTCCTGAGGAAACGATGAGACTAAATAGGAGGAGAACAGGGCTAAGTAGAACTCATTTCATTCGTTTCAAGAAAGTCATAACTAGTCACGACAATCTGCCATATGAAACTCTTATGTTGTTGGAAATTTCAAACCAAAAGTAGTCTCAAAGATATGAGGTTCGCTATAAGCCGCTATCTATAGGTTCAAATATTAGCAAACCCTCAGTTTAACATGGGATTAAGTAGAGGAGAGACAAGAGAGACAGCATTGATTCAGTAATCATTTCATAGTAATCGAGAACGCCGTAATTAGATACGACATGGTCAAAACTCTTTTGTAATAACGAGTGTTAAGTTGTCTTAAGGTAAGTTGTTTGTACAGAATTGAGTCGATGATAGTTCTTATCCTATGGCCCTTGTTTTTTCATTGTATAAAAAATGGACGATGACTTTGAAGGATGATTTACAGATTCATTAAATATAGAACCAAAACACTTTATTAGCGTCGCTTCACTCCTGTTGTAAGTCTTCCATATTGTTTGGAATATTGAATAATTATTTATAAGGATATTCAACCTCTCTCCCCTTTTTGAGCCATATTTTCTTCTTTTTTTTAGTAGTGACATGCTCTACAAATTTCTCGACGCAATTTGCTTTCTTAAACTCTTTGATAAACACTGGATCCCACAATTCTGAGCCTATTCCCAGATCCTTGCAGCATCTCATTAATGCGTTGCTTTTGCATCCTTCAGTAGCCGTTGGTATACCTGATTCATTGAAGTAGTCCTGCTCGCCTCGCGATATGCTAACAAGCTGTCCATGGCAAATCAAAGCGTATTCACGTGTCACCAGTTTCGCAGTTACGATTGTATCTGATCGTGGCACTAGGCCCCAGCCACCAGCACCGAAAGCCTTATTTAAAATTCTCCGGTACTTGATCTCTGGTAGGTAAACCAACCCATCAGGTTTGACTTCAATATCATCTGACGATAAAGGTTTACTAAGCTCTGCTTGTACCTTTTCCTCAAATGGACTCGATCCCAATCCTCTAAAAGAAACAGACCAATCGACGTCACTAGATGAAACAGAAGTATACGATACCGGTGAATTGGTTTCGAGCGTGAAACCCCCTAAAGTTTCCCCGAGCAATTTTTTCTTACTCAAAATTGTCTCAGAACTGTTGTTAAGCCACGCATTGTTATCAGAAGAGGTGTTTGTCGACCCAGAAGGGGTTCCTGAAGTCGTCACGCCAACCGTGCTTCTTACACTTGGAGCCTTTCTCACCACTGTTCCTAGGTAGCGCCTCGTTTGCGCCAATTGTAGCCTTCTTAGCATTCTCGGATAACTTATCTTCTTTGGCTACAGTGGCTTCAACGTTGTTTGACACCCCGTTGTAGTTTCAATATTTCACTCATCATCTAATATCGCATTTTCTAGGATGACATGTACTGATATCATTATGTACGTTTCTTGAATTCACTATTTTTCTATTCCACGAAACACGTAGCATTTTCTCTGAATTTGTTAGCAGTGTCCTGCGTGGAGCTTCGCACAAAATGGCAAACAAGCGTTCCAAGAACACTCAATTGGATGTCGATGACGCGACTTTAAAGTATTCCAAGAATAGAGATAAATTTGAATTTCTTGGAGAGAAGTGGCTATCAAAACCAGCCCCAAACAATGCATCAACATATAGAATTCTGCAGTGGACCATCACAATTATTGCATTAGTGATCAGATTTAGAAAGCTCTCATATCCACGTGAGGTTGTTTTTGATGAGGTTCACTTCGGTAAATTTGCCTCATACTATTTGGAGAGAACCTTCTTTTTTGATGTTCATCCACCTTTTGCCAAAATGCTCATCGCGTTTGTCGGCTGGCTTGTTGGATACAATGGCTCTTTCAAATTTGATGACATTGGTTTGAGTTACGATACATATCCAGCTCCATTCGTTGCATACCGGTCACTCAGTGCAATCCTCGGAACACTCACTGTTCCGATTGTGTTCAATACTTTGAAAGAACTTAACTTCAGGGCTGCCACCTGTGCGATGGGTGCGCTTCTTATCGTTTTTGACAATGCTCATGTAATCGATTCAAGATTGATCTTGTTGGATGCAACGTTGATTATTTCCATAGCGATGTCCATTTACTGTTATGTGCGTTTCTACAAGGTTCAATTGAAAAGTCCTTTCTCCAGTGCGTGGTACTTATGGCTTTATGCAACCGGCGCATCACTGTCCTTTGTTATTTCCACCAAATATGTTGGTCTTCTAACATACGCCACAATAGGCACTGCCGTGGTTGCGAATTTGTGGCAACTATTGGACGTGAGGGCAGGATTATCTTTGCGTCAAGTTGCCAGGCATTTTGTGCAGAGGTTAAATGGTCTGATATTTGCACCTTTTTTAGTCTATTTATTCTGGTTTTGGATCCATTTTGCCATATTAACAAAGTCAGGTCCTGGAGATGCATTCATGTCACCACAATTCCAAGAGACTTTAAGTGACTCACCTCTCGCTAAAGAAGCAAAAGAAGTCAGATACTATGACATCGTAACCATCAAACATAAAGATACTGGTGCCTTCCTTCATTCTCATCTTGAGAAATACCCTCTGCGTTATGAAGATGGTAGAATATCTTCTAATGGACAACAGGTCACTGGCTATGGTCATGAAGACGTGAATAATCAATGGGAAATTTTACCAGCGGTTGAGCTACCTGCTAGGCAGCCCCATCCTTTGAAGCTTAACGACATAATAAGGCTAAGGCATGTCGTTACCGGAACGTACCTCTTAGCGCATGACGTTGCCTCACCCTTATATCCAACAAATGAAGAAGTTACTACTGTTTCTGAGGAGAATGCCAATGGAGCCAATTACCAAGAGACATTATTTAAATTTCAGCCCGCTACAAATGGCGATAGTGAAGGAATCGTGAAGACTAAGGCTTCGTTGTTCAGGATTATACATGTCGACACAACAGTGGCCCTTTGGACTCATAATGACGTTCTTCTCCCTGACTGGGCCTTTAACCAACAGGAAGTGAACGGAAATAAAAAAATAATTGATAGGGAGAACACTTGGTTTGTGGAAGTCATTGTGAACATTGATGAAGCTAGGAAAATATACAAGCCAAAGCCGATAAAAAAGCTGTCATTCTTCACCAAATGGACTGAATTACAAAGATTAATGTTTGAACACAATAACAAGCTAACCTCTGAACATCCCTTTGCGTCTCAACCGGAAACCTGGCCAGGGTCTCTCAATGGCGTTTCATTTTGGACTGATGATGAGAATAAGACCCAAATATTTTTCATTGGTAACATCATCGGTTGGTGGTTTCAAGTGATATCTCTGGCATTGTATATGGGAATTGTCCTTGCTGATATGCTAACTAGGCAGCGAGCAGTTTATCCTTTGAGTAAGATGGCTAGACAGCAATTGTACGGTCCACTTATTTTCCTTTTCGCTGGTTGGGTTTGTCACTACTTCCCATTCTTTTTGATGGGTCGTCAAAAGTTCTTACATCATTACTTGCCAGCCCATCTAATCGCCTCTATGTTCTCGGCTGCCCTTTGGGAGTGGATCTTCACTGATAACAAGTCTTTGGACATTGATAAGGATGAAGAAAACCCTGCCAATGCTTTTGAAGCCAACCCTAAAAATCGTACCATAATAATGTGCGCTTTTTACTCCATGTTGACTATCGCGCTTGTGTGGTTTTTCATATATTTCGCTCCTATCACATATGGTGATGTGTCCTTAACCCCTCAAGAGGTTGTTGATAGGCAATGGCTCAATGTTAAACTGCACTTCGCTAAATGAATTGTTTCCGGTCATACAGGTATTAAACTACATACTTTATAAATCTCTGTATAAGCTCTCTAAACTGATGACATTTAAGAACTAATTCCTTGTTGGGAAGGGTAAGGACCGGTGCATTTTGGTCATCATTCTTAAATAATTTGGTTCGTTCTCAGGAGTAATGTAGCCCTGCCTCATGAGAAACTCGACAGTGATTAAAGCACAATTGGGCTTGAATTCACCGTTTTTCAAAGCTGTGACTGTTTCCTGGAGTGATAATAATTGGAAGCTCTCCACTTCACCATCATTGGGTTGAGGAATAATGTCAGGACCTAATTCCAAATCGTAAAGGTATTCAACCTCTGGGGTAATTAACGAAGATTCCGTGTCAAATTTCAGCAGCTTGTCTGGATTTTGAAAGTAGAAGTATGATACCACACCAACCGGTTTTATGCTTTTCTCGATGATTTCTTTCGAGAGGTTTGCTTCCTCCATGCTCTCTTTCAAAACAGTTTCGTACACACCATGAGGATATCCTAAACCACCCGCAATTATGTTGTCAAGCATTCCAGGCCAGGTTGCTTTGGTCAGAGATCTTCTAGGAATCCACAGCTTGATATCACCATTTATCGGGTCCCTCACAAAGCCATTGACATGAGCTCCGTATGTGACCACACCTAATAAACCAGATGCAGCACGCTCAACAAGTACATATGGCTTTCCCCTGACATATACAGCATATGATTCATCTCTCCACCCTTGAAGATCTTTTAAATTTGATCTATCTTTCAATTTGAGACATAAAGATGCCAGTAACTCGTTCCTTTCTTGAAATTCAGTTGAAACAAATCTCACAATGTGAAGTTCATCCATTATGTTGAATAATTCATTTACAACTGGGTCACCCAAGTCTTTGATCTTTTTTACTACTAGTTTGAGAATGTGACCTAACGTTATTCCATCATGCGATTGAAGGCGGTATACGTTTTCCCGAAAGTGTTCGCTAGTGCAATAATCATCAGGCAGAGCATCAACTTTCTCAACCACCTCTAAAAATGAAAATCCAGCTCTCTCATCATCCTCTGTTCTCTCTAAAATCTCCTTGCCGTTTCTATGTGCCACTCTCATTATTCAAATTGTTGTCGAACGGCCAGTCTCTTTTTTTTTAGCTTTTCACTCTTGAATCGCTCTAGAGAAAATTCATCGTAACTCGCAAACATGTCTGAGACTGTCCTTTCGTTCTTGCGCTATCTTAAGTGCAGTTATTTGAAAGGTTTTGCCAATACTTCACCTTTGAAGATTGTATGCGGAAATCAGTCTGCCGACCTGGATTCTGTTGTTTCCGCGATTTCCTTTGCATATTTCAGCTATCTTAAAGACCCCCGAAATCCAATCCTTCCAGTGGTAAACATACCCAGAAATGATTTAGATTTAAGAAGAGATATTGTGAGCGTACTCAAGCGACAGTCTATTCCTAAAAATTTGCTCTACTTTCAGGAGGATATTCGGGATTTAAAGAGGCAATTTGGTTGTAAGGTAGAGTCGATTCTGGTGGATCACAATGATCCACAGTCGGACCTGAAATTAATCATTGATCGAGTGATTGGAATCATTGATCATCATGAGGACTTAGGACTTTACAAGGAGGAAATTGCACAAAGTAACGGTCCTCGTATAATAACTACTACTGGTAGTTGTTCTTCTCTAGTGTTGAACTACTGGTACGATTTGATTGGTCCAGAGTCTGTGGCTCAAATGAAAGATTCATTTCCATTATGCCTCGGCGCAGCGTTAATCGATACTTCGAACTTTAAGTTTAAGGTCGAGGAAGCCGACTTAAAGGTTTTGGGCATTTACAAGAAATATTTACCAGAGGTTAATTTCGAAGAATACTATAAACAAATCCGTGAAGCAAAGGATGATATAAGTGGTTTTTCATTGAAAAGTGTGCTGAAAAAAGACTATAAGGAGTTTGTTTTCGACAAATCGTCTTCGCCTGTTCGATGTGGTATTGCATCTGTCGTGAAGCCTCTAAGTTGGTTGAGACAAGAATACGGGATTGAAAACATAGATCACACATGTAGTGAACTTTTGAAAGAACAATCACAGGATATCTTTCTGATTCTAACCAGTTTTATCAAAGAGAACACCTTTCTGCGAGAAATTGCTTTTTTCGCACATCCGGATACAATTCACCTATGCGATGAGATTATTTCACAGGTCAGTCCAGCTTTGAAACTCAAACCTATTGATGAAGTACAGGTGTCCTCTGAGAATTGTTTGAAGGCTTTTGACCAGTTAAATGTCTCTGCAAGCCGTAAGCAAATAGCACCATGTATTGAGAGAGCTGTTAGATCATTATAAGCATGTTAAATAACTTAGTTTCCAAGAATTCATCTCTTGAGTTGGCGAAGGCAATTGGCTGTTTTTTTCTTCAAGTTGCTCAATGAAATTTTTGAGAATTGCATCATCAATCGTCAGCTCCTCAAAGTTTTGACTACCTATGTCGTACTTGACATCTTCAGAATTCAGAGATTTGATGTAGAAAACCTTGATTGAGTCCGATTCTGGACGATATTCTGACAATGTTACTCGAATTCCAACTGCAAATATCCATAAAACAACTCGAATGCCACCTTCGCCTTTAAGTAGAAAGTATCTACTTCCATTAGAATTGAGTAGATTCATGATTGAAGAAATGATTGAATATTCGGCAGGAAATTGCTCGATTTTATCATGAGTGCGAAGTAAAACGCTCCACTTTTGTATCCTAAATAACCCGTCCTTATTAAGTTTTCCAAGTATACCTTCACATTTCATACATCTTATAAGGTCTGCAGAGGTCTTACAACAGCAATTTAACCAATTCGCAGAGGCGAGGAAGAATGACTCTCCGACAAGAAGTTCACCGACAAGGGGAGACAATTTACTGTATCGATCATAAAAGGAAGTACCATCTTCAGCGACAGGGGGTTTGTGGCAATGCCAATAGTCCATGAGTTCCGCCCAATATTCAGATGGCATATCATTTATCTTTTTGCAGTTCTTGCTTGACACAAGTAATGCTTGGCATTTTCCACAACAGAGCTCAAAGGGTTGTCTAATTAAATCACTTTTCATCCACTTACCAGTAGCCAAAGACATGGTATAGTTCTTTGATCTATCCAGGCATATTTCACTATGTTCCGACGAGAATGCCCTGAGTCTCAGAACTTGAACGAATCCATCTTTTCGCGGAAAATAATTGGGAGGATACTTAATTGAATGTGGCAGTTGAATAAGCTTCCTCTGGCCCTGAGAACTGTGGAATTCGAGACAATCTTGATTTAAATAGCTTACTTCAAACTGGTAGTCACTTTCGATAACAAGAGTCACCGTGTTAATCCTCGGCAGGTATTCTGCCTGGAATTTCATTTGTACCAGTGCTCGTCAATTAATTTACGGGCAATTAATATACGGGCATCGATTAAAAATTATTTTCTAACCGCGTCATGGAGGAACTTGTGAGCTAGTTTGAAAGTGTAAGTTGAGAAATAAAAAGGCGCTTGCCATGTCTCTCTTCACAGCTCTTAACTTTACTCCCGATGAGGCTTTGCAGGAAGCAGAGCAACACTCCAGAGAGCTACAAATCGAAGAGAGTTTTAGGGTTTTTCAAAGTGCTCTTTTCCATTTGAAAGCCAAGCGGTTCAATGAAGCAGCAGAAAAGTTCAGGCAACTGTTCAGTATCGACGTCATCAAACCAGACAAATGGGGTATGTATAGATTCTCGAGCCCTACGCTAGATTCCTTACGCTACTTGGCTTACAGGAATAGAGGGGTTTTCTACTATCAATATCTAAGGGAGCACTATCAGAAATTGTCACCAGAAGATGTCGTGGATCATATTCTAAAAGTTATTGAGAACTTATTAGAAGCAATTCAACATTGTGATTGTGATGTAGCAGTGGTGGAACTTCTCATAACAATTGCCAAGAGCTTCAGAAGTGAAAAGTTGGAGCGTTATCTTCTTGAGTATGAGATTTTGAAAGAGCCTGAGTTTATTACGACAGTTGCCAGAAGACGGCATATCCTGCCTCAAATGCAAAAATCAATTTATGATCTAGCGCAGCTTCTACAGAAATTAAAGGACTATGAATCAATAAACACTGGCTTTATTCGCGAACTCAAGCACTTTATCCAGGACAAGAGATTTCCAGAAGTCAATTTAGTACCTGTTCTATCTCAGATCAAGGATATGAAAATAAGTGATGAGCATGCCATGACAGAATTGAATGTGGTGGAAATAGTCATTGATGAGGTTAGTTGGGAAGGTATTGCAGAGTCATTAATGGCTGCATTGCCAAAATTCAAGAGTTCCAATTTCTTTGGTCGAATATCTGACCCATATAGTGAGGTAGATGAGCCATTCGAGAATGTAAAGCTAGTAGTGAATGATGTTGAAAAACCGCTCGATAACGAAGAGGTGAAAGAGATAGAGAAAGATACTGCAGCAAAGGAATCTGCTGTTTCTGATCCGGTTAATTCATCCACTATTAGTATTCCGGGTTTGGATTCATCAAAGCGGAATTCAGATACTCAAGAAAGCTCGCGTTCGGTACAAAGATCCAGTAAGCGCTTCAAAGAAAAAACACAAATCACAGATGAACCGGAAGTAATGAGCGTACATCAGTTTTTTTTCGAAGATTTGAATCACATCTCCGCAGAAGTAGATTCCAGCATAAAATTTGAGGTCGAAAAGTTCTCTCCCGAAGACACGCCACGAGATTCGCCGATTTTTACTGCTTTAACTGATTTGTACGATTGTTTAAGTTCATGGACTAATCGTCATAGTGAATTTTTGAATCAAAATGAATCCAAACAGTCGTCTAAATCTTCAGGAGCTGATACGGAAAGCATCTTTCAGCTCAATTCTCTTTTCCGAACTAGTGTTCTAACAAATGACAGCGGTCCGACGCAGTCACTGACTGACCTGCCGACCCAATCAGTGAAGAACTTTATTTCGGAAATGAACGCAAGATGCTCTCACTTTCAAGAAATTCGTCTGAACTTGTTGGACAACTTGCTTTCAACAGATGCAAATGATTTTTGTCTGATAGTTGATACATTTTGGAGCCCGGTTTTGTTTAAGACGATTGAATCGTTCGTTTTAGGCATAGAAACGAATCTTTACAAGATGTTGGATTCAAAATCCGTTGACTCTATTTCTTTCGGACTTTCGGTATATGAGATTTTGGTGAACATGATGGGTGATATTTACACCGGAATTAGCCATAAGAAGCTGCAGGGTCAAAAGAGCAATGAACTAGAAACGCAAAGAAACAAGCTAGAGAGAAAAGTTACAAAGTGGTGTTTATTCCTCGAAAGCGCCACCTTAAGCTTGCGCTCTCGCTTCAGATTTTGGTGGACCAAGTTTTGTTACCTTCAATATACCACTGACATTACTGACAATAAGTTGGTGGATGCATTGATTGACATTGAATCTGGATTGAAAGAAGGTACTGATTGTATTGACATTTCCTATGCCAATTATTCGAATATTCCCAGATTCAATATGAAGATGGTACAGAATCAACTTTCGAGAATAAACATGATTAGAAAAGTGACCACCATTGATATGAATGAAGGTCAAAAAGAAGACACGACCTCTGAGCAGCAAATTGAAATTTTACGAGAAGCGTTAACTGGAGAAGCTACAGAAATCAGTCATCTGAATGATGAGGAAAAATCTATGGTGGATTTCATATTAAATTCTCCTTTTTTACTGAAAATAAAGCTATGGAAAATTTTGATGTCTTATTATAGCGAAAATGATCCGACAAAGCTTCAAATGGTATACTTCAAGATATTGAAAGTTCTATATGATAAAATTTGCTCTGAAGATTATGCCGCCCAATCTCAATTGCAACGTCAGCAAACCTTATTAGCAACGATAAACTCAATTGGATCTTTCACAGATGAATTCTTAAAGGTTTTTGGCGATAAATCGAATTGGAAATATATCGACCACTCTATGCTTTCTCTCAACATTGATTTACTCCTTCATGTTATTTACTTGCTCTATCCAATAACTTTCTATGAAAGCATGTGCCAGCGAGACCACTTTCTCAAATCCTTTTTCAGAAAAGCCGTGAAGTCGTCGGCAAAACTTAAGAAGATTTTCATTGATTTACTCTCCGTGAATTTGTTGTTCTATTATATCTTCTCTAGCGCTCGGATTGATGATAACAAAGACAACTCTGTACTAAATTTAATTTGGACGACTCACTCGCTAACGGGAAAATTTGGTTTTTGTGATTCATCCCACGGCATTCTCTTGAACTTAGCAGAGCTTTTGCTTTGTAAAGCTCCAAATGACACATCATTCATCCAGCTGAAACAGGTATTGTGGTGCAGATATCATCTACTTGTTAGTGGAGATAGCTCTGTGTCCGTAGAGCACACCACTAAGGCAATAAGTATGAGCAAAGAAAGCGCTATTACTATTGGCACATATTTGATAGAATACCACTACGAGGGCAAAAATCCTTTGCTTGCTACTGGCAATAAAACCAACCTCAAGCAAATACTGGATCACGTCGTTCAAGTCATTGGAGATTTGAACTTTAACGGAAATCACATCTTATGTCGTAATCGTTTTTTTTTCGAGAAGTTCTTGGATTCATCGATCAGCACTCGAACACTGAGAAACTCGTATTCGGGAAACCTCTCTCTGGAATTCACCAAGCCTAACGATCATTTGCAAGGTGCGGTAGACTCAGGTGTTTTCTTTGTTGCTGGAGTTCAAAACCTCAATCTTTACAGAATTCGCAAAAAAGCTACGCAAGCCCGCCCTTCGGAACTTGATTCCATTATTTCAATGTTGAAAACAGACATTTTATACAACACTGAAAGGTTCGAAAGCTGGTTTCTGTTGGGAAGGTGTTACTCCTATGTGGTGGAGGACGATCTGATATGGACATCAGATAAGCTCGCATACCCAGAAAAGCGAAAGGGGACGACCTCGACGCAAAGAAAAGCGATCCTATGTTACCTTATGGCTTTGAGTTTATCTCAACAAACTCCTCCACAGCAAAGTGTCAGCCAAGAAATGGATCGAGAGATTATTTTGAAGGACTTATTTGAGACCCTTTCTGAAGAGATGCTGAACGGCTACTTAAAGCCTATGGATAAGTCCTGCTTTCAGTGGGAACCTCCTGCTACGGTGAGACTATGTGAAAACGGAGAAATAATTTCAGCCCCCGTTTACGACAAGCAATCGATTAGTGATTTCAATGTTCAGCAGGGTATTTTCCTAGGTTTTGTGAAAGCAGATGAGCTTTCTGTGAACCAGGAAAGACAAAGGAGTATTCAGAGGAATTGGAAAAACTTGTATTATATTTCCAAGCTTCAATTTAAATTGAATGTCCTCAGTTACGCTGAGAGTGACCATGAAGTGGCTTTACAAGCATGCGAATTGGCAGGTATTGTATCTAAGATTAAGAATCCCATACTAGAGCCTCACTACTTTTTGGTTTCGTCAATTTACAAGTGTGTGAAGTTGGAAGCTTTGTCCGTGCCCAGGGCACTGGACGTTTTATCAAAGAATAATACATTTTTTCAGAAGGACTCTTCTTTCTGGGAAGTGACCCACTCTGAAGAGAATAACACGTCGGAATTTAACCTCAAGATTATTGATTTATTGAGAATAATCTTGAGCCATGATAAAATGAAGTGGCATCATCGTCCTAAATATAGGATAGCAAGGATCTTGTACGAAGATATGAAGGACCTCGAAGGAGCAATGGCAGAAATGGATGACTTGATGTTCTTGAAAAGCAGCAATAAGAATCTAGTCAATATATGGAAACCAGATCTCGAAAGGCCAGGGAAGCACTTCGCATATACATATCAGTACGTCATGTTCTACCTGGACATGCTCTTCTGCAGTGAGGACTACGTATCAATCGCTTTAGTAGCGAAGAAGCTCAGAAGGTTTGGCCCCGGAATGATCAACGTCAGTCAGGCGACAGAACGAGCTATGAGGCTTTTCTGCCTCTGTGTTCAGTCGCAATTTCAGGTCAATGAAAAGGAATATGCGGATAAACTTCTACCATCTTTGAATTATCAGCTTTTCCTCAAAAATAGTGCTGATCTATTTCAAGCGTTCAACAAGGCAGAATACGATCCCAAAGTTTTGGAAGTTCTCGCACATGCTTATCAACTCAAAAAGGGCAACAACGGCTACGATGGAATATGTCTAGCCATCTACTTCAAGTTTTTATATCTGCCATTCGTGGAAAAGAAAGAAGCTGCAAAAACGGCTACACCTGCTTCGAATATTAACACTGAAAAGGATGCTGGGACGGGATCCGGGCATGTGAATACTTCAATGAAAGTTAAGGGTAATAATACTCGAAAGAGAGTTAGCAAGAAAGATGCCTTTGATAAAATAGCTGGAATAGTTGAGAAAAAGATCACGTGAAGTCAAAGACATGGCTTATTTTTTCTCTTTTTTTTGCATGGTGATTCATATAGCATACATAGAAAACGAGCGAAGCTGACAACTAATTCATCATTTTTGAACACTCAAAATAAAAACGTCAAATATGAGCTCTAAAATAGTTAACGTTGCTGTTATCGGTATGAATCGGATACATTTCCAGGAATATCTTCATTGATAGAGTTTACTAACGACCAGCGTAGGCACTGGTGTTGTTGGCTCCGCATTCTTGGACCAGCTTTTCGCCATGAAATCCAAGATTTCTTACCATGTCATCATGATTGCCAATGCCCAACATGCTTTAATCTCTAAGGACTATTCACCATTACAATTGGGCTCTAAGTGGGAGTCTGAGCTTGACAAGTCGCCAGAATCTCCTTTGGCTCTTGAAACTCTTCTCGCCTTCTTGAAGAACTCTCCTGCACCAGCTATTTTGGTTGACAACACCTCCAACGAAGCGATTGCCAAATTTTATCCTCAATTTATTGAGGGTGGCATCTCCATTGCTACTCCAAACAAGAAGGGATTCTCTTCTGGTTTGGAATTGTGGAACCAAATCTTCAGTGATAAGCCTAACGCTGGTTTAGTCTACCATGAGGCAACTGTCGGTGCTGGTTTACCAATCATTGGAACCTTGAGAGATTTGGTACAGACTGGTGACAAGGTCGAAAAGATTGAGGGTATTTTCAGTGGTACTCTTTCTTACATCTTCAATGAATATTCCACCACGTCTTCCAATGATGTCAGGTTCTCTGATATCGTCAAGATCGCTAAGAAGCTCGGCTATACTGAACCTGATCCAAGGGATGACTTGAATGGACTAGACGTTGCTAGAAAGGTCACCATCCTCGCTAGAATCGCAGGGTTCAAGGTAGAGTCCCCAAGCTCATTCCCAGTTCAATCATTGATTCCTCAGCCGTTAGAAAGCGTGGCTACAGCTGCTGAGTTTTTGGAGAAATTGCCTTTATACGATGACGATCTGAAGAAATTGAAAGATGAGGCTGCAAAGGAGAACAAAGTGTTGAGATTTGTCGGTAAGGTTGATTTCCCTAACAACTCTGTCTCTGTTGGTATTGAAAAGTACGATTACGGTCACCCATTTGCTTCTTTGAAGGGTTCTGATAATGTTATTTCTATCAAGACTGAGCGTTATGTTAACCCATTAGTTGTCCAAGGTGCCGGTGCCGGCTCTGCCGTTACAGCTGCTGGTGTTTTGGCAGATGTTATTAAGATCGCTGAAAGAGTTTAAAGCGGTGAATGCTTGATTTTTTTAAATAGATACATACAGTTATCGGTCTTCAAGTAATAGACAATGCAATTTTGAGATTATTGATGAATTCTTCATGTCTTGGAATGTAATGGCCTTAAGCCTGTGAAGTCGTCATCTGTATTGTGTTCTAGCCATCTTTCTTTCGCCTCCAAGAATATGATTCTGAGTTTGTCATAATTGAGGCAGGTTTCCCTGAAATCTAACATAACTTTCTGTGAGTCTAGAAAGAACTTCGGAGAATTATGCCTTTTGCCGGTGATGTTACCAATGTTGACCCTGGAGAGATGATTGTTGTTTGGAGCCAGAAAGAGATTGCCATTTTCTCTGATTTCAGCGATATATGCACCAGTGCAGTGAACATACTGGATGAATTTAAACTTTGGTCTTCCCCACGAATACATAATTTCATATTCAGTATCGCTCCGCAAAAATTTTGAAGCACGGTTGTCAACCAAAAACCCTGACTTTTCTAACAGATACCTGTGATAATAGTACTTGTTTTGTAACATTATTTGGCTGTTTTCGAACTCCAAATCGTCCCAGGGGTTTATTGCCAAAGTGATATCCACAAAAGAATGAAAAGGGTTAGTGAGAGGTATGGTACACAATTCATCCCAAGGAACCTCTACCAATTTTAATCCGTATCGCTCACAAAGTCTTGCCCAATTATTTATCAAATCGTCGATTAGTTTAGGAGTAGCAGTAAGCCATTCCAGTCTGATGTGGAAGCAATGATCGGGATTGTGAACTCGATCATAATGCACTCTACATGTCTCAGACTTATATGACTTCCCAGTTGGATCAACATTTATTGTTAAAACATTGCTTAAGAGAACCGTTGTCTTGCTGACTTCCTCCCTGTCATCTCTTTTTGATGCCGCAGCGCTATTTTGCTTCGAAACAGAAGAATGCAAGGCAGAACTTGCAGAGTCTGATCTATTGCTTGCAGAGCGGCCTCGCTTACTAGACTTGTTCTCGGTGAAGCTTTTTGAGTCCACCTTTGACTTTTCCTGAGACTTGGACTCATAAACATATGTAGGAGAAATCTGATAAAAGTAATGTCCATCTAAGAATCCGTGCCTATTCTCAACATGAACAAAGAGTCCTTTGTTCATTAGATTTTGGCCATAAAGAACTGCTTCTTCGCGCGTGTCAATGTCTGAATAATGTTCAATTATCCAATTCACCATCTCTAAACCAATAAAACAGTTTTCATGTCTCTTCCAGTGCCATTTTCTATTCACTAGTTTCAAAGGAGCCTTACTACACTGCATTTCATAAGCTAACTTAGAAAGGTCAGAATCTTTGTTTAATCTATCTCCTTCATCAATAAAAATTGAATCCTTAGTAGTTGTTCCAGAAGTCTTCAATATTTCCATTTGTTCGTCGATGAAATCAAATAGCGAGCCGGTATAGAAAAGAACCTCAGGGAAAATTTCGTCTTTGGAAGATTTGCGATCGCTCTTTTCTCTATCTGTCATTATTCTTGCCCTGAAAATAGAGGATATAACACGCCTTAATCCTTCCAGTCTAATTTCCTCGGCACTTAATGTTTCTTTGCGACCATTAATAGTTGACGAAAATGTATTTGGAGGAACTTGAGCAGGCAAGATTACGAATTTCGACCTGAATTGCTTCTTATTTTGCTCAATAATTGAATCGCCATAGCCGGCAAGAACTTGATCGAGCTGATTCCAGTTGCATGACTCTCTGTTGCGCCTTAATGGATCCATCATGGTTTCCCGGTATTCCGTTTCATATCTCGTTTTTATTTGCGGATTATAGCTTGCTATTGAATCTGATATATTTCCTTCAGCTTTTCGAATATGTCTTTGGACTTCAATGGTACCATCGTAACTGCAGCCTAATCTGTGAATTTCGTTGTCGATCATCAAGTATATTTTTGCGCTCATGAAATTGTCTTTCGACAAATATTTCGCAATATTAAGGTTGCCCTTTTCCTTGGTTTTGGAAGCTTCAATTCTATTGACATTTTCACCAAGGCATATTTGAAATCCAGCTAGAAGGCGGACATATATCATATCTCTCAGCAAATCAAAAGTTGTTTGATTGTTCAATTCTTGATCAAGATTTAAGACGACGGAGTGGTTAGTAAAGCTGAAGTTGCTGTCAAAGTCGTGCTTAGTCGGAAACGTCGAGAAAGTTACTGGCAGATCTGCGGGCATTGTTAGTGACCTCCACTTACTATACTTTTTCATGACGAATTTTGGGAAAACATCTTTCCAACGGGCAGGTATCAGTAGACCTGCCTTCTCGGCGCTCACTGGTGTCGATGGATTATTTATTTCAATCCAACTATGATGAAATGTATGATCTGATCTCATGCGTGCCGAACGTTCACTTAAATCTGGTAAAATTGGTTTCTTCTCCATCGACAAGGAAAGTCTCGGGGAGCCATACACTGAAGATGGTTGAGAACGTGACATTTCGAAAGGCAGCTTCGGGCCCCCAAAAGATGACAGATTTTGTTTTAGCACCGGGATACTTTTTGATGCTACTATAGAATTCGGGTAGGAGTCGTTGATATTTTGAGTCATCTCATGCTCTTTACTGACGCTTGTAGGCAGGCTATCAACGCTTCTCTTCGTTTTGAGATCGATATCGGGAATAATTTTTGACACAATCCTTTGGGTGAAATTGGAAACAGAGCGCCCCTTTGTGACGCTCCTCAAGGTATCAACGGCAAGAGACTTGCTCCCCTCTGACGACAGTTTCCCCCGATGTCTCTTTTGAGTAGTTTGATGAAATACAGTAGCCACTGTTCCCTGGTTCGATAAATCTCCAAAAACTTGGGATATATCAGATGTTTGTACCATTGGAGAAGCTGATTTCGGTGTTTTCCATGATAAAGAATTTTTCTTTTTGCCTTTTTCCCTACTATCCTTAGCAGTTCTCTCTTTACTTTTAATGAAGTCCGAGGATATGGATGATCTGTCGTCCCTATTGCGTAGGATCCTTTGATCGGTGAAAGTGCAATGATCATATTTACTCATGAATTCGGTGATCGACTTCACATCTGAAGGTACAGTCATATGATCGATAGCTATTTCGCCCTTCATTTCTGTTTCGGTCAATCCCATCATTTGTAAATCATGCATTTTGCATCTGGGATGCCATTCATGTTGAGCCTTTGAAGAATCATTCCAGAAAGAAATACTGAGCCATGTAGGAGCACAATATCTCAACCTATTGTCATAATCTCTGTATCTTAGTAAAGGGACTATGTGTAAGGGAGCCCTGGTTAAGCAGATAATATCAATGGTCATTTCGATTGATAATAATTTTCGGCTCGTTTCTTTTAAAAGGTCATATTGAACATCATAAAGACCCGATCCTGGGCTAATTAGTATAACATGAGTAGTGGTACGTCGAAGATCCGGCTGTCTGAAAGGATTGGTTATCAATGTAGCTGCAAAGCAAACACTTTCTAAAACGTTCGATTTTATGACCGGGCAGAAACGACCTCTTATGATACTATTACCATCTTCTGTTTTGACATTCTTCAGATCCTTTGCGATATTCATAAATTCCCTGCGAAGAGTTTTCATAATTTCACTCCAATGGACGATGTTCACCTGATCAACAACTATGCGGTAATAATCTTTTGTGTTGCTTAGTCGTTCGCCATCCGCGATATCTCGGAAAGGAACGTCTGATAGATCTATACTAGTAGAGAAGACAATTGTAATAACATGATGGGTACCAATTGCTTTCCATTTTTTGAAAATTTTGGGAAACAAAGAATTAACAACCTTATGGAACATAATTTCGCCATTTTCCTCAAAATGCCACATTTCGTCGGTTATTTGTATTAGGAAAATTAGCCTAGCAGACTCAGACCGAAATATGATTCTGGTATTTTCACCAATGTAACCTGATAAAAGTTTCTTACCATCGCGATAAATTCCTTTAACTGTAGCCCTCACAGTTTCTAGGAAAACTATTTTTTGGTCACTGAACACACATGTATTGACCAGCTGCGAAGAGAAAACCCACATGTCTCCCCTATTAACAAGACAATCTTTGACATTCAATTCAATCAGGTCGGCCTCATACTGCTTTTTACTTTTGATTTTGATCCACACTTTGGATCGTGTTGGTAAATCCAATAATTGTTGTAGCTGACCAGACAAAATCGAGACCTGTGCATTCTTATACCTCGACTTGAAGTCGCGGTCAAAGGGTTTCACTATAAAGTATATTTTCTTTCCTTTATTACCAGGAGCGCCGCGATATGTTTTAAGCTCTACCAGGTCTCCTTCTTGAGATCCAGGGACCTGAGAAGTGTCGAGCATAACCAGCTCTTCAGAAAATCTAGCCTCATGAAATCCCAATTCCAATTTGTAAGACCTTCTCTTGAGTTTTGATTTCTGTCCGTTAGTCTGAGTGTCGTAATTGCCCATAAACGCCTCCTTTCCATTTCCATCTCCATGATCATCTTTCGTCGAATATCCGTCAGAACTTTTCGGCTGTGTTGATTGCCCTCTCAAATGAGATTTGTTGTTGAGAGCCCCTAATTGGGGCTTTCTCAAGCGCCTGAAGTTGTTGGGCCCACCAATAATAAGTGTGTTATTCTCGATTTTCATGTTATCATTAGCATCTCCGCTGGTGTTAGTGCTTGATAGGGTCAGGCTAACGCTTCCAGTGCTGTTTTTAGCCCTCAAATTATTACTTGAGTCATTGAGTAATCTATTTCCTGATCTCAGACCCTTAAACTTGGGTCCATCACTTGACATAGGGTTTCCTATAAATGACGACGTCGATATTTTACTTCTTGTCGCTAATTTCGAAATTATAAGGGAAATCTGAAATGTATTTCATCACGTGATTTGGTCAATAAAGCAAGAATAGCTCAGGCAGTTTATTCTATGTCCAGAAATTTCTAGTTCCTCAGAAAAGCTCAAAAAGTCCTTGTTCTAAAGTCAAATTAGGTTGCCAATGCCTGGTTTATAATTTTCAATTATGTTTATTTATTTATTCAAAAGTCATCTTTCGTCAGAAAAAATCAATTTCAGTTCCAACATAAGTAGACGGTGAAATATTTACAGTAATAACACAGTTGTTTTTATCTCAACATTCTTGAGGCTAGCCATGCAAGAAATGATTCTATTAAACCATCTGATCTATACAGAACCTAACATATTTTACAAAAAATAACGCCATTGAATGCTAATTGGCATTGTTCTCTTCTTTTTTGGCATTGGTCTCCTGTTCTTGCCTTAGTCTCTCTTGTCTTGCCTGTTCCTCTTCCATAGACAGGCGTAACGCCAAAGCCAGTTCCGGGTCCATCGAGGGATCGACACCAAAATCCATGAAATCGTCACCTCCTGCACCAGGCTGGTTCACAGCACCGAAGCCAGACTCAGCTCCTTCTTCGAGAATAATAGGAGAGGATGCGATGTGCTCGTATAATAACCTTGGCCCTGGTGAAACTGTGAGCAGATGACTGCTTTCTTCCTGTGAGTTATTAACTGCCTGTATGAATTCCTCAAGGATCCCTGTGTTTGCAGCAGTTTCACCAAAATTGACGATGTCGACTGCGATTCTGTTCTTCTTCAGTTTCTTGGCAAGCTTCAGCAAATCCTCCTTGTTGTCAGATACCGGACTACACACAAATGCCACAATCCTCTGATGCTGAACTTTATTTTGACGATGCTTCAAGGTGAGGGCAGCGATTTGAATCGCAGTGCTAAGGTGGATGTTTCCACCGATAGTTGTGTCGTGTAATCCCGATAAGATCTTACCAAACTCTGAGGTGAAAGTAGATAGCACTCTTGGATTCGAACCTGCGGCGGATATTAACCCAACAGTGTTTTCAGGGTTGCTGTTCCTTTTTGCCTGGAACAAGAACTCTACTGCATCAATTTGCGCTTCAAATCTTGTCCTTGGAAAGTCCCCATTTCTCGAATACTCTGAGTTGTCAACCACTAGAACTGTAGCTTCCAGAACCATCTTAATAACCTTTCTCGTGTGCTCTCGACACCTTGGTGGCAAATGTAGTGGATATTATCTAGTCTTTTTTTTTGCGTGTACGGGTAACCCCAGCTTTTTGGTAAGTAAATATACAGAAACTAGAAATAACATTCAAATTGCTTCCCCCTCCAATACCAACCAGGGAGCAGATGGCATTAACAGCTTCAAAAAGACAAGAGATCAAGACCGCATTGTTAGCTAAGTTTCAGGAAAATTGTATGTATAGGTCCCTGGATTAATCACGAGTTTACTATTCTTTCAGCAACTGACACAAGCGTAGACGAAAAAGCGGTACGAGAATGCTTCGAAGTACGGGAGACACAGTTCCTAAAGTTGACGAAAACGGCGGAAAAACTCAAGAACATGGGAATTGAGACCTCGAATAAGACCATTCATGAGACGTTGAACGATGAGCGGCAGGGAAATGGAGGCTCGTAAATGCAGCGGCTAGCCGCGGAGTGAAATACATGGAGAAACACACGTGATCTACACGATACTAGGAGACGAGATCACGTGATATTTTTATAGCTTCCTAAACATTGTGGAACCACACATTTGGTGGAGATTCGTGATAGGCCGTGAAAACTGGGAACGGCAGAAGATGCCACAACTGTGTGGTGAAGAAAATTAAAAATCGTGTTAGTGGGCCATATATAGGATATAAAAAAGGCCTGGAATTGTACAGCGGAAAAGGTAATCTAGTCTAAGTGAGCGCAGTTATTTTCCCCTAGGCGCCGTATTAACGCAGACTACACAAGAACACAAGTTCTAGCTATTTATAAAAGAGGGACGTAACATCATGACGTTGACTAACTCTGCTCAGTATCTGGTGAACCTTGCAAAGAATGTTGATAAATCCAATATTTACTATACGACTGGGGCGAAATCTATTTATTCCAAAGGTTCCAAGGTTCTTGCAGCTACAGAGGGAGCTATTCAACTGCTGAACAATCAAGATCCCTTTGCTACCATTTCTGATAATTTATCTCAAGAAGTTCTTTCAACCGTGTTTACGGATGAATCGACTCTTTTAAGTGCCCTTCCTCATCTATACGCCTTGAAATCCCATCCAATAGTTATCAATGTTGATCTACGGCTGCAAGATTACTCTATTATTCCAGCTTTGAAAGATCTCGGCTACGTGACGCTGATTTCCAACAATGCGTCAGACGTTGTAGAATTGGGCGCAAAAGCGACACGTATTGCTTGTCAGATGTTAGAACCGGTCTTTCATTTCATTTCCTCTTTGGAGATCACTATACCACAAGCTACAGAATCTCAGGAGAACTCTGTGGCTGAAGAAAGAGTTTTTGAACTTTCGGATGTGACCGCATTAGGAAATTCCTCTTACACTTCTGGATCTGCAAAACCAACAGCTTTAATTGTTAATCTCTCACCTTACGGCGGAGAGTTTTCTAAGAATTTACCATCTAATGCCGCACTCCTCGAAATTAATGTCTACAGACCGTTTGACATAAGTCAACTACTTGAGTCTGTTCCTACTTCAATTAAGAGGATTGTGATTGTTCAAAGAACTAATGCCAAATCTATATCTGGGGGATTTGAACCAATTGTTTTGGATTTTTTTGCTGATTTCAACAGACTTGTGGAGCGTGGTATCGAGCAGGTTATCGTATCTAATGTCGGAGAGCTCAGTAATGTATCTGAAGCGCTTCAGCAAATTTTGTCCAATGTCAATAGCGAAAAGCCAGATCTTTCTCTTTTCTTAGGTTCGTTTTCGAATAACGAAAGTGTCAGCGAGCTGACTTCTGCCATCAGAAATGTTATATCATTAGAAGACGCCTATTTAAAGGTTTTGAAGCAGCTGTTTTCTTCCAACTTACAAGTACTAAATCAATACCAAGAAGCGGACGTAAATGCCACATCTCCAGCGTACGGATTCGGTTACTTCTTGAAGCAAAATCAAGCAAGGGAAGAACTAATTTCACTTGTTCGCAAGTCTTTAGACACTTCTCTTTTCTTGACCTCTGAAGCATGCCAAATAGTGAAGCTTTTGTCGGAGTGGTTGTCTTTCAACGACCAGAACTTGGATGATAAATCCTTGGAAAAGGCGAATGCAGTTGCTGCCGAAGTTTATGCTTTGTTAGAGCAGACCACTGATTCGAAGGCCGCTTTAGATATTTTGGAAAAGGCTCCCTCCGTTGATCACTTCCTATTCAAGTCAACTTGGTTAATTGGTTCGGATGCATGGTCATATGATTTGGGCAATTCAGGAGTGCATCATGTTTTGGCTTCAAAAAAGAATGTCAATATTTTGATCATTGACTCCGAACCTCAGGAGAAGGTCAAGAACTCACTATCAAAGACTCGGAAAAAGGATGTCGGTTTGTATGCTATGAATTTTGGCGATGTTTACGTCGCATCAGTTGCAGTTTACTCTTCGTACACTCAACTGCTGACTTCCTTACTTGAAGCTTCTGCATTTAAGGGTCCCTCTATTGTTTTGGCCTATTTGCCCTATGGCTCAGAAAATGATACCCCACTAGAAGTCTTAAAGGAAACCAAAAATGCAGTGGAGTCTGGATATTGGCCATTGTACAGATATAAACCTGATGAAGAAAAATCAGAGGACTCCTTCAAATTAGAGTCTTCTGTTATTAGGAAGCAATTGCAAGACTTTTTGAACAAGGAAAACAAATTGTCCCTACTCTCAAAGCGTAGCCCAGAACTTGCAAGAAATTTGAAATTCTCTGCTAGTGATAAGTTGGCTGCCAAACAAGAAAGAAGAGCAAAGGCTGCCTACGACCAGCTTTTGGAAGGATTATCAGGTCCTCCTCTACACATTTACTTCGCATCTGATGGTGGAAATGCAGCCACCCTTGCCAAGAGACTGGGAACAAGAGCTTCTGCCCGTGGTCTAAAGCCAACTGTTCTATCCATGGAGGATGTCGATCTGGAAGAATTGCCAAGTGAGGAAAATGTCATTTTTATTACATCGACAGCTGGGCAAGGTGAGTTTCCTCAAGATGGTAAGAACTTTTGGGATGCTTTAAAGTCCTCTAACGATCTTGATCTTGCAAGCGTGAACTTCGCTGTGTTTGGTCTGGGTGACTCTCTCTACTGGCCACGTGCAGAAGATGCCCATTATTACAACAAGCCTTCGAAGGATTTATTCAAGAGATTGGAGCTTTTGTCTGGTAAACCATTAATTGATTTAGGTTTGGGTGATGACCAGGATGCGGACGGTTTTCAAACGGGGTACACCTCGTGGGAAGCACAGCTTTGGGAAGTTTTAGGAGTTTCAGGAGCATCTGTGCCTGATGAACCTAAACCTATCACTAATGAAGACATTAAAATTGCTTCTAATTTCTTGAGGGGTACAATAGTCGAGGGCTTAGCGGATGAATCGACTGGTGCCATATCGGCTTCTGACCAACAGTTGACTAAATTCCATGGTATCTACATGCAAGATGACCGTGATATTAGAGAAACTAGGAAGGCGCAGGGTTTGGAGCCTTATTATATTTTCATGAGCAGAATCAGATTGCCAGGTGGAAAATCTACTCCTGAACAGTGGTTGATTTTAGATGAACTAGCTGATACGACCGGAAACGGCACTATCAAGCTCACAACAAGAGCAACATTTCAGCTTCACGGTGTCGTGAAAAGAAACTTGAAACATACTATTAGAGCTATGAACTCGACTTTGATGGATACTCTAGCTGCCTGTGGTGATGTCAACAGAAATGTCATGATATCTGCTCTTCCAGCCAATGCAAAAGTTCATCAGCAAGTTTCGGAGGTTGGTGCTAAAATTTCAGAGCATTTGTTACCTCAGACAACCGCTTATCATGAAATTTGGTTAGAAGGGCCTGATGAAAGGGACAATGACCCATCATGGCCCTCCATTTTTGAGTTTAGAAAAGAAGGTCCTACCAAGAAGAAAACTCTCGTAAGCGGTAACGCTTTGGTAGATGTTGAACCATTATATGGGCCCACTTATCTACCAAGAAAGTTTAAGGTCAATATTGCAATCCCACCATTCAATGATGTGGACGTCTGGTCTAGTGACGTTGGATTGATTGCCATCGTTAACGAATCCACTGAGGTAGTTGAGGGATTCAACCTATATGTAGGTGGTGGTATGGGTACAACTCATAATAATAAAAAGACCTATCCTAGAACTGGTTCGTCGTTTGGATTTGTTTCCTCGGAAGATGTTCATATTGCGATTGAAAAGGTAATGATTGTTCAAAGAGACAATGGTGATCGTCAAAATCGTAAGCATGCTCGTTTAAAGTACACCATCGACGACATGGGCGTTGAAGACTACAAGCAAAAGGTTGAACAACTCTGGGGTAAAAAATTTGCTCCTGAGAGGCCTTATGAAATTAAGTCAAATATTGATTATTTCGGATGGGTCAAGGACGAAAGGGGCCTGAATCATTACACTGCTTTTATCGAAAATGGTAGAATTGAAGACACCCCGGATCTACCTCAGAAGACAGGTCTAAAAAAGATTGCCCAATACATGCAAGAAACAAAATCTGGCCACTTCAGGCTTACTGGTAATCAGCATGTGTTGATTGATGATATCGAAGATCAACATCTCGATAAAATCAAGAGTTTGATGAAGCAGTACAGATTAGATAACATCGACTTTAGTGGCTTGAGACTATCTTCTGCTGCTTGTGTCGCTCTCCCTACTTGTGGTTTGGCAATGGCAGAATCTGAGCGTTATCTACCAGTATTGATCTCGAAACTTGAAGATGCTTTAGAGGAATATGGTCTACGTCATGATTCAATTGTCATGAGAATGACTGGTTGTCCAAATGGTTGTGCACGTCCTTGGCTTGCTGAAGTCGCCTGCGTTGGTAAGGCACCTGGAACCTATAATCTAATGCTTGGTGGTGGTTACCATGGTCAAAGACTGAACAAACTTTATAGAGCTTCTATCAAGGAAGATGAGATTCTAGGAATCTTAAAGCCATTGTTCAAGAGATGGTCCCTGGAAAGAAATGATGGCGAACACTTCGGTGATTTCTTAATTAGAGTTGGAGTTATAAAGCCTACCTTAGAAGGTAAATACTTCCACGATGACATTGCCGAAGATGCCCTATAATTATAATTTTAGATATTTATTACGTTATTTATTATGTGCTCCGAAATCTCCCATTTTGTTCATCGTACGTAGTAACAGTTTTGGATTATTGGTAGAAGCTAACTTCCAATTGAAAGGGAATTAGTAGGGCATTAACAGTAAAGAAAATCAGCAGGACTTCAGCTTAACATACGGATGATAGGAAAGCAGCTTCAAAGGTTGGGAAATAAATTTTTTAATAGATCGGTTTTCTTTTCACCTATCAAGAGGAATTTCACAGTTCGGACTTTGAGCCAATCCGCTCGTCACACTAGACACCGCACATTTGCTTTGACAACTAGTGGCGTTTTGCTCTCCCTGGGTATTTACGAATGGAAAGTATTAGAAAACGATTCTAATGTAAAAGATGAACCTGCATCCTCTATAAATGTGGATAAATCCGTATCTCCTTTCCCAGCGATACTAGCTCCTCCGGAATATCCGCTCACTGCTAACTACGCACTATTGGGCTATGGCACAAGATCCGTAACGTTCATCAATTTCAAAGTCTATGCTTTGGGTATTTATGTTGCTCAAGATGATTTGAAGTTAATTCCTAAGATTTTAAGCACAAACTTCCTGTCAACCGCATTCATTGACACTGATAATACCCGCAGCCACGCAGAAAACGTAGAAGCTGCTTTAAAAGATGATCAAAAATCACGAGTACTAGTAAGTAATCTAATTGACGCAGGAGTTAGAATGGTTGCCAAGATCACACCCATTAGAAATACTGATTTCAATCATTTGAAGGAAGGATTAATAAAGTCAATTTTGAAACATCCAGATGCGAAGAAAGACCAAGAAAAACTATCCAGGGGGTTACAGGAACTAAAGGATGCATTTATAAGAAAAGGCTCTGTTCCCAAGAATGACGATCTATTATTAGAACTCCAAGCTAATGGAAGTCTTCAAATGTACTACTGGAGCCGCAAAAGCAAAAAAATGATTGAACTAGGTCGCGTGGATGAGCCATTCATCGGAAAACTTCTTTTCAGTGAATATCTCAGCGGGCCCAAACCGTTGAGTAAGGGTACCAGGGATACGTTTGTCTCTAAAATCTCGAAAATGTTTTAAAGAAGATATGACTAGCATCCTTTTTGGAAATGGTGAGTTCGTATACAGGAAAGTACATACATGTGATCAACCTTAATTCATGCTAAGTGTCCTAACTGCTTACTTACATTTGACTCATCTTCCACTGTTAACTTAGCGCCCAATTGAGCCCTCTTTAAACTTCTATATTTGGCGTCACCGTCACCAATAAATATATCACCATGGACACACAATTCATTCAATAATACACCTACCAAGGTATCACCTGCACCAGTCACATTAATTACAGAAACATTTTTCTCTGGAATTTCAAAATGCTCGAATAAAATTCCCACTTGAGATCCATTGAGAGTACTTCCCTTCGTTAAAATGGAGAAATTGGAGGCATCATTACGAAATTCAAGCTTGCTCACATCATCAATCAAAGTGAATACATACAAACCATTTGCACCATCCTTTATCACCAATCGCGGAATGTATGGTATCAAGTAACAGCCCATCTGAAAAATTCCTTTCTTGAGTATGCTATTGAAGAAAGGAGATTTGGTTTCTTTTGATAATTTTTTGAGAGATGAGTCTACTTGTAAAGAATCAATAATGGGAAACCAGTTGTCTACGTCGAATTTCCCTTCGTAGTCAAATGATTTGAACATAGTTTCCAATTCTGCAACTGTAGGAGTAGCTAGAAAAAAACTTTGGTTAGGAAAGGGCTTCAATGCCCGAATTTTGCTAATCTTTCCAGCTTTAGCCATTGATGTTGGCTCGAACACAAGTTTGAAATCTTGTTCTCTCTGCAGTTTTACTAAAATTTCCAATACCTCAGCTGAAACATTCGCGTCAGTGAGAACCACTTGTGGTTTCAATTTTGCGAGCTCGGCCGTGATATGATCTAGTGGAATTTTAGTTGGTAAATCCATATCTGCGCATGCAACTATCAAATTACCATCGCTTGAGTGCATAGAGGTATACTGAGCTGTAGTATGTTTCTTATCAATGAAAAAGCCATCTGTTTGCAACTCTGTCAGGCCTAAAATTGCCGAACCTGAAACGTCATCTCCGACAGATGTGATGAGTCTTGTATCCACACTAGAATCTCTATTAGATCGATGTGCCGCCAATGCGACATTGTGACCAACTCCACCAATGGCGGATCTGATGATGCCGGGGTTAGAATCCGCCATCCTAGTGGCACCGGTCATGATACAATGTGTATCCATTGCGACGGAGCCCACAACAGCAATATAATTTTTTACCTTTTCTCTTCCTGTTTCAAAAATTTGAGATGGTTGATGATTTCCTGCGGTTAGCCGCTGCCCAGCAGCGGTTTGGTTCAATCCGTTTAGCTCCTTAGCAATATCGGCACCAACTTTAGCGTTATTCAAAACAAATTCAACATTGGTTTTGACAGAAATACCTGCTGTTATCTTCGCAATTTCACTTAGTAGATATGGAGTCAATTCTTTGCCCTTGATTCCCAGTTCATTTGCCTTTTGTGAGGCTTTGAGGATGATGCGCTCAACGTAAGCATCATCAAGGGCAATACTTTCGGGAGGTGGTATGCAAAACAGGTAACCTGAGTTAAGTCCTAATTTGTTGCCTGCATGAATTATCTTGGCTGCATCTTTAGCATCATTGAAATTATAGGGAGACTTGACTCCAGAATCGCGTGTGTAAAACCCAGGAACGTTGACTCCTCTAGATCCCATTGTCGCAACCATACAACCTTTTGTTTCTAAATATTCCATCGTTTTCTCAATATCCAAGATTGCCTTGGGCCCGGCACAGACTACAGCAACTGGAGTCCTTCCTAACTCCTCGAGATCAGCGCTCACGTCCATTGTCACTTCGGCACCTCTGTGAACACCACCAAGCCCCCCAGTTGCAAAGACCTTAATACCCGCTAAATGAGCCAGTATCATTGTCCCGGATATGGTTGTCCCTCCCTGCAAATTATTTCCTATTGTATATGCAATGTCTCTTCTAGAAACCTTATTCACATCGCCTCTTGTTGCGTAGTCGGCTAGTTGTTCTATCTCATTGATCGTGAGACCTACCTTTGGCTTTCCATTAATAAAGGCAATTGTTGCTGGGACGGCACCAGCATCCCTGATAACCTTCTCCACCTGTAAAGCCATTTCTACGTTCTGAGGAAATGGTAAACCATGTGTGATTATCGTAGATTCAAGTGCCACAACAGGGGTCTTCCCAGCTAATGCATGCTGCAATTCATTTGATATCGAGAGCGTGTGTGATTTTCTTTTGAGAAGCTGAGAAAACTGTCTTGCAATCATTAGTTTTTGGCGAGAGTAATCCTCTATTTATTTTTCTATCAGAACTTAACTTGATTATTGTGTCTAAAAAACAGTCCAAATGAAAAGTCCAGAAACATTGCATTTAGAGACGTTTGTTTCAAAACTTAAAGATTCGCCAAACTTTCAACCAGATTCCTCCGAGATCAAGAAAGTATGTGATCTAGTAACTAGTTCTCAAGACTGGATGACTCCGGAACTGCAAGCCGATGTCCTACGCAGCATCAGTTATTTTGTCCTAGATAATAAGATAGAACAGAACACGAGAGATCTCTGCTCGGATACAATTTCCAACTTAATTACTAGAGATACCTTACAAAACTTTATCACCAGTCTTACTCCTATGCTAATGCAGATAAAAAGCAAGTACGTATCAGCTGCAGGACGGTTCAAATCATTGCCATCAATGACATTAAAACCCACTATTGGATTTACTGCTAATGAAGACAAAATCAGGGAAGATTGGTTAGCGAGTGGAGGTATTCGAGGCATTTCACTATTTTTCGTCACGTTGAAGCATATGGAGCATCGAGACATTTCGTCAAATCTTTGGTGGATTACACCGGGCATACTAAACATTATGGATGATACAACGGATTTGTTGAGAATAAGATTGAAAGGAGCAGTATTACTTGATTGCTTTTTAGGCACCACATATGATTCTACTGACACGGCTCAATTCGATTTTTCTACCACTGGTCTCTTTGATGTTTACTACGGATGCCTTAGGTCTATGTGGTATCTTCTCCCACCTTCTACAAACAGCAAAATAACGGAGCAAGTTTGGAAGATTGTTTTTCCTGCAATGTTAAGTTTGTTCAAGGCACAGTTTGCTAGTGAAGATCTACTTTATTCGAATCAAATTAACAAATTTCTTTCAGAAATTCTTTTACAGGGTACTCTTCCGAGAGTTGCACCAGACCATGTGGAACTAACTATTGATCTGCTAAGGTATATTCAAGTTGTTTTGCAAATTTTGGGTCTTCGGTCGGCCGTCCATATGCAAAGGTTAATATACACAGTTGGAGAATTCATAATTCGCAATCCCTTCATTACACTATTTGTACCTTTGATCCACGAAACTGTGACTACTCTGAGTGAGATGGTAAAAGTCTGTCCTGAAGTACGAGTTGCTGCTCATAAGTATGATCTTTTGGGAGGTGTTTTCATACTATATTTGAAATGTAGATCGGAGGGCAAACTCGATACCCAAACTCTCCACTTCCTACGTGACTATACTAGACTTCTACAAGCTGCGGGGTGCAAGCTATCTCCTGAGGATCTTGAAATGATTAAGGAAAGGCAGTTGCAAGATTTGATAGACTGCTGACGGAAAAGTAAATAGAATAGCATATAAAGCGTAGCATTTGATACTGACTATACATATATATACATGAATCGTTTGATCAATCATTGGAGGCTTTGCAAACCCTTGACAATGCGTATATTGGTATCTAAGAAACGGTTGACACAGTTGTTTAGACACTGCTCTTCGTGAGTGCTCAAATCGCCATTGTTGATGGCTGGAACACATTGCTTGAAACACATATTCGTGAACTGATGAACAGACATTTGAACCTTCTGCTTCGAGTTTTCAGCTTCCAAAAATGTCATTATTTCTTTCTTAGAGCCATCATCCAAGTTAGCAAGATCTGCCTGGTTGATAGAAGACATCTTAGTGCCAGTGCTTCTTCCTGTAGCTGTCCAGAAGAGCAAATGAAGAAAACTTTCTTTGAATTTTGCTCAAATCACGTGATAGATTACCGCTAGATTAGAAGGATCCATAATTTGAAGATTAGATGATTATGATAAAGTGTTCGTCGGTAAATGGATTCAAGTCAGCTCTCAATCTACAAGGAAGCTTTAGAGCGAGAAATTGAAAACAAGAAATATTTCCTCAAACAAGCGCACTCTGCAATAGAATCACTGGCCACCAGTGACTTAGGTTTGGTTGAAGACAAAGATGAATGGAAGGAATTTCTTAAGAAACCAATGTTCTTCCCTGACAGATCTGATCCCATAGGTTTGAATTTAGTATCCATTGAACAGCAACAACGCTTGAAGACCTCTAAGGAAGTGCTGGAGATCCAACAGTTAAATGAACTGGAAGAGCTTGTAGATTTCCAGAGATCATTGAATAGTGACCTAGAGTTATTCTACAGCATGCTCTTGAGACGAGAGAGGGAGCCTACTTTACGAGAACAGGAAGAGTCTGTGTCTCGGAGAAATACTAAACTTTTTGAGATATTGAAAAGACTGATAAAAGAATACATAATGATTGACATCAGCGCACCATTAAATCGATCCTCAGAAACTGCCGATGAAGTTTGGACGATGATGCTTCAGTTACTAAATGGAGAAAATCTAAATGTCAGAGAGTTTCGAGGCGCTACGGCTGGGTTCTACCGCATGCTTTTGAGAAGCGGTCTCATTGAAAATGTCGATGCCGAGAGCAAGAGCATGGACAGCAACATGTACATAAAGCTTATCGATTTTGCGGAGAACTTTTGATGCATCTAATCATCTTCATCCTCGCTCAATTCAATAGCAGGGATTTCAAATTCAGAATCATCATCCTCATCCCCATCCTCTGGTCCGCCCTTCTGATATGAGGTACTAGCGGGCAAATCTGTTTCTAAGATGACTTCTTTAACAGTATTTGTGACTTCTTCAGGTTCGCTGATCTTAAGCTGCTTGGCAGCCGGATGCTCGTTTGATTCCTCAGATTCAATAACTCTTTTCTTAAATATTTTTGTTGTATCGGTCGTGATTTTGTCAACAGTCACTATACCAGTTGCTTTTGTTTCCTCTTCAGTCATTTGAATATCTTCCTGAACATCACACTTCATAGAATGTTCCAATTCACTACCTTTATTGACATCAACCTCGGCATGTTCACTAGATTCAAGTGTTTGAGGACTTGAAGGTTCAGGATACTGGATAGTCGCGCTATTCAAATCAGCGCCCAAGGCCTGGGTTTCTTCAACAATCTGTACAGCTCCCATTGGCAATCTCGGATTACAAATAGCATTGAAAACGTCATCGCCGCAATCTTTTAAGAGCGTCACAGCAATGGGCAAAATCGTTACGCGCTCATTTCCAGGGTATAGAACCAAAGTTCTTAAAAGGTTTATAAAGCTCTTTGGAATGTAGCCCAACTCTGCTTTTTGTTTAACAGCTATGATAATGGCATTCTTGATAACTTTAATTTGTTGATTAGATGGCAATCTCACAAACGAGCAAATTGTGATCAGAAACTTGTTAACAGCATTAAACACACGCAACGAGCTGCGGCATACGAAAGATTTAGGATGTGAGTACAAATCAGACATGGAGCCAGTGTACGATTTGGACGCATTCTTCTGTTTCTTCGTTTGTGCTTGTTTACGCGAGTTTCTGTTGAGCACGACAAACATGTCATTCAGCGGATTGATATCATCTGTCAAACAGAGTGAAACCTCGACCAATTTCGTAAAAAAGGTGGTTTCATCGAAAGAGTGCCCCATGTAAGAAATCCAGGTCGCAGCTAATTCGAAAACATCAACAAACGCACCTCTAAGTGCTTGAATTCTGTCTAGGTCAACTGTCATTGACCCATGTTTCAAAGGAATGAAAGATTCTACAGAAGCGATTAGTGACGGTAAATGGGCAAGTACACATTTGCCGTATATGCCAGTTAGATGGTTTAGCATTCGAATGGCTTGCCATTGAATTTGAGGAAAAATATCATTGATCGTAGATGTCAATTCCGCGTCCCTGCGTAAGCCACGTTGTAAAGGTAGATAAGTGGTGGTCAGAGCAAGCATCGTCTCACATACTGAAATGATGCCTCCTAATGGAACTCGAATTGCGTAAGGAGTTGGCACAGAAATAAATGATATTGTTAAGTCGACCAAAGTGCTCAATCTCTCCACAATATCCCACAAAGTCATAGGAGAGTTCATGTCAACAGATAAAGACGGGAAAATTTCCTCAAAACTATTAGTTCCTGAGGGTGGTTTGGGAAGAGATTCGACCAGCTTTGACATATCAGAATCGGCGTTGAAATCTAAAAGTTCGTTACACAAGCTAATGACAGGCTTAAATTGAAACAAAATGGATAGTAGCCCCATTCTCCAGTTATCATCCTGAAACGACTTATGGTGACTCTGGTTATCATCTTTAGCTTGCACATTTTGTTTGATCAAATGCAAGTATGCAAAACAATCGGATATTAGTCTTCTCGTCGATTTATCAAAATGGTGATAATCTTTCAAGAGCAGATTTAGCAACACAGCACGGAACTTATTGATATGTGGCCTGAAAGTCGTTGTCGACCGTAACAGAAGTTTTTTAATTATTGGCAAGCATAATTGAGGCTCAAATTGAGAGAGAGAGACCAGGGTGGGAATTATGGCACCTAGTTTAGGTGTCAAGGCCTCTCGTGTCAGTGCCGGTTTGCCTCTTACAAGGTCCATAAGTATCCCAATAGTTCTCACCAGATTTATCAAAGTAACTTTACCCTGAGGAGTTCCAACTGTGCTTGAGTAATACTGTGCCTTTTGCTCCACCTTGGAGTAAATCACATGCAGTAAACCATCAGCATGCGAAGATAGCACGACTGGATTATAGGAGCATAGAACCGCCGCAACGTGGCAGCCTTTCCACACATGGTAATCGTCGTTAGACCTAAGCAACTTGAGAAGTTTCGCAATGAGCACACTTAAATCAGACTTCAGTAGTTGCTGGTTGACATACTTTGGCGATTTCAGAGTCCTCAATATGCATTGAAACTCATAACCGGAACAATGCTCTAGACGTTTAGCTACCACGGAAAGTGGAAGAATCTCATTTGACATCTTTGCTATCTTATGGATTAAATTTAAGTGACCTGCGATGAGCATGTTTCTTCAAGATGGCCTGGAAAATTTTCCTAGTCATGTGATGTGAGTAAATGTCAGTTCAGCCTCAAGATCATGTGATGATACAGCTGATAGTGCTAATGTATATTCCGTAACTATAGCGCTCAGTTAATCTCCGTAGATGAGCACGAAATGAACTTCGAATCGTGCTATTAAGATACATATTCTCGCACATCGTTGACTTAAAAAACTACAGTGAAGAAGAGTGGCGCTATAGCGTATTGAACACTATTTATTCTGATGCACATATGTCCCAGTACTTGATCTTATGAGGAAAAAAACGTAGAGACGCAATTTTTTGGACACGTCTTACATTGAGCTTCCATGAGAATACTGCAGGTGTCGTAGAACATTAATAATTCTGAAACGCCAGAAGAAATAATATTAAAGATATAGAGTAACACCAATGATAATGAGGGTTACTATCTTTCTTGGATCTACATATATAATCTTATTACCAAGCTTAAAGCTCGGTATGGGTTTGGATAGGAAAGTACAGGTAATTTACCGCAACTTTCATTATACTTCAAGAACTCCAAAATTAGGTACACAGTATGCAGTATCTAATTACGGCGCTCTCGATTGTAATGAAATGTGTATTAAATCAGTTAAATCTCTTCCTCTTTCCTTTACTTAATCCCATGTTATACTTGTGACTTGCTTACGCTTATAGCTATAGATTGAGAACTATAGCGAATCCCATTATCTCTGATAATTCTTTTGGTGTTTCAAAATATACTAATGATGACACGCTAGGCATGATGTCTACGTCTACGTAATACGATGGCAGGACTTTCTTCAAAATATCAAATTTAAGGGCCTTGTTGGCGCAATCGGTAGCGCGTATGACTCTTAATCATAAGGTTAGGGGTTCGAGCCCCCTACAGGGCTTATTTTTTAGATTCCAGAAAATCTGGACAACTTAAAATGATATTCTAGTTAGCATCAGAAGATATACAATACATACGCTGCTACTGTTGCTACTTTTTCAGTTAATAGTATCAATTGGATTTTGATGTTCAAACATGTCAAGCACGACTAAGAAATTATCCATTGAGGAGCGTCTCTCATTGGCTGCTAAAGCGAAATCCAAGCGCAAGATCAAGAAGGTCGGTTCATCGACGTCGCCTCCGCCACTAGATGAGTCAAGCACTACTATAGAAGGCGGGTTAGCGCCTGATGAGAAACAAACTGACGATAAAGTCAATGATGCTGAGGATGCTACAAAAGAGCCGTCGCCCCTTTCAAGAATCTTACCGTCGGACTACCAAGAACTTTCGAAAGAGGCATTGTTGGGAGTACTTGGGCCGATTTTTACGCAGCATACCGAACAAATCAGCCAACTATCCTCCCAAGTTGAGTATTTGCGGGATAGGAACAGTAAAGAGGCTCAGATACAGGCAAATGATGCTAGTCTTCTGAGATTGCTTAAAGAGAAGGATGATAAGATCAAGCTCCTCTTACAGGAAGGCGAAAAGTTATCTAAGTTGGAGCTTCAGCACTCCAATATAATCAAGTCTCTGCGATCTAGCGTGAAGGACCTTGAGTTTGTTCTTGAGTCGCACAAGGGAGAACTTAAAGATAGGGCTAATGAGTGCGAAAAAGTGTATAAGGAAATTGAGGACCTTCGCACCAAAAATGAGCAGAGCAAGTCATCATTGGAGAAAGCTGAGAAGGAGAAAAATGAAGCGCTTAAGAAGTATGAAGATATATTATCAGGCGAATTGCAGTCCTTGACGGAAAAATTGCATCAAGTTGAGGAGGAGAGGGACACGCTGAAAACCCAGCTACAAAGAACAAAAGATGCTAATGAAACAAATCAATTGAAGACAAGCATGCAATATGATGCTCTTAAAGTTACATCTCAAGAAGAAATTACCAGACTTGAAACGAGCTTAGAACAACTCAGAATTGAGCTTGACAAGCATAGCTCAAGAGATTCTAATGGTGATTCTGCGTCATCAGAAGAGCACAAACATTCAGACACAGTTTCTTTGGTGCAATACAAGTTATTAGAGGAACAACTAAAGAACAGTAAAGAAAACTGGAGCGCCATTGAGTATAGTCTCAATAATCGTCTAGCAGAGTTACAAGCAAGTTTGAAAGATCTCGAAGGTTCAAGGACTGTTGTGGAAAAGAATAATGAGGAGGTTTTAAGGGAAAATCAATCACTTCAAACAAAGATAGAAATTCTTGAAGATGAAAAATCGGCTGCGAACAAGGAAGTGGAAAATTTACACCAAGAAATTAGCACCATAAAAAGTTCCCTTAAAGAATGCCAGAGAGAGTTTGATCTCTTGAACGAAAAATATGAAGTACAAAAATCTCAACTTGAAAACACGATATTCACCGAACATGCACCTCACCGGATACGCAGTGACACCACCCTTTCCGATACTGTCAAGCCTGATGTCTCACAAAGCTTTGAAGACATAGATGACATATCTAAATGGGATCTACAAAATAATAACAGCATTGGCAATTCAGTCCTTGATATACACGACGAAGAACTCGATGATGCTTCCTACGATTTGCATAAGGAGTCAAATGAGTCTGTTGACCTAGACAGTTTTCCTCGTAAAGATAGTTTGACTTCGCTCAATTTTGTATCCTCCCAACAAATAACGACGACAAAAAGTCACCAAAACAATCACATGAATGCACAAATGATAAGTAAATTGGGTGGTGAAGTGAGACGACTTGAAACCGAACTATCCGCGCTCCAAGAATCCTACGAAAGGCTGCAGAAGGAGAAATTAAAGGCTAACGACAATATGATCAAATTGATGGAAGAAAACGATCTTTCACACAAATTAGAGCGTGAGCGCGATGAGCTAGCTTCGCAGGTAGAGGGACTAGAACAAAAGCTCAATGCGTCATTACAATTACTGGGAGAAAAGTCTGAACGCGTCGAAGAACTCCAAAACGATGTCGATGATCTCAAGGAAATGCTACAAATGCAATTTCAGCAAATTGTCGAGCTTCAAGAAAAAACACGATGATTGATAAGTATAGGAGAGACCTTTCTCTTCTGATTATGATTCTCAATAATGGAAGTATGTTTTATAAAAAGACTAAATCCCTTTGATTAATATCCCAAATCGTTGTAATTAATTGTTTCCTTGAGCGATAGCCAGGCTAGTATGTTCCTCAATATCGACAGCTTCCCAAGGATAACATAACCAGACATCTGGGACGTTTTCAGCAGCAAGATAGCGATCATTTTCCATCATGTACGTGGGTAGTTCAGCCTTCTTTTGTTTCAACTTATTGTGCAACACAAAAATAGAGAAAATTGTTTCTTCGTTTGTTCTGTTAAGTTTCTTCTGCTGATCACGAACTTCGTTTTCCAGTTCAGTGACTGCATAGTGTAAAGTTGTTCTGGTATCGTCAACTTCATCAACGATCAATACCCGCTTACCAATCAGCGAATCGAAATGTTGCTCAAGCGAACCAAAATCTAACCACTGTGTTCTGATCACTTCTTTGCCAATAGACTCGACTTGGTCATCCAGCCCAAGATCTTCGTAAAGAGACAAACCAATAGCCTGAATTGGGATGTTCTTTTGACCTTTAACCTTCAAAAAAGATCTAATAATTCTGGCAGGAATCATTCCACCACCTGTAATAGCGATAATTACATCAGGTCTCTCGCCTCGATCCATTATCTGTTTTGCTATCTTTTGACATAACTTGTGTATATTGTTATAGGAAATGTACATCTTCTCAACATCTTGTGTGACTTCTGTCATTGTAATTGATTTGCTTTAATTATTATCTGAAAGTGCTTGAAACCTATAACGACGTTCTATCAGTAAGGAAGACCTAAATGGTCGGAATTTATGCAGTATTTATGGGTCGCTTATGCTCATCTCTTCCCAATGAGCGGTGAGATCCGAAAAAATTTTCATGCCTGCACCGAACCGTAGGCAAAGCGAAAGCGAGATGACATCGATTCTTTTTCTACAAATGGCTGAAGAATCTTTGAAATAACGATTAAAACCCTACTCTAACTAAAACAGAGCAATTAAATATCAATTTTCTTGTGTTAATATAGTAATTACTCATTATATTCGAGAGCATCGACATATTCATCGCCTTCTCCATTGACGTATAGTATGTCGTTCTCTTCTTCCTCTCCGTTCTGAACAGGTGCATCTTCTTTATCACTCTCTATATTGATCTTAGAAAGCTCCTGTCTGAGGCTAGATTGCTCTCTCAACATTTCTAGCTTCCCCTGCATTGAAAGGAGAACAGGAAATGTGTCACGACATGCCCTTAAAGATGACCGGATATGCTTAATGTTCTTACTAGCATTGCGGCTTGGAGTCTTGTTAGTTGAGAAGTCTAGATCACGGATCGTAAGCAACCATTTCAACCAGTGATTTAAATTAGAATTGAACGACCAAGTATTTTGAGCAACCTGTTTGATTACAATATCGAATATGAAATATGCACTGTCATCGGAAAGCTTTTTACTCACTACCTGTTTGATTTGCTCCTCTGTCCATTTATCTGACTCTAATATCTTTTCTATATTTTGAGGGGATGTATTGTCGTCGAGAGCTTGCAATAAGGTTTCAATTACGCCGTCTCGGCTACTTTTCGATATTTTCCTCTTTGGGGGCTCAATTTTCTCTTCCGATTTCTCTCTTACGTTGTGTACCGGAACTGCTTCCTCCTGTTCATTAAACACAATTTTACTCGATCCTTTGATTTGACCCACACTTATTGATTCAAAACAAGGCTCATTGACATTAAGCCATGCAACTATAATTTTAGAATCGGCCCTTACAAAATCTAATATTTTGGAGTTGTAGACGTTAATGACACTTTTGGTATGCGTACTGCTTTTTTCTAACACTGATAAAACTCCATTAGCACCTAATGAAATGATGTAATCACCGAAGTTCTCTATCTTTGAAGCCTGTGTTTCCCATGACAGTACAACGTCTTTTTTTGTAAGGTTGTACAGATAGATCTTGTTCTTGTCTGCTACAGCAATATGCTCTTTATCAATCACATTGCATGTAACAGTATCAACTATTTCTATTTTGGCAACTCTTGTTGGCCTTCTTTTAGACGGATCCACAATGTATGCGCATTCTTTGGTAAGTATCGATAGGTAAGCATGTGTATCGAAATCAAGAACACGGAAATCTACTATTTCATCATCTTTTCCGTCAGTTAAGTGAAATGTTTTCAATGCTTTAGAAGACTTATAACCGAACTGCTTCACGGTCTTGTCTTCATCCAAAATCCAGATGAATGGGCCAATTGTGTCCACGCCTATTATTTCCTTTTTGTTCTGAATGATATTTAAAATCTCCTTTCCGGTAGGAGAAAATATAACAATCTTACCTCCCTGGAAAACGGTCAGAAAGTAAGCCTCAGCATTTTCACGTCCGTTGCTCTGATGCTCTTCGTCGGACAGTTTTCTTTTGGTTTTGATGGAGTTTCCATCTGCTGAGCTCATTACCCATGAAGTAAATTTGAGTTCTTCCATTTTCAAATCATCTCTTTCATAGTCGATATGATTTACTAATGAGCTAGTGACTCTATAATTCGTCGATGGACTGAGCGGATATAGATCGACAAATTTCTTGTGCAGACCACTAGACTTGAATGCAAAAGTGCCAGCATCTGGAGAAAAACTGGCTAATATATCAATATCTGACAACATAATATACCAGATTCCAATAAAAACTAATGACTTTCCTCAACTATTGAAAGGCAAGATTAATGCTTATATGCAGTGATGAGATGAGCTTGAAATATCCATGGTGAAAAGAAAAAAGTCAAAAATTTTTCCAAGATTCATATATTACCCGGATATCTTTTCCCAACCAAATACGTCCCCACGGTAAACACTTAACAACAGACCCCTTTCCAGAGGTGCTCCACTCCATCGGTGATTATCTTATCAGCCTATGTAGTTGTCTAAAGGTTAACTAATTGTGCCAGAGTATTTTGATCCTCTGCAGAAAGGCCGCTGGCAAAAATACCATATTTTTCGTGGTCGTTTTGTAGCCCACCCACCACAGTCTTGAAGACATCATATATATTGATATCGTCCAGGACCGATCCAGAGAGCGGATCTTCCTCTAAGTCATCAAAGTCCTCAAATTCACCAAAGGCACCTGCTTCCCCGTTGACAATTCTGAGATTGTTGGCCTCATCCTTTAAAAACTCCAGGTATGCTTGCTCTTCGTCTATAGGTTCTTCGTCCTCCCCTTCATCATCCCAAGTTCCAAAGTTGTCGAATTGATCAGTATTTAAAACATCCGAAGTATACTCTTTTCGTTTTTCCTCTAAGTGCCGTAGAGCTTGTGGAAATAGTGACATTAGCATTGTCAGTTTTGAGCCAGATTGCGGTAACAAATTTTGAAGTGATAGCATAGACAAATCTTGTACTGAAACCTGACTCAAAATACTTAGTACAGCCATGACCGACAATTTAATGTCATACACTCTTTTATAGTTGGGAATGTAGAAGCCAAACCAAGTTTCAAATATCAATTCTGCAGCATGTTGGATCTCGAGATATTGAAGGGTAACCATCGGAAAACAAACAAGGCATGCCATAACCACATTGAATGCACTCACCCCAAACACGATATGTTTTTTCAGAGAATCTTTTTCTGCAACAATTGAATTTAAAGCATCTTGTAAAAACCGCTCCACAAAACCTTTGGGACACTTATCTCCTAGAGCCAATACCATTTTTTGAGAGAGTTCAAAAATGACAACCATATCGTCAAATGCATTATCCTCTCGAACAGCTGCCTTGTGATATATTTCGAATATAATGTTTGAGTAAAATTGATTTTTTCTCAATTCGTCCTTACCATAAACCAAATAATTGTTTAAAGCAAGCATAAAATCTTCAATATAAAACGAAACCATGGTATCCTCCTTTCTGTTACAAATTCCCATCAGCTCTAAGATTTTCCAGGAGATCGGAGTTATATTTCTCAAAAGAAAAGTGGAATTCTCCACGAATTCACATACTTCTCTAAAAAAGTCTTCCATATCATTTTTCAAAATGAATTCCGCAGCTGGGTAGAATGAATGTTCCAAACTTTTAACAATGTCCAAAGAATTCTCAAAGGATAGAAGAATCGAAATAGCAGTCGACAAGACGCCCAATGCAGCCATCTGCTTATCATTCTCATCTGACACATCAAAATTCTCACCCATGTTATTGATGTCTACGTTGGAAGCATCATGTAGCTCAATCGCTAGCTTCAGAAATTGTTGAACTAAATTGTTCATCAATTCAACACCAAATGGTTGCAGTTGCTCAGCAAAAGATTCAACAAATTCTTGCATTACACCAGAAATCGCATCGGATTCTATTTCGTTCGAAATTTGTAATAGTTTTTGCATGGTTGGGACCACATTTGCTGAAATAGGTTCATGGAATTGGGGAACCTGTATGAACGTTTGTAATGCTAAGGCAGCTAGTAGCTCAACTGGCAGACAGCTCGAACTCTCATTGAAACAAGTCATCACACCATTGTATATTGTGGGAAGGGTGGTATCCTTCTTGAATTCAATGTCCCCAAGTTTGGAACATATCTCACAGACTCTTGCTCTCAAAAATCCATAATTAGATTCGAAAAAAGGGAAAACGTACGCACATAGAAAGTTCTCGAGTTCTCCTGCGTATGGCGATGCTTTTTGAGAGAGACGGTCTAAAATGCTCGAAATGATTCTCAAACAGGATTCGATCTCGACTGCTTGTTGCAGGGTAAGTGAGTTAAAGCTACTAGCCAAATCACTAAATTTCTGATGAACGAACTGTAATGTTGGCTGAAGAGTAGTTTTGCCACGTTTACTGACGGTTGTTGTTAGAAGAGACAAAGCAGCAAAATCGGGCGAGTAATCGTCATCCCATAATTCCAAATTCCGGTGGATATATTCTTGAGGGTCGATCTCAAAAGATTCTAAGGTCTCTTCAGTTGGACAAAGAAGTGGGAAGATAACATGTGCAAGAATTGTGGGGTAATGTGGTTTCACAAGGGGCCATGTTGGTTTTTGGATTATTGTTTGTTCAATAAAACTTAAAATATGATGTATGGCCTCATCGCTTAACCACAATTCGCCATTGCCCCACCCTTCAATTTGTTGGAAAAAGAGTTGTAATAACTGTGGGAGGAATTGCTCCACATATAGGGACTTAAATTCGTCATAATTAAATTTGCGAGACAATGAGTCTGAAGCGTAACGTTGGAAAAGTCTACATAGGTTTCCATAAGCCCATTTCTTGGCCTTAACCCATGAATGATTTTTTCTGTTATCTTTGGTGGTTGATAATAGAAATTTTTGCGACAGAGGCTGTTGCACGATGGAAACATGGAAATTTGCCCACGCAATAAAACTTTCTGTGCGCTGGAGCGTAAATGGAAGATCATGGTAAGTTACAAACTTGTAGATTTTCAGAATAAGCTTAATCATATCACCAATTTTATCATTATCCATATTCTTACCATCGTTAAACAGCGTGGAGGCAAATTCCAGCAATGATGGAAAGTAATCAACGATCAGTATCTCCAAATCTTGTCTTTCATCATTTTCTTTCCACCTGTAAGTCCGAAAAATCTCTGCCAAGCACAATAAACCTATGTGGGAAGAATTGATATCATTGGAGGCCAGTAACTCAAAGGATTGTGACAATAACGAGTCCCATCTCTTATGGGGAAACTCTTCAGAGACAATTACCGTCAATGCAGGTTGCAGTAGTCTTATACAGTTTGGTGAATAGATAGAACACTGGACCAACGCCTTGACTAGCATATCCTTAACCACGGGTTTTTCATCATTATCAACAGTGTAGTCCAGCAGTTCATTTCTGCCAAGTTTCTTTCCACTCCATCCATAAGAAATTTTGTTCTTGAAATACAATGCTGCAGATAGTTTGATACTTTCAGATATACTCGCAGCAGAAATGATATCCAGACAGGCTCCCAAAAACCCCGGCGTTGTGCTTGCCTGTTGTAATTGAGATTCAGCTTGCGTTCTAACCGAGCTATCGTGGTTCAAAGTGCCCCCAAAGCACTCAAGAAGGACATTTGGATCCATTTATGCGATCTAAAAAGCTTTTAAGTATATAACAAATCTCCTTTAATACACGATCATGTTCGACCTTCAGGCGATGCGATGATTAGTTGAAAATTTTCATTAAACATATATCACGGAAAACGAGATTGGATGATCCCAACGTAGTCAATAGATAAACGGTTCGGAGTAGACCTGCTCCTGATTTAATTCTGCCTTCATCAGCTTCGGCTTTGGATAGCTTGGTTGAAAATGTATTGTAAGCGAACTGTTAGAACTCTTGGATACAACTTTGCAAGATATGTCCTCGTCTCGTGAGAAAATAGATGTGCCAGATACACGATCACTCTTGGAGGCAAGCTTCGATGCATGTGATAGTGTCGTGTTGTCCTGGTCCATAGTATCCAAAGTGCGATCCGTTGGATCTTCGCTCGAAGCCCTCACAGAGGGGGAAGGATTTCTAAGTGAGTATCTTCGTATTATTTCAGCAATACTTTTTTCATCTATATCGGAATCATCAAGATCATCATTATCCTTGTAACCATACTTGAAGTTGATCGGCTCAGATTTATTCTTCTGAAACTGTAAAAGGGCTCGTTGGCGAAGCTCATACTGCGTGAAATCAGAGTTGCTATTGCTCTCATCCAAACAACTGTCAGATAAATCTGTTTCAGTGCTGGTACTATTATTCTGCATTACGGGTTTGAAATTTCGGCGAAGTCTATGTGCTAACATTACTAGCAAGCTAGCGGCGATTATGGCCCATTGAGGATCTACCTCTGAAAATTCCTTTCCCAGAAATTGAAAAACGTCATACCAACTTACCTGAAGTGGAGGACATGAGCACTGACATACCGGTTCCATCAATGTAAATGTTGTTTCCACTTCTGATGTATTTGAAGGAGGATGTTTCCATGATGGAAGACTCATGGTCATGTTAGAAATCACGCTTGCAATGACCGCAGCTGACAGTCCGAAAACGACACTGCTATGAATGCTAGAGCGTGAATGCATGAATAATGTTCAGCGAATTGAAGGCCCTATACTAGGCACCAATATATGAAGGTAACTCTTCTGAGTTTATAAATATTCTACGACTTGATTAATTTTTTTAAGTTCCCTACTTTTAAGTACAGTGCCTTTAACGAGCAAGAACAAAACCTTGGTTTAGCTCAAACTATCAAAGCTGTAAATGTCGGATGTTAGAGCGATTCGTCGATCTTTCGGCTCGAAATAACCTAGCAGTGAAAGTACGAGAGACTTTGATGATTAATTGAGCAAACGTACACACAGGCTCGTATACGAGACATCTTCAAATCTTGGGCGTTGCAAAGGACTAGAAGTCGCAGACCACAATAACCGAAAAAAGAGCACAGAACCTGTACAGAACGTAGAAGTTGTAAAAATGGCAATATCTAAATATTCATCTGAGCTTTATTTCCCTTATTTCTCTCCCCGCAGGGCGAATGAAATGAAAAACCATTCTCTTCCTGACAGGATACAATGTGGAGGACCTATTTGAAATACCAAAATCGCATCAATTACATGATAAATGGTGTAAACATTATGCTAGCAAAAGTCTGCCGATTGTAGAGCACCAAGCCAGATATTGCTGATTATTTGTTGTCCATATTGAATTCAGTGGTCAAGATTTCAGAAACGTATTCAATCATTCCTTCTAAGCTATTGACATGTAGTTTTTCAGTACCTTAGGACATATATTTGGCCATGAAAATGTTCTATTCACTTGCGTATAAATGAGTGGTTATTATTACAAAAGCAGGCTATGCTATAGATCCTAGGCTGACAAGAATCAATTGTATCAATATTTGAAGTGACCAAAATCCCACGCGCTTCATTCGTAGACTCTTCCTGTTATCATCAGCAACATATTTTGCGAAAGCATCGTAAACTTCTGCGCTCAGATCTTCCATTAAAAGACAATCGTAAATAGTCCACGACCCTTCAAAATCGGAGATATTTTTGACCACACGACATTTGATCGGAATGTAGGTTCTCCTGGAATTGATATAACCAACAGTTGGTCTTATAAGGGCACTATTTATGTAGCTCAGCTCATTGGTGAATAGTGGTACTTCTGCTTTGACGTTATGAAGCTTTAGAAAGAAGTCCATGATGAAATACTGTTGAGGATCGATATCTTTTTGCTCCGGAAGTTGAAATGGCTCTGGCAATAAGATAAATGAATGACGTTGTGCTTCTTTCAATAATCGGACACCGATGACAGAGATGATTTCTTGAAGTTGAGAGGGGTTTGGATCTTTGTCCGGGAGTAATATATCACCAACCATGTCGACCTGTCCTTCAGTAATCCACCCAAGGGGACCTTGCACACCAGCATTCAAATGATCCACATTCAAATTGTCAACCCGCATTCGGGTGACTTTTTTCCATGCGGACGAGTCCTGTGATTCGTCAACCTTGTATTTCTTGTGTATGGAAAACATTGAGTTATCATAGGTACCACTTATACTATTAGCGTTTAAGAAGTCAAAGAAAAGCCAATGTTTCCTTAATTGTGGTAGTTCGCAATTGAATATACTCACTTGGAAAGGCCTGAACCCGTTCGGTTGATATAGTGTAAAGAGAACATCGTTCATCTTGAAACTGGTTATCTCGAAATCGCCAGGCTGATGAACATTCAAATAATTACGTGGGTCATCGTTCTTCTTCCACAGAACATGAGTCCTGTCAACAACCCCACGTAGTCCATTGATGGTTACCTCATCCAGAATGCCCTTACCGTTAATCCACCTGCTAAAACTTAGAGAAATTTCAACTTGATCCATTGTAAGATCGAATTGGGTGTAGTTGCCATCATCAAAATCCTCTCTACTGACGAGGATTCTCTCACTTAGGGCGAGCTTTGCCCTTTCCACCGCCTCTTCTTGAGAACCCTTGGTAAAGCTGTGTGAAATTTTGGGCCTCCTTGACACAAAGACCTTGTTAAAACATATCTTCCCTGAAGACCAGTCAGGTACAATAGCGTTTTCAAACACAATGGAAAGAGGGCTATTTTTGGTGAGAAAGTTACCAACATGTGTCGCAACATATTCTTGAGCAAAAACCGTGTTGATGAGATATATGACTAAGGATGCAAAAGTTGTTGTACCCAAAATGATCAGCAGCACGTTGCTCACGAGAACCCAGGAGACAAATGCGCTAATGTCGTCGGTGCTGAACGGTTTCATTGATCGCGTGAGTGTCCATTTTAGATTTATCTTGAGCTTTTCTAAAATACTTGTTGCCTGCACTAAAAGACGATCACGTTCGGTAATGAATTTGTAAGGGTTTGGTTTGGTCTGCTTTGCTGCATCAGTATTTTTCGTTCGCTCATTGGAATTCCATCGCACACCGCCATATTTATACCGAATGTTCATACTCCCAGAGAAATGGCTTCTCAGCGCGGTAACTGGATATAAGCATTGCGTAGGTCGCGTGCTTCTCAGTATACTTCTACAAAACCATTGGCTGCTTCTGAGCTTCAGCATCGCCTGTTTTGAGATTTATTGTTCGTTTGTAGTTAAGGGACACTATACTTATGATTTTTCAATTGTCACGACATGAATGCCGACTACAATAAATCCCGATTGCGACTATCTAACGAATTGGGAAGTAATCTACGGGCTTATACGGCACATAAGCAATACCACAACGGTACTTTCTGCCATTGCATGTAATCCCAGACCACCGATTCATAATGGCATTCATTTGAATCATTTGACTTTATAAAGCCATAGAGTATTGGGTTGAAAAAGGTTTTATGTAAATTACGCGGATTTAGCTCAGTCGGGAGAGCGCCAGACTGAAGAAAAACTTCGGTCACTTTGAAATCTGGAGGTCCTGTGTTCGATCCACAGAATTCGCATTTATTTTATTTTTCAGTATATCGAATAAACTCACGTGACTGAACATTTGTCTGAAAATTTTTTTCACCATTGAGCAATCAGAAAAAAAGGCTTCTAAGTGCAAGTTAAAGCAACTATAGGAAAGTTATTTCTTCAACTTAAAACTCAATTAACTATGTCCGAAATCCCAGAAAACTCCAACGTTTCCATCTTCAGCAAAAATGAGAAGAAAGCCAGAGAATTGATTGGAAAACTCGGCTTGAAGGCTGTTCCAGGTATTGCTCGTGTCACCTTCCGTAAAAAGAACAACCAAATTTACGCCATTGAGAAGCCAGAAGTGTTCAGATCTGCTGGTGGTAACTTCGTCGTTTTCGGTGAACCAAAGATCGATGACTTCCCTCAAAGATTGGCCAAGGCCCAACAAGAAGCTCAACTTGCTGGTCCAGGTGTCGCCCAGACCGGTGTCGCTGAAGCCCTTGCCAAGGAGAACCAATCTCTACCTGAGTCTATTCAAGCTGATATGGCAGCCGCTGCCGAAGGCAAACCTGTGGAAGCTGAAGAAGAAAGCACGGGTGCTGTTGATGAGACTGGCTTGAACAGCGACGATATCGAATTGGTCATGCAACAGGCTAACGTCTCGAGAGACAAGGCTGCCAAGGCGCTACGTGACCACAACTCTGATATTGTCAACGCTATCATGTCCTTGTCTTAGTTAGTTATACGTAGGATTTGAAATATCTAGTTGTTTTTTATCAGTCGCACGTTTTTTATCTTCTTCAGTCGAGTCAATTTCGTTGCTATCAAATTTCCACCCACATAGCGGGCACACGTACTTGAGCGGAGCTCCTAGAACTGTGTAACAACCAGTACTCTTGCCACATTCTGCGCAAACAATGGGTTTGATTTGTCGATCAAGTTGTATGTCACCGCCTGACAACACTCCAAGAACTTTGTCAAACCATTTTTCTCTTTGCTCTTGTGATTCACTTGAATCGCCTTGTTTTTTCAAGTTTTCAAGCTCCTTCTGAAGTTTGTCTAACTCTTCGTGCTTATTTTTCATCTCTTCGTCCATCAGCGTGATAGCATCTTCCGATTGTTGCTCTCCAGAAGAAAACCTTTGTATGAGAGAATTTGTCGAATAGAAGTGTGTCTTTTGCTTTAGATTCTCTAGCTTCTCTTGATGATCCACCTTCAATTGATCAAGTTTCTTGATGGTACGTTCATTTGAAAAGTTGAACCAACATCTTAAAAGCCATTTAAGCAGAATGAAGAATGCAATTGACAAAACAGCATACAGCGCAAATATTTGTCTGCTGCCTATCTGGATATAGTTTACGGCATTAAGTAGCACGATGGCGCTCATACCATGGAGGTTCAGACGCCTTTGCCACTTGCTCTGTGTGACATCTTTTCTTTTCAAAGATTGATCAAGTTGGTGTATTTTGGAGGTTATAGAAGCCAAGTCCTTAGTGTACTCCTTGATCAAGCTTTCTTGATCTTGTCTGCGAAACAATCCTCCAATTGTTTTGAACATGACTATGTTTTGGTTTTGATGTGTCTATTGACCCTACTTTTTGATGTAGTTTTGAAATTTAAAACTTCCCACACATCAAAGAACATTAGCCGTTTAAATGCCCGCAGTAACAATATCAGTATCTAAGCTGCAAAACCTTTTCCAAGAAGGGGATGGTACAACGATTGCCACCCCACTAGGCAACACTTTATTAGAAATACAGGGAGACTTACAATTCCCATCGGAACCACCATCTAACGATGAAGATGAGAGGTTTTCCGAATATGAGGAGGAAAATGTGGTGAGATTTGGCGTTCTGTCATTTGATTCAGAGTATAAAAAAGCGACTTTGTATGTTGGTGAGAAGCAAAGACTCTTGGGATCTGTTGTCAAACTCGAAACACCTTTAGGGCTACTAAAATTCGATCATGAAACTAACAGAGTTGAGTTAGAGGATGTGATCAACTATAAAGTAATATTTAAGGAAAGGCCTTTGCCCATCATGTAACTGCCAGGAAATTTTTTAAATTGACCATCCAGTGAAGAGCTTTTTCTGAGTCAGCAGCTCTCCTGGAAGGACAGGGAATGGGTGTGCTTCTGTGTTGAAAACGACAGAACTTAGATCTACGTCATCCAAAAACAGCAAATACAAGTATTTGAGGGTCTCCGCGAGCCAGAAGCTTTCCAAATTATCACCTTTCTTGGTCGGTTTGGATATAACATCAGAGAGACTTGTGAAAACACAATTCTTATTCGGACCCTGACAATTTACACTAGTGTGAATGCGGAATGATTGGAATATCTCTCTGCCCCAATCACGATACTTTTGGTCTTTGGTTAGATGATAAAGGAACATGATTGATTCCACAGTTTCCGGTCTTTGTAAATTATGTGTATCAGCTGGCTTGATGAAAAAGTCACCCTTTGAGGATTTCCAATAGTTTGGTCTAAAGCTATTTCCTTTATTGAACACAACAATTTCGGAAGCAAGGCCAGACGGAACTTGGTGGTACATTTCGTAGCAAGTACGTGTCAAAGATTTAGCTAAATTCCAATCTTCTTCATGCTTGGTATCCCAAAAAGGCTGTTCACGAGCTTTCGATATTTGCAACCCTTCTGTAGCGCCCATTGCCAAAAGCCCACCCATGAAACAAACCAAATGATCCATTTTTGGGGACAAGGGTCCATATAAACCGTGTTCCCGTTCGCCGATAAATACTAGTCCACTAGGTTCGGACTTTGCAAGCAAGAATTGTTTCATTCCTTCCATGGATTGACGGTACAACTTATAGTATACGGGTTCGTGGGTTTGTAAGTACTGCTTCAATAAGTATTCATAAAAGGAATCACCTCTTGACCCTAGTCTGATATTTTGGCCATGGAACTTTGCATTATCAGGGTAGACATAGATAGGGACCAGACCATGGAATGTATGTAGTAAGTCATTTTCCTCGTAAAGAGGTGTGTATACGGCTTCAGCAGCTTCCCAATATGCAGGGTCTCCCGTTATGGCACTTAAATACTTGAACTCCAATTGTAAGGTAGTGAACTCGGCAGTAGAAGAGGCGCCATCGTCTACATGGTTTTTCACCGATTCACCTGTATGCAAATTGATACTTGAATATGGGATACCTGTTGATGTTGCATCAAAGGCAGGTAACAATCTATCTGCAAGGTCTATCGCTTTGTTCAAGTAAATGTCAGGATTCCCCACTTGCAATTCTTTTGAGAGGTAATACCCGGATAACAATCCCCCTAACATTCTGATGGTTGTTTCGAAGATTGAAACACTAACATCAATGTCATAATCAAGTACATCATTGATCCAAGTTTCGACTAATTGGATTTCATTTGCGAATTCTTGTTTGTGGGTCTGCGTTGAGTTGTACATTAGCATGATAGTATCTAAGGCATCCACAATGATCCAACCCAAAGGTTTTCCGTTAGATCCATACATATTGGATTTTTGATGAGATAAGGGATGATAAACATCGTAGCCCCAAGCATAAGTCTTGTAATCGTTCCAAGAATCCAGAAACACAGTTTCAATTTGATCCCTAAGGTCGGATGGTGATGCAGATGTAGTGCTCTCTTGAAACGTAGAGTACAGAAGGTAGGCTGAAAACGCTGTGAGCAATCCAATGAATGCTTTAAAGAAAAAGCCCTTCTCGCTAGGGCCTTTTTTCATCACGGATATTGATTACAACTGTGCTATACAGGCAAAGGGGGCAAAGAAAGGGAATGTGGAATTCAAGGTTAAATGAATACGCGTGTTGGAGTAATGTGAGAAAAAAAAAGGTGTCCCTTGCGACTTCCCTATGGCCAATGTCTGTCGACTTTTACCTTGTACTTTATATATCTGAAGGAGAGATGAGTTAAACTTTCAAAATGTACGCTCAACTCAACTTTTTCGCATTTACAAAGTGCAGTGAAGACAATGATTTCAACAAAAGTGGGAGAATCCATACCTCCTAACACCAAGCATGCGGTGTCTGTGTGCTTACCAACTTGGAGTGCCACGATAGGCTACGAGGAAGGTGATTCCGATGTTGTTGATAAGATGACCACGGGCTACCCGAGATTTTTCATTCACAAGTCTATTCAGAAATTATGCAGCGTACTTGTAGAGAAATACGCCAAAGAGGGCGAGACTTGTTTGGTTTTCCCCAGCTATGAAGTGGCGAAAAGATGTAGGGAGTTTGTGAAAGTGAAGGGTGAAGGGTCGCCCCGGCTTCGTATACTGCAATTGTCCACGCAACGGCCCGCCACTGAGGAGGAGAAAGCTTGGAGGCATGAGTGTAAGATTGCCGTTGTGTTTGTATCTCCACAATACTGGCCATTGGTCAAGCAGTACTGGCAACACTCAGGGGAGATAATCTCCAGTCGAATGGCTGAGTATGTGTTGCAGGAGTTAACTGCGGTGGAGAAGAAAGAAAAAGGCCGTGCGTCGCGTTTGAATCCGTCCTATGCACAAGAGGGCTCCGCTGAAGAGATCAAGGACGAGGAAGAGTTCATTGAGAAACGGTTCGGTAGAAACCTGGATTTCTCGTACGCGGACAAGGCCAAGCAATTGATCAAGAGACGGATTGCACGGAAGGTGGTGGATGTGGACGAAGACGAGGCCCAGGCACCCGAGCAGGCGTTGAACGATGCGGCTACGGAGGAAGAAGCCACGCCGGTAACTACCGAGAGGTCCACGGTTCCTGCTGAGCCCATTGACCAGGTGAACGAGAGCACACCACCACCGCAGCACCGGGAATCGTTACAAGTTGATGCCGAGCGGGACGTGTTCCTCTTCCCCAGCGGCATGGCGTCGATTTTCACAGCGCATCGGGTGTTATTGGCGTTGGACTCCAAGCGGGTGCGTCGCAGACAAACTGGCGGGGGCGAGAGCAGCGGGTACTCGTCGCCCAACTCCGGGGCGGCCAACCTGGTCGGATACGGCGCTCCTTACAAGAAGACGGTTATGTTCGGGTTCCCGTACACGGACACGTTGTCGATATTGCGCAAGTTCAACCACACGCATTTCCTGGGCATGGGGGACGACGCCGCCATGGAGGAATTGAAGCAGATTCTGCATTCCGGGGAGCAGATCCTGGCGGTTTTCATGGAGACGCCGTCGAACCCGTTATTGAAGATGGGGGATTTGCAAGAATTGCGCCGGCTTGCGAACGCGTACGGATTCTACATTGTGGTGGACGAAACGGCAGGAGGGTTCGTGAACATCGACGTGTTGCCGTTGGCAGACATGGTGTGCTCGTCGTTGACCAAGATTTTCAGCGGGGACTCGAACGTGATGGCCGGGTCGCTGGTGCTGAACCCGCGGTCCGCGCTGTACGAGTTTGCACAGGGGTTTTTCCACGGGGGCGAGTTCGAGGAGCTGCTGTGGTGCGAGGACGTGATCTACTTGGAGCGCAACTCGCGCGACTTTGTGTCGCGGACGCTGAAGGTGAACAGCAACACGGAGTTGCTGTTGGAAGAGGTGCTGAAGCCGCATGTGGGCACGCTGTTCAAGAAGATATACTACCCGAGCCTGACGTCGGCGGAGAGCAAGCGACACTACGACGCGGTGCGATGCCCCAAGGGCGGGTACGGCGGGCTTTTCTCGCTCACGTTCTACAGCGAGGAGCGGGCACGCGCGTTTTTCGACGCGCTGGAGTTGTGCAAGGGTCCGTCGCTGGGCACCAACTTCACGTTGGCGTGTCCGTACGCGATCCTGGCGCACTACGCGGAGCTGGACGAGGTGGCCAAGTACGGCGTGGTGAGGGCGCTGGTGCGGGTGAGCGTGGGGCTCGAGGACCCGGACGCGCTGCGCGGCGTGTTTGGGCACGCGATCGCGGCGGCCTCCGGCGCTGGCGGAGAGCGCGTTGCGGGCGGACAGCGCGTGTAGCGGTGCGTTTCGTCGTGCATTATAGCATGTATATACAGGGCGCGCAGAGCGCCGCTGGAGGTACTAGAATATAAAGAAAAAAAGTCTTGATCATGGAGAGCGCTGGCGGGCGCGCGAGAGCGAGCCAGCCGCGTGCGAGCGAGCCACGCCAGCTCAGGCGAGCTCGACGGGCTTTTCGCCACGGGCGAAACGAGGGTTGCGGGGGTCGTTGATGAACTCTGCAGACTGCGCGGACGCGCTGGCGCCCTTGCCGACGCCCCAGTAGACGACGACTGCGCCCACGAAGAAGGGCCAGTAAGGCTTTAGAACGGGGGTTGGGAATCTCTTCAACATTGCGCTTGTTTTGGGGACGGCAGACGAGACATGGAGGAAAGAGGGAAAAATTTGAGGGCGAGGGGGACAGCGGGGGGGCGCGAGCACTTGCGACGGCGCCGTGGGAAGTGCGCGGGGGGCGGGCGAACCGGCGGGGTGTGATTGGCTCGTGCGGAGTGAGCGGCGCCGCCGCTCGCTCCGCTTTGCGCCGGCCTTCTCCGGCCTTCTCCGCCCGCTCTCCTCGCTCTCCTCCTCCTCCCCTCCTTGCTGCCCGCCTCCTGGCCGCTCCCTGCTTTCGCGTCCCGCCTTCGCGTCCCGCCTTCGCGTCGCGCTTCCGCCCCGCCCCCGCCGCGCCTCGGAGTATGCCGAGCTCCCCGAGCCGCGTCTCGGCCAGCTGCGCTCGCCCCGAACCCTATCTGCTCCCCCCGGCTGCACGCCGGCCAACGGCGTATATAACGTGCGACGCGTTGCGTCGCAAGCGCCGGGGGCTGCGGGCCCCAAACCTGCACTGCAGCAGCTCCGACCCCCCATTAGGCCGAGCTCCACAACTTTCGCATCGCATTTGCATACTCCACATTCGCATCCCCCACAACCCCCCATGGCGCTGACGTTGTTCTCACACGAGGACGCGGACGCGTTCCTTTCGGCCGTGACCGCGCGCCACCTGGCGGTCGACGTGGTCGGCAAGAAGCTCGGCGGCAAGGTGCTGGCGTGCTCGGACGAATGGTTCGCGGCCGCCGCCAACCTGGTCGAGCCCCGCGCGCCCGTGCGCGACGCCACGCGCTTCACGCACGCGGGCGCGTGGTACGACGGGTGGGAGACGCGCCGCCACAACACCGCCGCGTACGACTGGGTGATCCTGCGCATGGGCGTGGCCGCCGCGCACATCGTGGGCTGCGAGGTGGACACGGCCTTTTTCAACGGTAACCACGCGCCGGAGATCGCCGTGCAGGCGCTCTACGACGAGGACGCGGACGACGTGAGCGAGGACGACGCGCGCTGGACGGACGTGATCGGCCGCACGGCGTGCGGGCCGTCGCAGCGCCAGTTCATGCTGCGCGACGCCATGACGGACGCCAAGTACACGCACGTGAAGCTGCAGATGTTCCCGGACGGCGGGATCGCGCGGTTCCGGCTGTACGGTCACGTGGTGCCGCCGGCCGCGCTGCTGCGCGGCGCCGGCGCCGGCGCCGCGCGCGCGCCGCTCGACCTGGCCAGCGTGTGCCACGGCGGCGTCGCGCTGTGCGTGTCGGACCAGCACTTCGGCTCCGCGGACAACCTGCTGCTGCCGGGCCGCGGCCACGACATGTCGGACGGATGGGAGACGAGCCGGTCGCGCGAGCCCGGGCACGTGGACTGGGTCGTGGTGCAGCTGGGCGGGCGCGCGTCGCACGTGGCGCGCGTGGTGGTGGACACCGCGCACTTCCGCGGCAACTTCCCGCAGTACATCACCGTGCACGGGCTGGACGCGGGCGCCGATGCCGGCACCGGTGCCGGCGCCGCGGCGGCCGCGGTCGCGGCCGACGACGCGCGCTGGTTCGAGCTGGTGCCCAAGAGCAAGACCGGGCCGGACCACGAGCACGTGTACGACGTGGCGCGCGACGCGCACGTGACGCACGTGAAGCTGACGATCATCCCGGACGGCGGCGTGAAGCGCGTGCGGGTGTACGGGTGGTGAGCCGCGCCGCGCCCGGCGCGAGAGGCAAGTAAGTAGGAAGCAGGAAGCAGGAAGTAGGAAGTAGGAAGTATAAAGAACGAAAACGAGAAGAGCGCGCGGAGGAGGCGGCGGAGCCGGAGATAGGCGGGGCCGGAGATAGGCGGGGCGCCACGTGACACAGAGGCCAAACCACGTGGATGGCACGTGATGCCTCTCGCGCGCCCGCGCCTCGCCCACTTTTCACCGGCCCGTCTCGCTGGCTTCTCGCTCCCGCCCGCCTCGCCCGCACCTCATCTCTCCAATGCTGCTCTACCAACGCATCCACCAGCGCTGTCCCCCGCCCCAGGTGCTCGACACCCTCCTCGCAGACCCCGCCCCGCTGTCGGCCCCCGAGTTCGTCGCGCAATTCGCCCGCGTGCGCGCCCGCAACCCGCACTACGCCAAGACGCTCGTCAAGGCCCTGATCGACAACTGGCCTGCCATTGACCAGGCCGTGCCCATCGACCCCGGCCCCACGCACCCCGTGTACCTCGACGAGTGGCTCTACGAGCAGTACGTCGAGCTGCTGCCCGTCCCGCCGCCCGGCCCCACGGCCTCCGACCTCATCACCTACACCTTCGGCCCCGTCGCGCTCGACATCCACGAAACGCCCCACCTGATCTGCGCCCAGGGCACCACCGGCCTGCGCACCTGGGAGGCCGCACTGTACCTGTGCCATTACTTACAGCAGCACCAGAACGAGCACGGCCCGGATGGCCCCGGTCACGTGACCTCCGCCCTCGAGCTCGGCGCCGGCACCGCGCTCGTGAGCCTCGTGTGGGCCCAATTGAACTCCACGCGCGACTTCAGCCTCTACGTCACGGACGGCGACCGCAGCCTCGTCGACACCTGCGCCAAGCCCAACTTTGACCGTAACGGGCTTGTCGGCCCGCGGTTCCACTTCCAAAAACTGTGGTGGGGCGCCGATCCCGTGCCCAAAGTCGACCTTGTCCTCGCTGCAGACGTCACCTACGACTCAGCCGCCGTCCCGCACCTCGTGGCCTGTGTGGCCACCGCGTTGCATCAGGGTGCCCACCACGCTCTCGTGGCGGCCACCTTGCGCAACTCAGACACCATTCGAGTGTTTGAAGCCGCGTGCTCCGCTGCAGGGCTCAACTGCACTGTTCTACAGTCCACAGAAACCTCCGATCCAACCGAGTTCGTGCGCAATTGCACTTTCAAGCCTCTCATCGCCCCCATCCGAATCTACGAAATTACTCTTTGCAGCCGCTAACGTGCCATACACCTTAGTTGCACCCTCGCACGCTCGTCCTCACACACTCATCCTCACCCGCTCAGTGCCGAGACTTTCCTGCCTTGCACAACTCGCCATTATTAGCGTCGCGCCTGCCTGCGTCTGCGGGTCCTGCGCGGAAAAATTAATCGGAACCTCTCGCCCGCAGGTTTATCCTCCCGCGAAGCGGAAAAACTCGCATCTGAAGATGCGTTCGAAACCTCAACACTGGGCCAAACTGGTGGTGCGCCAACGTCATACCGAGCCAACGTTAGCAATTACAGATCGACATGCTTTTGTAATCACCAAAAGGCCTGAAAGTCGTCACATCCTAGGCGGCCCATCACCGCTGTTCTCTTCGGATGCGTCCAGTTCCGCCTGGACTGGCCGGTCTTTTGCTGCTCATTGCAACCGCTGCACACGCGGAATAAATCGCCCACTTTCTAGACCCTGTTGCCATATTAGATGTGTTCTGGAGCTTCAAGCTGTGTTCTGCGCCTGAAAATGCAATGCAGGGAGCCTTGCAGCCAGCCAAGACGGTCGTCAGGTGTTACCAGCTCTTTCTTCCCTTGTGCCGCGCCTTCAAGGCTCTAAACCATCCGCATCTTGTGAGGTCTCGCGCCTAGGCTTCCGCCCCGCCGCGTGATTCCCTATGTGACCTCTCGACCTCGGCCGTATTACTCCTAGCGGCAATGAGTAACCCCCCTAACACGCGATAAAACTCATGTCACATACCGGCTTAACTCAGCTAGCGCTGCATACCGATTTTTTTCGCCGTTTGTCTTTTCGGTGTCCCATCACGATCACACCACGCGACTAGTATACGACGCGCTGACAACTTGGCTACTAAATAAACGAAAAGTGATAAAAAGTGCCCCCCACAAGGTTGAACATTCTGTAACCATTCTTCTCATCAGGTATCTGAAGCAGCGTGTCCCCCCAACCACATATCCCAATGGCATTGCACAATTATATATATCTAAAGCATAAGAGCCACGATCCTCATTGCCACACCTTGATCGCCAGAGAACACGACCCTAGGCCCAAGCTGGGCAAACCGGGACAAGCTGCATTGGTCGAGATCGACCATAACGCTAAAACAGGAGCTACCGGCCAGGCAAAGACCTGCTGTGGCGACTGCTCCGGCAAGTGTACTGACAAGGCATCCTGGTGATGCTCTTTATAGGCTTATTTATCAAAGGCGTTCCATCAGCTGATCTTTTGTACCATAGACTACTCCACAATAGAATTTCTTACTTTACAAGCTTATTAAAATGTTGGGACCCTCTGACACTCGAATCTCATGTGAATTATCCATTCGAGTTCTTAAAAGGCACCAAGAATTTATCTATCCACACGCTTATCACGGCTAGAAACGAGTGGTTTGAAGCTCTCAACTAGAATTAAAACAATCCCAAACGCAAGAGCTCCGGTCTCGACTGTCGTACTGTCTATTGCGGTGGAAACTTTTGGACAAAGTTGAGTATTTGTCAAGAGAGAAAATTGAACTCCAGTTCCAACATCTCTTTTATAGCTTTTTTTGAACGGAAAATTTTTCAAGCATAATAATCAGCAACTCTTAGGGCATTAAACCATTTCAAAGTTCAATATCGGGGTCAAATTTTCAACAACTCAAACGCCAAGCTTGTAGAACTCATTGCAATTGGACTCATGTATCATCTTGTCTCAATCTTGTAATTTATAGTCCCGCACGTGATCTCTAACTTTTTCAACATTTTATCATCATCGGGACAGATTAGAATCCGAAAACGCACACATCGTCCATCATTGTGTGAAGGAGAGACATGTTTACGCCCGGGGATATTGGTGAACAAAGAGCAATTGATAAGCAGGTAGAACCGCTTACAACCTTTGCCACTACTATCACACCAACCGACGTGGACGACGCCGGGGCGATGAGGGCCATGATGCCAATTCCAAAAAAATCGCGTACCATAAAGACAGACCGACCTCGTCCTTTCCTATGCCCTATTTGTACGCGAGGATTTGCAAGGCAGGAACATCTAAAGCGTCACCAGCGTGCTCACACCAACGAAAAGCCTTTTCTGTGCGCGTTTTGCGGGAGATGCTTTGCCAGGCGCGATTTGGTCCTGCGACACCAACAAAAGTTACACTCTTCTCTAATGGACAAGGATGTCGAAGACGAAACCAGCACAAAGGACGCTAGGCAGCAACTCAATGAGCGACACATCATAACCATTACGGGCAACAAGGAGACCATGCTGCCCACTCCAAACAACCCGACGGGTCAAGCCCCGCAGACTAAACGTAAAGCTACCAAGGGTAAATCAAGAGAACCAGAAACTTTACAACAATTTCCACAAGATCAGCAACCTTCTGAGTTTGAGGGCGAGGAGAAACAGCGCAAACGTAAGAGACATGCGTCATTTTCTGCCTCCAGTTCAATCACTTATACACAAACCAAAGACGCACCTCGTATTATTGAGCACGATTTGCCTGATATCCCTCACCAAGTCGGGTTTTCTACACCTCAGCTATCTGCGCAGGAGCTCGTGGATAAGGCAATGGAAAGCGGTGTCAATTTGGAGGCATTTTCATTCATGCCATTACCCGAATCTGTAACAATTAGCGAAAACGACGGACCCAAAGACGGCGAACTGAATCATAATACTATAGGAGAGAAAGAAGGCCCCTATGGCTCAATCCAAATGGCTCTAACGCCAGGAAACTTTATGATGAATACCCCGCAACTTACAGACTTTTTACAAATGGGATCCACTGTTGGCGGTTCAGGAGGGTATACTAACGTTTATTCAACAGATTCCAATTTAGATTATTTCAACTATAAGGATGAGCAAGAAAGATTTCAGAAGGAAAAATCAACAACTTTACAAGAAAAGGAAAATTCTCATCATTCTGTACCGTCTTCATCAGAGTTCGTGGATGGTTTAGTTAATAACTTATCCAAAAATACCGCTGTCGTAGGGAGTACTAAAAGCGAAGCCAATGATGAACACTGGCTCTCAGAGTTCATAAATACACAACTAGATGGTAACTTCAAGGTGAATATGAATAATTTCAACGAAGTCGGTTTCGCTTATACCAATTCTGAAACCACTCCGAATGGTTCAACTCCTGCACGTCTTTCTGGTTCAACTCCCATGAGTAAGGGCAATTCTGGACATGTTAAGCTGAAAGAAAGTCCACGATACTTAACACCTTACCAGGACAGCGAGGCAACTAATTTTCCAGGAAGTAGTGGTCAATCTTTAAATCCTAAAAATGAGCATTCAAATAACGACATTCCTTCCCTTTTCAAATCGCGGCAAGTTGATTTGTTCAAAAAAATTATGGAAAACCAATCCGATTACAGCTCTCCAACCAGTGATAGCAACTCTCCAAGCACGAAGAAACGTAAAAAGGGAACCAGATTATATTTATACACTGAGCAACTTCGCAATGATATTTTGCGAGCCAATAATCTAACTTCATCACAATTTCCAACATTAGAGGAATTAAATCGTTATGTGAATTTGTACCAAGATGAATTCCATCCTTATTTTGCGTTCATTCATTTACATTCGATACAACCTAGCATGAACATTTATCCTCTACTGTTATCAATAGCCACAATTGGAGCTTTGTATGGTTTCCATTCTTCGCATGCAATGCTATTATTCAATATATGCCGCTTCCATATCAGAGAACTACTCGAAAGAACGAAACAACATCATCAAGAGACTCCACTATGGGTAATTCAAAGTATGGTATTGCTTATTTTCATTGGTATTTTCAATAATGATTTGTCTATCACAAAGACTATGAACACTCAAATTATGTCTTTGATCGAACTAGTGAAATTGAAACAGCTGAATCTTCCTTTGGAAACCCTCGTAACACCACCCATTGAAAGTGATCACGTCTTTCAATATCAAGACAATCCTCAACTTCTTGAGAAACTTCGAAATCAGTACAACACTCCAGAACAGCTTACTAGGAATTTTCAGTATTTCATAACGGCACAATCAAGAATTAGAACTTGCCACACCATACTTTTGATCTCCAATCTGTTCACATCACTGGTTGGTTTAGATTGTTGTTTTCATTCCATTGACTTAAAGTGCGGTATTCCATGCTATCATGAGGATTTGTATTTTTGTGAAAATGCACATGAATGGTCACAATCGCTGGTAAGTTACCGTATAGTTCTCGACTCCAAGTTTTCCCTGGTGGAGCTTTCTAATGGCGGAGAAAGTTACAAAAACTGCTTAATTTACTTGACGAATGGTTATCAATTTTTTTATGAGAACAAGAAGGTGTCTTTCAAGACTTTATTGTCACTATTGATTTCAATTCACGAAAAAATATTCATTGAAAGGTATAATCTGAAAAACGAATCCAATGAACAAATGCGTGAGCTAAAATGGCGTATGAACTCTCGACCTATTATTGAATCTCTCCTGAAGTTTTGGGAGGCGCTCTACATCAAAAATGGCGGGGTCTTGATAGCAAATGAAAGCAACATTGCCTTTATAAATTCGAACCCTTCTCTGAGACTGATTATACCTCTACTGAACTTCGCGAAGATCAGAAAATGTTTGAGTTTCACGTATTTTATGAACAAGATTTGGTTGAAAGATTGGGAAGGAATGAATGAGTCTCTGGAGACATATCATGACTGGGAGAGCTCAAGAGAGGCTACCGATTATGCTCTGAATATAGTTAAATTTTGGGTCGACACTGTCTCGATAGTTAAGAACGCAGAGAAGACATCTTTGCGGACGCCAATTTTTTCCATTACATGTATTTTCTCTTCAGTACTGATAATAGCAGAATACTTGAAAAGGGTGGAGGTTTGGGCTAAGCAGTACGCTGATGGTGAGAACACAACTGTTCTAAAAGCCATCGATAGAACGCTTTGGCTCAAATCGGAAATTATTCTTAAAAAAATCGAGGAACATTTACTTCCCAAGGGCTATAATATGCAATCATACGCTGAATTTTTGAGATTGCAGGCAAATGGTGCGCTTGATGTGGAGGTTTTGGATGATGACCTCGCAAAGAGGGCGATGAATCCTAATACGGACGTAAATGAGACTGTGAGGGTGATCATGAAGGCAAGACTTTCATCTAGATCACTTTACTTAGGTGTCAGAATACTCGGCGATGCACCAATCTGGCCTATCGCTTTACTCTTCGCACATGCTCTTCAATCTAGGGCCATTTACAACTTGGCCAATCATCCATCCTCGTGATATGTGACTTATCTACAAAAGAAATTCCAGGAAGTAAAATTTCAGCGATGAGATTACAATTTAAAGTAAGTGTAAATATACTTAACGTTTACAGGTTAAGCCAGAGTTTTAGTTTGATATTCTTTAAAATACCTTTAAACCTTTAAAAATTTCATTTTTAGGAAATCTTATTTGGACGTTATTCAAGCTCAAATTGAAGCCAAACCCATATTCACCAATGACGAATGGTTCTGTCGATAGGAAAGGAAACCTTACGAAGCTCACAGGAAGAGCTCTGTTTGAAAGTATTGGCTCTCCTACCAAGATTGTAGCGCCCATGGTTGATCAATCAGAACTCGCATGGAGAATTCTCTCGAGGAGATACGGTGCCACATTAGCATATACACCGATGTTTCATGCCAAATTGTTCGCAACATCAGAAAAATACCGTAAAGATATGTGGTGTAGTATAGATGGTGATAAAAAGGTAGACAGACCACTTGTTGTCCAATTTTGCGCCAATGACCCAGAATATCTCCTTGCTGCTGCTAAGCTTGTTGAAGATAAATGTGACGCTGTTGATTTAAACTTGGGATGCCCTCAAGGTATTGCCAGAAAAGGTAGGTACGGTTCATTTTTGATGGAAGATTGGGATTTGATTTTTAAGTTGATAAGGACTTTGCATGACAATCTCAATGTTCCTGTTACAGCCAAAATTCGGGTCTTTCCAGATCGCGAGAAAACTTTGAAATATGCAAAGATGGTTTTGGATGCAGGCGCACAGTTTTTGACGGTTCACGGAAGACTGCGAGAACAGAAGGGTCAAAAAACAGGACTAGCTGACTGGGATATCATTAGATATTTGAGGGAAAACTTGCCAAAAGAAACAGTTTTTTTTGCCAACGGTAATATTTTGTATCCAGAAGACATTTCAAGATGTATGAACTACATTCACTGCGATGGTATCATGAGCGCTGAGGGAAACTTGTACAATCCAGGGGTATTTTGCGCGGATTTTGACTCTAATATTGAAATGTCTTATCCTAGAGTGGATAAATTGTTGAGGGAATACTTTGATATAGTGAAAAGCTGTGAAGGTTCGCAAGCCTCTAAGATTGCCATGAAGTCCCATTTTTTCAAAATTTTGAGGCCATTTTTGCCTGTTCATACCGATGTGAGAGCCAGCCTTGCATCCATGACAGCAAAGACACCTTTTGAAGAATGGGACGATAAAGTAGTCAGGCCTGTGGAAAAAATCGTCCAAGACATTTTCAAACAACCCGATATTGAAGAGAAAGATAAAGTAATTACTGGTGAGATAGAACTATGGGGTGGTGCTTACAAAACTATTCCATACTGGAGGTGTCAGCCGTACTTTAGGCCTGTAAATGGTGTCACAGGTGATAAGAGAATCGTAGAGACACTGAAGAGTAAGAAATGTGAAAGTGAATCATCTAATATTGACGAAGAGGAACTTAAGAAACGCAAGGCCGAAGAAGTATTAGAGTCAAAGAACCAGAAGAAGGAGTTGAAGGTGTAAGATAACTATGTACGTATCATCTAAATTAATCAAAGCAACTGACATCAAGGGACTTTGAACGTCCGACCACATATTAAGTGATTTCCAAGAGCAATGTCAGACCTGTTTACATCTCCTACAATCGACTTGGCTCCAAACTGTGAGATTGAGTATCCTCCGTTCGTGAGTTTCCCAGCAATGCAACCGCCAGATACACTGCAGAAGGTTATCAACCAGTTACAATTGGAAAGACACGTTGAAAACGGATACTTCAAAGAAACGGATAGGTCCCCTTTCACAATTGACTATAGTCAATCGGAATACCCAAGTGGTTCCAATGAAAATCCAGATTTGGCAATGCCAACGCGAACGGAGGCACCTCGTTACGAGGGCAAGAGAAGTTACTCTACGATGATCTACTACCTTCTTACTCCAGATGCCCCCATAACAAAAATGATAATGAACAGAAGCCGTAACATTCACGTCCTCCAAAAAGGTAAGGGACAGTATGTTCTAGTCTATCCTGACGGTACAATCAAATCTTTCAAGGTTGGTTTCGATTACGAAAATGGAGAAGTATCACAATGGGTAGTTCCAGGTGGTGTTTATAAAGCTAGTTTTCTCTTACCGAATGAAGAATTTGACAATGGCATGCTTATTAGCGAAATTGTCGTTCCTGGATTTGAATTCTCTGATTATAAGCCCATCCCCGGTAAAAAAGAACTTGAGACACTCGTCGGTGAAGAGAAAGCAGAGCTATTGAAGCCCTTCTTGTGAAATAATTCACAGCACATCCAGTAGTTGATTAGCTCAAATATCTTGTACAGTACTAGATTGAATGGTAGTCACATGACTTCGTTAGTTAGGTGATGGCCTAGGGGGGGTAGATTACGTTTAGGAACTTTGAGCAGTTGAAGTTAACTATTTGAAGACGCAATAGACTGATAATGTCTTACGTACCTGAGGATGAAGAAGCGCAGCCGCTCCTTCCTACTCAAAGGACTAGAAGCAACTCAATTGCATCGATCGTTGCGCGTGGCAGAAGTAACACTATCAGTAGTTTCAAAATAGGATACGATGCAGTTAAAAGACACAAAGTAGAGTTTTTTTCTTTGCTGGTGGCAAGTTTGATTCTGTATATGGGCTTCACTGTGGCGTTCCTCCCAAGAACCTCATTGTCAAGAGATTTTAGAAGATTTCATTTTAGTAAGGTAACCAGAGCTGAAACGTACAGAATATACCTAGAGAGTTTACTACGAGAAAATCATGCCAAAGATCATGTCCGCAACTACACGGAGTACAGACATTTCACTGGTGACGATCATGTCTTGCAGTACACTTTGGATCAACTGAAGTCGTATGGATTTTCACCCAAGATTGAAAAGTATTATCCCTGGTTGAATACTCCTGTAGATTCAGAAGTATCTCTTTGGATTGATGACAAACTAGCTTATAATGCTAGCATGATAGAAGATTTCTTGGAAGAAGATCCATCAAGTTCGAGTCCACAATCGGTACCTGCTTTCCACGGGTATTCAGCCAATGGCGACGTTACCGCCCAGTTTGTGTTCTGCAACTACGGAAAGATTGAAGACTACGAATATTTACTTGAAAAGGGGATTGACTTGAAGGGTAAAATACATATAATCAGATATGACAGCATGTTCAGGGGATTGAAGGTGAAGAATGCTGAAAAGTATGGAGCAGCGGCAGTAATATTGTACACTGATTCCTTCGATGACGGAGAAATAACTGAAGCTAATGGATATAAGGCATATCCCCATGGTCCTGCGAGGAATCCGAGTGGTATTCAACGTGGGTCTGTTGAATACTTCACAGACTTTCCTGGGGACCCCACAACTCCAGGCTATGCGTCGAAGTCGCCACATACCAAACGAATGTCACCCGCAGGCAAATTGCCAGCTATCCCATCAGTGCCTTTGAGTGGAAGAGAGGTCGCCAAGATATTGGAACATTTAAACGGAAAAGGTTGCAAAATTGGGCCTGGAGGTAACATAGGCGGGTTTAGCTACTACAGTGGCCCATCTGATCCTAATGTAACGGTACGGGTATACAATGAGCAGGAGTATGGTATCCAAGAAATGAGTGATGTTATAGTTGAAATTCCTGGCATTTTACATGGCAATTCTATCATTATCGCGAACCACAGAGATTCATGGACTGTGGGAGGAGCGGGAGACCCCAATAGCGGTAGCAGTATTCTGCTAGAAATTGCCCGTGGTTTTAGTGAACTGCGGAAGAATGGCTGGAAACCTTTGAGGACCATAAAGCTCATTAGTTGGGATGGAGAAGAGCCTGCAATGTTAGGATCTACCGAGTATGGTGAGAACCACGAAAGGCAACTCAAAAAGCAAGCCATTGCGTATCTAAACCTCGACACGGCTATAAGTGGGAGTAAATTTCAGTGCGAAGCCAACCCACTACTAGCGAGCGTACTTCTATCAGCAGCAAAGCATACACCTTTTGTGGGGAGGCCCTCGACTTCGCTCTACGATCATTGGAAGGAAACATCTGATCTCGATATTGGTGTCTTGGGCTCTGGTACCGATTTTGCAGTGTTTCAAAATCATTTGGGTGTGCCTAGCGGCAACTTCAAATTTGCCGGTAACCGTGAGGACGATGCAGTTTATCAATATCATACCAATTATGACTCGTATACATGGATGGAGAAATTTGTAGATCCAAATTACGAGCTTCATAACACTATGGCCATTTTCACTGGGATGTCAGCTTTGATGATCAGCGAGGATGAGCTCATTGACTTCAGGACACACGCTTACATGAGCAAGATCCGCCAATATTACAATGGGTGGCACAAAATGTTGAACTCAACCTTCCCAGCTGATTCTAAACTACAAACACTAGCAGGCACCCTCTCTCGGAAACTAGATGATCTCGCCGAAAGCGAGAGCGTGCTGTTTGACACGCACACCGCGCAACTACGTAAGAAAGCCAGAAAGGACTATCCAGTATGGTTGTTTTACAAAAAGCTCATAATATATTTCAAGTTAACAGCCGCAAACCAGAAACTAAAAATGCTAGATCGTCTGTTTTTGACGGAAAGAGGCTTAAAAGATAGAGACTGGATGAAGCATTCCATCTTTGGTCCAGACAAGTATTTGGGGTATTTTGGAGATGTGATACCTGGTCTGCACGAGGCACTTCTGGTAAAAGATCGAGAAGAGACCCTCGAATGGCTGCAGATACTTTGCAAGCAATTTGAAAAGGTATCAAAGCTAATTCATTTGTAAATGCTTCTTATATAGTCACATGATTGTCGAATAATGCGGGGCTTCCTCGGCATGAAAAAAAAAAATCCCTTTCTCGCAGAAGGTGTGCTCTGAAATTAACAGTGTTGAAAGATCAAAACTAATTATTCAATATGATATCTGCAGCTAAACGTTCAATCATCAGCCAAGGGCGCCTCTTCTCTACAACTGCTTCTGCTATGGGCAAGAAGGTTTTCTTTGACACCTCGATCAATGGTACAAAGCAGAACAGAATTGAGTTCGAGCTGTATGACGAAGTTGTCCCAAAAACCGCTGAGAATTTCAGAGCTCTCTGTACAGGTGAGAAAGGATTTGGCTACAAGGGCGTTCCTTTTCACAGAGTCATTCCTAACTTCATGTTGCAAGGTGGTGACACCGATTTGACCAACGGCTACGGTGGTAAGTCCATCTACGGTAACAAATTTGCTGACGAGAACTTTACCAAGAAGCATGATAAAGCCGGTCTGCTCTCTATGGCTAACGCTGGCCCAAACACCAATGGCTCCCAATTTTTCATCACTACCGTTCCTTGCCCATGGTTGGACGGTAAGCACGTGGTCTTCGGAGAGGTCACTAAAGGTATGGACGTTGTCAAGACCATAGAAGCATTTGGTACCATGTCCGGTAAGCCACGCGCTAAGATCGTTGTCGAGGAAGCCGGCGAGTTGTGAGCTGACTCAGTCTACTGACCCGATACATCTTCATGTATATATCATTGTGTACGCACATGTAACGCTGGAATTTTCATTTATGACCAACCGTAGTATCGATCGGTACTCAAGTAAAGGGGCATCATTAAGAGCAGGTTTGGATTTTGGTTAGTAAAAAAGATCAGATGAGTATCGAGAATAACTTGAGCAAGATGTCGCTCTACGATGCGAAGAAGTACTTTAGAAAAGCTCAAAATGTAGTGTTCAACTACACAGAGATGGAGGCAAAAGTACGTGAGGCAACAAATAACGAGCCTTGGGGTGCCTCTTCGACGTTGATGGAACAGATAGCGCAGGGAACTTACAATTATAGAGAGCGGGAAGAGATTCTTGGTATGATTTTTAGGCGATTCACAGAGAAGACAGCTAGCGAATGGAGGCAGATCTACAAAGCTTTGCAACTTCTGGAATATTTGATCAAGCACGGATCGGAGCGGTTTATTGACGATACGAGAGCAAATCTGTCACTGATCAAGATGCTAGAGTCATTTCACTATGTGGACTCACAGGGCAGAGATCAAGGTATCAATGTGAGAAATAGGGCCAAAGAATTGGTGATCCTGTTGAATGATGACAATCAAATTAGAAGTGAGCGGAAAAAGGCCAGAGAAACAGCAAAGAAGTATAAAGGTGTTGCAGGCGGTGCGCCATCCTCTTATTTGCCCTCTTCAGCTATCAACACTTCAGCGGGATTCGGTCGTTCGACCAAACACGGTATTTCCGTGAGTGCAGACTACGATAGTGATGAAGAAAACTCGAACCCTAACCAAGGATCATCACAAGCAGGGTATGAGGACCATCAGTCCAAAGGTGGACAGGACCAAGAACTCTTTTCGGACAGCGCGGCAGCTGCTTCCTCGAAAAACACCACTTCAGGTGGCCAACAAGACGAAGACGATGATGATTTTGCGGACTTTCAAAGCGCTGTTCCTGTTGCTGACAAACCTCAGTCCACGTCGTCAGTGCTGGCTGACCTCTATGCCTCTGGACCACAAATTTCAACGCAATCACCCGCAACTACCGTGTCTGCGGGTACCATGCCAGTGTTTAGTAGCATTCCGTCTTCGAATTCCGTGAGTGTGCCAGCAGTTGCTAGTAAGCCTGCCCCAAAAAAGGATGATCCCTTCTCTTTCCTCTTTTCAAGCGCCAAGAATCAGCCACCTGCTTCAAGTATTAAAAATGGAGTATCGGCCCATGCAGAGGCCCAGAAGCCCAATGAAAACGATGAAGAAGACGATGATGGATTTGGTGAAATGGAAACAGCTGCACCAAAATCTAAGATTTCTACATCTGCTAATAATTCTCACGAAGTAGACTTATTGAGCTTTTGAAGTGTAAGTCGTTATGTACGTGCACAATGTGACATTGATTTAGAGAAAGCGCTTTATCAACTTTATTATAGAGATACGGGCAGAAACAACAATTATAGAGACCACCATGACAATTTACTCTCTTTGGATCTTTGATAGACATTGTATGTTGTATTATAGCTTATGAAATATTGATATCAGGATTTGTATTCTAACATTAGCAGGTAATTGCATATTTGACAGAGAATGGACGTTGAAGTCTAATCAGGCCAGTGGAACTACCAATTCTAAGCAAAACGAAGATACTGCAAAACTCATTTATGGTATGGTATTTTCTTTACGTTCCATAGCACAAAAGCTCTCTCGAAATGAGTCGCGAAATGAAATTAGAACAATCGCAACAGGTAAGTACCGTGCTCACATCCTTTGCACAGCGACAGGCCTTTGGTTCGTTATTCTAAGTGATTTGAAGCAGGAAGATTTGTCGCATGTTCTTCGATACATTTACAGCGAGATATATGTGAATTACGTCGCAAATAACTGGCTTGGTCCCATAGACTTTGCAGAAACAGAACAAGAAAAAAGAGGGCAAGGTACCAGGAAGATCACTAATAGAAATTTTGTACGTGGCATAGAGCAGTTTTTGAGCCCGATGGTAACAAGGTGAAGTCAAATAAAATATTATAACGTTCAAATGAGTATATTACATATTGTTCATAAATACATCCGTCCAAAATTCATCATTGAGAGCATTGAACCCAATTTCAAGGGAATTAATGTCAGCCAAGTAGCTATTAAAATCCTCACTAGTCCCACTCGAAGTGTTTAAGTCATTAGAAAGGTCTTCGCGATAAGAGGCAAGAGGAACTTCCGGGACATCATTGGAAGGAGATACTGGGTTCAAAAGCATTGGTAGAGACCTCTGATCTGGAGCACTCATACTGTTCTCAAGAGGTTCATTTACTTGGTTGGCTCTCGTTTCTATGTGAGAGCGCGAGTTCTCGATGAATGCCTTGACTTTATTGGCGTAAATTTGAACGAAAAGCGTTACCACATATCTCAGTTTAGTGAGAAAATTATTGTAAGGGTAAAGCTCAGCACTTCTATCCAATAATGTGGAAATATCTTTGACAAGGGTGAGAGCTTGTTCAGTGCTTGGTTTTAGAAATGAAAAGGCTGGAATAGTTACTGTGGTGTATCTTAAACGTAGCAATAACATACCCACGGTGTAAATGATTCTGGAAATATGGAAAAGCGGTAAAGAGGCGATAAGCTCTGGAGACAATTTCAAGAACTCTCTCATTGCAGATATACATGATTCGCAGCATTTAAGGAATGAATTAGAAACATCCACTGGAACATGTTGTATAGTAGATTGGTCCGCGAATTTTGCGATGAATCTTGAAAAAATCCACTCATGGAGATATGCCTGTACGGAGTAAAAGAAAGCCATGACTCTCAGTCTCTCGTATGGAATTTCCTGGAAGAATTCCTCTAATTCCTTTTGCAATTGCTCAACGATTTTCTTTTGCGTTTGCGAAAAAAGTCCTTCTTCATATGTGTCCTCTTCATCAGCCTCATGTAATTTTATGTGCACCTTTTCAAGAATGTGATTAAGCTTACCAAACATGATCAATACTGATGCTTCCTCGCGCTCGCGCAAGTCCTGTTCGTTGACTGAGGACGACGATAGTATGTTGCACGCCCGTTCTTGTACGATTCCCCATCTATTCTGTATCGATTGTCGAAGAAAAATGTTGATGTTTAATGCGGAAACATAGACAAGGATTATTAAGCGTGGATAGCTTTCATTTTTTAGGAGAAAATCGTCGATGGAGGTCGATTCATCTTCGCTTCTCATAGTATGATTATTCATCATCGAAAAAAGTTTTGGCCTGCTCACAGGTACAAGATCACGAACCAAACAGCAACATACATAGTTGAAAAAATGGTATCTAGTCTTGTTGGACCATTCTGGAAAGTTGTACCATAAGCACAGTGTGAGGAGAGACTTAAGAAGTTCGACAGATTTGTCACCCATACGCATCATGCGATGAGAAATAAGACACAAAGTGAAGTTGTCTAGTTTCATATTTTGATCTTCTGAGGCCTGGTCCACCGTGAGCATGCCGGAAACAATTGACATTACAGAAGTGAAGAGCAATGGTTCCTCTTTGCGGATTTCATCAAGAGTTTTGTTCGCAGCAATTTTGACGAATGGTAACCGGTAGTTGTTAGAAATTTCCGAGCGATACAGCTGCAGACGGAACTCGGCTTGCTCCCGCGTAATGATGCCAAGTGATATGGGGTCGAGTGTTAGTGGCATTGCCACGGTATTTTCTATTGCGTCGTTCCATTTCTCGGACAAGCGAGTGAGTTCGCTGGAGACTGATTCGAGCTTTTCGCGTTGCCAAGAGAGCAACATCTGCAGTTCGTGGTGGAGCGCATGTTTGCGACTACCACTTTTCGTCGAGTGGGTTGGTCGCGAAAGCATGCCACCTAACGCGGGCGTAGAGCTCGTTCTTGAGTGAGCTGGTTGACCAGAAGTCGCGGAATTCGCAGTTTCAACAGACCTGACGGGTTCAGCCGACACCGAGGACCAAGTGCTGGCCTGTGAGCCCGCGCTCAACGAAGCAAGCGGCCCCGCAGAAGCCAGCGGACCCAACGGCACGAGCGGCGCGAGCGGCGTCAGCGCAGAAACACTCTTGGAGCCATCTAGTAGGCCAGGCGAGTGCGCAACATCAGGCGAGCTCAGTCCGCCGTCGCGTCTTCGTTTCCGAGTGCGCTTGGAAAGATCGAACTGACAAACCCGCTTGCTGCGCGCACAACGCATGCATGGTTTACGGTAGATATCCTGGAAGTCGGACGGTACACACTTGGACTTCTGTGCATGGCAATTGGTGCACGCAAACGTATTCCTCTTGAGCTTGCCCTTGGCTCCAAGTTCCATCGTCACTGGCTGACTCAGCCTGGGGTCGTCGAAAGGTACTCCGACAATCACCGCTTTTGAGTATTCCGCCTCGGGCGCCGCCTCAGCCGGCTCCCGCATGATGTATCTTTCCTGAAGCATGTGTTGCTGGGACATTGGCTGTTCCAGGAGGCTTCTTTTGCTTCGTTGCGATCACGATACCTTTCGGTTACCTTTCTCTACCTCTTCGTCAGAGCGATATGCATTTCAATTGCAACTGACATGTCCACGGCTGTCGCCGTGCACGGCTTTGCGAAACCATTTTGGGCCACTTACGTCCCTGGCGACGTTTGTCCCATATTTTGACCCATTTCTAGACCCGTGCCTTATGCTCTTTTAGGTAAGCATGATTCGCAACGGGACGCGCGTCTACCGAGGGTATGCATTCTAGAGTGGAATTTTGTTCTCCGGTTCGTAAAGGGGTCCTCCGTGCGTGGTGAGACCTGACTCGGGCCGGCGCGTCCCGAGCGTGTTACGTACATGGTGATTATATGGGGTGAAACAATAAGTACAGGAGACGCATTGGTTTGTCACGGACCACGGCGTTCTGATCTCGGAGTCCCTTGACAGGACGGATAAGAGGTGCGTGTGACGCATACGATGTAAGAACTTCACATTAGTGAGGAGATGCGCCGCAAGGCGTCGTGCATCGCAAACGTTTCCGTTATAAGCATTGCAAAAGAATATGTCAAAGATACCGCATTCTCGTTGGTTCCTTCGAAAGTTTCTGGCGGTGCGCCGCAATGCGTCGCGTGGAAGTAGTCCCTCCACGCCGCCCCGCCGGACTTTTTTTTCCTCGAGCGGCCAAGCGCCCGATAAGGAAATCCAGCGCGGCCTCTTGGTTGCGTCGGAAGGAACAGACTGCCGTTCGTTATCGCTAATTAAAAAGGCTTCCTCTATCTGGTGGATAATTGGCAAAAGTTTGAATGTGCTGATGTGTTGATTGAGAGCTGCATGCTTCTCTGAGCCTTGGCAACCGTAGGTGTCAAACTCTTAAGATAGGTGTGGGGCCACGCAGCAGAATGTTCTTTCGCCCTGCAGATAAGATTCCTCTCTATCGATGATGATTGTTGCAGAGAATTATCAGATCATTGTGTATATAATGCAGGTGCGATTGTGCCAGTTTAGCAATGTACGCCTTTAATTATCCTCGGTAAAACGCAAACCTTACAGCATGAAGTCGATCAGAGCGCTGCTTTCAAAAGATGCGCCTATCACAGAAAAGGAGCTGATCCACGACCATACTGAAGATGATTCGGACTCCGTAGGTATGTCTTCTGCGGTCAACAAAAAGGACAATGTTCTCACCACTGTGCAAAGCGGTACATCGGAAAAACGTTTGGGGGTTATCGCCTCTGCAGAGTATGATCCTCTCGCAGAGGCTCTTTCGCAAGAGGTCGAAGATGACGAGTATGCAGGTATCACAACAGTCGACGACTCGCCTTACCCCGAAGTTCGGGCTGCCGTGCCAAGCTGGGACGATCCTACACTTCCCCAGAACACTATCCGGATGTGGGTGCTGGGTATCATCATGACCACCATCGGATGCGCACTTAATATGCTTTTCTCCATGCACGCACCATCTATTATTTTGACAACCTACGTCACGTCTATCCTGGCTTGGCCTCTGGGTAAGGCCTGGGACAAAATCATGCCGGATGTGCGTATCTTTGGCAAATGGGGCGGACCATCGCTCAACCCCGCTCCATTCAATCTCAAAGAGCACACCTTAATTACCATCATGGGTAACGTGGCTTTTGGGGGTGGTGAAGCATATGCTACAGACGTGCTACTCGCAATGAACAATTTTTACAACGCCAATTTCGGCTGGGGATTCAGCTTATTGGCCATCTGGTCCACCCAGTGTATTGGTTTCTCGATGGCAGGTCTGGCCAAGAATTTTCTTGTGAAGCCCGCGTCGATGATCTGGCCCGCTAACCTTGTCTCATGTACTTTCCTCACTAATTTACACGTCAATGAAAATCATATAGCCAACGGGTGGAAAATCTCACGTCTCAAGTTCTTCTTCTTGGTCTTTGTCTGTGGATTCCTGTGGTATTGGATTCCAGGCTTTTTATTCCAAGCCTTGTCGTACTTTGCGTGGGTTACATGGATCAAGCCTGATAATGTCGTTATTAATCAGGTATTCGGTGCCACTAGCGGTATGGGGATCCTACCAATTACCTTTGATTGGAACCAAATCGGTGGTTACGTAGGTTCGCCTTTGGTACCACCAGTGTCTGCTGTTGCAACCATCGGTCTTTCGATGATTCTCATCTATTGGATCGTTGTTCCTGCTATCCACTATTCAAATGTCTGGTACGGCAAATATTTGCCTATCTCGGATTCGGAGTCTTACGATAGATATCAGCAAACCTACAATGTTTCAAAAATCATCAACACGGATTTGTCCTTCAACAAACCAAACTATGAGAAGTATTCGCCTTTGTATCTATCAGCTACGTTTGCGGTTGCGTACGGTTTGTCATTTGCCTCTTATACCGCTACAATCACCCACTCGATAGTATTCCACGGTAAGGAAATTTGGAAACAGCTCAAGGCTTCGAGGGAAGAGGACGAAGATATTCATGCTAGATTGATGAAAAACTACAGAGAAGTTCCATCCTGGTGGTATGGTGTAGTTTTCTTGATTTTTTTTGGTTTCTCCATTGCAACAATTAGAGCTTGGAATACGGAAATGCCAGTGTGGTGTCTAATTGTAGCCTTAATTATTGCCGCAGTTTTCCTGTTACCTTGTGGGTTCATTTACGCAATTACTAATATCTCAGTAGGTTTGAACGTTATCACAGAATTTATTATTGGTTACATGTTACCAGGTAAGCCAATTGCAATGATGTTCTTCAAAACCTTCGGATACATCACTAATAATCAAGCCATTACATTTGCCCAAGACATGAAACTCGGTCACTATATGAAGGTAGCTCCACGTCTCATGTTCTGGGCACAATTTATTGCCACAGTTTGGGGCGGTCTTGTCCAGATCTGCGTTATGAAATGGGCACAAGGTGCTATCGAAGATGTCTGCTCGGAACATCAAAAGTCGCACTTTACGTGTCCAAATGCTACCGTCTTCTTTAATGCTTCCATTATTTGGGGTGTGATTGGGCCTCAACGAATTTTTAGCGGAGATGGTCTTTACAAGGGAATGCTGTGGTTTTTCCTCATCGGAGCTGCTCTTCCCATAATCAACTGGCTGATCCTCAAAAAATGGCCAAAGTCGCCAATCAAGTACTTGAATTGGCCTGTGTTCTTTTCGGGTACAGGCTTGATCCCCCCTGCTACTCCATATAACTATGGTGCATACTGTATGATAGGTATTTTCTTTGGATACTACGTGAAGAGAAAGTGGTTTCACTGGTGGAGCAAGTATAATTACTCTTTATCTGCTGGTTTAGATATCGGGTTGGCTTGGTCGTCTTTGATCATTTTCCTTTGCATCTCCCTGACCAACACAGATGCGCCCTCCTGGTGGGGAAATAATGTCATTTCAACCATGGATTATAATGATACTGCTATCCAAAGAGTACTTGCTGATGGTGAATCATTCGGATTGACTAGCTGGTGAATAGATTTAATAATACGATTGTGCAATTGCTTCGAATGTTGACTTACGTAAGTAAAAATAAAGGTTTTCTTCTATCTCTTTGAGTTTTATTATTATGCCCACCTATAGGAACTAATAGCTAGTATACATCTTTTGATCTGAATGATTATTTAAACCTCAGGATTTGATACATGTAACTGAGCCTTCCTTAAGACGATTGAGGTCAGTTTGAGGAGCTGAGGAATTTGGTTGAGGAGCAGTTTTAGCACGGTTGTGGATCATGTGACTCTGAACCAAATGACCAGCTGCCAATGCAGAACATAGCGAGAGCTCACCTGCTAAGACAGCACATGCAACAATCTTAGCTAATTGGCGAGCATTAGTACCAGGGGAAGTAGGGTGTGGACCACGCACACCCAATAAGTCAAGCATTGCGGATTGAGGTTCCAAGATAGTACCACCACCAATGGTACCAACCTCTATCGAAGGCATGGATACCGAAATCTTCAAGTCACCGTTAACATTGTTCATCAAAGTCATACAGTTAGAGCTTTCGACATTTTGAGCTGGATCCTGTCCGAGAGCCAAGTACACGGCAGTAACCAAGTTTGCGGCATGAGCGTTGAAACCTCCAACGGAACCTGCCATTGCTGATCCAATCAAATTCTTAGATATGTTAAGTTCAACCAATGCATCAACGTCACTTTTGAGGACTTTACGAACAACATCACCAGGTATGATAGCTTCGGCAACTACACTCTTACCACGACCTTCGATCCAGTTAATTGCAGCAGGTTTCTTGTCAGTACAGTAGTTACCAGAAACGGACACGATCTCCATGTCTTCCCATCCAAACTCTTCGACCATTTGTTTCAATGAAAATTCAACACCTTTGGAAATCATGTTCATACCCATAGCGTCACCTGTTGTGGTTCTAAAACGAATAAATAATAAATCACCTGCCATTGCCGTTTGAATATGTTGCAAACGCGCGAAACGAGAAGTAGAGTTGAATGCTTTCTTGACTCTGTTTTGACCCTCTTCGGAGTCTAACCAAATTTTACAGGCACCAGCTCTAGATAATGATGGAAATCTAACACAAGGTCCTCTTGTCATTCCGTCTTTAGTCAAAACAGTGGTGACACCTCCACCAGCGTTGATGGCTTTACACCCACGCATTGCAGAGGCGACTAAACAACCCTCGGTTGTAGCCATAGGAATATGGTATGGAATACCATCGATCACAAGTGGTCCAATAACACCAACGGGAAGAGGCATGTAACCAATAACGTTTTCACAGCAGGCACCGAAGACACGGTCATAATCATAGTGCTTATAAGGCAGGCGATCTGTAGCTAGAACAGGGGCATCGGCCAATTTAGCTAAGGCCTTACGACGAACGACAACAGCACGCATATTGTCTCCCAATTGCTTTTCCAGAGCATATAGTGGCAATTTGCTGCTTGCGACAAGTGACACGACTTCCCTGTTTTTCAAACTGCGGACTTGACCAGCCTTCATTACCTCGACAAGTTCTTCCAATGGACGAATAGGTTGAGATTCATCTTCACTCTCGGTCTCTTCGTCAGAACTTGAACTTGAGGAACTCGAACCAATAGCTGTTTTCGTTTCAATCGATGAAGTCGCTGATGGTGGAGAAGTAAGGTTGGAAGTTGTAACAGTTACACCATTAGGTGTAGGATTGGAAGAGGCGTGTTTCTTTGCTTTCTCTTTTTGCAATTGCTTAGCAGTGAAATGAGTGTGGATTCTGGCGGCGTTTAGCAAATAAATATTGATTGATGCACTGATGGCTAAAGCAAAAAAGACCAGCTTACTGATGAATCTATCACGAATGGAGACACTGACGTAGCGCAAAACTGACAAAACAACGTCCTCTACTTGAAAGTAAACTTTCATTGGTTGATAGTATTGAGTAGGTGCCATAGAAATAATGACACCATTGGTATAGTTTTTAGCAACCACAGAAGAGATGAATTCGGGTAGGGGGGAAACAGATTGCTTAGAGTATAATGCAGAGAATGTTTGGTAGGTCCATCTGGCACCGAAGCTGTAGAAATTGAAGCCGATGAAGCCTAAAACAATGAATAATTTCAATAGAACAATACTGGTGCTGGAGGCAAAAGTAGGAGCTTTTGTCCCAGTTTCAGCGGTAGAGACGATGTCCGCGGTGCTTCTGACCACGCCGTCTTCTTCCAAGGTTTCCTTAATAATTGTAGATCTGTGGATAATGTTAATTTCGAGTTTTAGAGCCAAGACAGCGGCATAGTACGTGCAAGTCAATAGCAAATCGAAGACCAGGACTAAGGCGGCTAAAACACAAAAATTGGTTAGGGCCTCGAGATGAGATGCATAAAGAGAGCAACCGATGAAAGCAATCATACACAAGATGTGATCTTGCACTAGACGGCCACCCTCTTCGCACATTGCTTGGAAGACGATCTTGTCAGCGGAGCATTTTTGAGATAGGCCAAACTTCTTGAAATGTTGAATAATGTAAGCAGCAAGTTTGATTTTGTGATTGAAGCCAACAATAACGACCACAAATGGAATACCTTCGATCAAGCTCAGGGCGGTTACTGGTTGTTTCAGAACCACTTGACTCGTGTAAAGCGCCATAAAGAATGCAGTCGTTGAGGTGGCAATTGCAGACAACGCAATCCAGAATTTAGAGCCCGTTCTCTTTCTCATTTCTAGGAAAAGCCCAGCAACGGTGTATAACATGGCTAAATACGCGGTTCCAATAATGAAAATATCGAAAAGCTCCGCGTCTTTGAGTCTGCCGCTAAAGTTTTCGTAGAACGACATTAACGAGTTTTTGATGTCGTAGAGTCTAAACTTGTGGGGTCTCAAACTCCATTGTGTGCCGTCCGCAGCATGGGTGAGAGAGGGCAAGCTGAGTTCTTCTTGTAACAGGTATTTTGTGTCGTTTTTCTCGCCCACGACGTCAGCCAATTGAGGCAGCTGAGCTGACTCACTTGGCGACTCAAACTCCAGACGCGTCAAGTAATAGTGCTGAGCAGCTGGAACAGAGCTGATTTCGTCGTTAGAAAGAAGTGACCAGCCGTTGGACGAAGGGGCGTGATAGTAGTGCACACACTCATCCTGTAATTGAGCCACGTTGCTATGGCTTGCAAAGATACTCTTAGAGTCCAACTGCCAGCCATTGAAGTAATGCTCCACCACTGATAAGTATGCGAACGCAGAGAGGAACACCGTTACCAAAATTACATGAATAGGGTGTTTGGCAGAAAACCTCGATACATAAGCGACTGGCTTTGCTAAAGTCTTGAACTGTTGAAACAGCAAAGGCATTAGTTAAATTTGAGGTGTAGGAGACGCAAAAACTAGAGGGTAGGACCTTAGGTGCGTCTTTTTATAGACTATTCGGTGCCTCACTCTTAAAATTTTTCGGTTGTAAACTGCCCAATTTTCTTCGTTCCTCCGATGGGCTGACTTCAAAATGGTGAACGAGCGATAGAATGTTCCGTGTGCCATGACTTAGGGCTGATGGTGATAACGGTTGAAAGATCTCGGTAATAGCATTTGCCAAAGGCAAATTTGGGTGCGGAATCAGTTGAGCGTTAATCTGGCTGGCCGGGGTTATGATCCAGCCCCTTTCTCATCTATGTACGCGAGATATACACAAGTAGAACGTTGCGCGAATATCAAGAAATTGTTGAGTAAACATCTGCGATGAGCGTATGCTGCTAATTTAGCATGGTTTTAGTGTACGCGCTCGGTAAATGCTCGATGTAATTATGATGCACGTCGCGGACTGGCGTTGGCATGCATCAATGCCCAATTTAAGGCAGAATGTACCTCTGTCGGACCCTCTGTAGTGCCTTTGCCGGCTTTTGAAGGCTGATTTCGTCACTATTCACGTTTTCCTTTTTTAAAGATTATACAATGGCTTAAACTATGCTTATTTCATAGAGACAAGCTTGACGTCGAAAGTCAACTCAGAGTTGGCTGGGATACCTGGAAGGGCTTGCTTACCGTATGCATAGGCAGCAGGGATGACGATTCTACGCTCACCTCCGACAGCCATGCCGGCTACACCGATGTCCCAACCCTTGATGACCTCGCCGCGGCCAAGGTTGAAGACGAATGGCTTACCGCTGGTGTTCTTGTCGAAAACCTTGCCGTTCTTTAGCTTACCGATGTATCTCATACCAACCTTAGCGCCTCTCTTGGCGGTCTTGCCCTTACCGACAACGCGGTCTTCAACGATGATGCCACCTTCCAAGGCCTTGGTCTTTGGCTTCTCGGCCTCTTTCTTGGACTTTGAAGGTCCTTCTTCTAGGTCCTTCTTGAACTCGACCTTCTTCTCTTTCTTATCCTTCTTGGACTCCTCCTTCTTTGGCTCCTCCTTCTTCTTTGGCTCTTCCTTCTTCTTTTGCTCCTTCTTGGTCTTCTTGGTTTCCTTTGGCTGTTCGACCTCGGCGTCTTGCTTTCTCTTCTTGTTCTTGCTCTGCTGAGCCTCTTCCTCGATTAGCTCCTCGATACGGCTCTCGACGTCACTGGCGTCTTCTAGGTCGTCCAAGATTTCGTCTTCGTCTGGAGTTAGGTCGTACTCTTCGCTGTCGTACTCCTCGGAGTCTTCGTCTTCATCGCTGTCGCCGTAGGTAGGTTGGTCAAATGGGTGCTTGACGTAGTTACCAGTCAAGTGAATTGGGTAAGATCCGGTGATGACGAATTGGACTTCTTCTTCAGGAGCGATGACGATGTCCAAGGTCTGTTGGAATTGGACTTTAGGAGACAGAGTCAAGACTACGTACTCTTGGAACTCGTCATCGAATTCGTCTTCCTCGTCTTCTTCGTCTTCTTCGTCTTCTTCATCCTCTTCTTGCTTCTCCTCCTCAGCCTTCTTGCCCTTCTTTGACTTTTCAGATTTCTTCTTTGGCTTCTCTTCTTCTTCCTCTTCTTCCTCCTCGGACTCGTCGTCTAACTCGTCAAAGTCAAAGTCACCTCCCAAGATTTCGTCGTCTTCATCGTCGAAGTCTGGGTTTCTCTTGATGATTCTCAAGGTAGATGGCTTTTCCTCATCGTCCACAGCTTCGGGATCAACGGCCGCAAGCGTGATGCGCACAGTAACAGGTACAGTAACGTCAATTGCTGGGGTTGGAGTGTATGGTTCAACCTTTAAGTTGTAGGTGGCCAATGGCAATAGATCCGACATATTACTACTCTTTTCTTGGAAGATTTTGTTAAAGAGATGTTAACACTGCTAGCTCATCGCCTTGTTATACAAGAAAATTTTTCAAAAACCCGCCTTGTGTAGCCAAAAGAAACATAAGTTACGTAAAGGGAAAAGAAATGGCACTCACGTGATCAAGAAATGATCATCAAGTGTATAGTTTCCTCCTCGCGAGTGAACATCCTGCTAGGAAGGTAATTGGAGTTTCAGTTAATTACAGTTTATTTATTTTGGATGTAAAATATATTTCCTTAAACATTCCTTAGTTAGGCCGTAGTAAAGGGTTTTTTGTGAACCAGTTCATCTAATACACGTTTTAAGTTTAAAATTATTATAAGGATTTACACGGTACGGTAATTTCCGCTCTCACTTGTGGGCAAGCTTTATAAAGTTGATTTCGATGCATAAATATACTTTTGTATCAAACATTGATAATGATTTGAGACACACATACGTGGCCTTGGTGGAATTAAACCCCACCAACGTTTCTACCATTCGATGCCGGAATACCTTGCACCTGGCATCTGACATGTGCAAAAAATGATTTCGCCCAGGATCGAACTGGGGACGTTCTGCGTGTTAAGCAGATGCCATAACCGACTAGACCACGAAACCGGTTGCTCTAAGATAACTTGATAACGTGCAGCAGTGCGCAGTAGTGAAATTTAGTGAGCATTATCAGTATCTACAAGTACCCAATAACGAGTCATAAACGTAAATTAGTTGCACAAAAGGTTTTCAATACATCCGACAAAGCGCCTTATCTATTTACTCCGCCACTTTTCAGCGCCCAACATTAAGACAACTCCAAGGGGCGCCTTTCGCGGGAATGCTAGGTTCGTATCTATTTTCTATTATATACACATAGCCTGAAATTGGGAAACGCAGCACGCACAAATGGGCACCACGCTTCTGATTAGCCGTTTGATAAACTTGATGTGAAATTAGATAAGGAAAACCCTAAAGAGAAAGATACGTAAAAAAGATCACCATTTTACATTCATGTAATTTAGAATTTCAATAAGTGTGGCTTGTCACCGTTCTTCAAAGAGAAAGAGGCAGCCAAGTATTGCTTCAACAATGGGGTCTTCTTGATTTCAGCCAACAAAGCCTTGTCGACAACCTTTTGATCTTCAACGCGTTGAGCTTGGACTTCCTTCTTGGCTTGTTCCTCACCGAAGAAGTTAGATTCAGCCTTTTGCTTTCTGGTCAACTTTTCTCTGGCGAAGTAAGCGACGTTGAACTTCTCAACGTTAACACCCTCCAAACCAATTCTGGTGGAAGTAGCAATGACGTAACGAGCGTTAACTCTTCTCAATGGAACACCGTTAACCTTGAATGGACCAGAGACCAACAAAGTGTTGTCTTCCAAGTGCTTCAAGTAGACAACTCTCTTACCTCTGAAACGACCAGCCAACAAGATCAAAACGGTACCTGGGACTAGAGAGGCACGCAACTTTTGAGGACGAGCGGTCTTTCTGGCTTGCTTTGGAGCTGGAACGTCTTCAGCTGGATACCACTTAGGAGCCTGATAGAAAATGTTAGTAATTGAAATTATCATATAATTGGCGGCAACAGTTGAGTTTCATAGTGCGCACTGGGATTTTTATTGGCTTTATCAACTAATATGGCTGTTCTATTCGCGGTATAATAATATCACTCAAAGTGTAGTCCATACCGTGAAAACCATGGATATGTTCTTAAGTATCCTATGTGTGCCTTGCCTGGAACTGACAATCCGTGTACTGAAATGTTCTCAATCGGTAATGCTCTGTTGCCATATCCACCTGGATCTGAGATGAAGCTCTAAAGGCTCTTATTCTATGGGCTCTAAACTAGCCTTCTCTCCCTTCCATTGCACATTCGCCTCGACGTTCGCCGTACTTTCTACCTATCGGAGCTCTTAACATACTTTTTGGGCACTCATTTCTATGATGTTTCGCTTGTTAGTGTGTCCTAGAAACGTAAACTTCAAGAACTTTGACTATTAACTTTTTTCCAAGAGTTGCGAGTTGCCGTGGGAAGTTCCAGGCAGGCATTCCACCGAGAGAGTGCTGCTCGACGGTGGAAGCTCCGCCTGGAGAGGTTCGGAGCTAGGCAGAGGGGTACCGAGCAGAGGAGGCGACGCTCAGCCTACGCTGCACGGAGTGAGCCGCTCTCCCACCAAGGAGGAGAGCCGAGGTGGGCAAGGAAAGCGATAGTACATTCCGCGTACAGACGGGTACCTAGACGGCCACGCGAAAAAAGACTTTTCAATGGAAAAAACAGGACTCGATCAGGACCCATACATTGTAATATGTGGTGTACGGATTAGCAGTCATATGTAGTTTGTGGTCATGTGACTTTGTTGGGGAAGATAATAACTGCTAAGAAGAACTATCGTCTTTTGAAGACTTACGAATACTTATAACAATACATAGAGTTTTCAGTTTGAGCATTTCTCTCGATGCATCCATAAGATAGCAAGCTCAATGTTTATATTCGGAGGGAATATCAGGAACTGGGGGAACATCTTCATGGCCATAGTCAATCTTGAGAATCAAGTGTCCTCTGCCAATCTTCATCGCCAGTTGACCATCTTGTTGTATTTGTGAATCAGCTAGATTGATTTGAGCAACACCTAATTCTGTGTCTTTGCTGAAACGATGAAGAGCAACAGCACCAAAAACCAAGTTTGCTTCTGGTGATGCTTTGAAAGTACACTCTTCCTCAAATTTGACCTTGCCATCGTTGTCGGCCTTCTTCTCTTCTGTACGATACAAGTGTTTTATGCGGCCACCTTGTGCCAACGAAACTCTCACTTGGACAGACTTGCCCATGTTCTCCGCGCCAACTACAGTAACTTTACCTTTGTAAGTACCGTTTGGCGCCAGAGTACGAGCAAAACTGCTGGCATATGAGGCCGTACGTTGGTGGATAGGCCCAGCTACGCCAGCGATACTCGACGCGCTTCCGTTTTTTTGCGGAGATGTTGGTAGGTTGCCTTGTTGGACTTGAGTATAACTATTGTTTGGTTTGGAGGTATCGTAATCCAACGACGACCTCAAAGTAGCTGATGCGGACTTGCGCTCTGTGGGTTTAGAGTTCTCATCAGATTCTAGGGCCTTTGATTTCTTACTTGAACCGAAACCTTTTAAAAGCTTACTGCCCTTGTGTAAACCTCCTAAACCTGTTCCTGCGACATTAGAGACAGCGCCCAAACCAGCCCCTGCAACATTCTGAGCCGCTCCTAATCCTGCACCTGCCACACCGACGCCAATATTTGCAACACCGCCAATTGCCTTGAATGGCATGCCCGCGAGGCCACCTTCAATAGGATCCAAAGCTGGAAAGAGATATTTAGGCACAAAGGTGACTCCTAGTTTCACCCTACCCTGCGGCTTTAGGTTTAATACTACATCTTTTGTTTTCTTTGGATCGAACTGTGTTGTGTCAAGTACATTTGAACATAACAAGTCGTTTGAACCAGTCCTGTCCCAATCATGGATTTCCACTGTAACCTTATTACCCGATCTGGAAGGAATTGGAACATCTAGCTTTTGATTCCACACGGGCGAAAGAGTTTTTCTTTGAACTTCTGTTTTGGCGACCTTTTCTCCATCAACCCTTACGACGACAAATGGGTCGGATTTACCATTCCTATCATGAGAGGGGATGTTTTCAGCTGATATAACCTTTAGTTCCATTGTGCCAGTATCCAGGACTGTTTCCGATTCTGGTAGTTTAACGGATAAGGGAGTATATAGGAATTTAACCTCAAGCTTAGAGCCTTTTACGTCAACAATAGTAGGCTTCTCGTAGCCTTTCTGTAGAAGATCGTAAACGCTGAAGCATTCTTCTGTAAAAACATCATCCAATTCGCGAGGCTGCGATTTCCGAGTGATCCGAAATGTAACACGACTGTTTTTCAAATCACGGATGAAGCACGATCCGCTGTCAGGCTGGACATTTCCGTTCTTGCTTTTCAACGATACAATGGTAGGACAAGCGAAATCATCGAATAAAACTTGCAGGTAAGCAGAACTTTTGGCCAATTTTCCTCTTAAAACTTGAATATCCAAAACACCAGCGTTGTGTTCGACAAGTTCATTCAAATTCATTTTTGCTTTTCTATTTAGATTCTTTTCATCTTCGTCAGATTCATCAATCTCAACAATCTCATAGTCATCAGGGTGCTTTTCCATCTCTTTCTTGAGCTCCTCTTGCTCCTTGTCAATCTTTTGACGTTTTTCCTTTATCTTCTTCTCTATGCTCTCAACTGTTTCCAACTCTTCTGGTGCATAGACTGGAACAATTGGCATAAAAGACGTGGTTGCTGTAATATAATTCTTGGTGAGCTCCATACGTTTAGAAAGGAGTCTGCATTCCTTTTGCTTCTCTCCCTCACTTGCTTCATATTTACCTGTTTTAGGGTTCTTTTTCATCAATCTAGAAACAGGGAAATTGTAAGTCCCTATGATGCGATCATCCCCAACTTTCTGATAGTCAATGAGATCTAAAGAAATAGTCTGGTTTTCGGAAGTGACAGGCACATACACTCTTTGATTGAAAGTTGGCTCGCGTGTTTCTGAATAATAGCGGGTTTTGAAAATAAGGTGATGGTTTAATCTTACATTAATGTAAGGGTCAATATCACCGACGCCGGACAGATTGTCTTTAACGATAGCATTATGCAGAAACATCTTCACTACACCGATGGATTGACGAACTGAATTGGCTGGAGCGAAAGATCCAGTCATAGCAACAGGTTTCCAAAGTGCTGAAAATGATATTTCACCTTGAGGAGAAGCTTTTAACGTAGCTTGGCCAATTTCAGCAAGATTCAAGATATCTTCCAATGATGAGGAGTATTCACACAGCAATTCCTTACCGGTCATACCTTCATCAAACACTTTAATACTTACAATTGAATTCTTCTTAGATGGAATCAAAACTTCGACAGTTTCTTCCCATGAAGGTTCATTGATACGTCTCAGAGTCCTGTAGCGTTTCACACGTTTGCCATCAATTGAAAGTTCAGCAAAGGGACTTATTGCCCCCGCCAGACGAGACTCGGAGATGAGATATTTTACCTTGTGTAACGTAGCTTTTAAAATACCGACATCGGAAGATTGCTCTGCTGCTTCGATTTCATCTTCTTCATTGGCTCCCTTGGAATTTTCGGTGCTTTCTTTATTCTCGCTGCTTTCCTTATCGATAACGGGTAGCCAATGTATATCATAATTCAAAACACCTCTCGCTTTCCCATCTGACATTAACTTGGAACAGATATTTTCAAAAGAAGGGTTCTGATATAACTCAGCCATGTCGAACTCAACTTTACCAATTAGTGCATCCTTTCTAACATCATTGAAGTCATAGCATGACAAAGATAGCTTCTGTTCAAGAGAGTCGACAATGATATACTTTGTTTCATTCCACCGAGGTGATTTAACATCAGATTTGACAGATGTGCGGACAGGTGCTTCTGCAGTAGCATCTTTTTCAGTCACCAATGTCACGTATGGGTCAACAGTGTTACCGATGAAATCTGACCCCTTCAAGTTGTCGGCACAATTTATAGTTACCGCAACAACACCAATAGAGTCCTTTGCTTGGGCTGCCATAATTTCCTCCACATCAATATCCATCTTATTAGGATTGTAAAGCATTGGTCCAACATTCGAGTTGATTTGAGTCTTAACAAACGTCTTCAAACCGGGCAAGAAGGACATAATATCTAATCCTAATGTATCACCACCAACAGGTTTCAAGGCAAAGTCGATCAGAGGAGGCTCCAAGAGAGAAATTGATACTGTTTTGATATTAGGAAAAGAGTTACCAAATTTGATTGTGATACGCAATTTACCAGCAACATTAATGTCTTCTACAAGGACAGGGAGGGATTTAGAAACAAAACCCTTACCTACTGTAACGCCAAGAGCAATCTTAGGGTTGATTTTCTCTTCAGCTTCTTTCGCGGTCATATTTGAAACGTCGTTAGGGGTAAAAGAGAAAGTCCAGTCCATCTCAACTGTATCCTTACCCTTCTTAGTATAAGACTTGATGCCATCAATTGTTGGAGACTTTGTTCCAAGCGTGAATTCGTCCAAAGACAATGCATCAATACCGTAACCTGGTGCAACGCCCGCCAAGTTTGGGTTCACGACATCTTTGACCTGTTGAGAGAGAACAGGCATGTAGATCACCCAAAATTTGGACAAGAATGAGTTCAACCACAAAGTTCTTTCAGTCCTATCAGAAAGAGTTTCCTGCACAGTAATTCTTGTCAAATCATCTCTTATGTTTCTGTTGAAACGACGAAACTCCGTCCTGTAAACAGAGGCGGTACAAAAGATGATAAACCACAGAGACCACCACGAAAACCCCCAATGAGCAAGTAACCAGGAAAAAAAACACGTACCAACTACACCGGCCGTGTTATAGTAATAGTCATTGTAAAAATTCTCTGTGATGTATGCCTTCACAAGCTTAGAATCAGTGCTTGAGCGGCTACCGTCACTAGAGAAGGTACCAATACGATTCCAAGGAAACAAATTATCCACATTTTCTTCGCCAACCTTTTCTCTAATACGCTTGGCTTCACGCTCTCTGTTAAGCACACTTTCCTTGTCAATACTAGTTTCGTGCAGGTTCTTTTCTCTTGAGGGTGCATGTTTGAAATCCTTTGGATCCGTGATTTCCATAGGTGCAGGTCCAACTGTCCCACTCTCATTAGGCACTGGCAATTTTGCTACACCCTGGGCATTGGAAGCAACAAGCACGTCTTTCCCTGAAGAAGAATGTGATGCAGTGGAATTCCGAGGTTTAGTACTTCCAGTGGTCATCTCATTATACGCCTTATGGGCTAAATTACCGCCTACTTGAGCCTCCTTGGACTCAATGTTTGAGTCCACGGGCAAAGTAACCGTATTTTTAGCCATTCTCTTAGCCTTTTGCTGAGGTTTTGGGAAGATATTTGTTGCAGTAGGGGAAAAATAGGTTTATGCAAGAAAAAACTTCCAAGCTGCGTAGAACCTTTATAAACGTACTTAATGATATTTGGATATGCAAGTGAATATTCTTAGTAGTACTTGCTGGCCAACTCGCGTCTCTTCTCCATGGCATTCTGCAGTTGTGTGAGGGAGAATGCGCCAGATTCCCATATTTTATTCAGAAACAGATGATAGTAATTTTGGTTGCTGTCTGCTAGACGGAATGCACAGTATACGAGCTGCAGACACACAGAATCGGACAGTCCGGACTTATGAGGGAGTAATTCAGACAACAGAGCGTCCGTGCATTGTTCAACATACACTAAGAGACTAACATTGGTAGCAATTGGAGGTTTTTTCTCTCCAAAAAGCGGCATTACAACCGGTTCGGTAGACAAATCGAACATGGATGGAAAAACGACCAGCGAACTGTAGACGTGCTCTCTCACTACCTCAATCTTCCGCTTGACGAGCATTTCGGTGATAGTCTGCGTCGAAATTTCGTCTATTTGATACGACTTAATTTCGGAACACACAAATTGATACCGCATAGTGAGGAACACTTGTAGTAATGCGGCTCGATTATCGGAGAATGGGGGAATGGACGAAAGATACGTGACAATTTTCTTCATAGCGTTTACGCTTAGGTTAGTGCTTAGCAGTTTGACTAGACCCTGTAGCATTGTCGTAGTAACTTCCTTCGTGGTCGTACTAACAAGCTCTTGTACAATCCCGACATTAGGGAACTTGAGAATGAGGCCACGGGCGTGTGAATGACACATTAAAGCTTCCTGGTAATGGCCCGTCTTGACGCATGTCGCGACCAGCGCTGGCAGCTCCAAAATTTCGTTAACGCTTGACAAGTTTGCCAATACCACGGCCAAGCCATCGTCTTCTGATGCCGTTTTACTAGCATGACGTTTCAACTTTTCTAGCGCCACGTGGAATGCGTCCTCCTGTGCTTGCGTATCGTTTCCGTCAGTTATATCTAGCCCAGTATTGTCCTTGTCGGCTTCCCCCTCTGAATCTAAGCCTGCCTCTTTCTTCTCGAGTTCCCAAAGTTGGTCCATTTCCAGTAGCATAGATGACAACTGTGACTCAATGGGGTCTTTAAGCAGTAGATCAAACAGTTCATCCTTGTGATCGGTAAGAATGCCCCGTAATTGCCTTTCTAATGTTGATATCTCGGCCTCAACTTCTGCAATATCCTCTACAATGCTGCCTGGTTGTGGTTGTGACGAAAAGTAATCTTCGTACGTAGTTCGGGATTGAAGTACATCACTCATGATGCTCTTACCAACTTCTGAGTCTGACAGACATCCTGCCAGGTCGTCTAGTAGAACGTCCATGCCTTTGGCTGTCTTGTTTTATGTTCTTGTATTCTCAATTGATACATACTCTCAAGAGAAATTAAAGATCACTCTACACGCAATGATATTCCTGATGCTATGAGACCACTTAAAGATTCTTTTATCACTGGTTTAAATATCGACTTACGTACTTAAGGTCACTGTGGTAATATCAGGCTCCTTAAGCGCTGTAACCTTAACTTTGTAATACTTTCATCATATAATACTGGTAAAGTACCACCACATGACGCACTCACTATATACGCATAATGGTTGCAAATATTCCAAACCTTGAAGGGGCAGATGAGAAAAAGAAGTTAGTTAGAATCAACCTGAAGAATCAAACTAGAATGGAAGGAGTATTCTTTAACGTCGATAATGGGTATATCGAGGGTGTGGTTAGAGGCTATCGTAATGGCCTGTTAACCAGTAACCAATATATTAACCTCACGCAATGCGATACCTTGGAAGATTTGAAGCTTCAATTGTCGTCTACGGACTACGGTAACTTTCTGTCCTCGGTTGCTTCTGATGCTCTTACCACGTCAATCATTCAGGACCATGCATCTGCGAAGCTTTACCAAGAATTCCAGTACATTAGAGATCAATCCAGCTCTGTCACTAAGAAATTTATGGATTACATCACGTACGGCTACATGATCGACAACGTGGCCTTGATGATCACCGGTACAATTCACGACCGCGACAAGACTGAAATCTTGAGTCGCTGTCATCCTCTTGGGTGGTTCGATACACTTCCAACCTTGACAGTGGCCACGGACTTAGAATCTTTATACGAAACGGTTCTTGTCGACACGCCCTTGGCGCCTTACTTCCGCGACTGCTTTGATGCAGCTGATGAGTTGGATGACGTCAACATTGAAATTGTAAGAAACAAGCTTTACAAGGCATACTTGAGTGACTTCTACAATTTTGTTTCTACCGAGATTGACGAGCCTGCCCGCGAAATTCTCCAGGATTTGTTGAAATTCGAGGCTGACAGAAGAGCAATCAACATTTCTTTGAACTCATTGCAAAGTGCTGATATCATTAACGCTGAGTTGAAGCGTGACTTGCTTCCAGATTTGGGTAAGCTGTATCCTGTAGGAACCGAGCAGTTGGCAACCCACGCTACCGATTTTGAGGCTGTGAGAGGCATTGTCGACAATGTCTACGAGTACCGTGGCATTTTTGAGAACGGTAACCTTGAAGACCATTTCTACAAGATGGAGATGGAACTTTGCAGAGATGCTTTCACTCAACAATTCACGGTTAGTACCATTTGGGCTTGGATGAAGTCTAAGGAACAAGAGGTCAGAAATATCACTTGGATTGCTGAGTGCATCGCTCAAAATCAAAGAGAAAGGATCAACAACTACATCTCCGTTTACTGAGATTAGCGTGTATATCTTTTCCACAACATTTGTAATTTACAGTTAGCGATAAAATATAGCGTATTAAAAAATCAAAGAATCAGCAATACACGTTCATGCCTTGCGCACACAATCAGGATGATTTCTCTCCGAGAGCTGATACAAGTATACTTACATTTAAGATCCTCCTATTATATAACAACTTGCACACATCTATCTCCATTGTCCTCCATAGTCACGAATACGCTTCGTGAACCTTCTGCAGGTTCGAACTTAGTAGCAGCAACGACGCCTTGATACATGTGTGCATTCTTGCATTGAGAAATATCGATAAACGATAATGGAGCAAACCCTCCCAAAAGTGAATCAACGCCTGATCTCGTTATTCTTAAGCACCCTTTGAGTGAAATACGGCGAAGTTGTCTGAGATGCATCGAAATCGCCAGCGATGAGACATCACTAACAGCTCTACCACAAAAACTGAGATCCAAGCTTTCCAGGAGGGGGCAACCAAGGCATAATAACTCTATCGAAGCATCTGTTAGTGAGCAACAGAATGAAAGGTTCAGTTCCCGTAAATTTGATGCACAATTCGCAATAGACCTAATGGAATTGTCTGTCAAAAAAATGCATTCGCTCAAGGTAAGCTTTTGCAGTTTTGCAAAATGTTGAAAGCCCCAGTAAGAAAATCCAACATCTGTTAATCCCGTACAACGAGTCAGGTCTAAGCAAACTAAGGTCCCTCGTGTATATAAAGCTAAGTGGTAAAGGGTACTATCCGTAAGACCTTTACAATAACGTAAAGTTAAGCTCTTTAAATTCCGACACCCCACACCCACTTTCGAGGATACATCTGAGCTATCAAATAATTCCATACCTGGAATTGGATCATCAAGAGGATACAGCCAGCCCTCATGCTGTTGTGAAAGACACTTTTGATCCGCTACGGAGTTGTTCGGTTCGTTGTCCCAGCCAATTAATCGCTGTATTACGTCATCGCGAACATTTCTGCAATTGGTCAAGTCAATTTCTTCCAACAGATTGCCTATGCACGGTACCGCAATGTCCATAATTGCCATGGCGCTCACTTCCCAGCAGCCTTTCATTTTAATGGTACGCAATTGACCACCAATACCAATTTCGTTAATCATGTAAGAAAATCCTTCATCAGTAACATGGTAACAGTTGGATATATCAATCAGCTTAGGCCTAGACCCAACGAAGTCTGTAATCTGTATAAGGGATTTGTCGTCAATCGTCTTGTTCCAAAGTGTCAAATCTAGTTTATCAAATAGTCCAGGAGCAACATAAAGTAGTTGTCTCCACCGTCTGCAGACCAATCTCAGCTTCATTAGCTCTGGTAAGCTAAGATAATGGAAACATCTTAACAAAATACGATCTGGCAATGGCCCCACAGTCAAAACAGACGGCCGACGTCTAGGTCCACCACTTATACTTGAGAGCCGAACCCTTTTATGATGGGGCATATAGTTTACAGGAGCAGGATTTTGAATACTAAAAGAATTTCGATATTGCCTTCCACAATTCACAGGAGGAGGTTGCAACTCTAAAGGTATCTCTGCATCGCTTGAAATGTGTTTCAAAGTCACTTTTGTCTCGCTAGGTTGTAATTGAGGAGATGTCAAAAGATCAGCAGAGCTGGATACTCTTGGAGGTGGGAGAAGTGGCGAAGGAGGCCTGTTCTTAGGTACGTTAAATGAAAAATTTGGATTAAATGAAATACTCGAAAATGGAGTATTGAGACCAGTTCCTTGAATTGGAATATTAGAGTTGATATCAGAAATGCTAGTAGAGATTGAATCTCTCATTATACTTGGAATCGAAGTTTTTCCGTCGTAGCTGTCAGTAAGAGTTATCTTGTTTGTACATAGGGGTTCTTGAGCAACCGAAAGCTTTCGTTTGAGAGGGGCCGAAGACGGTCTCTCACCACTTATATCTGAATTTTTCTTTATCCGTTCTTCAGCTGTCTTCTTGATTTCCCGTTTGACCAGTGGGTACCTGCGACAAAACTCACGAAGGGTTTCTCCAGTCAGTGCCAGGAGTGTACAATTGGACACTGATCGTATATCTGCAGATCTCACAGACTGTCTCTTATCTTCACTTATTGAGCTTAAAAATCCCATTTCACCAAAATATTGGCCGGGGCCAAGTCTAGCAAGTAAAATCTCCATATCATTGACTGTCATTGATGTCGCCATTGAGACCTCTATAGATACTTTGGGCGATAGAACCTCGACTTCTCCGCTAACAATAAAGTATATGTCATTTCCAATATCGTTCTTGCGAAAAATGTACTCAAAGGCTTCAACCTGTCTGATTTCGATGCAAAGTGCGAGGCCGTGAATTATATCGGCGGGAAGAGTAGTGAAGAGCGGCAGGCTTTTCAGGAATTGGCGAATTGAGATTGAATCGTCTATATTTTCCATGGAAATACTAGCGAGCAAAGGTGAAACTGTTGCAACGTGCCTATTTGGAACTGATTTATCGCCAGGCGACGCAGAGGTTTGCTCTGAATTGCTTGGAGTAACATTTGTGTTAAGCAAATTGATCACACCGGCCTTTTGCTTTTTCTCTTGCATTGCAAGGCGCTCTTGAGCTTCATCTCTGATTTGGCGCTCTACAGTGGGAAAGCTCGGTAACACTTGATTGAAGTTTTCAACTGTAAGCACCCCGACTAGTACCTTAGTACGCGCGACCACTGTAGCCGTTCGCGGACGGTTGAAGAGAAGTCCAATTTCGCCAAAATAGGAGCCTTCCAGCAGCTCTGCGTAGACAGCCTCTCCATCTGGTGAGGTGATGTTGACTGAGCCTCTTAGAATCCAGTACATGGCTCTCGCCGATTCACCTGCTTTGACAATATAATCCTGTGCGTTGTAGATCATCAATGTAAGACGCCGTGCGATTTCAACGTAAAATGCCTTTGGTGCGTTTTGAAACAGAGTAAAGTTCGTAAGCTTTTCCAGGAACATCTTGGGTATGTTGTCAAACAGATGGAGTTGCTTGGCCACTTGTTTGCTAGTATCCCCCCCTGCAGTGTCTTCACTATCTCTGGTAGGTATGGTGTCATTTTTAGGGTAGCTATGGTTCGTTACCGTAGTTTGTTCCGCTGTACTGCGAGAATTCTTGATCGGCACTTGCACCTCCTCTTGTTCCTTCGTCACCTCTGACGCGAGTATGTTGTCACTTCTGGCCTCTTCATCCACAGTATCCGCCCTTGTATTTTCGTACACGACACCCGTACTTACTAAGTTGGAAAGGATGGACCTCCGTTTCCGCTTCCTTTGTTGGACACGATACATGCTCATTGTTTCAAAGTGCGTGCGTCTGAATAAGCCACAAGCTTGCGTACAGAGAAATGACTCTGCTTGCTACTTTGATTATAGCTTTTGCCGTTCGCTCTGCTGCTGAACTAAATACTCACCAGCCCTGGCACACGATCCTTTGACACGCGAAACCTCGTTAAGAAACCCTGCAATTTGTTTGGGAAGAAGCTACTGAAACAAGAACCGAAAGCATGAAATTCCGTTTGTCGCGATGATCCCACTGTAAGGTCTGCTTTTTTTTTTGGAAACAAGCTACAGAAATTCAATCTCACTTGGCGGGAAGATGAGTAAGAAGGTCAAGATCATAGCCAGAGAACCGATAATACGATGCAGAATGCTCACGAGCGAATCGTAGAGACGACATTGGATCCAGACGATGTTGGAATTGACAAAGACAATGGAGAAAAGTTTACTGCACTTGACATTATGCGCATGTCTGCAGGATTAGTGTTGTTGGCGTGTGTACTTGGAAAAGTACTTACAGGTTCTGCTCTATGGGGTTGGAATTGGCACAAGGAGGCAGTTTCCCTTGAGCCGAGCGCCTTTTGGTCTGATTTTGAGCTGCCCGTAGAATTTACACCTTTACAGCTTGGAGAGTTCTCCGGAGATCGTGCCTCGTCGGAAAAGCCTATTCTTCTAGCGATCAGGTCGAAGGTATTTGACGTTTCGGCGAGGCCATCTATGTACGGGTCATGGGGTCCTTACCGAAAGTTCACAGGCAAAGACTGCTCACGTGCCTTCAGCTACAGCTGGGGCGATTGGAATGGTCTCAGTGCACCGTGCGACGCCAGTCTCGATGGGCTTTCCGTGGAACAGCTTGGGAGGGTTGATTCGTGGCTCGAATTTTTTCTACGTAAATACCCCATGGTGGGGTACGTTGTCCCCGAACGCATCCCTGCAGGTGACGCCGACAATTACACCCCGTCCGAATCTGGTGATAGCAGCTGAGAAGATGACGCCCATGATTATCTCAGATTGATGTTATCTGGGAGAGAGATTGATGCTTGGTATTAAGAAAGCCCTGAACCACGCGAGTGTGCTAAGTGCTGCCTTCCAACTACGCTTCATCTGTATGGTACCGTCTAAGGTCGAGAAACCGAGATAGGACCGGGCCGAGGTTTCTCCCTACGCCAAGTCTGTACGGCCAAGAATTTCCTTTAAGTGATTTCCTTTTTTGACACATTACTGCGTTATCTAACATGCCATTTTTTTGATGCCGCACGTTGCCTAATCGCATGACAACCTCGACCGCCATATTTTGACACATTCCGAAGGGTCAAAAAAAGAACGACGAAATGTGGTCGTAGCATTCTTTTGAGCCGCGAGTGAATAAGAGGAGTGACCAGCAACAGAAGGTCAAGGCGATGCGTGCCCGTCTTAGCTTAGCATGCGGGTGACCCCACAGGGTTCAAAGGGCTTAGTAGCATTTTCAGTGTCTTGCATTTTCAGCATTGATCTCAGGATGTCACGCCAACGCTTTTCATTCGCACTCGGTTTTCTTCAACTTATGATAAGGCGTGGCAAAGATCGCTATCATGTTTATGGGTAGATTTTTGCATGTGCATTGGTGATTAGATTGAAGCGTGCGTCCGCACTCTTCGTCTTCATCGTGTCCTGCGGCACTACTATGTGCCCTAAGCAGTTACGAGCACTCAGAATTTGTCGCAAACTGTTGGGCCCTACGCCAACGCGATTACGACACGGTGCGTGCCTTTGACCGAAATTGTTTGACACATTTCAAATCTTGGGGGTCTTTATCTTCCAGGAGACAACACTGCAGCCACATATCATTACTACGTTGTCTTATCTGAAGGAGTTGATCCGTTATGCTTGACTGTGGCATGTTTTGACACAATTCGCCTGACATTCTGATCGTATGTAAATGCCCATTCATTCCTGGTGATGTTTATTGATCTTATAATGTCCAAAGACCTTTTCTTTTGAATTCGAACGTTTAAAATGTCAAGTGACAAGTTATCTGCCCTGGAGAAGAACCAGGTGCTCGTCGATGAGATCGACGGTATTTCTGGTGAATATGAGTCCGAGTTTCAGGAGCCCACACCAGAAGAAGCAAGCACTCTCAAAAGAGTGATCGGTTATCCCAAGTGGTACATATACTTCATTTGTTTGATCGAGTTCTCTGAAAGAGCCTCCTATTACGGTACAGGTGACCGTCTTTATAATTTTATCCAGCAACCTCTTCCTACAGGCGGTAGTGGTACTGGTGCGCCACCTAAAGGCTCTGATCAATCAGCAGGTGCACTAGGGATGGGACTGCAAACAGCTACAGCTCTTACCTTGCTGTTGACATTTTTGGCTTATTGTTTCCCACTGTTCACAGGTTACGTTGCCGATAAGTACTGGGGCCGTATGAAGATGCTATGGGTTGGTGTTATTTTTGGTATCATCTCTCATGTTATTTTCATTATCGGTGCCATTCCTTCGGTTTTAGCGAAAGGCCAGTCTGCATTGGCACCTTGTATCATTGGTATTATTACGTTGGCCGTGTCTACCTCTTTTGTTAAACCAGTCCTATTGCCTACCTTGCTATCTCAGTATCCACATGAAACCGATGTTGTCAAGGTGCTACCCTCAGGTGAACGTGTTATTGTTGATCGTGATGCAAGCCTTCAGCGGATGACGATGACATTTTATTGGAGTATCAACATTGGTGGTTTCATGTCTCTGGCTACCAGTTATTGTGCCAAGGATATCGGTTATTGGTTAGCCTACCTTATTCCCTTGATCCTTTATTTGATTATGCCAATTGTGCTACTTTTCCTTGGTAGGGTGATCAAGGACGAGCCTCCATCAGGCCAATCTTTGCTTGCAGACTGTTTGAAAGTACTTAAGGTTTGTTTTGAGGGTAATTGGGTCAGAAGATACAGAAATGGTCAATTTTGGGAGTATGCTAAACCCTCAAACCTACGTAAGATGGGTAGGCAAGGCTGGAGAAAGAACAAGCCTGGTTTTTACAAGGATTCTTTAGTCCAAGATACTAAGATCACCATTGGAGCCTCTGCCATCTTCCTCTATTACGTTATTTACAACATCAATGATGGTGGTATTGGTTCTATTGTAACTTCTCAAACCGCATCTATGACCAGTAACGGCGTTCCTAATGACTTGATTAACAACTTCAATCCTCTTGCTATCATCGTTCTCATGCCTGTTCTTGATTATTTGGTTTACCCCCTTTTGAGAAGGCTCAGAATCAACTTCAAACCAGTTTACAGGATTTTCGCCGGTTTCATGGTAGCATCGTGTGCCAGTGTTGCAGGTGCGGTAATTCAGTACCGTATTTATCAAACCAGTCCATGTGGCTACTATTCGACTAACTGTGCCAATGAGGGAAATGGTGTGTCTCCAATCTCCATGTGGGAGGTCGTTTCAGAGTACACGCTGACTGGTTTCAGCGAATGTCTTGCTATGACTACCGGTTACGAGATTGCCTTTGAAAGATCACCTCCACATATGAAAAGTTTCGTGATGGCGCTATTTTTGTTCACCAGTGCTCTTTCTGCGGCTCTGGGTGAAATTGTCACTCCTTCTCTACAAGATCCTCACTTGATCATTCCTTTTGCCGTCCTTGCAGGTCTTGGTGCTATCTTCGCGGTCTTGTTCTTGTGGAGATACTGGGACTTGGATAAGGTCATGGAACAAGAGAGACTCGAAAGACTGGAGTTCAATCTGGCTGAAGTCACGGGCGTCTACTCCGCGGACGAGATTGTCGGAGGCAACGAAAAAGTTTTGGACCATGATTTGGATCATGCAATTAGCGTAACGAGTGCTGTTGGAACCAAAGTTCATAAATAGATATGAAGTAATTATTTCTGACATTATTATTATATTAACAATATTTCGTTAAGCGTTCGATCTAATTTTCAGCATCGTGTTTTGTTCTAATGACAATGCGGTTATGATATCTGGTCATCCAACTCATGAAGATCTTGCCACGTACTTATTGTCGCACCAATTAAGTTACTGTTTTCAAGAAATTCTAGCTGCAGGAAGCCGGAAGTGAAAAGCTTTGTTTGTGATCGGTAATATTCACAGTGTTTGAGGAATGACCCAACATAGCCAACATTCAGAACTTTTTGCTGCTTGCCTATAAATACAGCAATACTAAGCAATACTGCGGCCAAATACATAGCAGCTCGTTCGATTAGAAGTTGCGTGATCTGCTTTACGAGCACGAAATGTGATTTAAACACATTTGACATCGTTCCCTCCAGTATCTGGCAAATGAGATTACCATCAAATTCGAGTAGAGTGTTGGGTAATAGTTGATAATATTCAAGTATTTTCTTTAGAGTAAGTGGAATCCATTTCCCTCCCGTAACGTATTCAAGGGGCATAAACGGTTGAGAATCTAGTTGCTCAGGGTCATGCTGACATAGTTGAATAAAATTATGACCCAGAAACCCAATTTCTGAATTAATAAGGACGTTTTGCAGATAAGCTGACTTCTTGAACGGTGGTAATTTCTCGGTGCTCAAGGGGAAACATGAGTTTATGCCGGTTCCTAATACCAAAGATAGATAGCTATCGCGATGTGTAGCTCTGTTAGTCAAATAGACTGCGATACTATCATTAACTATACCATGGACTTTTACATCAAATGTGAATTCCTTGTGGGCAAGTGCGGTTTTGAAAGAGCTTTCAAGTATTTCCGATAGGCTCACATTCTTGATATCATCTGTCATAATAAATCCCTTACCCATGGTTGTAATTTCATCGAAAGCATTAAGAGGAAAGCTAAATGTTGTACTCACGTGAAAAATTGAGCAATCATTTGCTTTAGAAACCTTGATGTAGTGTGCAATTTCTTGGCAAATCCAGTTGACAAGTTGTTGGAAGAACTTCAAATCCACCACGTTGGAAACATAGGGAGTAGTTCGAATATGACTGACTTCTAAGCTACCAGGAGAGACAACTCCAACTTTCAAGGTACTGCCACCGAAATCAATTGCCAAATAAAAAGTATCATTTTCATTTTTGGGGTTCTTGAAAGGGCGGTCACTGCCACTGGGTATCATGGATATGCTACTTTCTTGTAATCTTTGTTCCAATTCAAATAAACTGCTTTTCATGAGACTTTTAATCGTGCTTTTCGGGATCAAAATATCCCTTAGCTCCTCCAAAATGTCGGTTCCTGTTGTCATTGCTCAGTATGACTTCTGGTGATAATTATCTATTTTCAGATAAGACAGTTTTTTACCAAAACAAAAACATCATAGAAGTCTGGCATAGGCATTTATCCTAAATTGGCGCAAAATTCGGGAAGATCCTTGATATCCTTTTTATATGATCACTTATGAAATTAATTGGACTAAATTTCACAAAAGGTGATAATTTTATTAAATAATACAAGAATATACTGCTTTAGCTGCGAAACCGCGTGAACCGCAAATCGCATCGAGTTTTCTCATTTAACTACAACATGTTCGAAAATTCAATCCTCTTGTGTGAGTTCGCTCTTGACGTAATTGGCGTGTCCATTCATCAGAATACAGTCGTTAATGACCTTCGAACCCTCAATGTGCAAATCGTTCTCAGCGCTTTTAACACAGTCCATATTCCAAGAGCCTGGCTGGAACCATACGCTGCGCACTGGTAATTCTGCTTCCTTCAGTTGTTGCAGTATGGAAAGTGTTATGGGAGGTGGGGTTACGAAACAAACGCTAATGCCATCAATTGAATTTTTAAGTTCAGAGGCATTGAGTCCATCTGAGATGGATTTGCTGATTTCGAGTGATTTCTTGCCATTAGCCAGTGGTATTTCTCCGCCTCTTGGAGTTACGGGGACTACGGGCAAATTGCGCAGCACAAACCAATGAACAAGCCTGTTAGCGTAAGATTGATCTTGATACACCTTTCCACATACAAAATACAGGCGACGAGGACCAAAAAACTCTCTTAATTGCTGTTTCATGATATAGAGTGATGTATTGGATGAGATGCTATGATTTGTAGTCACCAAAGGTTCATCGTCAGTGAGGATATATTTCTGTTGTGTTGAGCAAAAAACACTCACGGTGGGGGTCGAACCCACAATCTTCTGATTAGAAGTCAGACGCGTTGCCATTACGCCACGCAAGCCAATTGTTGTAGAGATACATATTTAAATTCGTACTTCAAGTTTTGACGAATCAAGTGACTGCTGCTTTTTTTGTTCTTTAGTCGACAATACTTCACAGAAATTAATCTTAATAATATATATAGTGGGATCTAAACATGGCGCATTAAATTACTGAGTAGCTGTTTAGAGGTACTCTTTCTTCACTTGATAGGCGTATTTTCCCTTCATGATAAAATGCTGAAGAGAAGCAACAAACCGCTCTGCTTCAACTCCCAAATCATTTTTCAGCTTCTGGGAAAGAACTATCATGTCAACATCGCGTGGCACATCTGGGTAGAGAATACTCATTACCCTAAGCCGTGCGACGATCATTTCATCTCCGTTTAAGAGCTGCGAAAGCAAATTTGTGATGTAGTTATAGCATTTTTGCCTATTCATCGCTGTAAGCTGCGTTGTTGACACGACACAGAGCTCTAATGGGACACTTGCATTGTTTGATTCTTGTTGGCCAAGTTGCGAAATCGCATACTCAAGTTTTTTCGCAGTCTCCTGCTTTTCCAAAGGGCCGATTTCGCCGAGATAGTTTAGAAGCAGTCTTCTCTCTAGCTCTTTGACAATTGTTGTTCCCCTAATATTGTATTGACATAAAACACTTTCCAGTGAATCATGAACAAAAGCGAGGTTGATCGTATTAGGAGAATACTTCTTGTTGAAAAGCCAATAGTATAGGTCGAAAGAGACAGTGGCGTATTCATCTCCCAGCACTTCAAGTAATGTAAGCGATATCCAATCGTTAATATATTTCTTGTCTACCTGCTCTCGGATTTCACAGGGAAGCGAAAGTAGTGTCATTTTATTTAGTGTCATTTTATTCTTAATCTCTGTTTTCACGAATCGACTATTGCACCCAAGCGAATGGCCGTTACCACACATTTACATAGTTATATTTAAATCCGTTGAGATCCCAGGGAACGCTTCTTGACTAGTTTGAAGGTCACCTATCATTTTCACAAAACTCCGACAACATTGAAGAGGAAAAAAATATCCCCGATCAAAATTGTCTTGACTAAGCATTTCTACTAAGTGAGATGAGAGGAGAATGAAGGTTCTACTATTTAATGGATACCATCAAGTAGAGGGTCATGTTTTGTTCTTGATATATATTACAAAAGTTATAAATAAATGGGAAGCGTTTTCGAGGTTCTACATTTCTATTTAATAGAGCAGTTCAATCCATTTTGGTTTGTGACAGTCGTAGGGACTGGAATTTCGTCAACCATTTTGCACTCATTCTTCTATGAAATTGATGGACTAAGATTTCTCTCCTATGTGATGTTTGGAATAGCGTGCAATTTGCTTGTAATTATGTTGGCGCTTCTCTTTGCAAACATGCTATTCGTCTGCAAAAGAGAATCATTTGAATCTTATTTTAACATTTATTTTCAAGATTCGAGCATCAGCGTATTCTGGGGGTTGTTTCCAATGGGATTAGGAGTCCTCACCAATTATATTTTTCAACTGTGTGATAATGAGCTAAATGATTTACAAACAGTGCGAGGACTGGTCTTATTCGTTTACATTCTATGGTGGATTGACATAGGTCTTTCTCTCACAGTCACTTGGGGTGTAACTTTCTTAATATGGAGAAAGTGTAGTGCCTCAGTGACTATGGAAAATATCCCCGCAATACTGCTTCTGACAGTGATCCCCTCCATCACTGTAAGTTCCAGCGGAGGCACCTTCACCATGAGCGAGCTTTTATTTACAGCTACGAGTGAGAGTATTCAGACGATGACCCTTTTTGTGACATGCTTGATTTGGTTCAGTGCATTCCTATTAACAATAGTTGTTTTAAATTCGTACATTTGGAACTTGTATGTCAACAAAATTCCTCCCTTCAAGCAAGTCTTTACCATTTTCATTCAGATCGGACCTTTTGGACAGGCGAGCTTTGGATTTTTACTTCTAACAAATAATATCAAAAAGTACATTGAACTATACTATCCTGTCAGCGAATTTCCTCCAGATGATCGCATAAACACTTTAGCGGTTATTTGTTCATTCAAAGTTTGTGGTGCGCTTGTGGCCCTCTTTTTGATAGCAGCAGGTATACTCTTCACTATTATATCTGTACTATCAGTCATATCTTACTCTTTCGCGCCATCCAACTCTAGCATATTGGCTTTTCACAAAGGGTGGTGGGCAATGCCTTTCCCCTTAGGTACCATGGCACTTGCTACCGAAGAGTTTTATAGACAGTATGGACAGTATGTCTCAGCAAATGCCTTCCATGTTTTAGGGGTTATCTATGGTTTTACCTGTTCGTTGCTGACTATTTTCTGCCTTGCTGCGAGTGTCGTGGTATATTCTCGAGATATAGTTACGGTTCTAAATGGAAAAAAAGAAGATGAATGTGTCTAATATTCAAAATACTAAGAATTTAAATTTGATCATACAGCGTTCCAAGCTAGTCAATAATTGTCTTTACAATAATTATGTTTTGTTATGATCAAGGCTGGCCTTGTCACTTTGTTAAAAATGTGTCGTTTTTTATAACTTGGCGACGAACAAAAGTAAACAAAACCATTTAGAACATTTAATACAAAGCCAAGACTAATCAGTCAAGTACATATACGCCATCAGTATTTCATCAACAGCATTTAAATCAAGGGATTTCAAATGTGACGTTACATGAGGCGTCAAAGCCTAACAGATCAATCGAAAACCTATGTATAAGCATGTTGAAGATGCTTGCGGCGAAATTGTGTGACTAAATTCAAATTCACATAGAGAGTTTCAGACGTCGATCAAATCGACATTAGATATGTGGCTTATCAAGGGATTTCTTCCCTCGCTAGATATCATGCTTTACCCCCATTATTTCTCACTAAATTGGACAAAAGACCTAATTGACGTAAACAAATGGTAAAGTTAGACAAATATCGGGGATATAAATCAATAATGTTCGTTGACGGCCCTCTGTAACCGTAATTAATTTCGCCATCGAATATTTGTCATTCGTGAATAAATTTTTTAGGGGCGTGCTTTTTTCTCGAACAAAACTTGCATTTTTCTTATCCTCCCTTTAAAATGGTGAAGTCACTACCATTATTCTTCAATATGCACAAAGCCACACTTTTTGTCAACAATTATCCAAGAGGAGCCTTACCAAAGGCTCTTGTGAGTTATTTCAATCTGGATTTCGAGGTACGAGATGCCACTGCATCTCCGGAGTTTGCCAAGGAGTTTCCGTTGAAGAAAATTCCGGCAGTTGTTTTCCCTGATGGATCTCATTTAACTGAAATAATCGCCATTGTCCAGTATCTTGTCGAATCTACGGAAAACGAGAATATTAAGAAAGATTTACTTGGAACCAACGCGCTCGAGCGTGCACAGGTCGTTAGGTGGATGTCCCTTGCTAATTCCGATTTCATGATGCCTCTAACAGAGGCATTTTTGGAGACAATCGACCAGCTACCGTATCATGGAGATCTTGTTAAGATTCAACTCGAGTCTGTCGACAAAGCTGCCAAGGTATTCGAAGATCGCTTGAATGCTCACGAATTTTTAGTTGCTGACCGCTTAACGCTAGCTGACCTGATGGTAGCTAGCCTTTATGTATTCGGCTTCTCTACTCTTCTCGGAAAAACTTGGAGATCTCAACATCCCGGAATTATGAAGTGGTTTGACAAGGTTTCCAAGTCCCCTATCTGTCGTGACATTTTGAAGAAAGATAGGTTCGTCGAAGAGCCTGCAAAACATAGATAATAGTTGGAATGACTGGTGCCCAAAGTTTCTAGTTCGATTTCCAAGTTTTTTTTCTTCAGTGCATTCAATTGTTCATCACAAAGGAATCTGCGTAACCAATCATGTTAAACATACATCTGAATAGAATTATGATCATAAAAGAGCTACGTGAAGCAGTATGACATCTGAAAGCGACGAAAGCAAATAGAAAATTACGATAAATCCCGGTTACGTGGGGTTTAGGCGTTCCCAAATGTCAGTAGCTGGTTAACAGTTAGTTCGAATTATTTTTGTTCACTAGATAATTCTAGCCTACATAGTTTTTAGCCAAAATCTTAACTATTGGCGTAATCGTCGAAAGCAGTCCTTAGAAGCAAAGAAGCATCGTTTGAATAACATTCAATGCCATTTGAGTCCATTTACAGAACTGGCCAGACATAATTGGAGGAAGCGCTTGGTGTCTCTCTTCATACCTAGAAAATATTCTAAATTCTAGTCTCAACATGAAAATTTCACGAAGTATAGCGCCAAATGAAATTTCAGATGACCTGTCAACTCACGGGTGCCAAAATAGAAAATAAGATACTAATGACGCAAATATTGCCTTTTCAGTAAAGAACCGGAGATCAGTTGACGATGGATTAATGTCCCGCTAACCCGTATCTCACAACGACATTCAAATCTTACAATTAATTTATTCTCCTATAGTACATCCTTGCCTGTGATTTTTGTTTTTCTTCATCAAAAATGACAGGATGAAGAAATCCTCAGAACAAGAACGGCCTAGCCTTGCCACTATAGTTCATGGCAACTCATGAGTTGAAGAAACGCACGAAACCTTGCGCCAACTGCAAGAGAAACAAAGTTAAGTGCCTGTACAAAGAAAGCCTGCCGTGTGCGCGATGTTTGAAACATAACTTGAAATGTTATTTCCCGTACGAGGTCCCTAGTGTTGGCGTCGAGGCCATGCAACAGCAAGAAATCCCTCTAGAAAGTGTAAGTACATTGACTTCAAACAAGAGTGGGTGGGTAACTTCGGTAGATCATCGTCTCAATACTTTTGAAAATGCTTTAGAATCAGTATTAGCTTTGCTTCACACAAGCCAGAATCAACAGCAACAGCAAATAAAATTACTCCAGCAGCAGATTTCAGAAAAGCAGCATTCATTCCAATATAATGCACAACCACAGGTTGCGCTGCCTTCTGTCAAGGATCTCGAGAGTCAATTGATAAGCGAGTTTTCCGATCAGCAAAGGGGTGGGGTTTCCGATATCAAGGACTTTCGAGATTCGCCTTTCATTTCCGTGGCGATGGCGGAAGAGCTTTTAGAGATATTCTCACAGAAGCTTGCTCCCCACATGTACGGATATGATGTCAGTGATTTAAACGGTCATGAATTGTGGAATGATTCTCCTATTTTATTAGCTGCTATCTGCACAGTCGCTTGTGCTCATCACTCTTGCTTTGCGCAAAAAACACCACTATTCAGAGCCAGTCTCGAATGGTTCACTTCACAGCTTCTTCTTCGTCCTGATAAGTGTACTCACATCGAACATACGATACTCGCGCTAATAATTGCTGCTATGTGGCTTGAATCCGGACAAATGTTCACTGCGGTTGCTATACAACTAGCGAGAATTAATAGAATTGATCAATTTGATCAAATATCTTTCAAATCTCAAAAACTGTGGAAACTTTGGTACCTCCTTTACATTGTTGATGGTAATCAAAATTTAACTTTCCATAAAAGCCCTTCAATCTACCAACAGACAGAACCTATTATCCAAAAATGCAGATCGCATACAATCGAGCAGATTCCTGATCATCTTCTGAAAAGTGTTTTAATCGAAAACGATAATGCAAACGTACGCTTCGCAAGCAATAGGCAATTGGAGCTTTTGAATGAAGTAGGTCACGATAAGATTCCTGTCACAGGGCCCTCACTCAAGGATATAAGGATGCTGGCTCAATTGGAATACCACGTGGCAATGGAAGCGGTCTTTCATAACAAATACACTAAAGTGGATTCCAAGGATACATCTTCATGCCTCGAAGCATCCATGGTTCTAGTGGAGCCATCGGCTTTTGGTATTCCATGGGAGAATAATGTAGACTTAGATCGATGGATGATATCTTGGACAATTGCCCTTCAAAATATAAACATTCAAAACGATGCATGGTGCCTCAAGTCTACGTTACTTTATTACAATTTCGCCAGAATGCATATAAATACCAAGCCTCTACTGGAGGGTAAGAAATCGGCACTCTTTGAAGGATCGAATAGCAAACTGATTGAACTTTGGCATATTTCTGAAGAATCAGAAACCTCTCGACTTTCTTTAAAGGACAAATTGAATGCTTCCCGGGAAATATCATATTCAGCAGCAATATCTCTTTTAAAACTTGCGACCAACGATCATGATATTCGAAATATTTTTCAGTTTCTACCTATCCATGTTTATGTGATGTTATATTATGCAACGTTAGTGGTCCTGAATCCATCGGAGATACCTACCGATGATGACAAGGAGAATACGTCACGGCATAAAAAAGCATGGCAATTGGTAGCTAAATTCAGAGATATGGCATCCTCAAATTCTTTTTCAGACATGGAATTTAAACACAAGCTTGTGGATAGTCTCAATCAAATACTACAGAATTTCAAGAAGGCATACAGCGACATATTATTACGGCAAAAGAACCTGCATAATCCCATCGAAGAGATAGATCAAATTCTCGACGGGGGTAATCAAAATGAAATAGACTCTCAAAAACCAAGATCAATTCTGGCATGGCCTGGCACGAATCATGGCCACCCTTAATTAAGATTCAAAGATTTCGCGTCGGAAAACAAAAAATCGCGATACATGATAATGGATAAAAATATTTAGCTTAAGCAGGCATTGTTTAAAACCACAAAAAGGACTAGATAATTGAAGACTTGTAGAAACTACAGAGCTTTTGGTGCGGGAATCATATACAAATATCTGACTCTAGCAAATCACCGCAGTGAAATGTTTCACCCATTACCTACTCCTAATAACCTCAAACAAAAGATAAGAAAAGATCATCGTGCTTCACAGAAAAATGCTGAGGGAAGTAGCCGAAAACAAGATCGAGGATTTGATAAACTTGAACGCCAATTCCAAGCCTATAGAAATAGTATAGAGATATTAATTTCCGAATGTGATACATATAGCCTGGCTATCCTCTCATGTCTAGAGCACTCAATTAACTTCTCGAAGAGTTTCGGTCGAATAAAGAACGCGGACAACTATGATACGCCGACTTCGCCCAGTTTCGAAATGGGTAGTTCCGTTATTTCCAAGAAGCTGCAGAATTCGCCCACGTATAATCCTAATCATGGCATTTACTCACCTTGGGAATTTAGTCCAGAGACAGAATCGTCGGTCTTCAACGTCGCTGCCTTTGGGAAACGTTTGGAGCGTGCCCGCGACAAGATTACTGCAGACCTGGCGCTGCTGAGACAAAACGCAAAACAACCTTTACTTAAGCTCCAGGAAATCTGTCGCCATATCCAGGCAACAGTCATTGAAAGACAGTCAATCATCTCGGAGCATAACAAATACGCAAGCAAGTTCAATTATCTCGAAGCTAAGAACAGTAAGCATCTCTCAGTTAGACAAAAGCAGAATCAGCTGCGATACAACAAAAACATGAAGTTGAGCGCGATTAAGTTTGAGTCTATCAATGCGACACTTAAAGTTGAACTAAGAGTCTTTTTCCGCTTTTTCCAGGATTTTCTGTCGCATTGGTTTCCTAACTATTTTTACATTACGTACACAGTTGCCTACACCTTGTACAGTTTCCTTGGCAATTGCCCTGAAGTTCGAAAACTACTCGGACATACAGAGTTGCATTTCTCAGAACAATACGTGCACTCTGAGGCTAGCGTGTTAGACAGTTTTCATCTTCGGTTTGATCCTATTGCCAAACAAATCGACCGTTTCAAAATAACTTGCTCTTCACGGCTTTTAAGGGATTCTTTGACAACCGCTTCCAATACTTTTAAGTTTCAATTCGAAGACAACGCTGCAGATGGCACAGTTTCCACATTATACGCTACGGCGATTTGCAGTTACCAGCCGGAATCCAGCCAACCGCAAGTCCTAGCTTTTCGGAATGGTGACATAATACAGGTAATCAAGAAAAGTAATACAACTTGGTGGTATGGCAGATTGCTACGAAATAAGCGGCGCGGATACTTTCCGGTTAATCATGTCCAACTAGAAAGGTACCTTTGATATTTGTAGTTTGAAGAGGGATTTAGTGGGATCGTTTCTGGTGAGTTGTTAGGTGGTGTCAGATGACGTATTTTATATGAGCAAATGATGTGGACACTCATCAAGGCCACCTATATAAAGTTAGTTAACGAGAAAATAGACAATTTACATAAAATTTGTCCAAACATCTTCTCTGGTAGTTTAATAGAGTGATCTTAAACAGTTAAAACAATGACAGTGAAGTCGTTTGAGGTATCCGAACCGCTAGTTTCAAGTTTGAAAGGGTTCGCATTGGCCAACCCTAATCTCACTTTGGTCGAAGGTGAGAATATTGTGATGAGAAAAACTGATGACAATAAGATAGCACTAATATCAGGTGGTGGTGCTGGTCACGAGCCTACTCATGCTGGATTTGTAGGACAGGGGATGCTAAGTGCCGCCGTATGTGGCGAAATATTCGCCTCCCCTTCCACCAAGCAAATTTTGAACGCAATCAAGCTAGCCAGTAAGCATTCTTCTGGAGTTCTATTAATTGTCAAGAACTACACCGGTGATGTTCTGCATTTCGGCCTGGCAGGTGAAAGAGCAAGAGCTTTGGACATCCCATGCAGAGTCGCTGTAGTAGGAGATGATGTCGCTGTAGGAAAGGCCAAAGGTGGCCTTGTAGGACGGAGAGCTCTCGCTGGGACTGTTTTAGCTCACAAAATTACCGGTGCTTTTGCTGAAAAGTATTCTGAAAAGTATGGCCTGGACGGTTGCGCCAAAGTGGTGGAGATTGTGACCAACAATTTAGTCACAATCGGCTCTTCTTTGGATCACTGCAAAGTTCCAGGTAGAAAGTTCGAGAGCGAACTGTCTGCTAAGCAAATGGAATTGGGCATGGGTATTCACAACGAGCCTGGTGTAAAAGTTCTGGAACCAATCCCTTCTACTGAGGAACTCATTGAGAAATACATGCTTCCAAAACTTCTAGATCCTAGTGATGAGGATAGACATTTTGTTGATTTTGATAAAGATGATGAGGTTATCTTACTTGTGAACAACCTAGGTGGTGTCTCCAACCTAATTCTTTCAGCTATTGCTGACAAAGCTACGGAGTTCTTGGAGAAAGATTGGAAAATCAAGCCTGTGCAAACTATCACTGGCACTCTTATGACATCTTTCAATGGTAACGGCTTTAGCATTACTCTTTTGAATGCTTCTAAGGCCTCGAAACAATTGTCTGATGAGTTTAAGGAAGTAAAATCTGTTTCGGATCTATTAAACGCTCCTACTGACGCTCCAGGATGGCCAAATATCACTAATGATAGCTCAGCTGCTCCCTCCGTTGACGAAGATCAATTGAGAGACGACATTAAAGTGAAACCCGCAGGAAGGTACGACTTTGATCACTTCTCAAAGATGATGAAGTCGGGTGCCGAGCAGTTGATTAAAAGCGAACCTCACATCACCGAATTAGATTCAAAAGTTGGTGATGGTGACTGTGGCTACACATTGGTGGATGGTGCCAAGGGAATTACTGAGAATCTAGATAAGATGGACAAAAACTATCTTTCACAAGCGTTGGCACAGTGTGCCGACTACATCGAAAGTTCCATGGGTGGTACTTCAGGTGGCCTATACGCCATTCTAATCTCTGGCCTATCCCATGGTTTGATTGAGGCCAGCAAAGGTAATAAGGACGAATCAGTCACACCTGAGATTCTTGGGAAGGCAATGGAAACTGCTCTAGAAACATTGTACAAGTACACAAAAGCGAGACCAGGTGCTTCTACTTTAGTAGACGCTCTTGAGCCCTTTGTGAAAGAGTTTGCTTCATCTAATGATTTTAACAAGGCTGTGAAAGCAGCAGACGAGGGTGCTCAGTCAACCGCAAAGGCAGAAGCCAAGTTTGGGAGAGCATCTTACGTTGGAAACTCCTCTAATATCCCAGATCCTGGTGCGATCGGGTTTGTGGAATTTTTGAAGGGTGTTCAAGAGTCTCTCTAAGATCTCTTTAAGCGTTGTTTTTGTACTTAGTTCAATTAAATAGATCTTAAATTTCAGCACAGCCGTTTTATATGATTTCTATTGGCGTTCATTCAATAATTGAAATTTCTTGAAGAAAAGACGCGTAGTCCAAGAAGGATGTATATCAACTAAGTAGCAATCGAGTGAACCGCCATCGAACAGAAAATATTCTCGCTTTATAATGAGTACTGATTTCGATCGGATATACCTGAATCAATCAAAGTCTAACGGACGTTTTCGCATTGCTGATTCCGGTCTTGGTTGGAAAGTGTCTAGCAGCGGAGGATCGTCCGCCAATCAGCAAAAAGCACCTTTACTTCTCCCTGCCACAGAATTAGTATCTGTGCAATGGAGCAGAGGATGTCGCGGGTATGAATTGAAAATCAATACAAAAAATCAGGGCGTTATTCAATTAGATGGCTTTACTCAGGAAGACTACAACCTAATTAAGAATGACTTCCAAAGGAGATTCTCAGTCCAAGTTGAGCAAAAAGAACACTCTATGCGTGGCTGGAACTGGGGTAAAGCAGATATGGCTAGAAATGAAATGGTCTTCTCTCTGAACGGTAAGCCTACCTTTGAGATTCCGTATGCTCATATAAGCAATACTAATTTGACCTCTAAGACAGAAGTAGCGATTGAGTTTGATTTACAGGAGGATAACTATGAACCAGCTGGTGATGAAATGGTAGAAATGAGATTCTACGTGCCAGGGACAACCATCGAGAATGAGGATGAAGACGCCGAAAAGGGCGAAGCTGGAGAAACGGGAGACTCTGAAACAGCAGCAAAGGGAGGAAAAACTGTTGCTGAGGCCTTTTATGAGGAATTAAAAGAAAAGGCTGATATTGGTGAAGTTTCTGGTGATGCTATAGTCTCTTTTCAAGATGTATTTTTCACCACTCCAAGAGGACGTTACGATATTGATATCTACAAAAATTCCATTAGGCTTCGGGGTAAAACATACGAGTATAAATTGCAACACCGTCAAATACAAAGAATTTTCTCTTTGCCGAAAGCGGATGATATTCATCACTTGATGGTGTTGTCGATAGAACCTCCGTTGCGCCAGGGTCAAACATCTTATCCATTCTTGGTTATTCAGTTTCAAAAGGATGAGGAAACCGAAGTACAACTCAATGTCGAAGATGAAGAATTTGAAACCCTTTACAAAGACAAATTGATGAAGCAATATGATGCTAAAACTCATATTGTACTAAGTCATGTATTGAAGGGTTTGACGGGACGCAGAGTTATTGTCCCCGGTCAATACAAATCCAAGTATGACCAATGCGCTGTTTCATGCTCATTCAAGGCAAATGAGGGCTATCTATATCCTCTTGACAACGCGTTCCTTTTCTTGACGAAGCCGACCTTATACATGCCATTCAGTGATGTCAGCGCCATCAATATATCAAGAGCTGGCCAAACTACCACATCAGCAAGAACTTTCGATCTTGAGGTTGTATTACGCTCGAACAGAGGCTCCACAACTTTTGCAAATATCTCTAAAGAAGAGCAGCAGCTTTTGGAAAATTTCTTGAAGTCTAAAAACCTGCGAGTCAAGAATGAAGAGAAAGAGGCTCAACAAAGACTTCAAACTGCCTTAGGATCTGACAGTGATGATGAAGATGTCAACATGGGTTCCGCAGGAGAAGATGATGAATCCGTTGATGAAGACTTCAAAGACAGCTCTGCTGAAGATGACGATGATATAGCGGAAGAATATGACTCAGATGCCAGTGTGAGTAACACTGATGGAGAAGGGGATGAGGACGGAAGACCCTCCAAGAAAATGAAGGTTGAATAGTCTAAATATTTAATCAGAGCTTTTTCAGATGAAGAAGGAATGTCACTTTGTTAAGAATTTATATATATAAGCCAAGGTTGCTAGGTTTGAATGAAGATTTCAAACGAATAAGTGAAACGCAAGACCATCCCATGCGCAGTTATTGAGTTAAGAATTAGAGTCTCCAAATCTTTGTGCTTACTTATCCTCTTATTACCTGGTTTCAGACTTTATGCTGAATGACTACTAAGAGACATAGTTAAATTTTAAAACCTGGTGCCCAGGTTTGAATAAATATGAGTTACTCAAGCACCATCGAACTAAACCGTTGAAGTTCAATTTGAAGCTAGGAATTTTGAATATTGTATGCGCATTGTAATGAAAAAAGGAACTGCTATGGAACGAGCATTCTGTGAGTTCCAATATTTATTCCAGGATTGTGTCTGCTCATATTTTCCTACTTTGATCAAGAAGGGATGCATGCATAATATCAAATACCCACAGGGTCCTTTCAAAGACGTTAATCTTTATCCTTGTGTTACAAATAAATAGCTGAAAAGCGACACCTACAACGCTCTTACTTTATAATTCTCTGATAATTTCTTACTGGCAAAATTCGCTCACGATATGGAGGAAGTGTGCTACAAACTAGCTTATACAAAACTGTCCTTCCGGAACCAGAGTGCTGTACTACCAGTCTTTCATCTGAAAAATGGTGTTTGAGAGATGATCTTTATGATCTTGTCACAAATTCTATGCAAGAGATCTGAGCTCTGTTTATGGTCTGATCTCCACCGCTTTTGGCATGGAACTACTAATTACTATTATTTGCCCGTACTCAATTTCCCACCCATTGAGAAGAAACACTTTGAGGAATACATTGATAATGGCATGTCGAAAAAAGAGATGATGTGAGTTAGAAATGAAATATGGCGCCAAAAGAATGACACAAGAAGCTGATGCTTTGATTCAGATAAGTTTTCAGAGTAGCTGTATATAAAGAGGGCTCCAATGGGAAGAGATTCTCTTGCTGTAAAGTAATCATCGAAAGAATTGGGGGGCGTAATGAAATTGTTGTGCATGGCGTGCGATGGCTTGTTTCGCTTTCTTTGTGGGGAAGAGCTGTACTATTCTTCGCTCTATGATTATTATCATATTCCGACTATAAATTGCTACAAATAGTATTTGACGTTACGTGAGGCACATAAAATTACTAATAATTAGCGCTGATCTTGAGCAATATTTCACAGCTATAAACGTGAAGTCAATGGAATGCTAATATTTTTGTATGATCATTTTATAAAATGAACTGCTATAGCAAGGCGCGAAAACAAACATTCACTTCTGAGATAACTCTTCAATCGTTTTCTTAATTACTTGAGCTGATGAGGATAGCTCCTGGCGCATATATTCCAAATGAGCTTCTTTATTTCTCATCCAATCTTCTGCGGTTCCAATTCTCAGCGCACCCCTATGAGAATCAATTGTAAATGCGGCCTCTTGCCATAAATACTGCTTCTGTCATTTGGTTAGTGGTTTTCACCGTTGGAAGAATATGTTTAGCTTACACTTACACGGTAGAACTTGTCCAAGGCGGCTAAGGAGTCGTCAACCTCCTTAGTGTATACATCCATAACATTGGCAGAAACCTCATATAGCTCGTCCCAATCCAACCTTGCTACTGGTTTTGGATCACAGGCTGCATTGGGAGATTTTGCGTCCGCACTGAGACAACAAGTGATCTGTTCTACTTTCTGCAGAACTTCCTGCTTTAGCATTTCAACACGTACTTTATCCCTATATTCATTTCCCTGCCATTCGGCGGCTAATTCATGTAAGTTGTGGCTAGTCGCTTCAGACCTCGTTGAACTTGACGCGTTATCTTTGCTCATTCTTGATACTCGCTGCTCGAGAATTTTAGGTCTTATTGTCTATTGATTACTATACAATGTTGTTTTTTATTCCAATATTCCGTGAGAATTACGATTGTCACCTTGGTAGCGAAGGGACCACTTTGACCCAAAAATAAGCACCAAAGCACTGTCAACCAGTCTAAATGCCCATGATGCTGTGTAAACAATGAAAGATAGCATTGCTACTAGTCTAACAACAAACTGAAAAAAAGAAATTCGTTCGTCGCTAACCGTAATTGTGAGTGCCTCGAAGTTGTATGTGAGAAATATTCCTGGTATACGTCTATCCTTTTCGCTGAAAGTATGCTCGACCTCACTCAGCGAATATTGACTAGTGTGTACCGAGGCTCCTAGCTTTCTGTAGATGGTAGGAACGACAGATGCATAATAGTTATAGGTCTTAAATGGCTCCCCAGCTAGCCTGGCCGTATTATCTAAAGGGTTGTCAATGTAAGGGTAGAAAGGACCGAAAGAAAGTTCATTGATAACATGTGAAAAATTGATCTCATCTATTGGGGCCCTGCCATAGTGGGGTAGTCCAAAACCCTTTGGAGTAATCTGCAATTCGCCCCGAACCATATTCACAGGAATTGAGCCAAAAACATGGCAGCCATCAAACCCCTCATGGCCTTCAAATCCAGTAGTGTCTATGCGGTCTCTAAACTTGGCAGGAATTGCTTCTCCTAAAATTTCGTCCAAACCAGGTGTAATTAGCTCGTTTCTCTTTCCAACCTTGACACCAGCTGGGATGAAAAAAGGCATGTCCTCAAAGGACAATTCCTCAGATACGAATTTTTGATCTTTGGTTTGATCCTTTGCAACAACCTCCAGCCATTTACACGGCGTACTAATGTACAAGTCCATATTGATTTGCGCTGTTTCCCGCAACTGCTTCTCAACAGCGTACTGCTCGTCTACATAGCCACCGAAGTAACTACCAAACTCACTCCAGGCAATGAAAAGGAGGAATAAATAAGTAAGAATGGAGCTCCATCCACCCTTTGAGGATTTTACCACGTGTTGCGCTTCTGTCTTAGCTGTATCTACTTGTTAGTGATCAATATGCTTTAAGATCAAGTGACGCGATAGATAATATATCTTGGAAGAACATACGAAAAGCATCGAAGGTTTTGAGACTTGCCATGGGTCTCTTTATCCGTCCTTATAATGAGTTGAAATTTTTGTACAACTTTTTTGAAGGTTAACATTTTTTTTTCTTAGTTGACGGGATAAGCAGCACATGTCGAAAACCCATCGAGTATAAATGATTTGAGAGTCCGTTAAAGTAGTATATAAATTAAAAGATCAACTACCAATGCTTGATTAAACAGTAGTGTCTGATGATATCGAGCGTTCTCGTGCTGGGGCTAACTCTAGGGATTTCAACTGAATATCCTCAGTGTTGTCAGTGTCGTTTGTCAAATATCGCTTGGAAAATGAATCTTGATAAAATCCAATCCAAGCCAGAGTGCACTCCAAGAGTAATCTTACCCAAGAAAGTATTAATCCAGACCCTAACCGAACACTGTAGATATCTGTGCCTTTCAATACTGAGCGTCCTGCCTTGCGTAGTACCACGAACCACAAGGTAGAAGATAAATTACAGCAGCAATTAGCAAGAATAACTGACACCGCGATTATTTTGAAGGTAGGCACAACCATCAATCGTAAGAGATTCAATTTCCCTTTAGGACCCTTCAAAATGACTGGGGTCATTAGCGTCGCCAACAGTACTGCCAATATACTCAAAATGAATTCTATCAAGTTCAGCCAGTTTATGACCAAACAAAAGTCTTGCGTGAAAAGCAGCCAGTTGGCAAATATGACTATTTTCTGTATTTGAATTCGATCAGCCTCTGAATCGGGGTCGCCCGAGAACCCTTTCAGGTACCTTCTCAACATATTATTTTCTTTGTCCAGATTCCTTGAGGTATCGGCAATTGCCCTTAAGCCTAATTTGTAGGTATAAACAAAAGATTCACCCATAATCTTGGGATTTTTCGATGACAAAAGCCCGAATTGAATGCCCATGTCTCTCATAATTAAAGAAATGGGATCGAGTCCGCTGTTGTGTTTTGTACAATAATTCTTAAGCTCCCGAATCATCGGCTGATCCTTGCAATACCCCAAGAAGTTAACCTTAAAAGTATTAGACGATTCTAAAGTATTAACAAGGTTGATCTCATCGTAGTCTGCGTCCTGCGGGAGACTGTGGTGCGATCCTAAATCTATGGCCATGTATGACAATAGCTTCAGAAGATCCTTCAGCGCCAATAGTAGTCCATCACTACCTACTGGCGGCCCCGAAAATGTCAAGGTAAACTGTGGATGGCAAAACCTCTCGCCCGTTTTTGACGTACAAGATATGCTTACCATATGCATCAACAACTGAGCGAGAGCAACACACAATATCGACACGCATATGAAGGCCCTTCTTTTCCGCTTGAATAAACTGAGCATAAGCTGCGCAATGATGAGGATGGATAACATTTATGCCTTAATTTTGATATGTAAAAGAGTCTTTTGTGTCGACTTAAGCTTTTTGTTTTTAGCGACAGAAATGCGTCAAACATTAAACATGAAAAGCAGAGAGGGGGACAACAACATTTTGTTGACTCAAGTTTGAAAGCTCACTATCCGTGCTCTTTGTCTTTTGTAAAGCAATAGATTCTGAATCAGATATCTCAAGATGTGGTACTTTAGAGCTTTGACCTCTAACTGGAGGTGGCTTGAGAAGCTGACTTGTGCTTCTCGGCAGCAGTGGCCCCATTATAGTTGTGCTCTCTTCTTCTTCAGTACTTGGATTAGCAGTCGCTGTCACACCCAATTCAAAATTATCAGAATTTTTGGTTCTATCGGATACACACCATTCCAAGCCTGACCACACGAGGCAGGAAATGCATGAAAAAATAGCGAATAACCACAATACGGTAAACCAAGACCCACCTAAATGATAGGACATACCAAAAGTTTCTAGTTCGCTTTCCACGCGAGATCGCAGGGACAAATTTATAATAGCGAGATTGATGACGGCAATCAAAGTGCATACAAATATCAGCAGTGAGATGAAAGAAATTCCGTGAACCAGCAGTTGTTCTTTCAACACATTTAATGACTTGCCCTTGATGGAGTAGTACCATAGCTGAAGTATGATCATAAAAAATTGGGTACAAGTTACAAAGTACATTAAGTTGATCATCCTTTCCTTTTTTTGTTTGTTCTGTGAAATATATTCCAAATAAGCAGAAGATGCGCCCGAAGTATCTCCATATGCATAATTCAAAATGATGTCCAGTCCAATCGTCTCCAGTAACTGACGATAGTCAAGAATGTACGCCGCCCCCTTTTCAAAGCAAACGGTTTTATTGCTAGCAGTTGCAGATTCGGATAGATCGCCTGAATTGTCGACTTCCGTGGTTTCATTATGAATCTTACACCATCCATACACAGATGTCACAACGTACCGTGGAACTTCCTTAATTTGGGATGCTGTGTATTCTGTTAAAATCAGTATTTCAGATGTTGTTAAGCCCACGCCGTTGTTAATATTACTTGCGGTATATGACTCGACTGATTCTTGCAACACATCAAAAAGGCCCTGTGCAATGTCAATAGACGAAGTATTAAGTCTTCCCATGTATAGAAGGGTGGGAAGACTTCTTGAACCCAACGTAAGCACCAACAGCATGCTTAAAACCACAATTGATGAGCTGAGCCTTATTATTTGTATCAGACGATCCAGCGCATTCAGATTTTCAAAGGGTTTTGTCAAGAACTTGAGAAGCCGACGCAGTCGCATGATCCTGCTTTGGATGTGTTGTTGAGGCCTTTGAAAGCTGTAAAAGATGCAAACTGTTACTAGTACTTCTATTGATCTCTGCACTAAATTTGGTTAAAGACCCTATCAAGGAAATGTGCCTTGATACGATGATGAATGAAGATCAGGACGTTTTCAACGACAACGGCTGTAACGAATCAAAACAACCAATAAACTTGGTCAATAAAATCCAGAAATACATCTCGCAAATAGATATATTCTCTTAAAAGACAATGGCAGCCACATTGAGTGATCTGCAGGGCTGGGATGTGATTAGGAGGGATAGCGAGGGGAGGATTATATCGGATGACATGTTTTTGCGAAGAAGCAGGAGAAGAGTGCAGAAAGAAACAGGTGAAAGGGAGCACATATATCTGCAGCGCAAATCAGATGGCGTGGAGTTCGGCTGCGGCAGCACTGTTATAGTGGAAGAAAAAAGCATCAATTCCTTTTCTCTGTACATGATTCATGAAATACGACTTAACACATTGAACCATGTGGTTGAACTTTGGGCGTTTTCTTACTTGAGATGGTTCGAGGTCAACCCTAGAGAGTTTTATGCGTGCTTGAGTCCTGAAATTGTCGATGAAAACAGTTCTGATGATTTTTACATCGAAAAGTTCAACACAGAGTGTAACAGGTCCGAAATTTATCTCACCGCTGAGCTTTCTGAAATCAAATTGAAAGATTTCTTAGGAAAGGCTAATATCATAGATCAAGAACAATATCAACGCAATGGAAAACTGGAAGAAAATACATTCGTAGTACGTTTGGCATGCGAACCAGACGGAACCGCATTTGCCAATATTGACATACACTCATATGAAAAGAAAGTGACATCAATGTACCCTAAAGAATCCGAAACTTATCTCCAAGGTCTCACGGTAGCAGCTCAAAAAAGCATGAAGAGTGTACGTCGTAATGTCTCGAAAGTCGGAGAAGAACCAAAAGCCCTAAAAAAGGATGCTCTTCCTGAAGAAACAAACATAGACAGGGCCAGCAGTAAGTCACCTTTGCACGATCGTACTTCTTCGGTGATACGAGAAGATTCGTTAGGTGAAGTGTCATTGGATTCAAACCGAACGAAAGCCCCAGATGAAAAGTTACCTCCGGCGAAAGGGACAGTAGTAACGCAATCGAGGCCAATCGACACCATCGATAGAGAAAAAATCGAGCTAAATACTGTGCAAACGAAGGATTCGGTTGAATTGAATGAATCTCAATCATCAAAAAACGCTGGTGAATACAGAAGTCCCTCCCCAATAGAGACAACCTCCGATTCCGAGCCTTCAGAAAGTGATGACGAAGAATTTCAAGATGCGGCAGACGATATAGACTATGTTGAGGGTGCAGCTAACTCTGGTTTAATTGACGAAAATTCTCATGCGGATGAGAATGTTGATGATGATAGCATTGAAGAGGGACAAGGGGAAGAAGACGAAGACGAGGACGAGGAAGATAAAGAGATTGAACTTTACCGCGGATCCGGAAAGAGAACTTCAAGTCGTCCTAAGGGGAGAACAAGAAAGGCTAGAAAAATTTTGGACTCTACACCTGCCACTCCAAAGAAGCAGCAAACTCCCATCACACCTGCAACATTAATCAAAAAGTATACAAAAAAAAACGTTTCACGCGCTAAAAAAGCGTACACACCATTTTCAAGAAGATTCAAACGGCCACAGGATATACCTGATCTGACCAAATTGGCAGAATTTAATCAAGATCGTATCAATATGGACATCGCTGCGATTGAGAATAAACTCAGAAGCCCCAAAAAACAGCAGACCGTAGAAACTATCTTTTCAAGAGTTAAACAACAATTGTATACATCGCATGGAAAAGATGAAATAGTAAGAGCTGGTAATTTCGATGATTATTTGCCTGCAAGAGAAAACGAATTTGCGTCCATTTACTTAAGTCTTTACAGTGCCATTGAAGCTGGTAGTGGGACAACTCTTTACATTGCAGGAACGCCTGGAGTAGGAAAAACTCTTACCGTACGTGAGGTTGTAAAAGAGTTGCTGCAATCTGCAGAACAGAACGAATTGCCCAATTTCCAATATGTCGAAATAAATGGTCTCAAAATGATAAAACCCAGCGATAGTTATGAAGTTCTGTGGAACAAAATCTCTGGTGAGAGACTAACCTCTGGTGCTGCAATGGAATCACTTGAATTCTACTTCAATAAGGTACCAAAGATGAAGAAAAGACCAATACTTGTTCTTTTAGATGAGCTAGACGCCCTGGTGACTAAAAGCCAAGATGTGATGTACAATTTCTTCAATTGGACCACTTATCCAAATGCCAAATTGATTGTGATAGCGGTTGCTAATACCATGGATTTGCCTGAAAGACAGCTGGGTAATAAAGTGTCATCTAGAATCGGGTTTACGAGAATCATGTTCACAGGTTACAACCATGATGAATTAAAAACTATCATTAATTTGAGATTGAAAGGCTTGAATAACAGTTTTTTCTTCGTAGATGTCAAAAACGGAAGCGCTCATATGATTATGGATGATGGCGATGAACACAATATTGATACTTCCGGCATGAAAAAGGTGCGATTAAAAATATCAGAGGATGCCATTGAAATTGCCTCAAGGAAAATTGCAAGTGTCAGCGGAGATGCCAGAAGAGCATTGAAAGCATGTAAGAGAGCGGTAGAGATTGCTGAACACGATTATATGAAAACGCATGGCTATCATTACGATGGGCAAGCCTCTAAAGATGCCGAGAAAGGAGATCAGAATGATGAAGAAGAAACACAAACCGTCGAAATATCGCATATAATGAAAGCCCTCAATGAAACTGTCAATTCTCCGACCAGTATATTTCTAAAAAGTCTATCCTTCACGGGCAAATTATTTCTTTACGCGCTTTTAAACCTCGTAAGGAAAACAGGTGTCCAAGAACAGTCTTTGGGAGACGTTGTGGATGAAATCAAATCATCAATCGATGCCAACGGTAAGAATAAATATGTTGTAGCGATGCATGAGGTGTTGTTCACAGGAGGATCAGATTTGACCGCAGAGCAGTTGAGAATTATATCATGGGACTACGTCATAAATCAGCTCATTGAGGCCGGCATTATTATTAAGCAAAATTTGAAAAATGAAAGAGTTAGTGCAGTTAAGTTCAGCGTGTCAACGGAGGACGTGAGAAGGGCCATAGAGCAAGACAAAGTGCTGAAAACGCTATAAATGAGGATTATTGTTTATGTCTCAAGTATCTGCTAGAGAGTGTGTATATACTATATATACGAAAATGCCAGATGTACCATTGATTTATGAAGAAGGTGATCTTCTACGCGAATTACCCAGATACTTATAGATTAACAGTGGGTCTCCTATCTGTTTAATCTCAGACGCACGCATTGTGAGATTGTAAATCTTTGCAATTATGATCTTGAAAATGCGCTGCACGTTGATCGAGTGCGAGGTGGAGCAAAATATCAGAGGTGCGTCCATGACCTGCGCGTATCGCATGCTCTGCTTAGAGACCTGCACCTGATACTCAGGGTCCATGTTCACGAACAGGTCGTATTTGGTGCCCACTAGTAGTGGCACAGCGTTCTCGTTGAAGCCTGTGGCCTGTCGATGCCATTCCTTGATAGATTTCAATGTTTCGGGTCGTGTCAGATCAAATAAAAAGATGATTGCTTTGGCTCCCTCTGACGCGAGCGGAAGCATGTTAATGAATTCTCGCTGTCCCCCAAGATCCATAATATAGAACAAGATATCTGCAGACCCAAGTCTTATCTTCTTGTCCAGACAATTGACGCCAAGCGTCTGCGTGTATTCCTCGTCGAACACGTTCTCGACGTATTTTACCATTAGCGACGTCTTACCCACCTGCGCATCCCCTATAAGCCCAACTTTGATCGTGAAAGTATTTGTTGGGTGCGGTAGGACAGGTGTATCACTGGTGGCGAGCGACATGACGTGTATAGACCGCTTCTCTTCGTGTTTTGCGACGATTTGATGCGCCCTTTACATTATCGTGAGTTCGAGGAAAGCTCTAGTCTTCCTTGTTTACGTTCACCTAGGGCACTCGTATGACAAATATTAGGGCACAAAATACAAATATGACTTTTAAACCCATACACACCTAAAATAAAAATAAAATTTAAAAACCTATACATCTTACAACCACGGTCCTTTAAAAAATCAAACTGTTTCTCAAAACCCAGATAACTGTGTCGTGTCGACAGCACTGTCCCACGAGCTTTTCTGAAAGCACCATCCACACCTCCACCTAGAGCGATACGTGCGGCCAATTGTAAGCTAGGCTGGATACCCAGCCCAGCCTCCTCCGCCTACTGCGGGGAGAGATCGTCCAGCTCTGCCTGGAGTTCCGCCCAGAGCACCTGGGTTCCCGGTGCGCCGCCTCCCAGGCGGGAGGACGGCGGTAGGAAGGGGAGTGGATGGGTACGCTCAGCGTTGCACCGCAGCGGGTTGAAAATTTGATGAGATTAGACAAAAGAGAATACCTTGAACTTTCATAGTAGAGTCTTACAAGCATCAAGTAAATCACACCCAAATCGAAAATGGCTGTTGGTAAGAACAAGAGATTATCAAAGGGTAAGAAGGGTTTGAAGAAGAAGGTCGTTGACCCATTCACCAGAAAGGAATGGTACGATATCAAGGCCCCATCCACTTTCGAAAACAGAAACGTTGGTAAGACTTTGGTCAACAAGTCCACCGGTTTGAAGAACGCCGCTGACTTCTTGAAGGGCAGAGTCGTGGAGGTTTGCTTGGCTGACTTGCAAGGTTCTGAAGACCACTCTTTCAGAAAGGTCAAGTTGAGAGTCGATGAAGTTCAAGGTAAGAACTTGTTGACCAACTTCCACGGTATGGACTTCACTGCCGACAAGTTGAGATCCATGGTCAGAAAGTGGCAAACTTTGATCGAGGCTAACGTCACCGTCAAGACCGCTGACGACTACGTCTTGAGAGTCTTTGCTATTGCCTTCACCAGAAGACAATCCAACCAAATCAAGAAGACTTGTTACGCTCAGTCCTCTCACATCAGAGCCATCAGAAAGGTCATCTCCGAGATCTTGACCAGAGAAGTCCAAAACTCTACTTTGGCTCAATTGACCTCCAAGTTGATCCCAGAAGTCATCAACAAGGAGATCGAGAACGCTACCAAGGACATCTTCCCATTGCAAAACGTCCACATCAGAAAGGTTAAGTTGTTGAAGCAACCTAAGTTTGACTTGGGTGCCTTGATGACCTTGCACGGTGAAGCCTCTGGTGAAGAAAAGGGTAAGAAGGTCGCTTCTGGTTTCAAGGATGAGATCTTGGAAACTGTGTAAATTCAATGAAAAACAACTGCTAATTGTTTTTTGTATAAAAGATTTATAATTTTAAAGCTAAACGAGTTTTATCATATCAACCGCCTTTGTCTTCGTATTGACGTGTCTTTTAGATAGGCATTACCCTTACAATCAGCCTACTGCTATTAATTTTACTGCTTTAATTGTACAAGTTATTAGTTGAACTATTCTATATCTGGAGTTTCTGGCGACATACTGCTTGATTTCATACCCAGGCTTCGAGCCGCATCATCTGGGATACCCTCAGCCTTCTCTGCTAAATTTGTCACATTAGAATGCTCACCTTCCATATCCACGTCTTCATTCTCCTGATCGTCGGGCCCGTCTCTCACCGGGCTGCCGAAGTCATCTAGAATCTTTTCATCGCTCTCTGCTGCTTCATCAACATCTTCCTCAAGCTCATCAAGTTCTGGCCCTGAGTCATGCGGAGTATATTTGCCGCTATCTCTCCCCTCTTCTTCATCTTTATCCTCCGGCTCTTCAGGTTTCAATATGTTTCTTTCGGCCATCTCAACTTTCAAAATTTCCGAAATTTTATCGAAAACCTCGGCGTTGTGGGACCATTTTGCTTTATAGCTCGCTAGCTCTTCAGTTAATCTTTTTATGTCGCCTTTCACCAACTCATTGGTTTTTTTCAAAGCTGAAGTATCCTTTGAGAAATTGGAATAAACCACCAACTCTTCAATTTCTTTCTTATCCCCATCTACACCTTCCTTAAAACTTATACGTGATTTGAAGACTCCTGAGCTGGATAGCTTAGCAAAAGCTGTCGCCCCCAGAATATTTTCCCATTTTTCTTTTGTAGCGCTAAGCTCAGAGTTTCCATTGAACATGTCAGCGAGGATATCGTTAGCCATGCTAATATGTGCGTTCATTGATTTCAGCATATGATTTCTTCTCCTAATCTCATCATTTAACTTTTGTATCAGAGGTAAATTATCTTTCATTTGACGCTTTATTTGATCTATGTTTTCTTGGGAGGCTTCATCTTCGATCTTGGTCTTTATCTTTTCTGAATCGATATATAGCTGGGCTTCAATGAGTTTCAGACGAATCTCACGTTTAAGTTTGTTCAGTTTTTCTTTTGTCAAATCGTCTTCATCGCTCAATTTGCCGTTGAGAATAGAATAACACAGCCCGTTAACATCTGAAGCTGCATTGATATAGTTGTTGAGCTGAGTATCTGGTGAGTAAACCGCTAGCCTTTTATCTACCTGTCTAATTTCATCCTCAATACCCATTGCCAACTCTACTGTTTCTAAGTATTTGAATATGAGGTTGATTTTTTTTGCTCATCTAAATTTTGATCATACACATGCCCTGCTTAAGAAACCAAAAATATGGAAAAGGAGCAATTGTATCTCTTATTCTGCAGCTTTTTGGTACGAGCAGATTTGAAAAACACTGAAAGATTAGTTCGAGGAACTAATAGCCTGAATAGGAAAGATGCCGCTGAAGCCCTGTGTGTTTTATGGCCAGAACTGGACGATCCTAAGAATTTCGCCATCATAATGAATTGCCTAACTGAACAAGTGAATGATTGCGAAGGCATTCTTCCTTCACTTTTAAATGGTGATGAAAATCTGATTGCAACTGTTGAGATGGATCCTGATACGATAACGAGTAGATACCACGCTCTGAAAGGCTACGTTGAAGCAACGTTGGAAAAATATGACTTAACAGTAAACATTGACGATGAACAATTTAGCTTACTGAAAGCACGTGTTATTATTTGCAACTTGGTTCATGCTGACCCCTTATTCTACAAGTCAGTGTGGAATTCTAAGATTAAGATCAATCAGAGTTTTGAAAAGTGGGTATCTGGTATTCTCAAACCATTAGCTCACTTTAACAAACGCTCCAACCATCACCTATCAATATCCACATTTGAAGGATTGACTGTAAGCAATATACTAAATCTCTTTTGGAGAACTTCGGAGACTGTCACAGATTTATCAATATCAATTCTTCGCCCTATCCTAACTTATGAGATCATTCCCTACATCCAGTTCTCCCATTCCTACGAAGAGTTCTTGGCTGAAATATTAAACGTTGGTGATTTCCCGCTAGACACAATGCCAAATTATCATTTATTCAAACACATGGTATTAGAAATGGGCCACGTCTTCCCAGATGACCTAAGAGCCAGTTTCGAAAAGCAAATCCTATCCATTCTCTATGAAAATGGTGCCAACATTTCCAAAGTGATAAGAATGAACGTCTCTAATGAATTCATATCAATTTTATCCTCCCTGCAGAGCGAAATCTCTCTCGCCAATACCCCCGATGTTCTTACTTTGAAGTTTTATGCTGAGCATATGGATACTCTGCAGATTTACAATCTCAAGGATATCTACAAGCTGAGCCAAGGCAGCGAACTAGCTCAAAAGTCTTACTTTTCATCTGTCTGCAAAAATGTGTTAGGGTCTACCTTAACGACTAGCACCCTAGAAGAACTAATATCGTTGACCGATGAAAGTTACCTTTTTGTCAAGATATCAAAAGAAACAAAGGAATCGATTATTATCGAGACATTACTCAATTTAGGCCAATTTGATCTCCTACACAATTTCATGGCTAGGTCAACATTTCACATCGAGGATTCAGTTTTGCTTAAGTATTTCTGGAGATTCTTTAATAATGCTTCTAACGGGAGTCGCTTACGCCCTGAGATTGTGAAGGCAAGAAAGACTCTAGAACTCCTTCCAGAAGGAGCTTACGACCACCTGAATATTCTTCTCGAGGTTGCAGACCAACTCTCACAATTCTCGTTAAGTTTTACTAAAATGAATAATAAAAAATTGCCATTTAAGCCCTCGCACATCATTGAGTTAAAGAATCAGCCATTCGACATCATTACGAATTTGTTGTCGTCAAATCAAGGTCTTTACAAAGATTTCAAAACCACAACAGAAATACTGAAGAGACTATACGGAGGATTAGAAATTACACCATCAACTCCAGATTTCTACAATGAGACGTCTGAACTACTGTCTTTGCATATAGACTTTGCATTAGGGGATATGGACTTTGAATTTGCTTATCAAAAGTCTTCAGAGCTATTGGGGAGAAAAGATTGCCGACAATTCTGGTCAACAGTTTTCCAAGTGGGTAAGTTTTTTGATCCTAATTGGCCTGAAAATGAAATTCCCACTGAAATTATTTACCTACAATTGGAAATTCTCAGTAAGCTTCTCCATATATGCCCTGAGGAAGAGGTCGAAGCTGTTGTCTCACAGTGGAGTGGTTTGGAAATGGAACTAGCCTCCAGAGATATAGTTAATGACAAATTCTCTCTCAGCAATAACAGGTCAAGTAAAGAATTCCAACAAAAGATAGTTCAAGAAGTTTCTTCCAGCGTGTCAAATTTCCTATCAAGTGGATTTAAGTGGGCAATTGGAGATGATGCGTACAATTGAAACGCGGGGATGTATCAATCTATCATAAATACTATAATGCTGCCAACTGAACTTAATCTAATTATATGCTATTTAAATTTGGTTAGCCTCATTGGATGAGGCTTTCTTCGATGAGAACAGTGGGAAGGTGTCTAAATCGTTTATTTCTTCGCACTTGGATGTCTTTTTGGTTTTCTTCATTAGAAGTTCCTTTATCCTGTCTTGACGAGGTCCTACACTCTGTTTTTCCATCTTTTTCGTGCTCTTGGGTGCAAAGGAAAGCTTCGACTGTCGTATTTTGGAATCATTGAAGAGTTTCTTCGCCTCATTAGCAGACATCAGGGTCTTGTAGAATTTCACCACAGCATCATGCGCTTGCACTTTGTGTCGACTGAAATTTAAAACTTGCAAGCCTTCTCTTGATACTGCCCTTGATAAGGCGACATAGGCCTGACCTTTCTCGAAAATTCTACGTAGATCAACCTTCACTTTCGGAAGAGTTTGTCCCTGCGACTTATGAATCGATAAAGCCCATGCTAGCATTAGAGGTAGCTGAACCCTGGATACAAGAGGTTTCTCATTTTCATCTTCTACTGCCCAATCTTCAGGTTGCACAAGTACACACCTTGAGGAACCATCGGGCGTCAGAAATCTCACTAGCGGCAGTTTGCGATCGCTTGATTTTTCATGCAGCTCTTGAAGCAGTTGCCTTTTTCTTTCAATGTTGTTCACCACAACTGGATCGTTTACATTTACACCCACTTTCAAGAAGTCAAATATTGTTTCTCCTAGTTTTTCTACAGGTTCAGACTGGCCACTTTTGCAAAACGATTCCTTCAAAGATTTCTTCCGTATTACCTTCTGATTGGTTTCTTCTTGTTCTTCATTTACCTTATCAGATAACCCACGACCTTTCCTTATATCTTCCATTTGCTCATCGCTGATAAAGGAGTTGTTGCGCACCATCTCATAGAAAGCGAAAGTGTTTTGATCGATGAAATCTATCACCTTCCCCAATGAGCCATTCACCAGTGTTTCATCAATATTTTTTATCATCATGACTTGAGCGCCCACTTTTAAATGCAGCTCTCTCGGTGCGAGAAAATTAGCTAATAACTTCTCCTTTGCTTCTTCATCTCTCAAGTCGCCGCCATCAATCGCTTGAAATAATCTTGTCTTTCCCGGAAGACCGTGTAGTCTAGAATTATTGGCTCTCTCAACCTCATTTCTTGTGCTGTACAGTTCAGCAGGAATGATATCGTCATCCGGCAGCGGTCTCGCCAACTTCCGAAATTCGACCTCAGTTTCGGAATCTATATTTCCCATTCTCATTTCATTCAACATCTTGATAAATTTGCTATCACCTTGTTGCCGAAATACTTTCTGCAGCATAATAGTCACATCAATAGTTTCTTTCCAAGCTTTTGAGTCGAAAGCAAACTTGGTGGCTTGTTCTTGACGTTTGTTTACCGGAGGGAGCTGAAAGAAATCACCTGAAAGAATTATCTGAATACCTCCAAAGGGAGATTGATCTTTCCTTAGGTTGCGAGCAATGAAGTCAAGTTTGTCCAGTAAATCACCATCAATCATTGACACTTCGTCTACGACTAGAGCGGAGATATTTTGCCATCTGTGAACATGCTTTTTTGACCTTTTGACCTTCTTGAGCAGCTTTCTTTCATCTCCAACGCCAAGCCCAATTCCAGCGAATGAATGCACTGTAATGCCTCCGATATTACATGCTGCTAAACCTGTCGATGCCGTAACTGCAACACTGCCCGCACCATACATCCTCCGCAAAGTTTTTATAAGCACTCTTAGAAGCACTGATTTACCTGTACCAGCACTACCCGTGTAGAAAATATTGTATCCTTGCTTGGCCAAGTCAATTACCGATTCTTGTTCCTCGCTGAGAACAAGACCTTGAACTAGTTTTTTGTTTATTGTATTTAGTATCTTGTTGTCAGGTTCTATTGATTCTTCTTTAGCCATGCTGTTAATGCTGTTAGTCTTCTGGGTGAGAAAGACAAGCTCATGGTTTTTATTCCTTATCGCTGGTCGTCTGCTGTCGATAATCTCCAGGCTATTATCGATTGTGTTATCGGGGCTTTCAGAAACTTGATTGACACCAACTGAAAGTTCGAGACTATCACTTGGAGATTCTTTCATTTTGTCTCTAGATGGAGAGGTTTGATATTTTGGATCCGATGCCATATGATCGGACTTCATGGCCGAGCCGTAACCTGATAGCATATTTTCATTTCCATAATGTGTACTGGGTATTTGAGATACTGCTTCATTTCGAAAAGAAACCGGCGGATGTGGTGCAGCTCCAGAAATGCCAAGAATGCTTGCGTCTATGGCGTAATCTGTAGTGCTTACACTGGCAAGCGATTTGATATGCTCCTGTTTTGCTACAGGTGAGAAGTTATCCGTTTTCAAGGTGCTAGATAGATCCAGTACGGGTTCTATCGGTCTCAAAGAGCTTTTCAGTATGCTCTCTTTGCAGTGCGCTCCTTGAGTGCTTTGTGTCATATGTAATTCGCGAGTTCCGATATTGCGGAGATGGGAAGTATGTCTACGTTGACACACTAACTCACCAGTTGCTCCTTTTAAGCTTCTTCTAGACCTGCCAGTATCAAGCCTTTCGCTTTCCTGGAAGAACTGCATTATATCATCGTCGTCGCTACTTTCGCAAGTTTTATATTTTGTTTCTTTCATAGGCAATTGTTGTTTTACAGCTTGTTTGGGCTCATCATCCCAGTCATCCGAATCAGAGAGTAGTTGGCTCAATTCTCTTGAATCCCAGGTCTTGATTCGTTTGGTTTGTGTATGTGATAGGTATGCAGTATTGTGGTTTTTCATCAAATTGTGTGTGACTGTTGAGCGCGAGCCTCTTCTTGGAATGGGGAATATTGAGGAGGGTTTGAAACAGGGAATTTTCATATATTGATTGCTAAATTCAGGTTTTGACCTGGAAAACCCATTACCAGTCTTTTGCCACAGTTTGCTTGGTTCCCTTTCTGTTGCAGAAGAGTTTATGATTTAGTTTCATATGATAAACTTTTAAATCATTTCGACGCGTTTTTTTTTAGTAACGCGTCTTCAAGAAGCAAAGGAGATGATCAAATTCCACAGAATACCAATAACTCCCGGCGAACTTTCTCTTGATAATGTCTTGCAATGCGGGCAGGCTTTTCGGTGGATCTATCATAAAGATAAGTCTCACTATTCTACCACGATGAGGTTTGGTAACCAGTATCATATTTTAGTGATGAAGCAACCAGATAATACGTGTGTTGAGTTCTCTGTGATGGGAACAGCTAATCCTGATACAGCACATGTTGCTGATCATTTGAAGAACTATTTCAGACTTGAAGTACCTCTAGATAAATTATTACGAACAGAATGGGCGGTTCGTGATTCAAATTTCAAAATGAAGTTGCATAGAGGTGTCAGATTGCTCAGTCAAGATCCTTGGGAGACCTTAATTTCATACATTTGCTCCAGTAATAATAACATTTCAAGGATAACGAAGATGTGTCATTCGCTTTGCGCTCAGTTTGGCAATAAACTTGGTGAACACGACGGAGTAGAATATTATTCATTCCCCACTAGCGATGAAATAAAAGAAAGAGCATCTGAGGAAAAACTTCGGTCACTTGGGTTTGGGTACAGAGCGAAGTTCATCATGGGTACAGCTCGAAAAATGGTCGAGGATCGGCGAAACTTACCAGACAGTCAATATTTAGAATCGTGGAAAGACCATTTGACGTATGAGCAAATACGTGATAAATTCATGGCTTTTCCAGGTGTTGGTCCAAAAGTTGCAGATTGTGTTTGTCTCTCAGGTATGCAAATGGATGATGTTGTACCAGTTGATGTACATATCGCAAGAATTGCGCAGAGAGATTATAAGTTCACACTCAACAAGAGTAAGATCGAAGAACTACAAATTCAATATAGTGACCTACCCGTTACAAGGAAAAAGGTCAATTACGAGCTCGATTTAATACGCATTATGTTCAAAGAAAAGTGGGGAGATTTTGCAGGTTGGGCGCAAGGGATTCTGTTTGCTCAAGAGGTTGGAAAGACAAGTGGAGCAACGAGCGAGGGAATGATAAAAAAACGGAGCCTTGAGGTTGAGATCAAGGTTGAAGTCACAGACACTCTTGGACAATATCAAACTGTCGAAGAAGAGAGCATAGAGTATTCGGTTACCGGGAGACCGAAGAGAAAGTCAGCCAAGCGCGATAGTTACGAATCCTGAAATATTATCTATTTCATCCTATCTACAAGTATATAGTTTTTTTCTGAGCAGATGTTACACAGTTAAAATATCATGCACTGCTGGCCTTCTCAATTTGTGCAGCTGCAAGTTGTTTGACATATTCAGTCACAGTCTCAATTTCTTCATACCTAGAGACTGTTGAGCCCTTTTGACGTAACTCTCTTATTACCCCGCAAGCCTCGCTCGTAGCCGTAACAGTGTTCTCTGATGTGAAAAGAACAAATGCTTCACCAGCATCCTGTATCTGGTTGTCACTCTCTTCAAGAAAGGTTCTTATAGCTTCGTCTCTTTCACTGAATTTCCGTAGCTTCAAAGTAGCGACGAACTTCATACCGTCAACAAAAGCTCGATCAACTTTATTTTCGTCAATGTATTCACTGATGCCAAAGAAACCATTCTGAAATCTTGCCACCATTTCGAATGCTTCCTCGTCTGCGGCAGCTGGAGTTTCTAAAAATTCTTTCTCGAATTCTTGCAGAAACGAATCCTTCTCTGATTCGAAATTTTGCTGAGCTATCTTAAAGGCCCAATCACGCTCACTGAGAACGTGTCTAATTCTCCACATTGTAGTTCTTACTTTCTCCGATATAGTCTCATACACATCCTGATTGGAGCCAATGTCGTTCTTGAGAAGGTGATTTTCCCTAGCCAAAATGTTTCTCTCTTTCAGGCATGTGTACCACAAAGAATGCAGGTCATCAAAGGATTTCCTTCTGAGCTCCGGAATGGTCCATGATCTCGAAGTGCTATCTAACTCGTCAAATTTTCTCATGTATTTCTTATCAGCAAAAAATTGCCATAGTGGGTGATCGTCAGGAACTTGAATATTTGCAGCAGTTGGAGGAATTGGTTCAGTTACACTCAAGTTGTTCAAATGATGTGTTGATTGCGTTGGCTTCCTAACGGTTGGCCTATGCTTGGGCTTTGGCTTGGGTTTTGTATATTTTGTTCTGGCACACAAAGCAACCGTGGTATGAAACCCTCTTCTAGCTGAAATCATTTGAACCTATAATTTTCACGATTCCAGATGTTTTCAGAGTCTCTAGGAGCTTGAAGCGAATTCAATGCAGCTGTATTGTGTTAGCATTCAAACTATCTAGACTGTAATTATAGAAAATTTTTTACTTGAATGAAAACTGAGGTCACGCAGTATTCACGTGCTCCTAGATAACCTCTGTTACCCGTATTTGGTGAAATTTAAGAAAGTAAAAAACCTTGACATAACTAAACATGGTTGAGAGGAGAACGTTGAGAGTGCGCAATCCCGATTTATAAATACACCGGATTTGGGATGTCATCGGAAACGCCTTTAGACCTACTGAAACTTAATCTAGATGAAAGAGTTTACGTGAAGCTACGTGGAGCTCGTGAATTGACGGGAACACTCCAAGCGTTTGACTCACACTGTAACATTGTTCTATCAGATGCTACGGAAACAATCTACGAACTGGTGGATGGCGAGTTGAAGTCAAGAACAAAAGACTCTGAAATGATTTTTGTCAGAGGCGACACAGTGACACTTGTCACCACCCCTGCTGAGTAGAAGTCTGGAAATTCTGTACAATATGTACTTTTAATGCATTTGAACCTATTTGTGAATTAAGATGATATGTAAGTTGAAATAATTTTTTGTTTATACACTGTTCCTCCGCTGAAGCATGCTATATGGAGAATCTTGCTCTCCTGCGGCAGCGACAGAACCCGGAATTTTGGGCATTTTGCCCGATTCTTCCAAATCTTGAAAAAACTCATGCCCATAAGCAGCGCCAACTTGGTAAATTTCTTCGAACTTCGCAAAATCCAAAGTCGCGTAGTCCTCAATTGGAGGGCGCATATATATTACACCAGGTGTATGTTTGGCTTTCTCCAGCGCATTAACGGAAGCCACATATCCCAGACGCATTTGTATTTCAGCCATATTGGGGATGTTAGGATGCCTCGAGAATGGGTTCCAACGATTAAGAACAATCCAAAAGCCATTTAACGAGTCGCCATACTTCATGGGAGTTCTATCATCTACTGAGCCCACATCTACCGCAAAAATCGTATTACAACCACGAGCTTTCATTTCCCACACAGGCAGATTGTCAACATAACCACCATCTAGAAGCATGGAACCGTTGTCTTCTATGGGAGGAAGTAGACCTGCAAGTGACATAGAAGCCCGAATATATCTCCATGCATATCCTGATGAATGAATCTCCTGTATAGACTCGGTGATATTTGTTGAATTACAATAATACTGGATCCAAAAATCTTCAATTCTTATGTCGCCGAACGCCTTCCATATACCGCGATTGAACTCGTGGCCTGTTGTATATGACGTGACTGGCCAAGTCAAATCAGTGAGCATCCTCCATAAAGAGCCAATTCTACCCGCAAATTTCTTAACGCGACCATAAATAGGAACCAGGTCGTAATCTTTCGCATATAATCCACCAACGAAAGAACCTATTGAAGTTCCTCCAATCATATCTATGGGTATACCTTGTTCCTCTATGGCTTTCAGTACACCAAGATGGCTAATACCTCTTGCGCCACCCCCACCAAGTACGAGACCAATTGCCTGGCCAGAAAGGATACGGGCTAAGCGCAAGAAGTCATTTTTGTGTGTATGCACAGGAGTGTAGTACCTTTGCTTTTTATTGATGTATTTGGAAGAAAAATTCTCTACTGTAACCTTCAGTGAGTCAGGCAATAAGCGCGAGATATTTTCTTGCGTTCTCTTTGTTATCTTATTGAAACGTTCACCGTGCTTTAAGATGTCCATAAAACTATTGAGGTATGGCGAACTTTTCACATCATTCGAACTAATAAATTGAGGACTTGAGAATTGGATATGGTGGAGAGAATGTACCCGCATTCGGTTTCTTAGCCATTTATGAGTGAGTCCTGGTTCCACGTACCTTTCCGGGTGAAGTAGAATCATTTCAGTTCTTGCATTGGATTTCGATTTCACAAGCAATCGTTCGTACTCACCAATATCTGGGTCCACTGTTGCATACGCAAGCAGTAAGACACAATCGGCCTGATTGATACATGTAGTAGTCCAAGAGGAAGTTAGTGGTGTGTCAGCAATGTAGACAACAGTTTCATAAATTTCTTCTAGTTCAGCAAAATAACCGGATTGCTTTAGTTTCGCAAGTCCATCAAAAGCGTGGCGTCCCAAATGGGATAAGGTGGTTGATTGATTTAGGCCAATAGTAGATCTTCCCACTTGTTTAAATGCCCCCACCAATTTCGCGGCAAATTCTTCAACTGGTAAACCCTGTGTGATCGGTAGAATAGTGATAGTCCTGTAGCTTCTTCCATTTGTACCACTCATGGAATGTTTTCCCTTGGCTTTTGAATTAATAACAGAACCCTTTGTGGTTTCTGAAGGTGGAATCAACAAGTTGAAGTCATATTTGTTACCGTTTGAACTATCGATAGATTTGGTTGGTTCAGGGCCATGATTTTGCTGAAGAATTTTTCTTGCTACTAACCTGCTAACACGAATCATAATAGAAGGATGTTCCAAGGCAAGTAGCTCGAATAGAGTTCGTGGAATACGTGCAAGTTCGGCATCTCGCAGGGCAACCACTGTCGATAAACGATTAATTGCTGTTAAAACCTCTACTTCACCAAAACTTTCTCCTTGTGCAAACTCGCCTAATACCTGTACATTGTGGTCACTTTCAAGTTGATCTTTTTTCTTGTTTTTTTTGAAGTCACTTCTTTTACCAGACTGTTGCAACTGTCTCAATCTGCCGCTTAAGACAACATAGATTGCATTTGCAGGGTCATTCTGGTTGAATAGTATCTCAGAAGAATCGAGGTGAATCCACTCTAATGCGTAATCTAGTTTGAGAATTTTAGGATTCAATAAGTTCGCAAAAGTCTCAGCGATACGCAAGTAGATCATAAAGTACTTATCGCAAAGTCTCTCAAGGACATTACTGGGAAGAAAGCCGACATATAAGTCTGTTTTGGCCCTTAGAGTCACAAATGATTTGCATCCAATCAAAGAAGCTAGATAACCAGCAATTCCACCGGGTTTGACGCAATACAAGATATGTTCTGTATCATCTTCTTCATTTTTCCATATCACTTCTATCGTGCCAGAAACGACGTAATAGAGACCTCCGTTTGCATGATCTTGGGATATTGGCGTTGATCCCTTTGGAATGAATTTTGTTTCTAATCCATCAGCAAATTCGTTCTTGACTGTGTCGAAATCAAAATTCCGGGGAACTTCTTCCGTGTACTTCGTCTTTTTCTTTTCGGTGGTTTGTCTCTTACGATTGATTCGATTACTGGTGAGGAATGTGAGAGAGTTAGAAGCAAGGTGTGATGAGGTAAAGGACGATGCTAAGGAAATATCGGAAGGTCGGCGCAGGGACATTGAAAAGTCTTCTTGAGCAGGTAAGATGTTTTCTTTGGTGATGCCCAGATAGGCAAATATACCTTCAATTAGGGCCATTCTCCAAGAGGATTCCTCGGTTTCGTCCTGGGCTGCAGAAAATGTACGTAACCTAATGTCTTCATTGTCAATATCAAGTGAGCTTCCGACGGCGCTTTTTGGTTGGCTTTTGGAATGCTCAGCAGTAGAGATTGAAGAGGTTTTTTTTTGGGTGTTACCAGTAGAGGATGTGTCTACGGTTCTGGCTGAAGTGCCGCCACTATTCTGATACATTGGTTTTGAAACGTGGGATTTAGAACTAGTAAAATCCTTTCTAGATAATGGAACATTTGATAGTAGATCACCAGGATTGAGATGATCACGGGAATCAATTACAACGTGTCTTGACCCACCAGTTTGAAGAAAGCTATTTGGCCGGACAGCAGCTTTCGAGCTGTCAGATTTCAGTTTAGGTCTTTTCAGCTTTTGAAACTTGGAGGGATCGGTTTTTTGTTTTGAGGAAAGGTTCTCACGCTCTTTGATTTGCTGAATGACTGCTTCCTTTAAATAATATGGCAATTCAAACCTTGCACTTCTATTCAAAACAACTTCAGTATGTATGATTTCTCTTGTTAGGCCCAAATAATTATGTGCGGTTTGAAGTGTTACTCGGTAGAGTTTAGTAAGAACCATTTGAATGATATGAGAAGCAGAACGAGGGTATTTTGACGTTAGCCGTCTAAATGCAGATGATGGGATTATAGCAATAGTACATTCGCTGGAGGCACATGCAATGATATCAGGAAGTGATGGTGCAAATGGGGAACCTTCGCTATTTGCTCTGCTTCCAGACAAGTTTTCGTCACCATGACTGGCAATGGGTTCGGGACTTGAATGCGGATCAATGCCCGAATTATGGCTGGTGGTCGACTGTTGCCGGTTGGAACGATTTAAATCAGCCCGCTGATGCTCAAGTGTTGAGTCCAAATAGGGCGACATAAGCCCTGAATGAGGATCCTCGCCCATCGAGAGGTTGATGTCTGAGAAAGAAGGCCGCTGGCTTCGATCTGTGAACAGCTTAAGAATGGTCACTAGAGAAGAAATGGGATTACCTGCTTTAACATTATTCAGCAGCTGGAACTTTTCACCATTGAGAGAATAAGCATCCCGGCTCGAGGACATTTCATCCTCAACATCATCGGATTGCGATAAGCTATCACTTTGGTTTTCGAAGTGATCGGATGGATGCGCCTTGCCCTGATCTATTTTGTGATATATCTGGAGACTGCCCTCGACGACAATGGCAAAGCCGAGCATCTCATCTACTAGCAACACTTCACCTTCCTCGAGGCGCCGTGTCTTCATGGACTTTGTCAATTCATGAAATACAGGCTTTTCCAAATACCCAAAAATCCGGATGGCACTTAAAAATTCATCCAAATACGAGGAGAAGCCGCCTTTGTGGCTTGCACTGGGATTATTCATGAACAATGCGTCCGTGTCCTCCTGTAATTTTTTGTTCTTCAGGATCATTTCGTCGTCCTCGTCCGGCTGGAGGCGCTTATAGGCATTGAGAAAACGACTGCGAAGCACATAGTAAGTGCAAAATATCATCAACAAGGTACCAAAAAGTAGCGAAGAAAAAGACAGTGTAATATTGACACTTGAGGAAACGACCACAAATAGTGGAATTCGGAGGAAAAATAGCTTTATCAGATGCCAAGCAGCCCGCGCCAGCACAGATCCCGTCGCCCAAAGAGAATTCGACACCTGCAAGACCGCAGAGGCAGTGCTGACTATCAGTTCTGCAGTACTGATACTAGCAGTAACATTTCGCGTTCCATTGGGAATTGAGTCATTTGCCAGCAGCCTTTTTGCCACCGTTATATTTACCATGGGCCCTAAGTATTGCTAATGACAGTGAACTAAAAGATTTATAACATCAGCAAATGCTAAAAATCTGATATTGTCATGTGACGTGCTTATAATCACGTGCTTTGCACGTGCTGATTATTCCTTTTATATCACGTGTTTAACACGTGGTATGCGTCATCAAGGATCCCTGTCACGTTCCACATTTCGTATATTACTAAATCGGGAGACGTTGTCGTCCGGAGATCAAGGGAACTCTGTGCCCTTGTGCATACCCTGATGGTTTTACTAAGCGTGGCTTCCTGCTTGTAATTGTAACCGGAAGCTGCGTCAGGATACGTGGCAAATTGCACCTGGTGACGGGCAGCTGGAGTTCAAGAAGTGCCTGGAATTCGTCAGAACGTGCGAAAACAAGGTTATGTAGTTTTGAGCACATTTTTAATTCGTTTCCGAACCAAATGGCCAGGAAGGGTAGACGGCTGGTGTAAGGAAGGAATATTCTACGAATGAAGTATATAAGGAGGGTTTCGCTGGCATTTCAATGAATTGATATGTTTCATTTAGATCTCCAGAACCCGCACAGCGCAGCTGATAAACTAGTTCTTCAATCTCAAAAGCACAACAATAATCGCAATGACCAAAGTTTCCATTAACGGTTTCGGTAGAATTGGTAGAATTGTTCTAAGAATCGCTTTGTCCAGACCAAACATCGAGGTTGTGGCCATCAACGATCCTTTCATCGCCACTGACTATGCTGCTTACATGTTCAAGTACGACTCTACCCACGGTCAATACGAGGGTACTGTTACCCACGATGACAAGCACATTATCATTGACGGTAAGAAGATTGCTGTATTCCAAGAAAGAGACCCAGCTCAATTGCCATGGGGTAAGCTAGGTATCGATGTCGCCATTGACTCTACCGGTGTTTTCAAGGAATTGGACTCTGCTCAAAAGCACATTGACGCTGGTGCCAAGAAGGTTGTCATCACTGCTCCATCTTCCACCGCCCCAATGTTCGTTGTTGGTGTCAACGATGACAAATACGCTGGTCAAACCATTGTTTCCAACGCTTCTTGTACCACCAACTGTTTGGCTCCATTGGCTAAGGTTATTAACGACAACTTCGGTATTGAAGAGGGTTTGATGACCACCGTGCACTCTATGACTGCTACCCAGAAGACAGTCGATGGTCCATCTCACAAGGACTGGAGAGGTGGTAGAACGGCTTCCGACAACATCATCCCATCTTCCACAGGTGCTGCCAAGGCTGTCGGTAAGGTGTTGCCAGTCTTGCAAGGTAAGTTGACCGGTATGGCTTTCAGAGTTCCAACCGTTGATGTTTCCGTTGTTGACTTGACCGCTAAGTTGGAAAAGGCTACTACCTACGATGAGATCAAGGCTGCCGTCAAGAAGGCTTCTGAAGGTGCCATGAAGGGTGTCTTGGGTTACACTGAAGATTCCGTTGTTTCTTCTGACTTCTTGGGTGACTCTCACTCTTCCATCTTCGATGCTTCCGCCGGTATCATGTTGTCTCCAAAGTTCGTCAAGTTGGTTTCCTGGTACGATAACGAATACGGTTACTCTACCAGAGTCGTGGACTTGGTTCAAAAGGTTGCCAAATAATCCTTTTGAATCTTATGGATAGATGTTTATGACTATATAGAGAAACGCGAGTAAATGACGATACATGATTAGTTATTCTTTTTTAAAAGCTATTAAACAGGGAATAGGTAGAATTTTTAAACTAGTGGGAAGCGATCTCGGCTTGAGGCAAAAGCTCCAAACTCTTTCTGATGGCATCGACACCCTTGGACAAGTCTTCCTTAGAGATCACAAGAGGTGGTGCCAATCTGATAATGTGTTCGTGAGTGGGCTTAGCTAGCACACCCTGGTCCTTCATCAGCAGACATAAGTCCCAGGCTGATCTGCCGTTGGCTTTGGATGGGTCGATGACAATGGCGGTTAATAGACCTTTACCGCGAACTTCAGAAATTACACCATTGGACTCAGCCTTTAGCTTTTCCAATTCGCTTTGCAAAAAGTCACCCAACTGTTGGGCTCTTTCGACCAAGTTCTCCTTTCTAACCACTTCAAGAGCAGCGATGGCAACACGGGAGGACAGTGGGTTACCACCGTAGGTGGAACCGTGGGAACCCGGCTCGAAACACAACATGATGTCCTTGGAGGAAAGAACACACGACACGGGCAACACACCACCAGAAATGGCTTTACCAAGCAAGACCATGTCCGGCTTTACATTTGGGGAGTGTTCGTAACAGAGCATCTTACCAGTTCTGGCAATACCAGTTTGAATCTCATCGCAAATGAGCAAAACATTGTACTTGCGACAGAGAGCTTGGACCTGAGTGAGATAGTCTGCAGGAGGAACAACGATACCAGCTTCACCCTGGATAGGTTCCAAGAGGATGGCGGCGATACGGTCACCAGCGTTCTTGAAAGCCAGTTCGACATCCTCGATCACACCGTAACGCAAATATTGATCTGGTGTGCCTGGAATCTTAGCACTGGTGTTGTCAAGGAAGGGACCGAAGAATTTACGGGAGTCCTCCTCGTCGGTGGAAAGAGAGATGGCACCGAAAGTACGGCCGTGGAAGTTGCCCTGTGCACCGATGATAATGGCCTCGTTGTCGGGAATACCCTTTTTCATGTAACCCCATCTACGTGCAAGCTTCAACGCAGTTTCGACGGCCTCAGCACCAGTGTTCATGGGTAGAACCATCTCGTAGTTGAAGAACTCGGTCACGTACTTGGCAAAAGCAGCGAAAACGTCGTTGGAGAACGCACGCGAAGACAATGTGAGCTTTTGGGCTTGATCAACGAGAGCAGCGATGATTTCAGGGTGGCAATGGCCTTGGTTAACGGCGGAGTACGCAGACAAAAAGTCTAGGTATTCTTTTCCCTCTGGATCCCAAACATGAGCTCCAAGAGCACGGTGGAATACCACAGGAAGAGGGTGGTAGTTGTGAGCGGAATACTCTTGCTCGTATTCGACGGTAGTCGCAGAAGATAGGTTGACGTTGATTGACATGCTAATCTAAGTGACGCTGAATGCGGATCTGCCTTTAGGAACCCTTGTGCAGCGTGCGAGCTGACCTGTATTTATACTTTTTCTCCAACAGCTCTTCTCATTGCAAAATTCTTCGCCTCATGCCCATTGCGAGTCACTTTACGTGCATGAGTCGCTGTCATTAGTGCATAGGGGAAATAATTTCGCTGTCACCAGTGCATAGGGTAAACTGGTGAAAAATTTCGTTAACCCGATATGAGCAATTGTACTAGGGCCGCATGAGCGACACAACTGGCGTTGTGGGGTAGCGGAGAAGTATGACGAGAGAATGGCAGTGCTGGCGATAGAGACGCAGCTCTGAGGCGGTTTTCTGGAGGGCAATTCGCTTTGCGAGCCAATGACAGACCCACTGGAGGCACGTGAACGGGTACTGGCCTGCCGAGTCCGGGTTACCCTTCAGTCTTTTCTTTTTCCTGCTCATCTGTTTACGTAATCAGAAACCTCCGCAGTGTGCAGCATTGCTTCCGTCCGTAATGATCCCCTATATGACGAGCTTCAGACACAGAGGTCACGTGTCTATTCCGGCTTTTATTGTGTGTGGGTGTTCATATTTTTGTACGATGGTCTGAAACGTCAAGCGTTTCTCTAAGGGGAAGAGAAGAACGGGGAGGCTATAGACTTCCGCGGGAGGTCCTCCGATATGGATTCTAGTTGCGTCCAAACAGGTTGCAAGTAATCTTGAAAGCAATCAGAGCCACCGCGAAAAATGGAGCCGATAAGCCAAGGATGCGTATTGCGTGTCACGTGATATCCCTTGCCCTCTCTTTGTCTTTTGGTTTGCGGAAATGCGCGGAAATTCGTTGCTCGTGGAAACTGATCACTTTGGCTTATCACGTGCAAATCACGTGCCTGTGAAACTGCTCATCATGTTTCCCGCCCAGTCCCAATCCGCTATTAACAGACAGGGTTGACATTCAGTTGGTTGTAAAAGACTATAGAAGAAAGGAAGAAAGGAAACGAAACCGTTTTGGGTGACATTGACGCTGACACTTCTATCGATATATAGATATATAATTATAGTCGTTTAATCATTCTCACTTTACATGTCGGCGTTATGGTCAGGCGCAGACACGGGCACTGTGCCGATCATACGCGCCCATTGCTCTCTACAACTCTCCTCATAGGCCTGGACGGCGTTTTTGATGAAAGGCCTAATGTTCACGTGGCGGTCGCGCCTGTCTCCCATACTAGAAGATGTAGAACGCACGAATGTTTGTTCAAAGTACTTGTGACAGCTTTTACCATCGTAAAAATATGTTGGGTGTGGGAATAGGTGGTTCTCGTACAAGAAGTGGTTCACGTGGAGGGCGATGAGGTCCCACGCGGCGGGCTCAAGGCCTGGGCGTTCTACAACAACTTCTTTGAGCAAGTGCAGCTGGCCCTCGGTGGAAAGCGAGCCGTAATGCACGAGGTACCCAAGAAACACCGATGCAGGCACGACGAGCAGCGACACGATCAGTACGATAATCAGCGGTAACCATTCGGTCAAAATGAGTAGAACGAATAAAACTATGGCGAAAATGAAAATCTCAATGATCACTAGCAGCGAGAGGATTTTGTTTTCACGTAAATGGAACCAAAAAGCGCTGGAACTCACGTCGCGGGGCAATGTGAACTCGGGTGTGTGCGTGTAGTCATACCCCGAAACGAATTGGCTCTTCAAAACCTCATATATCTGTTCAAGTTTTTCCATTTGGCATATATCTTGTGAGGGCTGACGTGTGAAGTATTGATACGTCTCTTGTATATACAGTTTTTTTTTTGACGCCTTCGTGTTCAACTATCAACTCCGAAATCTACCTTTGCAGCATGGTTGCGTGGCTATCTGGCCAAAACGCAAAGCGGGCTTTAGACAAATGTTCCGAGGCTGTCGGGTAATTTAATCGTTAAAGAAAAGCATCCTGGTAGTGTACACAGACTCCATTTTCATTACGGCTGAACAGCTACCGTAATGCCTCTTTACAAAGAGACATCGAGTCTCAAATCAAGGCTTCGAGAAGGGTTTGGTCGTTTTTTACGACAGCCGTTGACGCTCAGCCTCGGCGTGCTAACGTGCCTAAATGCCAAATTCCTTTTCACGTCAGTTATACACAACTGTTCCTCGGGTTCGCATCCGGAAACGACACATCGGTTGCTAGCATCCATCTGTCTTTGATGCTTGTTATGTACACTTCTACCGCCTCGACTGTAATACTGCCGATGCCTACCAAATCATCAAAATAAAAGGCCTGATCGCATGTCATCAGTTCGTCTGCACTTCTCAGCGCACGCCTATTTTCGGCATTAAGACGTGCGATTCGTTTCACAAATGCCTTCTCAAAATAGCCTCGGGAGCCTCTGCCGTCAAAAAAATAGGACGCCCAAGGGAAAAGGTGTTTCTCGTACATGAACTGGTTGACGTTGAATGCAATCAAATCCCACACAACCGGATCCAGTCCAGGACGTTGCTTGACAACCTCTTCAAGTAATTTTATTTTGGACTCCTTGTGGACGACACCGTAATAACAACACACGTCAAGTTCGCATATAATAAGAAAACTGATCACTAGTAAAATGAGTACCCACATTGAAACTTTCCAGTTATTTAAAGCGTCATATTTTATCAAAAGAAAAGCAGCAAACACACCATCTAGGCTAAGTGCAATCTGTAGCCCATGGCTTTCTCGAAGATGATAAATAAAAAAACTGGAGCTCACGTCGCGCGGAAGTCGAATCACACCGGCAGACAAGGCGTGCTCCTCTGACCGTCCTGTTTCCTGGTCCATAGAAGACTGACATTGTGTCTTTAACGAGACACAATCCTTTGACGACATTGCTTCTTTTACAGCGGTATCCATGGGAATGACAAGTTTTAGTCCTTCTCATTCCCTCCTAAACGTCATATTCAAGAAACGATAAACCTACTTTACTTCTCCGTATTTGATGATATGTATTCTAACCTTTTTGGCTGCAGTGATGAAGCCTCATTTGGGAGCAGTTGGGCACCTTTTAAATGCAACATATGCCTGAGCTACGTCCTCGCTATTCTCGATGCCTCCTCCGGGGGTTAGTCTCTCTTAAGTTCTGGATCACCACGGCTCGAGTGCCACGAACTCATAGTTCGGACCTCTGTGTGTATGGGTTCTGTGTCACCTGGTATCGTGATTTAAGTCACGTGCACCAAACACCCATGCCTTTGTTTACACAACAAGTTGTAAACCCATACACCGCATAATACACGTGTTTACATAACAAAAGAGCCCTCGGGAGGCTCCAGAGGCTTTTGCCCTCGGAATAAACCAGTATTTAAGCAGCGTCGCCGGGGCCAACGCCCCCAGATGATATCGCATCAGGAATTTCACCCCCCCAGCTATCGCTCATTGCACACTTTCTTCTAGCTCCAATGACGACTGAATCCCCCGTTAAGAGACAACTTCACAGTGCTATCGAGCGTCAGCACGACCAATACTCAGGCCAAAGCGCTCTTTCCACCATAGGCATGCGTATTCGCCAATCCATCGACCAGGGTTACCAGGTGCCCCGCGCCCCTGCGCCTGCGCAAGACAGCACGTTTTCCAACCTGTGTGTACAGGATAACTCAAGGTTTACAATCCCTGAGTACAAGCGTGTTCCCCTTCCTTCCGCCAAGCAGGCTCCTATGCTTGTCAACGAGCGCACGGTGTCCAGCTCTAGTTCCCTCGAGATGTGGGAAAACCAGCTCGAAGAGCGTCTCGAACACATCGACAATGACATCATGCGCAACAAGCTCGGTGCTGGTGACCTCATGCTTGGTACCAAGCGCGGCTTCGCTGAAGTCGACGAGTGGTGAGCAGGCCTTCCTCTCTCCGTCTGTACATTAGCGCCCGCGGCAGGGCATGGCATGGAATGGGGATTCTCTTCTCTGTGTAGCAGAATACGTATTTCCACACTAGATAGTTGTATCTAAACATAACTTTGGGTTGATTTTACTTTAGCCTACACGTCTTTGAGTGTACCCATCGGTATCTGAGATGTGCAGTTTTCTGCACATAAATGATGTTGCACTCGAGAAAGCCGAATTCAAGGAAAAAAAAATAGTTCCGCACTTCAAGGAAAACTACGACTCGAGCGCCGCAATCGATACGCATTTGGGCATGGGAAACTCGGATTCGAAGCTTGCTCAGTTTCGAGAGCATGTATTCCAACTTGCAGGACCGCACACTATTCCATTGTATTCAAGTGGTGCCACTCCTGAGTCCATAGCTCGATACTGTCAGGGACCGCGCAACAACAGTGCCGAGCCCGATAGTGTGGTAGTGCCGGAGCAGGATCCGTTCTCAGACTATTTCAACACGTTGGTGCGCAGCGGCTTTGATGCCTCCGATGTGTATGCTGTAGTTTCGACCCAGGAGGTGCGCTTCATTCACGAATCACACGAGGACAATTTTAATAATCTGGTCCGGTTTGCAGCGCTCAAGATCTGTGCGTTGACCTCAGCACTGCAAAACTGCTCGGATGTTGCGGATTTTCGCAATCGTAAAGAAGAAATTATGGGTTGCATACGTATCCTAACAAAGGTTATGCCTGTGTTTCTTGAAAGGGATACAGAGGAGGAAGAGGAGGACGCTCTGTTTTGGAATAGAAATGTCAACGAAGTGTTCAATTATGACGCTGCAACCTCGATTGAGCCAGTGCTGCAGGCGCCTTTCGAAGCTCTCCCCTCTCCTGAAGCTCTACCCCTTCCAGAAGCTCTTCCCGCATCTATTATTGACGAGCTCTCTAACGTCAAGGTCTCAATAGACGCACCAGCTAAACGTTCGTCAGATCCGCTAAATGTGGCCATAGAGGAACATCTCGGTGCAGATGATCTAACTCCGCTGGGTATGACGCTTTTGAAAGCATGTTTGAAGTTGCTTTTCATGGAAGGGCTTACGGTACCCGTCTCTGCCCCTTCGCCCAATAGACTAGGTAAAGTCTCCTTTCTACTGTGGGAAAATGGTGTTAACACCACCAATTCTACTTATCAGCAACCTAATCCAAAGCTTGACTGCAACAGGCTTGAAATTCTACGACTTATGCTTACTTTATCTTCAAGAGAGCTCTACGGTCAAGAGGTTTCAAAATTTCTTGTGGTTCTGTGTACATTGATGCCTGGATTTCATTCCATTTGCCTCGTGTCTTCACTTGTGAATTTGGTTTGCCGCTCTTGTCGCGATAAAGACGATGATAACGGTCTCACATACCCACCAAACTCTTACAACAATTCCATACCCAAGTCTCAGATTTGTTCCCTAAGAAAGTCACTTGTGAATACATCCACCCATTTATTGAATCTTATGCTTCTTTTTAAAATTTCCCCTTCAACACAGCCATTATTATATGACTTCCTTTACAAACTAAACGTTTGCCCTGTCAGTTACCAAATTAATAACATAGTGACATCGTATTTGTCAACTCTCAATAGGGAATTTGATATGAAATTAATGCTAATTTCATTGGCGACGTTATTCAAGAGACCAATGGATCGTGCAATCGATCATGAGTCAAATCCCTTTAATTTACTTAACAATAATGGTGCTAATTCCAAATCTAATCAAAATGGTACTAAACGTCCTCCCGGTTCGAGGAACAGTACCACAGCGAAGACAACGACTTATTCTAGCATGTCTCTTCCCAAAATACCAAGGCTTACTTTGCAAGTTGTCATTTTATTATGGGAGCTCATGAAATGCAACAAATCATTCGAAAACTATGTGGCCGACAAATATGCGAACAAGCTCCTAATCGTGTGCATATACTATTTGAAATACTATTCGGATTGTACAGAATGGCAAGTTACCTTACTCCCGGTAATAAGTGGTTTTGCTACTTATTTGTCTTCGAAAAAGCTGGTACTTTCGAAGATGTTATACTACTTTAATGCCAACTACTATACAAATAAAATCCCCAACTTCTTCAAATTGTCTTCGGGAAGCATCAACCAAATCACCTATAGGGATTTTGCCATAACACATCTAGCCAACATGGCGATAAGTCAAGTGAATCAAAATTCAATCCTAAAATCATACCTTTTTGAACTTCTTTTTAATCTTTTATCCCTTCCAAACAATTCTACGGACGAGGATCTAGTCCAATTATCGTCAGAGAAAAAAGGCACCTACCTGGGTTTGAGTTACAATGCATGTACTCCTTTGTCGCATCTTATTTCTAAGATGGCATCTAAAGATTATTTAAGTTCGGCTATTGGAGAAACTGAAAGCTCAGGTAGCTCATTGGCTTCCGCAGAAACTACAGAATCTACGGGTAATTGCAATGTAGACAGCAAACTTTATGTTTATTCGCCAGGTTTGAAGCTGGACATGCTGGCACTTTTATTAAGGGCAATTGTGATTTCCATTACATCGCATTACAAAGAATCCAAAAATCTGCTATTCATTTTATGTCGTCATCAAAGAATTATTTGTCATTTGAGGGACAGTATTCAAGAAATTTCTTCATCACTTGCGAAACGCGAAAGTAGTGAAGAAGGGTTAGATTCCGCTCTTAAGAACAGCAACATATCACTGGATGATTATTTCGATGATAGCGCATACGAAAAGTTTGTGAATGAAACAAGCGGGTTTTATCGACTAAACACAGCTAACAGTTCTAAATTAGGTGAAAAATTTCCATCTCAGTCTTTGTTATTCTTTGATGAGCATGAGAAGGATCATGACATTGACGTAGTTTCAGCGGTTGCCAGTCAAACCGCTAACAAAAATGCAGAGCTTTTCGAACATTTGGATTATGAATACGATCCTATTTTGGATTCGACAAAGCTCTATATAAATTTGAGACCCAAAAGACCTTTGGGCTTAACCTTTAGACGCAAAGCAAAGATGAGGAAAAACGAACTTTTGAGTAAAAGCTGGCTTGGCTCTGAATCCCTGAATCTTCTAATGAAAATAGTTCAGACCATCACCAAAGCTTTTCCCCAATTAATTCACATAACTGCAAGCGACTATCCTAAGTTACTTCGGAAATTTGACGATTTTGAACCTGAATTTCAATCGTCCATCGGGGCCTTTTTACCGCTTGAACTCAAAATATTCAGTGAACATTTCCATGCCCTGACGATTGACTGGGAAGTCAATTCAAATTCCGCTCGGTGGTACCGATCAGTCCTTTGGGCAGACATTTTTAATTACAATAGTGTTCCATTTGTTAGTGTATTTGCTAAAGAAGGTGAGAGGCAGGACGTCATGCTACAGGGGCATCACCAACCGACTTCTCAACCTACTACACCGTCACTCGAGAGGTGGAATTCGCATGGCTCTGTGATATCTCGTACCAATAGTAATAGCAGTTCCATCACAAATTATCTAATCCATCAAGAACCGGAGTCAGCATCGAACAGCGTACCTAATAGTCCAAGTGTTGGATCAGGCTTTTCTACTTGGCTTAATGGAAAATATTCTACAAATCAACCGCCAGAGAGGTCTTCGCTATTCCGCTTTTCGTGGACAGGTTTTCATAAGACTGGACAAGAGGATAAAATCTCGGAAGAAAACGATAGAGATTCTAGCAGAGGAAGTACTTCCCACGCTAATTTATTTATATTGGATTCAGGTCTTTTGAAACCCAATATATGGGTGGGGACTTACGTTGAACTCTTTAAAGTGAAAGTCGATGAGAGAGAAGGCTTCTCTCTCATGGACATGACTTCGAACATTTTGAAGAAGCTCAGATTTAGCAGCACAACTAGCGTCAACTCGTCAGATGGTATTCTTGTTACCTCTGGGGCACTTACACCCATCAGTTCGAGACCTTGGACTCCCAGAGGGTCGCTCACCAGCAATGCGTCAATATCGACACCAAGAGCGCCGTCCTCGAACTTTAAGTTCTAATTAGACAACCTTAAGCCTTATAAATTTATAAATGTACTGTAAATAAATATGTTACATATTGATTTGATATTACTTTCAACCTCCTTACGGCTTTATTAGCGCTAACGTCTTCTCCCTTTTTTTGTCACTAATTCGAATCCGTCCTCATCTATGATTGTTTCAGGTTTATTTGGCTCATCAATATCCATTTCAACATCTTCAGCAAGCATAGGCACTTCTTCTTGCTCATCATCTTCACTGTCGGAGACGTCAGGGTTCATGGGGTCTTCTTTGACCTCCACAATTCGAGCGTCAGTTTTTCTGGCCTGCTTTTCTTGCCATTCCACATAAAGACGTTCAACGTTCGAATAATTCAAAGCATCGCACTCTCTATACAGCCTCACGATACCGGCAGCTATGGGTAAAGCCGAGTCATCTTCGACATTGGTATCGAACTCATCGACCATTGCATACAGCAGCGTTTCTTCGATTAACCCAACATCTACTATCTTTCCTGTTTTAAAAAGATCTACAATGACACCAGTAATCCAATCTCTCTTCTCAGCTGAGTCTGGACCACCCCAGCTGTTCGCAACGGCGATGTCCAATGCATCCCATTTGTATACCATCATCGAAACACCTAGTTCAAACCTAGCTTGCTGCTTCTCATCTTTAAACTCTAAGCTGGAAACATCCTTTGGAGCCTCCACATAGTCTGCTACGTCATACGAGGAATTCATCTCAATATCAATATCAGGAACTCTATATCAGTAGTGGTTTATGATGGTTAGAATGAGATGAGCTTGAAAGTAAGAATTTTTCACTCGCTTTCTACGAATGGTCGAGGGCAAAGTTTAAGGCTTAACCTCGGAAAGCCTTGCGCTAGTCTCCTCGTCTTGATATAGATAACTATAGTCGGATAAACCTTTTAAAGTAGGTCGTAGCAGGACAAACATATTCAAACTGTTACGTGAGCTTTAAGATGTCCGAAGATAACGACTATAAAGCACATGAAAACACCAAAAAGATCAATGCGGCCCTGGAGATTATCAAGAACAAGCCCAGCAGTGGTAAAAGTATTCAGGAAGATAGAAAATCGGATTTAACGTCTTATACATTGGAAAATGGTGTCACCGTCTCCACTGTAGATCGTGTGGTGAGCTCGGTTCCGCCGGTCGCTAGGCATCTTCCCAAAGATACGGAAGTTTTTTTGGCCAATGGATTGCCGAATCACGAATTTTTGCGTAATCACTTTCGCCAAGAAGGTCGATTGAGCACTTCTCAAGCACTTCGGATATTACAATCAGCAACAGAGTGTCTAGCCAAAGAACCTAATTTACTTCAGGTTCCAGCGCCAGTTACTGTGTGTGGTGATATTCACGGACAGTTCTATGATTTACTGAAACTATTTGAAGTGGGCGGTGATCCGCAGTCAACACCCTATCTATTTTTGGGTGATTATGTTGATCGGGGTTCCTTTTCTTTTGAATGTCTGATCTATCTTTACAGTTTGAAATTGAACTTTACTTCTCATTTCTGGCTGCTTAGGGGAAACCACGAGTGTAAGCATCTGACCTCATACTTTACATTCAAAAGCGAGTGTCTTCACAAGTATAGTTTGGAGGTATATGAAGCATGTTGCCAGTCATTCAATGCTTTGCCCTTAGCGGCCGTCATGAACGGACAATATTTTTGTGTTCATGGTGGTATTTCTCCTGAATTGAGGAATTTGGAGGACATTAATAGAATTAACAGGTTCAGAGAAATTCCTTCTAGAGGACTTATGTGTGATTTGATGTGGGCAGACCCTATTGAGACTTATGATGAGGATTCCGATAATCCTTCTGTGTCCGCTTTTGTTCCTAATTCTGTAAGGGGTTGTTCTTTCGCATTCTCCTACAAAGCCTCGTGTGAATTCTTGCAAAGAACTCGTCTCCTGTCAATCATAAGAGCACATGAAGCCCAAGATGCAGGTTACAGGATGTACAAAAACACTAAAACGCTAGGATTTCCTAGTTTACTGACGTTATTTAGCGCACCAAACTATTTGGACACGTACAAGAATAAGGCTGCTGTATTGAAATATTCCGATAACGTAATGAATATCAGACAGTTCAACATGTCACCTCATCCATATTGGCTCCCAAATTTCATGGACGTTTTTACGTGGTCACTGCCCTTCGTTGGTGAAAAAGTCACAGAGATGTTGGTTTCTATTTTGAATATCTGCACAGAGGAAGAACTAGAGGAAGATACTCCGATGATTAAGGAAGACGTTGGTAACGCACAGGTTTCAGTCCAATCTAGTTCACGTGGCACTGAAGAGCAAAAGAAGCCAACATCATCGATTCTCCACGATGATGCCAAAAGAAGAGCTTTAAGGAACAAGATTATGGCAATTGCAAAGGTTTCAAGAATGTATTCTGTTTTAAGGCAGGAAAGTGAGAAAGTTGAGTATCTAAAAACGATGAATTCGGGAGTTTTACCTCGAGGTGCTTTATCACATGGCTCTGAGGGTTTGAATGAAACTTTGTCAAGTTTTGAAAAAGCTCGTAGGGCCGACCTCATTAACGAAAGATTGCCTCCCAATCTTAATGACGTTCAGAAAAGCAGAAGTGATTATTACAAAAAAATAATGAGGGGAGCAGGAAAGAAGTAGAAAGGAAGCATGTTGAATAAAAGTGTATATTACGTATTTTTTGGGTTCAAGATATTCTAACCAAAATCAATTTGAATTTTCGACTATTAGATACGCTTACACAATTTCTTGACTATGTTACAAGTAAAATTGAGAGAGAAACTCAGTTGTGCAAACGCTTCTCAAAGGAGTGCAAGTTGTGAACACCACCTTCCATTTGGGCGGAGGCTGTTCTAAATTCAAATCTTACGGAACCCTTGTCAACTTCCTCTCTCAAAATAGCCAAGGATTGGACACCAATATCTTGACAGGAGTGTTGCAAACCGTTGTGCAAGTATGGAATGAACTTCTTGACCGAACCCTTGTCAACAACGGCACCAGAGACACCTTGAGCAACCAAGACTTTATCGGATTCAGAAAAGTATCTAGAAGTGGCAGCGTTACCCTTCTTGTCAGTCTTTTGCATGGCATCGATGGAACCCATACCACGGTAAGTCTTTAAACGCTTACCATCTCTGAAGAAGTATTCACCTGGGGATTCAGTGGTACCTGCAAGCATACCACCCATCATGACGGAAGAAGCACCCAAAGCAATAGCCTTGATGATGTGACCAATGTTCTGAACACCACCATCAGCCATGCAAGGAACACCAAATTCATTGGCGAACTTGGAAACGTTGTAAACGGCAGTACCTTGTGGTCTACCACAAGCCATGACTTCTTGGGTGATACAGATAGAGCCGGAACCCATACCAATTCTCAAACCATCGACGCCGGCGGCAATCAAAGAGGCAGCTTGTTCTCTAGTGACGACGTTACCACCAATGACTTGCAAGTCTGGGTAAGTCTCCTTGATGTACTTGATCATGTTCAATTGGAACATAGAGTTACCTTGAGAAGAGTCCAAGACAACGACATCCAAACCAGCCTCTACCAACAAACGCAATCTTTCTTTGTCAGCTTCGATAGTACCGATAGCAGCACCACAGAGCAATTGCTTAGTAGTATCGGACTTGGAGGCCAATGGGTAAGATTGGTTTTTCATCAAGTCAGTTCTGGAAACCATGGCGACCAAGTTGCCGTCTTCGTCAACGATTGGCAACTTACCCTTCTTAGTTTTCTTTAAGATGTCGTTACCCTCAGTCAAAGTAATGCCCTTCTTACCGACAATCAAATCCTTCGTCATGATTTCAGAGACTTGGATGGTATCATCCTCCACAAATTGGATATCACGAGAAGTGATGATACCGACCAACTTACCTGGAAGAGAACCGTTTTCTGTTTTAAGTTAGTATAAATGTTTCATTTTTCTTGTTAGAACAAAGCTCACCAGTAGGTTGACGAAAATTGCTCGAGTATCAGAATATTAGGATTTCTACAAGATCGTTTGATCGGCACTCAGTAGAACGAAAGTTATTAATTAAAAGTTGATCATCACAAAAGCTCATGCAATTTTCGCCACGGTAGAGCCTATTGGGAGCTTTCTTGGTGAGTTGACAGCATATTATAATTCACATACCAGTAACTGGGAAGCCAGCGAAACCAAACTCCTCCTTCATACGTCTAGCCTCCTTGACGGTGGTGGTGGGGCCAATAACGACTGGGGAGTTGATGAAACCGTTTTCGTACTTCTTCACCTTTCTCACCATTTCAGCCTGTTCTTCGCCAGAGCAGTTGTGGTGGATGATACCAATACCACCCAACAAGGCCATGTGGATGGCCATGTCAGCCTCTGTGACAGTGTCCATAGGAGAAGACACGAATGGGGTGTTCAAGGTAATCTTCTTAGTCAACTTGGTTTGCAAGTCCACCACTGAAGATGGGAAGTCGATCTTGCCTGGCAAGACCAAGAAATCGTTGTAAGTCAAACCACCTCTGGTCTTTGAGTCCATCAATTGAGCGGCAGACAAACCGTCCTTCTCTTCGAAGGTCTTCAAATACTCTAGGGCAGTAGTAGAATCTCTGTAGGACATCGTATATGGGAGGTCGACTAGCAACAAACGGTTAGGCTTATTTAAAATAAGATGAAAACTACAAACAATCCATTTCCAAAATCTATTCCCAATTCCACTGCAAGAGAACAAGTCTTTTTACAAAAAATGGGGCAAATTTCACACATATTTATAATCCTTCAAGCTCATCGCCGTTACATTTTGGGCTCAAAAAGCAACGTGAAAAATTTTTATTCGTTTCCAGGCTTACAAAGAGTTTTTTATTGCGTCGCTTTTCCGTCTGAGTGAAACGCAAGCGTTACGAGACTAAAACCCACACCCCATTAGGAATCATTTATTTTCCATATCCGTTCAATGCGATTTGCCGGTCGGGTTCGCCGTGGGTTGCACCGGTTCATCCCAAGCATAAGCCGTAACGAGTTCTTTGACTAACCGTTACCATGACGATAAACTCCACAGACCCTAACCGAGCGGCTTCGCCGTGGCGGGGCTGGCCGCTAACATCAAATTTGAATCGAAAATGGGAGCTCCCTCGGGATGGTATCAACGCAGAAAATGTATTATTTTAGACTGTTTTTAGAATGCGTATGGATTCAGTTGCGTATACAGGTTTTACGTGAGCTGCATGCTGGTAGATAAACTTCTAGAGCCGTGAAGAGGCTCTGCGTTCCGTCAGATGTGTGTGGGTGTTGAGTCTAACGTTTTAAATGATTTGGCACCGGAGTTTGAATGGGTGGCTAGGCTGCTGCTAGTGCAGATGAAAGAGAGCTTACAGCGCCAAAGCGTCTTCTTGAAATGCTCGAGGACTGAGATTTCATATAGCTTTTCTCTTGGTACGAGGTATCATTACCATTTGAAGCGCATTCGGTATGTCCTGTGGCCAGTGAACTACATAGCAAAAATTAGAAGATGAATGGCTTATATCTTTCGGAATAGATCAGGAAGTAGATATCTTGAACATTGATGTTTGCTGCTGTTCAATCTGTCTTCAAATTATTGTGTAGTTCTAATGTTTTATGTTTATTTTTTTGACTGAGCGGGACAATATTAAAAATATTTCAATTTACGATTAGTTCACAATATTATAAAATTATTTCTAAACAGATCGCAGCATCAAGATAAATCAATGTGTAACGAGAGTGGCACTTCGACTTATCAGTTCGAGAAAGCAACAAGATAATCAACATGAGCAAGCTGTTTTGACCGCTTACGTCCTTTCATTGGTGATCAAAGTTGCAAGATTTGAAACTTCGAAGTCAAACCAGAGAGTTCAAGTGAACTTTACTTATGCACCAGATTATCCTGAACTGTGAAATAGCATGGTATCTAAGCCTAAGAATGCAAAGAAATTTTGTAAATTCCAAAACGATTAAAAAGCTAGCTTACAAAACAGGGTTTTCTGGCGATCAAAGTTCCATTAATGAGCACACTACCCGAGCAAAAAAGAGTCATTTAATCGATACACACAAGCTCATCTTGGGACTTGAACAATTACCTTCGGACAAAATATTCCATATAAGTCACGTGATATGTAATATATCTAAGTCGATCAAGGGCACTTCTGTAAAAGGGAAGAGCAGGTTCGGCCACTAACGACTACACACCATCGCTGCTCACTGGGAACCTAACTGCTCTGTCTCATTATCAAACACCTTGAGTCATGAAGTTAGAGGACGTACTGGAACAAAAATCGGAAATTGAACAGTTCTTAAGCACCCTTTGCGATGCGCATCACAGACTCCTCTTCAGTGTGCAAGACGCAGAAAAGCTCGACAAGGTCCGGAATGATGTGAAAATCTGCTTTAATGACCTTTGCAAACTCAATGGAATCTTAATATCAGTGGATGGCGACGGAAGCATTCGGAGAGAGATCGATAGGCTAAAGAAACAAGGGAGCAAGCTTACTCGATTAAATGCGAAACACAAAGAGCTAATTTCACGGAAGGAACAATGGCAGCTCATTAAAGATGCTAGTTCAGAAAGGAAACCATCACCTATGAGCAGTGATACGTTTTCCTTGAAGGGTAATTATCACGACTCCCTAAATGAGTACATAGATGATGTTGGGATTTTACAAACATCGCTGACTGACGGTAATACACAAGATGAGGTGCGCGAATCCCCAGTTAAAGATTTTGAAGCACTATCTAGAAGATTAGCATTACTCAACTTCTGTCGAAAAGAAGTGAATTCAGAAATAAAACAACTTGAATCGCTGCTGTCGAACTTTAGAAAGGATGAAGAGTTCATAAATCGTGAGTGGAAAAGGCAACGCTCTGAGGTGGAAAACATAATTCTTCAATTTGATGAAGATTTGCGGAGTGTTCGGCGTTCTCAGGAGAAGATTCTGGTAAAGCTGGGACTTCATGAGAACAGTGAAACGAAGAACTCTTCTATTCTTTTCAATCTCACTAAGAAACCGGTCAATGATGAGGAGACCCTTGACGAAGAGCTTAAATACGCTGATGAGTTAATCAAAGCAAAGGTAAACACCTTGAACGATGAGCTTGCAAGTTCCAAAGAACAAATGCATCAAATGGAACATACCAGAAACTTATGGGATGAAGCCATAAGCAAAATCGCTAAACTTGAAGAGGAATTAAAAGACAAACTATTAACCAATCCCAATATTTATCCTAAAGAGTTGTCTCAACCTATAGAGGATGTCATAAAACAGCTGGAGGATTTATACTCGGCCTCTTCCTCTTCGTCAGAATTCTTACGAAAATGCCTTTACAACGAAATCGAAGTTCTACAGAAAGCGAAACAAGAGTTAGATGGTGAAAGTGGACAACAAGTCAAAAGACAAGTTCAACCGAGAAAAAATCTCGAGCTAGAAAGAAGCCCTTCCTTCTTAACGACTGGAACATCCCCACCTAAGATTGGCATCACAAGGGAAACAATACCGTCACTGAATGGCTCCTTCTCTCAGGCTGGAAGATCGACGCTGAGTCTTGAGAAAATACAAAAGAATGAGTAACAAGATGAAAATATTTGGCTCTTATAGTATACATTACTTTATACAAATGCTTTGTAAAATGTGCGGTAGGAAGCTATTTTTTGGGATGAATGTATGGGGGCAGTTTTCTTTTGGGAATAAATGGATTTGAGCTTCCTGATCTTGGCGGGGGTCGTGCATCGAGCCTTGGTACGGGACCACCCCCATGAGCCGTAGCAGGCAGTTGTTGGTGCCGCTTATGGTTATGCTCTTGCCGTTGAATTGATTGCGAATTGGATACATCTCCATGCTTTTCATGCTCTCCCTCTAACCTTTTTGATTCTCCCATCTCCCCGGTGCTTCCTTTGTGATCCCCAGAATTATTCTTTATGTAAGGTACGGGAGATATGGATGGGTCATATTCATCATTCTCACTATCAATGTCACGAATGTGTGTTGTGTTATGCGCTGAAGTCGAGCCATCTGAGTTTGGGTTAAGATGTCCTGTGTTCGAAGAAAAAGCATCATTTGAGTTTGTTTTAGAATTTTCAGAGTTTGTTCTCGTTTTCGGCAAATCAGAACTTTTAATATGGGCACGCCTACTTTCAAAAATAACTGGTGTTGTTGCTGCCTTTCCAGAAGAACCTGTATTCGACAGGTTGACCCCGCCATGAAGGTTATCTGGAAAAGACACATGCTTAGAAGTGTTCTCATCATCTAAAACCCTTTGATTTGCTACGGTCTCAACAGGACTGACATCTGTAGCTAATGAATGCCCCCCAAAAATGGAAGATTTTTTTTTGGTTCCTTTGACTAAGCCCTTATTGAATTTAATGTTAGCACTTTCATTATTTTGATTATCATATTTCCTTCTTTTCTCCGGCTGCGAATGTCCGGCCTTATCTGTGGATAAGTTCTTCGCATTATTTGAATCCTTAGTAGAGGCTTCGCTTTTTAATTGAGAATTTTGATTTCTTGGGTGTTTCCTCTTGCCTCTTCGTTTTTCGACGTAGTGCCTCTCCAGCGAAACCGCAGAAGCAGGATCATAATCATCAGAGTCGATGTGGTCATGCGATCCCTCAAATCTTTTAAGAATATTAGCAGCCTTTGAATTGTGAGAATCCAAGAATCCCGAGCACGCTAATTCAAGACAGCCTCTCTCCTTTGCATCTGTTATGAGATTTCTCCATAAGCGGTTATTAAACAGAGAAGCATGATTACCCAAAATCCACATGCTCGTCTTGGCTCTTGTCAGGGCTACATTCATACGTCTGAAGTCTCTCAGAAACCCGACACCGCTTTTGGAGTCATCGGCCCGAACACATGAAATGATTATGATTTCCTTTTCCTGACCCTGAAAACCATCGATAGTATTGAAATCAACTGATCTCATAATGGTATTACCAAAATAGCTTTTAAACTCTCTCTTCATTTTCATCATCTGCTCTCGATATGGCGAGATTACACCAATCTTGCCGGTAAAATCCACTTTTTTGTCATATTTTGCTAACAAAAATTCAATGAGTTGAATTGCAACCCGGCATTCCTCTGAATTTACAAAGGACATAGTCTTGCGATTCTGTTCCTGTTTCCCTGTGACGATATCAAAAAACCTATATGGACTGAGAGGTAAGGTTTCATGCCAGGGCCTCTTGTTAAGAACATCCATTTCCGGACCGTCTTTCAATTTACCATCATAAAACTCTAGCGAGGGGAATCTACTAATAGCGGGGTGCATACGATATTGCACATTAAGCAAATGAGGTGAACAATTCTTTTCCATTCGCACAAAAAGAGACTGGTTGTATTTGTAGTTACTAGCAGCACCAGATAGAACAGTGGGAGGTAGTTGATTGGGATCACCAACCATAATGCAACGTTTCCCTCCGTACCTCAGAGGTATTATACTTGATAGTTCCGTACATTGACATGCTTCGTCAATGATCACAGTGTCAAACTTCACACCAAGAGAAGCCAAAATATCATGAGCGGAACCGGACAAAGTGGAGCATATGATATCGCTTTCCGCCAGGATACGTGCTTGTGCTTTTCGTCTATCCAGTTCTCTACTTCTATAATTGACCGAATTTCTTTCCCTAATCTCATCTCTTTGTTTTCCGAGTTCATTGATCTTCTTGCTGAGTTCCCTGACGCTTAATTGAATCTTTGATATATCTTCTGTAGAGAGACTGCTTGTTGGAGATCCATCCTCAATATCGAGTTTCTGCCTCAGCTTCTTACGCTCAGCAATCGCGCCATGCAAGTTCTTGTCGAGGTCTGGGTCATTTGTAAACTCGTAACTTTTTCCCTGCAATTTCTTATCTACCAGTTCTTCGAGGGTCAAATCCCTTATAGCTGCGTTGACTGCATCGGATCTTCCAACTCTGACTAACTTTGGTCTGAACAGAATACCTGATCTGTCGAAAACACCGTCCCTGAGTCGCAAGACTAGCTCATCCACGGCGGCATTGCTCGGTGCACAGATCAACACCTTTTGTTTTTGCAAAAGTTGCTCCGTTGATGAAGTCAGGGAATCAACAGGTTGTCTGATGACTCCAGCTGGCAGTGCATTTCGAGTAGACAAAAAATAGCCAACAATGCCTAGAATTGTCTTAGTTTTCCCAGTACCAGGTGGGCCTTGAATCAAAGAGAAGCCTTCAGTAGACACCGTGCCAATAATTGCTTCAGCTTGAGAGTGATTGAGTTTATAATTTCTTTTTACATGCTCAATTTCAGCATCATCATGCTTCTCAGTAGGCGTTGGCTTTCCTTTCAAGATTTGCCCCACTAGGTCATAAAATGGCAAACCCTCAAGTGAACTGTATTCTCTCTCAACAGTCGTCATTTGCATCACCTTGACGGCAAATATTTCGGCCCTCAATGTCAAAAACTTGCTAAATTTGTGACTCCTATCAATTCTCAACGTTAAGTCCATATTTTCACCTTTCGAATTCTTGAGACCACACACTTTGGCGAGACAAGTATGCTCAGAAGTCTTGAAATCATCAGCGCTGATTCTATTGAGCGGTCTTCCGTCTGCGAAGAAAGATAAAACTATGAGATCTGACTCCGAAATACCTGATTCTTGAGCCATTTTTTTGGTAATCGATGCATAAACTTCATAAAAGTCGGAGACAGCAGTTCTGTTTCCAACAATAACGCTGAAGGGTTTGTGATCTTCTCGGTCACGAGCGGCACATAAACCTTGCCAGCACTCTAGCAAAAGTAGAGGTTCCATGATTTTTTGATATTCTTGAGCTGAATTAAATTCATCTTTGATGTCTTCATAATTAACCGTGTGAGAGTCCGAAGGATACTCACCTGTGTTGGTATAGTTCCATTTAAGCACTTTGGAATAGAAAGGATTTAAGTCAACATTCAATCTTTTTCTCATATTTTCTTCTTCGTTCTTCTTCTTTTGTGCCTTCGAGACTTTTTGAACAGGTTTACCATTAATATCCAAAAGGATTGGTGTACTTCTTTCTTTAGGTTTAGAAATGGAAAACAATTCTTTTGCATTGTCGATATCATCATCGCTTTCGTCGCTGCTATGATCTAAAATCCGTTGAACAGGTGGTTTGACTGTCCTTGGATTGAAAACATTTGAGGTTGGCGGATGTACTTTTCTATCTGCAAGCAATTGTCTTCTCGCCAATTCCAATTTGGACATAGGTTTCTGGCTTGGTGCTGGTGGCCTCGCTGTCATTCCAGGTTTGAAAGTCCCAAAGGAGGTAATTTTTTGCTGTGCTTTAGGTCTGCCAACAATTGAAGAAGACATCGCCTTCCTTTGCAAAAAGTCCGCCCTTGATTCGGGTGCTGAAGTTCGAAATCCAACTGGTTCTGATTTAACTGTCATAGCCGTTTGCGAATTTTGCTCATTTGAGACACTCAGTTTTTGTTTTTCCTTGTGATATTGGTCAGCCTCGGCAGCAATTGCGTCAGTTAAACTTTCATTAATACCCTTAGCTCTAGAAAGAAGCTCAGCCGACTGTTGAACGGTTAGTTTATTGGAATACTTGCGAGCTTTCACAGCATACCTCACCATCATTGCAACCAATTCGTCGTCAAATAACAAACCCTTTTCGTTGGCTAGATCCGCAGCACGGACAATTAATTGCACACAAGATGCAAGTAAATATTCGTCACTCAATCTCAACCAATAAAGCATATTCTTGAAAGCAACGAGAATGTTTTGAAAAAGATCTGTTCCCATAGTGGTTGAATGTTCAGTAATTAGAATTTCGGAGAATTCTCTGTAAGAGTCGATCAATAATATACTCGTATCCAACGTATCTTTTGTGAAATTTTCGAGTTCAGCATACGGATATTTAGTAGCCCATCTTAGAGTTGCTTTATAGATCATATTCAAAAAGTCCCAAGAATAGGACCAGAAATTGCGAAGAGCAGTATCTGTGTCACTACTTCTTAATGTTTTATAATTAGCAATGATACCATTGACAGGATCTGTTAACCCATTAATTACGTCCATTAAGACACGCAGGGCTCTTGGACAAGGCTCATAAAACTCATTTTTGATAAGTTGAGATAGAACAATGTTGATAGAATTCACGCTATTCTTCAAGCTACAGTTGAACATTTCTTGTATACCTTCCAATCGACCTTCAACATCAAAAGTTTCATAAAGAATGTTGGTAGCTGCTTGATATAATTCAGTATCTGACGTGAAAATGCAAGACCAAAAGCCTGCGGATGCGTATTCATCGGAAAGAACCTTGACCAGTTGATTCGGCAAGATATCTGTCAGTTTGGCAAGTAATTTCTTCAACAGGTCGATGTAAGATTGAATCAACTTGTTGTGATCGGAAACTACAGGATCTTTCGATTTAAATGTTAAAAGTCCATTTACGTTTCGTAACGAAGCCAAAAGCTGAACTGCTAGAGTAGGACCATCATGGAATCTTCTCAGCTCTAAGTGTTGCACAACTTGAGATAAAAGAATATTGGTGACTCTGACTTCATTTGTCTTTCTTCCACAATACAGCTTATAAGTTGCTTGACATAAAATGAGAATGTCGTAATCAATGCAATTCGATAAAACTTTCATTGCAGATGAAGAAACAGAATATACCGAATCCCCAATACCTGGATACAGGGTATTAGGATTGGTGGCTGATTGAATAACGACATGTAATACCATACTATTGTTGAGTAAAGCTCTAGAATCGACTTTTGCATATAACATTGTTTCAAAGTTGTCGTTCTTGTACAACATCGACCTCTCTTCATCAGTAATTGTAAGAACAGCGCTCAAAAGTGAGGTCGAAGAATTCATTAAACAAGCCTTTGGAATCGGCTTTAAAACCTGATGATTAGAGACGATTCGTAAAAATGGCATCGAAACCTTCTTTACCATCTGAATCCGCTTTGAAGATGATAATGAATGATAAAAAGGAAGAGTCCAGGATACTAGATCTGTTAATGATCCAACTGGGGCTAATAAAGTTTCTGCATTATTCGGTAATATTGGGTTGTTTTGAATTCTTATCAGCTTATTAGAAAAGCTGTTTTTGTCGAAAAGAATATCAAGAATACTATGAAAAGTATAGGGCTCAATCAAAGTCCAGAACCGTTCTTCAAATTTTACTAGGAATACCTTCAACGCCCTGAGCAGTATATCCAATGGCTTATCATGATAACTATGTGCGAAATGATTGTACCATAGTTTGAAAATAGACTCGATAGGACTTCTTATAGACTGCCGCAAAGACTCAATGTTTTTCGGTACAATGAAATATTCTTCAATAAGTGTAGTTTCAAATAAGTTTAAAATCGGAGTTAATTTAGACCAGAAATGTGAAACCAGTGCTTCATGGAAATTGTTTACGTTTTGCAAATAGAGAAAGTGGATATAGATTTCTTCCAATATGTCCTGAGTAAAATTTGTTGAGTTGAAGACAAATCCATCATCGTAGAGTTTCTTCAAAAAACCGCCGGACCAGGCAACTTCCTCGACGCTTCCCTCGAACCAGCAGTAAACGACACCAGCAGTAAATCTGTCGATGGACCCATTCTGAGAACCGCTTAAATCTAAAAAGGTATGCTTGGAGTCATACAAAAATTTGAATACAACATCAAAGGTTCGCTTTAATCCTTCATTAGTTCGCAGAACTTGCGGGTTGCAAAGGCACTCAAATAGTGCAGTTTTAATGTGCTCTGTTACTTGCACGTCTGTATTGTTATTGATAGAAATCCCACGGATTACAGGAAAGATTGATTCAGCCCTCCAAGATGAGACAATGTCGTTGAATTTGGTGACGTGTTCATGAGGTACTTTTCTCTGAATCGCGAAATGTTGCAGCATTTTACACCTGCCTTGCGTGAAATGCAGGACACAATCTCTGCACTGGGCAAGTATGGGATTGAATTTGCCTTTCAGCCATGCAATAGTGTCCTGGTTACTGAAAGAAAAGAGAGTCAAACAAAATACTGAGATGGGGTCGAACTCTGGGTCACAAAATAAATGGAATCCTGGTGGAAGTCTATCTATAAGTTTCAGAAGCTCGCTTAACAATTTCGATTCATCGATGCCCTGACTGGAACAATTGTAGACATCCTCGATTTGAGGTCTAAATTTGGCAGCAAGCTGTCTCAGCTCTCCTAATTTTTCATCCGAACTCATTGCCACTTGAATTTATTCCTTCCGTGCCCTATCTTCTGTTCCCTCTACCTCAGGAACACGGATTGATACTACACAGACTATGAACGAATCAACCAAATACTTCGAGAAATGTTGAGTTTTGACTCTATCGTGCCAAAAACAAACCAGTTGAAGTACGAATTAAATGCAAAAAGTTGAAATGCAGAACGAAATGAAAGGCTCTTTTGACTAGATCAAAGATTTTCTAGTTTTGAGATGCGAAAGAAACTAGTCAAGTAGGCAAAATTTTTTAATGATAAAGGGCGCGTTGACGCGTACTTTGTGATCAATATATGAAAGGACGGAAGAAACACGAACATATTTAGGTTAAGGTGCTCTGTCCCGATTAAATTACATATCAAGCTTTCTAAACAATAATGAATGTCATTTTATTAGCTTTGAGCTAGTAATTCTTCAATTTTTGTTTCCAAAGACTTCAGACGCTCATCTTTGTCCAAATTTGATTCTTTTAGATTCGACACGACTTCCTCCAAATGTAAAACCAAGGCAGATAATTTCTCTACCGATTGCTTGAGTCCCAAAGATTTGGCACCAGTAGCAGTGCCTGCACTAGATTTTGAACTGCTTGGCTGCTTGAGAGACTCATCCGCCCTAGAATCAGAACTTTCGATTTCCTTTTTAACGTTCTCCACTTCTACCGGCTTTGATTCTTTTTCAACCGCTGCGGATGGCTTTTCTTCTATTTGAGGGACCTTGATGTCAGTTGGAGTTCTTTCAACTGGAACATTGCCTGTTTGCTCATCTTGTTTCTTCTTGTTGACACCTTTCTCTTTCATAACTTCGACACTGTCACTTTTCTTAGCGACATCCTCTTTTTCAGAGTTCGGTGTGACAGACTTGATGTTGACTGGAACTGACTGTTCATCATCTTCGTCCCAACCAGAGGTATCCTTAGAAGGATCCTCCGCGTCATTCACATCATCTAAGCTGCATGCTTTCTGAAGCAATTTATCAACTGATTTGTTTTCCTTCAATACATCATCAATTTGAGAATTTGTTGTACTGGAGTGTATATTGGTGGATGTTTGTTCTGACTTCGTCTCTTGTGGCTCAAATTCTTTCACCGGCTGTTTTGCTTCAACTTCAGAAGTAGTTTCTTTACCTTCAGTACTATTGGTTTCGGAAGCAGAGACAGAAGTAGATTCAGGAGCAGGGGTAGAAGCAGCGGCTGGAGCAGCTGACAAAACTGGATCTGAGCCGTCATACAACGACTTAACATTAAAAAGCACCGGACCATCGACCGACTTGCCCGAAAACCACTCCTCTGCACTCAAAGCAGGGACGTCAGATGGTGCATCTGGATAAATGTCATCTTGAAAGACTTCAGCTTTTCTTGGAACATAAAATGAAATTGGCTCGATACAGTGGTCATTAACAGTCTTATAACCTTTTAGGACTTCATTTTCTTTAACGTTTACGGCTCTTCTTGGGGCGGCAGCGAAACCTCTCTGAGGGTCAATGGATTGATACTCGGACAGCTCGAATAATTCATCATTCTGAAATTCGAAGTAACGAATGTTACCATCTCCTTTGCCAACCAAATACAATATTTTGTTGGAGTCGTCATAAAAAGGCATTAAAATACCAGAAGATTGATCAACAGTGTAAAACCCGCCCAAGTCTCCCTTTTCCAAATTGAAGGCGTCCCAGATACCAATTTGACGATCGCTTAGCTTGGAAAACCCGGTCGTAGCAATTCTATCAGAGTTACCAAGCCAAACAACTCTTTGATTTTTTGCACCAGCATGGGCGGGCCCCTCACTGACAACTTTCTGAGTTCTTATGTCCCAGACTCTAAGCTTCTTATCACGACAAACTGTCACCAAGTGGTTTCCACTGTAACTGAAAGACATTGAAGTCACCATATCAGGGTGCTTCAGTGTGTACACATCCTTGCCACTTTCGATATCCCAAATCTTTACAGTATAGTCCAAAGAAGACGATGCCAAGACATTTTTAGCTGTTGGATGAAACAATACATGCCCCACCTTTCTTGTGTGCCCGCTCAACATTTTGACGGGCTCGATGTTTTTGGGCTCGCCCTGCTCATCTACGTAATTGCGGAATGAATAGTCATCAGGAATTTGCCAAATACCAATTCTTGCATCGTCTGAACCCGAGGCTATCACGTTATCATCGAACGGATTGAAATCAGTGTCGAGCACTTGCGCGGTGTGTCCTCTGAAAAGTGGTACTTGATCTGGAGCTTTACCTACTTCCTTGAGAGGAATCACAGCAAAAGCACCACCACCAGAGGAGTTCCAATTAACAGCAATAAATTTTCCATTGACCTTTATCAAATTAGAGTCCCATGCATTATTAGTGACTCTTATATTTTCGTATTGTAGCTCTTTTTTAGCAGCCTGACCAAACACATGTCTGTATTTCGAGGCACGAACAAATTTTCCACTAGAATACAAATTCAAACGTTAGTAAAAACCGAATTCAATTCTCTCGACTTCAAAACGTACCTCATAGCGGCAAATAAACTTCTTTAAAAAGTCTCTAATTGGCTAAACAATGCTACTTAACAGAGCGTGGTTTTTTCCCCTATATTTTCGTGATCGAGACAAGTATCTTGTTATCACTAAAAACGTTCAAAAGGATCCACGTGATTGGCCGGAGCTTAACAAGGTCACCATCTTCTTCTTCTTCTTCTTGCCTTGTTTCCCACCTTGGTGTTGATTTAAACTCTGTAGAAGATCTTCAAGATCTTTGTCCTCACCAGTGTCTGTATCAGAAGACTGCTCCACAATTGGTATAGAGGTTCCCCACACGGTACGTTCCATTCGTGACTTTGGCTTGGCAACTTCAGAAATCTCCTTATCAGCCTTATGTGATAGGCTCTGAAGAGGAACAGGCTTTGAAGGTATTATAGCATTTGTCGGAGGAGAAACGTTCCCGTTTTCCCGTTGATAAAACTCTGCTTGCTCTTGCTCTAGTCTCTTTTGATATAGTGTTTTCTCTTTATCTTCCCGCTGTTTTTTCCAAGTTGACTTTCTTCTTCGGGAGGTGAGCTCGCTCGCGAACTTCTTGTAAACTTCCATAGGTAAGACATCTGAGTTTCTCCAGTCTATATCCACAAAAGCAAGTTCGCTCCCAATTGGAAGATGGCCGAAATACTTGTACCGCTGAATGAGGGACTCTGTTACGACACTTCCATGGTGCACATTCTCCACTTTGACATTGAGGATTGGTGGGAAACGGGAATAACCACCAAATGCTGTTAATAGAATTTTGACATCAAGCGGAGAAAGATAATATTTTGTAGTTGCGTCGAAGGCAGTTTCATAGAAAAAAAAGGCATTACTTTCATCGAACTTTTCTAAACCGACGTCCAGAGATAATTGCGATAATCCTGCCGACAGATCTTTCTCACCAGTGGCACTGCTCTCACATAATTCCTTCTGAATGTCTTCAATCGCTAACTTTGCATATTTCCCATTATCATTATACAGGGCTTTGTCTATCTCGTTCTGTGTCTCAATGTCTTTGATGTCCCGTTGATAAAGCGTCAACGCATAATCCCTGCTACACTTCATTATACGGCAATAAGGTGCGAGTTCAGCCAATTCAACAGGGGGAAAGTTACCCAAAGAGAGCGGATCGACGTTCAGGCTTACTGGCAATGGTAGCATCGAAGTATGGGGCCTACACATAAGTTGGAAATTGCTTTCTTTTCCAATTTCTGGAACCCCCTGCTTCGGGTTCCCTTCAACAAAATTAACTGCTTTTGTATCAGTTTTACGGATGATAGTGCTGCAGAGAGGACATTCTTTATACCTTTTTTTTTTAACATATGTTGTTGCGTCCGCTTTGGCATTTGCAGGCTTGTCTTCAACGGCAAAGAAGTTCAACATGCATGTCATACAAAAGATATGCCCACATGAAACCATCCTCGGTGCAACCATATCTTCAGTCAGACAGATTGGACACGATTGTCCCCTAGGAACGACGACGCGTACGATTTTCTCCCCTGAAAGAGGTAAATTGGGATCTATGCTTTGCTCATCGTAACTAAAGCGATCATCGACAATGAACTTAGAATTTGCATTGATGAATGAATCTCCATGCAAATGCACAAAATCATTATCGTTTTTACGACTCCTTCGCCTTACCGAACCTGCGTTGTGTACGTCATGTGGTCTTTCGGGTAACTGGAAGTCCAACAAATGATTGATTGAAATCTGAGTTTTCCTTCCACGAGCTCTGAAGTTCCCACTCAAAAGCTCATCCTCGATGTTAAATTCTGCATCGTCGGCGTATGCCTTTGTTTGGCGTTCTTTCTTAGGCCGGTGCTGTTTGGATAATTTTTGACTCCCTCGATGCTGGAATGCGTTGCCCTTCAGGGGAAACTTCTTTCCCCCTTCGAACGTCTTGTTCTTAGAACTGAGAGATGACGGATCCAGATTCTTATCCTGCGACATAACTCCTATATCTTCATCGGAGTGAGATTTCTCTAATTCGACACCTGAAGATAATTAAAGGGCAATTTTTTTTGAAGATTTTTGACAGTGTTGAGATGACCCCACACGTTTCCCTAATAAACATGAGTGCTCAATACATTTTGGAATGCTACATAGTGATTATTATTCACACCTCTTAGGATGATAGCGACTTGTAGATATCGCAGTCTGAAGAACCAATCATTACACGTGACAAACACGTGACCATTTATCAAACGTAGATTTCTATTTTGAGGGTGGGAAATATTAGTGCGGTTCTTTCTACTACCAACAGTAATAGTTATACTGCGATAGTCATCCAATGAGTAAGCCAATTAATGTTTACTGCAGTGCCGATCTTCGCCAGACGCTAGATGAGGCGCTTCCAGGAGTTTTTTCAAGACTAGGCTACGTCCAGTCCTTCAAATTAATTGACACGAAATTAATCATTGGTTATTCAATTGCTGTGGTCGCGGGTGTGTCATTCTATTTGGATAAGATTCTCGAGTATTCAGAGTCTCTAACCTATCAAAAAATTCTTGTGGGCTTATATGCAGCACTATCTGGTTTATTCTGGTACTTCAACAAGTATATCGAAAAGAACGTAAAGTACACGGGGATCAACAAATCAAAAAGCATTCAGGTCGCAGCAACGCTAGAACAGTACACTCTAGACTACAAGTTAAAGATACGCGATAATGAGGGCCATGTCGTGGAGACAACACTTCCCGCAAATAAGGTTTTTACTGAACAAGGTTACTTGCAAACGGACTTACTCTATAAGTGGTTTGAAAATCAACTCAACGATCTTACAAAGAAGCGCAATTAATTTACATAGCTTTCATAGGTAGAAATCATTCTATGGGTAAGCACTTATCCATGCCGGAAAATTTACGCGCCAATTGCACTAGCATATATGGAGAGCCTTTCAAGATGTACATGAAGTTTGCGTATAACGGTGCGCAAAGTTCACCACGCACCCCACTTCGACAGCAATTTACGATCTCAACAGCCAGTTTCTCTGGATCGACTAATGGCGCAAGAAACTCTTTTGGAGGCTTAAATCCTTGAAACATTGCAGTATCCAATTGACCAGGAAGGACGAGCAGAGACCTCACGAGGTTTTCGTCACTATGTTCGTGAGACCAAGATTCATGAAGAGCAATCAAGGAAGCCTTTGTTGCTGCATAAGTGGCAGCCTTTGCCGGTGCATTAATGCCCAGAACACTAGCAATAGTCACTAAATAAAACTGACGCGCTTCATCCTTAGGGGCCAGTTTTTGAAGGATTATAGTAGGGGCGACCACATTTACTTTGAAGATGAGGCTCAAATCTTCCCTACGAATATTGCTGAAATTTTGGTACTTGTTTCTAATTCCGGCATTGTTGACAAGTACATCAACGTTGCCATGATTCAAAATGATTTGGTCTAGTACTGATTCGACTTCATCAGAATCCGACAAATCACACTGGTAGAATACTATATTTGAGTGCTTTAGTTTAGGAACGCATTTATCTATGATGACAACTGTCATGCAAGGAAATTGAAACAGAAATTGCTCGACCATAGCCAACCCCAGTCCATTGCTACCACCAGTAATTACGCAAGTACTTTGAGGTTTGTTCTGTAAGTTAGGCCATCGCCCCCGTTCCTTGTAAGAATGGTTTAAATATACCATCACATGAAGCATGAGCGATAAAAGCACCAGTAGAAGCTGAAGTAAATTACATTGACGCTGTTTGAAGTACCTACAGTAAATCATTAGTATGGTTCCAAATGAAATGAACATATTGAAGAGGCATACCATAGAGTCAACAATCCTAAAAGTATAGGATATTTAAATAAAGGTGAGATGACCCTTTTGAAAAGAATATCCAGGTTAAGAGGCATTGGATGGTAATATCCCTTATTCTTTGTGGTTGAATAGAGTTGAGGAAAAAAAGTTCCTAATAGAAAAAAAAAACATTACTTCCGTACTGTTACAAATAATTATTTATCCTGATAAAACTCCAACACTAGTTGCCTCCCTGCGATATTGGGGTGACTTAACACGATCACTGCATCTTCGTTGATCTGTGAGTTGATGAGTTTTACTTTTTTACCTTTAATAATTTGAATCGGCGCCAATTTGCTGAGTTTATTGTTCACGATGTTGCCCAAATAGTTAAAATCGTAGATTTGAATTAGATTATCACCAACCAGTATCAAGAACTCGTTATTCAAGGTAGCACCTGTGCAGTAAAAATCCAAAACAAGAATGTCTGTTTTCCAATCGGGAATTTCACCTTGTCGATTGATTTTTATGACAGCTTCATCATACACTATGATAAAATCATCACTGCTAATTTGAAAACAGCATATGGGGGCTGTCTTGTTGTTAACGAGATCAATTTTCACGTATTCGGCCATTTTTTGCTTCGAAGAGTTTTTCTTTGATGAGGTCTCCATAGTTGATTTAAAGGGATAATGAGTGAAATGATGATGACGTCCCGTAAATGAGCTGTCATTTAGAAAACTGGGTAAGATCATCCCATCATCATTGAAAGATTCATTGAACAACAAGGAACCCTTCGAAGAACATACAATAAAACTCTTCTTGAAGATAATTATATCTTTCACATCTAACGACGCTATTCCGCTACTGCTAGGAAGCTTGAATTCCTTGTAAATCTTGAAGAACTTGAAAGTTTTTGACAATCGATCGAATTCTGGTGTCAGGATAGTGATTTTTCCCTTCCTTTCGTAAAATAGATGCCTTGAATTTCCGAAATCATCTGCCACTTTGAAGAACGTAATCTTTTCATTCAGAAGAATGCCAATCAATTGATTGTTAACTAAATATTCGGATGAATTATAGTACGCACACAACACGCTTGGTAAGTTAAAATAGCATAGCTTCCTATCGGCTAGGACAAATAAAAGACCCAGCTTGGTGTTTATTTGCATTCTCGTCACTTTACTTAATGTCAGTATTCGTTTCCAGCTGGTGAGATTGTCAGATATAGTCATGTAGATTCCATGATTAACTCCACAAAGAATGAAAGCTTTTCCTTCGTATGAAAACTTGACACTACAACTGACATCCGCATTCAATGGGGCCTGCAATCCTGGATACGCAGTATAATATTTCTTCAAGGCAATATCAATAACCGATCCTTCAGGAGCAACGGGTAAGTTTGTAGGGGCCTGATTTTCATCGTAGCTGAACATGTCTGTCAAGCATTTAAGGCCAAAGACATGTAAATCGTTAGAGTTATGTTTCCTGAAACACATTACTATAGCTGCTACCCAGCTATCTCTTTCATCTAAAGTAGCTGTTAAAAATGTAAAAGACTCGTTTGTGGCTGTGTTCCTTACTTTGAAAGAAGCTGTGCTATCCCAGTTTTCGCTTGTTTCATCGAGGGTGTAAGCCGTCGTGCTATGATGTAACCCTTTTGAAATAAATGGCATCGAATTAGCCGCATGCACCAAATGAGGTTTTACCATACTAACGGGCGTGGTCAGAGACTCATTAGGTTTAGTATCATTAACATATGATGATCCTTCGAGATCGTTTAGGTTATAGGTTGTGAGCTGTGATGCGTTAAATTCCTTTTCTTTAGTCTCCAAACTCAGGTAGTCTATTGGAATTGGCCGCTCTGAAAGTTTATATTTTTTTTCATTACCTTTATTCACAGTTTCCGTGATAAGGAAATAGTTATCAAGTAAAACAATGAACAATGGGGATCCTTCCAACCACAACTCTCGCTTCTTGAAAACAGTTCCACTTTTAAGTAACCTTCTCGACTTCTCATTTAATTTTAAATCAAGCTTATCTTGGCCCGAGACGCTTGCACCTTTCCCATCCTCGTTTATATTAACATAACTGATAGTACTGCTGTTGCTACGATTTCCAACGATCAGCTGTCTAGAGAATCGTACAACTTTACGCTGGTCCACTGCAATTCCATGCACTTGATCAACAACTGCGTTGAGGTTTTCGATATCACTTATTGCCATTTTGAGATACTCGTAATCTTCCATCGATTGATCAGTGCACTTTAATATCGAGTTTAGAGTCACCGGCATGTTTTGAAGAGATTTGAAAAACCCACCAAAGAATATAACATCATGATAAAGTTTGGATCTTGTTATTTCTGGAGAGTTATCAATTTCCTTGAGCCATTGAGCAAACTTCGTATTATGCATCTTTTCCCAGTTGATGATCTCATGGACTGTGGCCATAGATTCTGCATAGTGTAGGTAAGCTTCTCGGGCTTCATTACACCACTTGAGATATATTTTACCGACACCATCAATGAATTTTCCCCTGGTCTTCAACTTCCCAAATATTGGGCTCAAAAGGTATTCTTTATGCAATTCTATCAACGGCACAAATGGGTCAAATGCCAACTGTGAGAAGTTTGGATCTTGAGGTAACAAAGAGGCGTGAAACTTTTTCCCATATATTTCTGTTGCTGCATTCGCTAGGTTCAGAGATCGCTCTTCTAATAAAATAAGGTCAAAGATAAAACTCTGCCTTTTAACTTCACGAGGACTTATCTCAGAAAGCTCATCCGCAGTTAATTTCCAGTAGTCGGTCCACACCCCGACAGATTTATTTATTATTTCTGACAATTTAAGATTGGGCCGAATTTCCTTCATAAATTTTGCAGGACATCTAGGACAGTAACAACCATTATCTTGCGCTTCAGCTAGCTGTTTTCCCTCATAAGAATAGCAATCTAGTAATTCAGTGAATACGCCTTGTACATTCAGTCCTGCGACTATAAATGTCATTTCATCGTTTGAGTTTTTTTCTGTATCGGCCTGGAACCGAACTGCACCTTGAGACACTAAGGAATCAATAATCTTATCAACATTAGAGTCTACAACATCTTGATCACAAGATGTCGGTAGCTGAAACTCTAACAACAACTGCACCATCTGAAAAAATGATATTTTCGGAAATACATATTCATTGAACCACTCGAAATAAACCTTTAGGAGCCATTCATAGATATCCGAAAGTAACGACACTCTATAGCACTGATAGAGTTTATTTTCGTCCAAAAAATCGATGCTAAATGGTTGTGTTGGAGCCGTGATACTGGGAACTTGTTGTAGCGGCTTCCCGCCAACAATTGAGTTAAAACTACTTTGTCTAGCACTTTCATCGTTGAACGCATAATTCGAGTTCGAGTAATAGCTACTCACACTACCAGATATCGTTCGCCCATCACTGGGCGTGCGTAAGCTAGCCGATAATGGCGGAGGCGGCTTGTAGAAATCGCTTTCATTAGCACTTTCCCTTAAAAACTTGTCTGTGAGGGGAGATGAAGATTCATAATGAGCCTGTGAATTAGTCAACACATTAATATTTTTTCGAGCAGGTAAAGCAGGCAGTGCCTTCATGGTTCTAGTCATATCGTCAATTGGCTCATTGTTAACATAGGTGATGCTAGGTAAACTATCATTACCCAATTCTGATGCGAAGCTGTTGCTCATCAGCGTACTTGCTGACTCTGGGCGAAAATTGGAAGAAGAAGAATCATGCCGTATATCCTTTATTATAGTGTTGCTCGCATCTCCTATAAATGGTGATTTGTAAACACTTGTGTTATTGGCAACAGATGCGCTCGATACCTCATACCGTAGGTCATCTTCACCGACGAAAGGTGATCTGTATGATGCGTAATTTCTTGAATTAGTCGAGGATGGGCTACTCACGCTATTAAATTGGTTTGGTGACCTGAAGGTTGTTGGTGTTGATAGCCCTCTGGCGTTCACATTAGACGGTAATGGGGGAGGAGGCGGCCTCCGAGCAGGTGGTTCAGGATGAGATCGTGGAGGCGATCGTACCTGGCTAGTAGGTGTACTTATTGGTGTGATGGGTGATGGTGACATTTGAGGCCAGCCTATTGAGACTTTCTCTTTACGAAATCCTTCCCCGTGAGACTGAGTGGTAATTAGGGGCGGTAGCTTGGGAAGTTTTGGCTTAGTATTGTCCATATCTTCATGGTACCATCGTCTATTCGTCGAATCCATCACTCCTGGTCGTTTTATCCGCGAAATGACAGTTATTGAAGTATGTTAGTTCTTATTTAAATCATGAAATGTTCACCGGCGGTTCAATAAGAAATGGACCCATCAATTAAGATCATATGATAAAAACAGATCACGTGCATGAATCGAAATGTACATTTTAGCCGGCGGCCATTTGAATATTTAATAAATACTGAATATAAAGCTGATTTTTCCATCAAATGTTTTGGCTTAGGTATAAACCTAATCCGTATCCTTGAATTGAGCTGTTTGAGCTTTTTGGTAAACGCCTTTATACAAGAAGTCTTCCGGAAAACCTACTGATCTGCTTCCAAGACTGCTCAAATCTAGAAGCTCAGGATTCAATTCCTTGATTGAGTTGACACCGAGTAGCCTCATCGCATACTCCACCTCTTCTGTTAGCATTTGAACTGCTCTCTCAACACCGGCTTTGCCATAACAACTGTTGGCGTACAAGAAAGGTCTCCCGAGACCCACACCCTTAGCACCTAAGCATAGCGCCTTGAGAATATCGGTACCACGACGTACACCCCCGTCAATGAAAATTTCAAGTTTGTCATCTAGGTGTTTCTCTTTCAAAATCGGAACAGTTTCTGCCAAGACTTCGATAGGTGGACGTGCAAAATCCAATTGTCTTCCACCGTGGTTCGACAATACGACACCATCTACTCCTATTTCCGCAGCTTTCAAAACATCTTCTACCCGCTGAATACCCTTAATAACAATTGGAAGTTTAGTTTTTTTCTTGAACTCGATAATGTCATCCCAAGTGAGTGAAGGGTCAATGAAAGTGGACAATGCTCTAGAGGCACCACGCGCGTCACTTGTGTTCTTCATTCTTTGCGGAGCACTTTTGGAAGAAAACTTGACCTGCATGTCCTTCTCACGTCTACCTAAAGATGGCGCGTCAACAGTAACGAAGATAGCTTTCAAACCCAATCTTTCAACGTCAGAAATCAACTTATCAGTAATAGATCTGTCTGCATTAACGTACAATTGAAACCATTGGATTTGTTCTTTAGAAGGAGCAGCTTCAACGATTTCCTGCAAGGAACATGATGCCAAGGTCGAAATCATTTGAGGACACTTGACAGAACCTTCACCACAACCTCTTGCAATATCTTTTTCACCCTCCTGAGGGTTCCCGAGTTTCACTAGCGCGGTCGCACTGACATAAAATGGCACGTCCACCTTTTGGCCCAGCATTTCAGTAGATGTGTCAACTTGACGGACATCCACCAACACACGAGGCTTGAAGAAAATACGGTGATATGCGGCATGATTTTCTCTGTGAGTAAACTCATCTTCAGCAGCAGACGAGTAATAGCACCAGGCTTGCTTCGTTAGGATCTGGGAGGCCAAATATTCAAAATCGTAGAGATTAATCAAAGAGTCCAGATCTGGAAGAGCTTGGCGAAGTCTTTCCTTTTCAGCCACATCCTCCGGAGTTTCACCGGGAGTCAATGCAGGAGTGATGCGATCTTCAGGCATCTGGCCATCTAAAGGACCAAGACGCTTTTCGGGAGCAATGTATTTTTCAATCACATCGGGAGCATGCAGCGGATCGAATACTTTGCTGACATCCTTACCAGCGTTTGCCTCGATTATTGCCCGCCCTCCAGGATGAACATCAATGAAATCGGTCAAATCGTAAACATACCCATCAATTACAACCCAGCAATCTTCCGGAGTGCAATGGCGACTAACCTCTTCGGGTTTTATGGGTTTCTTAGTGGGATCTTTGACTGGACCGTTGTCGATGACTGAACCCCAATGCAATGCGCTGGCAGCGACTGCTCCTAAACCCAACGCACCCACTACAAGTGGGTATACAAATTTCTGGTCTTTTGCAACTCTGTGAGTAGCCAAATATCTTTTAGAACCAGATAACAGGCGTCCCTGCGGTCTGTGAGACGCACGCGCACCATTGGTGACCAAATTCCTTACAAACTTCGATCTTATTCCACCAAGCATTCGGCCACTGGAGTTTGTCTGCAATGTCCTGGCTTTAGCACCCAACTGGTAGCTAGTTCGAGCTCCTCCTTATATAATGTCCCCAGGTTGAGGCCGAACTTTTTGACATCCCACGCCAAGAAAAGCGTGGGATTATCGGTTTAGTGAAAATGCCCGGCGTCACGGAAGCTCAATTAAACAATAGCCAAAAAAAAAAATTCCTTGGAGAAACGGGTCCTGCTACCCGGGACAATTTGGAGGTGCGTTCAGCTCTCCAATTCTTCGTCAATGGATTGTGATTGCCTCCATAAAGGCTTTGTTTTCAAAATGAACGTTCCCGAGCTTTTAGTTTCCCTTCCAAGCGAATCCGACGCGGGGAGCAACCGGTTCTTTCGGATCATCGAGCCCAGAAGGGAAATATGCAACAGAAATCTAAAGGCGTAGGTTATATGGTGATCGAACGGGAAATGATTGATTGATGATTGTTCATTTCATGTACGGAAGAGAAATCGAAAATTGCGCCGCACATTTGATCGAATTCTGGCGTCGTATAATTCCGACGATCTAACGCGCAGTCCGCATTAGAAAATTCTATATAACGCGTAGCGACCCTCGCTTGTTGAGAAATGGGTGAATATTGAGCTGAATGTTGGGATTCCATTTTTGATTAAGGCTATAATTATTGGTATATGGTTATACTAGAAGTTCTCCTCGTCTTTCTAAGAATCCAGAAAGAAGAGTCAATAATTCTACTTACAAATATTCTTACTCTTTCTGTTCCTTTTATACATTTTCATTCATTATCCTATTACATTATCAATCCTTGCGCTTCAGCTTCCACTAATTTCGATGACTGCTTCTCATTCTTTATGTCATCTTAAAACACCGTGTATGATAATATACTAGTAACACGAATACTAGTCGATGGCCGATAGTTGTATTTCGTTCCAACATACCACCCATAATGTAATAGATCTAATGAATCCATTTGTTTGTTAACAATTTGAAAGTTTTTATCGGAAGAGGTTTTGTCAATGTGTCCGCAATGTTCTTCTTGGTCTCAATGTAGTATAGGTACAGATTATTGTCCGATACTTCATCTCTGAGTCTCATTGCTTTAGTGCCGAAGAATCTGTTCCTAAATTTCTCTTTATTTTTGGATGTAACTATACTGATTGTAGATCTGCTGTCAGTAAGTAAACATTTGATGATTGGTTTCTTATCTAGTTCTTGTACGAGATAACTTAGATTGTTTAGTAACGGAACGGCTTCACTGACTGCGTGTATTTCTGCTTCTGTGGTTGAAGTACACGTTAGTGATGCTTTTGTTGATTTTCCTCCAATGACTTTTCCATTGAGTAAGAATATGTTACCAATCTGTGATTTGTAATACGGTTGGTTTCCGTACGAAGCATCGCTTATTACAACTAATTTGTTTCCTGATTTCGTAGATCTGTTTTTATGCCATATTAGTTGTTTATCTCTGGTATCCCATATGAACTGTATTAATTCATATGTCATATCTAAAACTTGTTTGGACGGGAATAATATATGTTGTGCGAGAGTGTTGATGTAGTACAGTAGGTCGAATCTGAATTTGTATCCAAACGTACGATGCTAGGCCTAATTAGTCTTTTGCTATTTCATGCACCTTCGTTTTGTAATCATCTTCTTCCAGTTCTAACTCTTCTTGGTCTATGTATAGACCAGGTTGCCCTGGAGCGGCAAGTTTCCTACCTCTTGGATTCAAAGGTACGTCTAGGTTTGGTAATTTCTCAGTTAATGAGTTTTCCATACCTAGTTTCATGTACCTTACCCCTCTGGTATTTGTATTTCTAGTCCAAAGAATGTCATATTGGTATTTCTTCATTGTCTTTCACCTAGGTTTATGATCTTAGTGTCATATTGTTCGTTTTAG